GAATAGAAAAATATACAATCGCTATCCTTGGACTCGTGGTAAGCATTTGAAGTAGCCAATAATAGCTTACGAGTAGGTCAAGGGTCACCGAGGTGACCCTTGGTCCGAATCGTCTAGAGGTTAGGACAACACGTTGTGGCCGTGTAAACCCAGGTTCGATTCCTGGTTCGGACAGTATTAATGTATTCTGCCTCACTGATTTTATGTATTCATAGATATCAACCGACGATAGTCTCAGGCATCTGGCTTGTCACTTGTCCGTGAAGGAAGCTTACTTTAAGGTAGTTAGGAGGCCTCTTCGGATCGGGTAAAAATCACTTGAGGTCGGTGCCTTCGACGTCGCGCACGCTACGCACCTTTTTACCGATTGTGCCTGGATACTTTTCTGTGTGCATTGGGTAGGCAGTAGGAACCTGCTGTGGCACTTCGGAGCATCAGCAGTGGCAAGAACGTTTTCGGGAGTTAGCATTCAGTGCAAGCTATGCGCTTTCGCTTGTATTCTGATTTTGCGTGCTGGTAATGGGAGCATTATGCTTCAGTGTTTTAGGCAAGAACCTTCCTTTTGTTCTTGTGGAATATCTGGGCCAATGCACTCACATTCTAAACTCGAAACGCTTCGAAGAATGGTATATATGAGCTTCTTGCTTTTCTTTTGTCAATTTTCTTGTTTCGTTTTCAATGCTCGAGGCCAGCTAAGGTCTGCTGTCTCACGTTGTGGCAAGTTCAGTACTGAAGTATTTTCTGTTACTGATTTTAGCACCAGGAAGTCGAGACGATGGTATATTTAAAGCAAGAAGGACATTAGGTGTAGCTGGCTAAGATGCACATAAGCACGTTCTACTCTACCCGTTATACCTAAGAATCAGTAAGGAATTGACTAATTGTCTGTCTGGCGATGTATCTTGTTGTTTGCAGAGTACTACTAGGTCGATGCAGGAAGACGCCATGTTGTGTTGGAGCGAGCTCGATGCTGTGTGCAGCTGCACGTGAATGCTTGAAATGTTTAGAGGCTGCAGCTACGCGCATCTTGGCTATCTCTTATATTGAAAACCCTGAAGGTCGCGAGGAGAAGGCGGGAGTTCTTTTGGATCGCACTCAATGAACTTCATTAAGTTTGTATGGGCTTGGAGGCACTCAATAGCCTTTATTAAGCTTGTATAAGTATGAAGTCCAACGCGTCCCATTAATTTAACCCTTAGATGGAGGGGTAAGTACGGCCATTATCTGAGTGTGCTACAAATACTAGGCATTTTACGGTGTGGAGAACTTTAGGAGTGTCCAGATACAGTGTTCTGGAGTGCAAGAAGTATTTGCCATATTGCTTGTACTCTTGTCTCCAACCACATCTCAGTAAGGTCTGTAAAGTGTCTCCACAACATGGGGGCTCCACGGGTGTATACATGCTTCAAGCCCCCAGGCAGTTGGTAAACAGGTATAATCTGTAGAGTTTTCCAGAAAAGTGCCAAGGTTGCTACTTCAGACTGCGCGCAACAGCACTGGCTTTAAGACGGCCTCCGTAGAAGGTGGTGCGAGCGACGTACAACGATTTACGCCAAAAACTCCTGTACCAAAAAGCTTCGGCTTTTCACAGCTGCATTTTATTGGCTTCGATCTCAAATGTTCCCATAAAAGCACAAAGGTAGGCCTAGAGAAAGAATATTCGCAAGGTCAGAATATTTGAAGGGTCACTTGTGGGCTGCAGTCCTGCCGCTCCAACCCGGCCCCCTACCGTGCCTTAAGGCTAATTTATCCACCTTTCGTGGTTGTATCCACCACCTAACAAAAAAATTATGGAAGGATTACTTAAGCCTACCTATATTTCGTCTCCCTGATTCTACTGCCGAATGTTTTGCGGTTTAAAAAGCGTGTTCGCTTGTGAGACAATATGAAAAGCATCAACTTTGTCAATCAAAATCAGAAAAGACTCACCTTTCACTGCATGGCGAGCGATAACGACTAGGGAATTCTTTTATGGTAGGGGACAGCTTGGCGTTGCTGATGTCTGGGGCTGGCCCAGGGCTCTGACTCTGAAGTCTTCGAGCGACCCTGCGATTTTCCTCACATTGTTGCTGTTAACTAGCCTTTAACCGAGTCTTGTCTATCTTATGGCTGTAGAGCTCTGTCTTCGAGCGTACTGACGCGCATGACGCTGTACGATAAAACATGTAACCACGCCTGTCGTTCAGCCAGTGTCGGTAGTGCGAAAGCGCGTAGTCCCAACGAATCCGAGTACTACAGTAGTGTTACCGGTACCTTTAATTGCTTGGAAATCAAATGATTACTGCATCAGCCGTAGAGCTGCGGCGACTGGTAGCTGCCATGTGGAGCCTTGGGTTTGACTGTGCCTTGCCGTGTGGGAAGGACAGTCGAAGCGACTTTGTATTGCAGACACTGCTAAAACTGCAATACATTATTAATCCCCCTGGATTCGCATTTGAGGAGGGAGATACAAACTTATTTCTCTCCGCTTACGGTTTTCCAAGTATGCCGGCGCGATTGGCAGCTGCAGCAGCCACCACGGCAAAAGCAGCCAAAACACCGAAGGAAAGATTGCAACTGTTGCAACACGCTGCTAATTTTTTGAGCCAGGAGACAGGCATCACCTTAGATATACCTGTCCTTCTCCGGGCGGACGGAGCAGCAATTTCAGAGTTGCTCCGGCTCGCAGAACCGCTGGCTGCTGCAACGAAGGCCTCTTTAGAGACAGAGGCCAGTGGCGAGGCAAGCGAGAAGAGGGCTGAATGCTCTGAAAAGGGAGAGAAGGCTGAACAGTATAAAGGACTCGGGGAAGCCTTTGATGTACCAAATGAGCAGCATGCACGCAATAGGTTAGTTTACACAGCAGCATGCAGAGCGCCAAAACAGCAAAGCATACAACTGAATAAGATGAATCTCCCCATTCATTGTCCCCATAAAATAGCGTAGTGTATTTGGTGAGAAAGTTCATTTGATATTCAGTATTTTTCCCATGCTGACCGCTTATGGGCTGGTTACTGAGGATTTCCGAGGATTACCCTCACTTCGGCCTTTGTGATTACAGGTCTTCCGCTCACATCGAGGCAGCCAAGAAAGTGCAATCCAGTGTTGACATGGTCACCGCTTCTTTGCAGTGCTTTTATGGAGAACAGCAGGCTGCCGAAAGGATTGCAATGGCAGAATTTACACAGGCCGTGGTAACCCCAGACAAAGTGTCACGGGAAGCTTCGTCCCTTTGCGGCAGGGCCTTGCTAGAGCAGCACATACACGAAGCTCAGCATGCTGTTGTTGAGACGGAAAAAAACAATGAGGCACTCGCATGTCAAGTCCAGGAACTGAAACGGAAAATCCATGCTACTGAGAGAGATGAGGATAGGCTCACCAAACAGTTGCTGCTGTTGCGTCGCTCTCAAGGCTCCGGAGATACGTTAGAGGATGAAGAGCAGCAAGAGATGCAAGAGAAGCTCCGGCAATTGTATCTAGAGTACGCGCGCCGATCGGCTGTTTGCGACACACTAATGGCTTCAGTAGAAGATATTGCCAATCGTGCTGAGGCAGCAGCTGCGCAAAACCGGCGTCGCCTTCGAGAGGCAAGGCAGCGCTGGTTAGTTGATCAGGCTACTGCAGCTTCTGGTACCGAAGCGCAATCAAACGTAAGCTTGAGGGTCCATAGAACCTCAGCGCCTTGCCACGCCGGCTCAGTTTGGTTTTCTCCTGCTACAACGTTTTTGACGTTTACTTCACACTTCTCAAACTTTCAAGTTCCCGTTTGTACTCGTGGATTACCCTGTTTGTTTCTTGACCTGACGATATCTTCCCCTCTCTCTTTAGTCGCACGCACACTTACCTGACTTTGAAAGTACCACTAGCGATGTCCCGGCACTCCAGCGGGGCCCCTAGAAACCACAGTTCGTTGCTTTGAGCATGCGCACTTATGTCTCTCTGTTCGTGCGCAGTGTATCGACACCTTCTGCAGTGGAATGTCCGAAGACATAGGCATGACCCTGGCAACATCTGAGCATATGTGCACTGAAAGCAGCGAGCTTGACTAAGCCACCATATAGCAAGTCCCCTAAACAAGGGCTCGTAACGGAAGCACATGTATGCCAGAGTCTAGAAATCCACCTAGGCCTTCCTCGAACGCTTTATGCAGCGCGTTTTTGTTACTACAATGCACTGCAGTGCGGCTGTAGTCACTGAATGCCACAGATCTGCGGCTGCAAATCCCCTCTCGTACAGGCAAGCAACAAAGCGTGAGGTCCCCTAGGGTTATAAAACGGACTCACGCCGAACTGCGGCGAGTCGCTCACGACTGCTTTGCAATCCGTTTTAACGGCACAGCCCCTCCTGCCTGAGTATGCGGCCGCTTGCGGCTAGTGCTGCTGCGGACCTTTCTCTCTCCTGTATGCTTGGTCCTGCGCTGACCCTTGCCTTCTTCGGCATGGCTTCCTCCCCCGCTTGCCTCTTCGGCGGCGTCTACTCTAGTCGTGGCCATGCTGGGACTTTTGACATCCTCTGGATCAGGACGTTTGACTCTTTCAGAGTTGCTGTCTTCCATCCGCTTCTTCTTAGCTCGTGAGGCCGCTACAGCCCATGCTCGCCGCCTGGCCTTCAGATGTGCAGCTCTGTGAGATCCACAATAATCACAATGTTCAAGAGACAACCTAAATTCCAAGTCCAACAGCCACCCCAAAATTGCAGCGCTTAGCAGCTTTCAAGGTGACCAGTTATCGAATGTCTATTGCTACCACCTCGAAAGTGATGCCTAAAATAAAGACACAGTGAGCAATACCCACAAAGTGCTAAATATCTTTTGCTCTAAAAGACTGGATATCAGATGTCACTTATTCACCCTCTTTGGCTACTTGGTGTTTCAAGATGGAATCTGGGGGGTCTAATTTAGTTGCACGTTCATGTGCAAGCATTGAACTTCATTCGCTTGCCCCCCTCTTGGTACAGTGTCCTCCCCCAGCTGTTTTCTTATCCTACTCCACAGTGCCCGTTCGAAACCTCGGATGCATCGCTTTCGGGGAATGAATGCACTGCTCACAGAGGTGCTTGTCGCAGGCACCGTCATGAGTAACTTACTGCGTAATGGGCCTAATGGGCTTGCGAATCCTCCGAAAAGCCCCCTTGCCGTGAGGCTTGTAGGCCCCCCTGTATTTTTTCTGCCCTTTGACCCTCAAATTGCGGGTAAGCTTGGAGTTTAGGAAATCCGGAATTTTGCTGTTCGGACTCTTGCGCATGATCTGCACGATGGGCCTGAGTTTGGGTACGTCGTCCAAAGTAAAAAATGTTATTGCCTTGAAGGCAGGAAAGAACAGAGCACAATACAACACCACGAAGAGTGTGTTATTTAAGACTAGCAGAGTCGTGTGCATGCATGACTACATCCCGCAAGGACCCGAGGTAGCGAGAGATAGGCCTTTTATTCAGCCGCCGATAAATTTTACAGACGTAGATACTGCAGACGTGAGCATACCCGGTACCATTGTCACTGTAAGACAGCGGTTTGCGTAAGCAAAGAAACTACAAAGAAGTGCTTACTTTCCCCTGCTTGCCAGCCCTGCCCGTTCTGCCAATGCGGTGTATATACACAGATGTGGAGAGGGGCAAATCGAAGTTTATCACTAGGGCAACGCCCTTGAAGTCTACACCGCGCGCTACCAGATCAGTGCAAATCAAGAACCATATCTGCAGTTCCACAACAAACGCACAACTAGCAAAGATGAGTCAAAAATCGCGTCCACACCCCACGGTGCAGAGGGCAGAGACCTCCCCCAGGCTTTGTCCTGCCTCCTTACACGTTGGCATGGCGTCTAACGCCCATTTTAGCCAAGCAGGATTTTGATGTGGCACCAAGAAACGTAGTGAATGCACGGACGCACACTTCGATTTGCGGTGTAGTGCTGAGTGGCATATGCATAGACATATGTATTGCGCTAAACTCACTTTGCCTGTTCTAAAAGCATCAACTGTCGCATCCCTTTGCTGTTTACTTTTTGCTGCATGCAATAAGTCGACAGCCATGCCCTCACTAATCATCTCCCTCAGCAGTTCACTGGCCCTTTCTTGAGTCTGCATACCAAAACGCAGGCATCACAGCATTTGCATCGAGCACGATATGACACCAATCCGTGAGCCTTGCAGCCAACAAGCGTTCACATGGTTCCGTGAAGGAGGACAGTAGCGATGCCGCGTTGCCGAACTGTCGTGATCAAAAGTGCTTTTGCATCCTAAAGATTCCAGCACACCGATGATGTGCTGTGTTTCTTGATCCACAGATGTTTCCAGATAGCAATTAGATGTAGAAAGAGTATTCAGATTATTTGACACAATACGTGCAGTGGGAAGTTCTACCAGCGGCACAAGGCGCCCTAAGCGACTGTTCGCGGAGTAGGCTTTTCGCTCGAATACGTTGCGTGACGGCTGTGCGGCCTCAGAATGTACGGCAGCGTGTGCATGCGCATGCGCGTGGGGCTTCCGCGCTAGAAGGCTCAAGTGTTGACGCTAAACAGCCTCACCTCAACGAAAATCAGGCATGGCGGAATAAGACGCATCTCGATTCGGAGATTTTTTAGAGCCCACAGCTTGCCCGCTTCAGTGGAACAGAACACCAACTCTTGCTCGATCTGTGGAGCTGCGGCGCTGGCTCGTCCTGATAGCAAACGAAGCAGAAAAAGGCGAAAGCCGCCATCAATCAAGGCGGCAACGTACTGCAGCCTCGCGTCGTTGCCCACGCCACGTGCTTTCTCTACAAGCATATCAGCAGACCCTTAGATCCAACTGTCTGCCTTTTTTTGTCTGCGGGAAAATCCCTGAACACCACCAGCTCACCCACGGCCACGTGAACTGCCCCGTAAGCGATGGACTCAGCGAGAAGCACAACTGAGGGAGGCAAGGTGGCAGAGAAGAGACAAATGTGGAGCCGCTTGTTAGCCCTTGCTGCACCCTTCAGTTCCGATAAAATGGTGTCCACCTGGGGCGAGAATCTGAGAAGAAGCAAGAAACGCACTTGTGCTGTCGCGCGCATATGGGAGCTTGAGCACACACAAACATACACACATACACACACACATACATCAAGCACGCCTGTCCAGTTGCGCAGCTCGGCAGCAAGCCAGACGGAAAACACTTTTTTCGACAACGCACCCTGAGTCCAACAGCCGATCAGCCTCGTCAAGAACGAGGTGTTGGCAGTCCGACAGAGACAACTGCAGCAGCCACAACGCACCGCGACAACTACGGAGGTGCTTCAACCGCCCGTGAGGCCGCCAGTGTACTACGGCATACGAGCACCATTGCTGCCTCCATACAGGCGCAAATCTTGAGCAACAAAACACCCTTTAAACCCCCACTTCTACGATACGCTTAATAACACGTGCTCAAGTGCCTTGTTCGTCCGACTCGTCCCGGCCTTTCTACCGCCTGCCGCAGCAAAAACGCCACGCACCCGCTTTTTTTGAAGCAGTGTTAGCAACGAGAGGGGCGTAGCAAAGATGGCATCCGCTGTGCCGTATCGGCCCCCAGAATGCGTTTGAGGGAATGCAGCCTTAAAGCCGCTGCCCTCTGAGGAATCAACATGCGTCGTCAGCATCGTCACAAGCCCAAACGAGAAACGTCGCTTTGCAGCTCTAGAGAGGCAGCCAGTATCAAGTATGTATACAAAGAGAACGGCGCTTATCAGAGAGAGACCACAGGCGGCAACGCAGAGGCCCCCTGGTGAGGGACGTGCTGCAGCTTTTGCTCATGCTCTCTGTGCCCGCTCACCTGTCAGCTTTTCAAAAGTTCGAAGGCTCTGGCGTGCCAACTCGCGCGTCGGAGAAAGAACTACCAAACGGGAGAACTCTGCTCGAGGAGCCTGCATGCGAAGAGAGCCACACGTGTCAGTTTAGACTGCTCCGCGTGAGCATCTCCCACAGCACATACATGGTAGACAACAGATTACCTAGGAGTCGTTAGGCTTACACCGGAAGAGAAGGACTGCGTAAAGGAAGACGCTTAGCCAGCAATTAGCACCCATGGACACGAAAGAAGCCATGTAGCGCATGCATGGAGAAACACAAGGACGAATGCTCCACTAAATAACTGCCGCCGTTATTCACAAAAACAAGTATTGCAAGAGGGGGATTGAAGGGAACCCCTGGCGAGAAACCGGAAAGTTTTCTTATGATAGGGCGCATGCATGCGTCTGCATGCATTTGTAATGAGAGCATCTGCCAAAAATAAGGGCCGTCGAAATGCTATACCTTGAGGCATGCGATAAGAGGAAGCAAGAAGGCAAGCGTTTTGCCGCTCCCAGTGGGGGAGGACGCCAAGATGTGATACCCCTTCAGCAGCAGGGGAAGAGCCTACAAGATACAACCCCAACAAAAACAGCATCTTGATAGTAATGACACCGCTATTGCCTCGTCAGACTCATTGATGCTACGTCCATTCCATTGCTTTCGACAGCCCGGAACTGACAGCACATCATGCATGCCTCAAAAAGTGCTGCGGGGGTGACCAACGGCTTATCTCGCTGTGTGTTTTTCGATCATGGTGCAAGTAACAAAAGCCCTTTCACGGTCCCAGCTTCCCCTCGGGCGGGCAGACATACAAAGATGCTGCGCATCCCCTTGATACGTCCTTAAACTCCTCGAAATTTGAATCAACACTGCATACCTGCATCTGAATAGGCGTAGGCTCTTTGTAGCCAAGTGCCTCCAAGCGCGACACCAGCCAGGCCGGAAGCTTCCGAGGGGGCGCCGGGGAGTCCCCCCGGCCATGCGCAGCGTTGCATTCTTCATCTACTGCATCTGGATCATGATGAGGCAACTCGTCTGCAAAGGAACGAAAAGGCGGAGGGATATCCGTCAGGCCGCTCACGGATATCGAGTGCTGCTTCCGTATGCTCTCAGGAGTGCGTGAGGCTTCAGGGATTCCAGCGCCTTTCTTTTCCCTCTTCCTCGCAGGAGGCGCTTCGGAGCGCTGTTGCTGCTGTTGCTCTCGGCTTTGCCTCTTCTGCAGTACAGGGCACGCCAGAGATTCGCTGCATTTGTAGAGGGAAGCCCCCGTCGTGAGGAGGCCAAAGATGCTGTTCTGCACCATCAGCCCAAGCAGCCTTCGCAAAACCTCTTCTCCGGTTCCTGAAAGGCAAGCGCCGCCAAAGCAGTGAAGGGCAAAACTATTGTGCTCGACAACACCAGCGAAGGCGCGTTGTGACTCTGACGCATGACTTCTTCTGTGAAATTTTTCAAAGCACGCGCCGAATGACCTTCGATTTGAATATGTTTCCAAGGCGAAGCCATTATTTTACTGCAAATCGCCACCTGTCGCTAGGGGGCTCGTTCCCCACGCGGGGCTGTAGGACCCTCGAAAATACGTACCAGAGGCCCTTGACCGAGGGCCCCCCTCCCCCTGTGTGTGCTCCCGCTGCCTGGTTTAGGTGGCAAGACGCGCCAAAAAGATTAGAAACAGTCCAAAAAACTGTCTGTGTTGTATTTTGGGCTTCATCTGGATTTCTTCCACTAGAACAGGACTCTAGGGCGCACGGGGTGGTAATCTGGGTTACTGCACCACCCTAGGCTTTTGCCTCCTCTCCCTGCAGTCTTCCGAATACAGGGGGCCTCCCTCCTTGCGTCGTTCCTTCCCACACCTAGCCTTTGAATCCGCCTCGTTCCCAAGGAGCAACGGTGAGGCCATACCCCCCTCCCCCCCTAGATCCGACATGAGTTTCGTTGGACTCAGCGGGTTCGACGTCCCAGGGAACGCGCCGTATGGTCAAGGGGCCCCTGTGCAAGGGGCCTCAGGCGCCTCGGGAGCTCCAGGTGAACTGCGAGGAGGAGTGGCAGACTTCTTTGGGGGGGGAGCAGCCCCTGGCTTCGGCGGAGGCAAGTCACTCTCCCTCCCCGCGTGTGTGGACGCTCCAGATCCTTCGAGAACTTCCTTACGGTTGGGGCAGTTCTATGCCACATAAGCAGCATTGCCTGTCGCTGCGATTGCTGCAGAGGATTACTTTGGAGGGGGCGGCTTCCTACAAACCGGAAACTTTCTCACGCAAGCGCAACAGCCGTCAGGGCCCCAGCTGTCGCTAATCCCGGTGAAAATTGGTGAGTCCTATTGTGCACTTCAAAATGTGAGACTCCGCGCAGGGGTTTCAGAATATACCCTTAGGGAGAAGCGGAGCCAGAGAGGCACGAGGAGAGCCTAAAAAAAACATCGGTTTCGGGGCACACGCTTTTGGTGTGTGTGTGGAATGACAGTGGCGCACAGCCGTTTGCTTCTGTTCTTCTGGATCTTGATGCGACGTGCGATTTTTTCTTCGCGCTGTGCTACACTTTGCGATGAGCACATTCTTCGGACTGCAGCGGATGAAGGTGAGGGGAACTTGTCCGGCTTCTTTGTGTGATGCAGCTCATGTGTTCAAAGCATGGATGCAGGACGCCAGCTCGCTGCAGATATCGCTCTTCCCCTCGGGCCCTCTCCTGCACCTTGTGAAGCTCGTGGGAGTCCTCAACGTCCCACCGAGGGGTGAGTCGGGTGTTTTTGTAGTGAAAAAAACGATCTGTTTTGAGAAGCATGCTCCTGTAGAGACTTCGACAAAACTATTTGCGCTAGACAGGAGGGTCTGCATGCCCCTGTGTACGTTCATCACGTAAAGAACATGCTACAGGACTCTGCTTCCAAGACTGATGTGGACTACGGCAGAATAGCGAGCTGCACGTGCACACCTCGGTGCTTGGACTCGCGTCGTATCGTGTATCCTGCGTATGGCTTCCTTGCAGAGGCCCTCGAGGCGGCCCTGCAAACTGCCCGGCTTCAGTTCAGTCTTGACGATTTCACAGGAAGGATTGAATGCGAGTACACTGTTGGCGACGAATTGACTGAGTTCCGTCAGAATCAAATCCTTGTGCGTTGTTGCTCGTCGATTCTCTGTCAGCTTCTGTGCTTTCTTTTGATTTCTTTGGATTTCTAGGGATACCTTTGCTTGCTGTCCAGTGTCCCCTAAGCCTGTATTTGCTGCTAGTGCCACTGCGCGATCATGGAGCGGCTTAGCGCTGGGCTCTCTTTGTGAATATGCATGATGCGTAATGCTCCTAACCTGCGGCTACTCGTGGCACAGTGTACAGATACCGTTTTCCTCTGGACTTGCCGCAGGATGCGTTGTGTTGCGGGGGGCTGGTAACTGCTTTTGGATCCATTAATCTGTTGGGCAAGAGCGAGCCTTCTCTGCGAGTACACGCTATTCGGCAGACACAATCTGCAGGTGAGATTGCACATCTGTGTGACAGCGCACACGATTGGTTCGGGGGCAGGGCAGGCAGCACAAGCCCCACGCCGTCAAAGCGTCTGGTAAATCATGTCGCCGTTCGTAATGCTGCAGCGGATCTCATTTATCATGAATCTGCATGCCAAGCCTCTTACCTCCGCCTCAAGCACCCCAGTGAAGACCCTGAAGGCGCTGCTGCGGCTGCTGGCCAGCAGCCGCAGCAGCCGCCGATGCTGCAGCAACACCTCCAGCAGCCGTTCGGTGCTCCTCAGGTGCGCTATTCTATTCGTTCTTATGACACGTCTGTGCTCGTGAGGCTCACCTCGAGCGTGGCTCACGGCTGTGCATTAGGCCTACTCTGTACGTTTCGTTTGTGTCCACAGCGCCTTCAGGGGGCACTACAGTCTGGTCAAGGAGCTGTGCCGTTTGGCTGAGGCCCACAGGCATTCAGGAGTTCAGGTTTTCCGGCGCACACACAAGTCTTCTTCCTCTTCTACTGTGTAAGCTGGTCTGTCCCACATCCGTCAATATGATGGCTAACATTGTACCGTCCTACAACCATGCCTAGACGCCCAGTTACATATGTATTGCATATTACATGCGCGGTCGCATTCGAAAACCTTTACAACCAGGTATATTTGCCTATTGAACTCGAATACTAAGGCACTTTCCCCTAACGGAAACAAGGGCTTGCTCCTCGAGCAAGCTGGCCCGCTTGTTCTTCGCCGATTAAACGAAGAACAGCAATACAGGCAATTGCAGAATAATCTGGTGCTTTCTGCAAAGCACCCAGCTGTGTTAGTGTCTAGCTGTAGCAGCATTGCCGCAAAGAAGCAGTTCTGCTGTCCTTTCGACGCTTATTTATGGGGTTCTAAGCAGACTCGGCTCAACGTTTGCACTGCTTCCCACCCGTTACTACGACAAGGTCCACCGATAGAAAGAATACGTTGCCTTCCTATTTGCTGCAACCTGTCAGTGCTCTCCTTCCCTATATCATACCGGTAAAGCCCTCATATGCTGAAGCACTCCCCTTGTAGATAATCTGTCAGTCTCTTTTCATCTTCCCTTCGATCAGTGCTTTAATACAGACAGGATTCATCCAGCAGACTGTTGAGGTACATGTTGCTAGCTTCGTCACCAAATCTCTGCAAAACTTCGCAAAACTCCCAGTATATCAGCCCTGCCTTGTTTTGAAGCCATGGTCGGCAGCCGACTTATGGGAAAACGGCGACGCATGTGCAGTCGTCGGTCGTGAACAAAATCTCAGAACAGTACCACACAAGACCTATACGACAAGAAAGACGCACGAAAGAAGGGAAGATGTAATCGACACTCTTAAAGAAAATATGAAGCAAGCGTAATAAATAAAGCGAGAACAATAGAAGAGTAGAAGAATTTAAACTGCGAGATACTGTGCAGAGAAACTAGGGGGCAGAAAACGCACTGCAGGCTGACCCAAAAGTCCACGGGGGGCTCCAGCCACTTTGATGTAATTAAGAACACAAGCAAGCAGAAATTCTAGTGAGGAGCTAGATATGCAAAATTTATCCGCTGAGATGAACCCCCACACAGCAGACGGGACAAGGCACATGGCTTGCTTCAAAACAGCAACCACAGTGGCTTATGTCGGTTGAGATGGACCCCTAACGTTGGGAACGGATTGAAGAGGGGCAATTGATAACTAATTGCTTGATTGCCGTGAAAACAAACGCAGCAAGGGTAGCTTGGTTCGTTCACAACTTGAAAGAGTTTCTCAGCCTCTATTGCTCAAAACGGCTCACGATTTGCAATTTCTAACTCCAGTCTGTCTTCATTTGCCGGAAAGCAAATTCTTAACTGCAAAGAGCACAAGTACGAATTACCATCGTCTTGTATTTCTGTTATCGTAGCATCCACTGAAAAAGGACCAACTATTACGACCGTCAGAAAGCCCTCCAGGTGTATTCACGAAAGAATGATATGGAGAACGGAAATACACACAACAGGGAATTACTTTACGTGTCTTCCCTTACCAGAAGAATGTGGCCCTACCAGTGTTTGACATCAAAACCCATAACAAGTTTAAAATGTCATCTGCTTGTGCTGCTTCATGAACTAGTCACGCAAGCTTCACAATAGTCTACCTTTGAGCGCCTAGCTAGCTAGCGGATTGCAGCAGTCAAAAGCGGGATGTTTTGAATTAATCTTTAGTATGATTTAGGTAAGGGCCTCCTCAGTATCTGTGTGGCGGTCATCTAAGTACTTCGCTTTTGCCATGCACCAAAGCCGTGGGTTGAGTCAGCAAGCAAGAACACAAAACTGCACTGTGCGCAAAGAAACTCACACCGCGATGAGCACCAAGAAACAGTCGCAGATTTTCTAGGCAAGCATGATTCGAGGGAATAACCTCATTCTCCAAAACGTTTTTATCTTTGATACGTGAATTAACCGGTCAGCACCTTCACTTACATAGAGGCGTGCTCAGTTGAAAATACGTAGATTGTATCGTTAATGCTCAGTGAATGAAATGTTTAGGGTGGTGGAGCTGCATTCCCACCCAACACGAAAGTCCTGTCTTCAACGCGTGCCCAATCGAGCAAAAATTAGAAAGATTTGCGACGATGCTGCTCTACACGTGCAAAAAGGAATGGGAGAAACCCCTTTCCTCTCAATTAGCGTGCATGGGAACGGAAGAGCGTCAAGAACGTACCAGACAAGCAGCAGCCATCGTCCTGAGCAGTAACAAGATGCATTTTCTTTGTACAGCCATAAAAGCAGCGGTACGATGAGGTAGTATGTGATTTCTATTACAAGGTGTGCGCGGCAACTTCATCGGATTGTCAAGTTCTTTGTAGTTTTGTTGTCATGCAGGGTCAGAATGGGTCTAACTTTTATTTATTGTGCTCAAGTTATATAGAGCCCCCGAAACGACAACAGTTATACCAGAACAGGGGAATTAGCATGTGCTACAAAAGGGAGAATGAACACTTGAAGAGCACAGTCATTTGTACAGGGGGGGACAGAAAAGAGAATCATGGGGACACTATAATGCGCCCGCCACTCTGGCTATTCCGCAAGAGTTTAGTCACTTTCAGGTAACAAATACTGAGATGGGCCAACGGCAAAACGAGCGAGGACAAGTGCGTGAGCCTTCCTTGCTTTTTAGTCTTCTGTACACTAAGCAGGAAACATGGAAAAAGGGGGGGCCGCACGCGGATTTCGATTGGCTGCTTTCGTTTGGCATTCTTTCAGTCCTCAGTGGCATCAAAGTCATGCATTGCAAATGTGTAGATGAACCTTAGAAGTCAGGAGGTGTCAGAGACTGTCAAATTATCCTAAGCAAAATGCAAGATACACGAAACTAAATACGCAGTAACAGCCAGAAGCGAACAAAAGCAAGACAGACAGCAGGAGGCAATACAACCAGAAGTCCCAGATAGAGAAAACGCGCATAGTGGAGTTGTGCTTAATTTAAGTGAATCATGCTTTACTTATTAAGGCAACACCGCGGCACATGCAATGCAGGAAGCAGACTTATAAAGAAGGGGGGTAAAAACCTTACTACTGGCGGGTTTTTCCTTACAGCTATATCTCGATTTGATTCATAGATCTGTTGTTTCATTTTAAAGCCTTCAATGCACTTCGCTACCGTTGTTTGCATATCTTTTGTAGAGTTGGACACCGCGCTGTGCGCCGCAGCAGCAATAATGCCCTATGCGTGGATGAGAGTGTGTAAAATGATACTTAAGAGGACGACAATAGGAATCTCAAGGTTAAAGATTATGTCACAAAGTCCCATCCATTCTTTGTACCAGAAAAATTCTTACTAGCTACTCCTTGTGAATGGGTGGAATGAAATCACATACTCCATTAAGAAAGTTGATAGCTACCAGAATGTCTCTATTAAAGCAGCTGTCAATGCTTTTTCCTTTACAGCCTCATTAAGCCCCTTTTCGCTATTGCTTGCCTACGTCTAGTGAAGGTACATCTATTTCGTGCCTGTGTTTGGTGTGACATGCTGAAGAGTAGCCCATCTAACAGTACATTACTAGCTTCTGGTAGCAGAATAGCAAAGCTCATCGAGAGGTCAGAGTCAATCGCTTCATTTTGCTATGAATTTAAAAAGTGGTAACGCAGCGCTCAGTGGATGTCGATTCTGGCGTATGAGCGCCTCAAGATGTTTTCGCTATTGTCTTACGTGCAAAGCAAAGAGAAACCGAGGTGGCACAGAGGAGAGGGAAAACACGATATGAGGATGGTAAGGTAAAAGCAGAGAGAGGGAGCAGGCGATAGAGAGAGAGGAAGGGGAGCGACATACAGAATTGACAGAAAAGGTCATGTATTTTCTTTTCCTCTCTTCACACAGCCAGAAGTAATGCGTGCAAACCCTCAGAGGATGGGCTGAAGGCGAAAAATAAAGGTAGTTTTTCGTTCTTGTCTCCACCGCCCTCAGGAAAGAACAAAAAGTAGGGACATTAGTGCATGCAGACGTTCACCAGTGGTCACTACTATGTGGTTATTTCGAAGGGCGGCATTAGAGCATGTAGTAAGTAGCCTTTGGAGACCCTCTCCATGTATGGATCCCATGCGCCGCTTACGCTTCGAAATCCCTAATTGTTGAAGCCACTGGGTTTGGCTGCACTTGAAATTTGGAAAGGTGTACAGCGCGTATGGGTTGTAGGACTATTGTTGGCACATTACTACGCAAAACGAATTATGATATGCGAGTCTACTCCTGCTCTTTCTTGCCTATTTTTCTTTTGCTTTCGATGCCTGTCTTATCGGCAACAGTTATGCAGATGCATTTTTGTGTGCAGCTGCGCAGATATACGCGTTGCTCTTTTGAGGTACGCACACCTATATGCACTCAACTGTAAGTTGACCATCGTATGCACTTGCAGCTAATAATACAAAAAGCAGATCTGTGCCTCAGCCATTTAAACTTAGAACTAATATCTGTGTACTGGTGTACGCATATGTATACCCAGATGCACACATGCACGGTGGATGCCGGCGTGTAGACACCGCTTGACATGTGCGTGCAAATGTGCAAATGGATCTATGTTTCTACTTATGCAGCTGTGCAGGTATCCGTTTATTCTTTTTTCTGCTCCTCGCGTTCTTCGGCTTCTTCGTAAGGTCTTGCTGGTGCACGTGGTCGCCGACAGCCTCGAGACACTGCATGCACCAAACAAAGCCAAAGGCTCTACCTGCTCTAACTGACGCGCACCGCTGTACGGTACGATGAATCATATGGATCCTGTCAGAAAGGAAGTGCCTTCCCTTCTTCCTCGAAATGCTGAAACCTTGACCACTCGTCCAGAACGTTAAGCCCTAAAACACAAACAGTGACTTGCCCGTTTCTCATCGTCCTCGATTACGTGCTTCAACGCAATCTCGGTATGAAGTTTGTCACGCAGTTCCTGCGCCGCAAACCTTAAGAACACATGCATAAAACCTCATCCTCGGCGGAACTGGTGCTAAGCTGTAAATGCAATTACCCTCGCAAGCAGCAAAAGGCCCCACAGAAGGCCCTTTTGTGCTCGCACCTTGTAAGTCATTATGTCCACATTTACTGGCTTAGAACGTGTAATAATAAAGGGCTGAGAATGTGTCGTAATAAAGGTGCAACTCCCTTAGATGGCTTTGGGGTTGCTCTCTATGCTTTAGAGCTTTTAATACCTGGATAAAATTCGTAAGTTTGGCCTCGTCCTGATAGAGATCTTGTGCCGCCTTACACACACACTCACTGAGCGGGAACCCTAGGTGGCGATCCCAATATTCTGAGCCCCAGTCTGCTCAATCCTAGGTCTTAAACATCGTGCCTTCGTGCCGGTTGTCTGTGTATGTGGACTAAAATCTGTGAGGTTCAGAGTGTCTAGTACTTGTATCTTGGTAGCGTAGCTCATGCAAAGACGCTCATCTCTGGCAATTCTTTTCCGAAGCCCCAGACGATCCAGGGCTACCACGTTGGGTGGTAGACAGCCGGCTGCAAAGCCTTTGGCTGGTGCTGCTACCGCTGCCGTTGGTGGTGGAGCTAATACTGCAGCAGCGCGAGGCTGTCGCAATTGAGAATTGCTGCCCAGTCGCGTACGAGAAAGGAGCGTAGAGGAATCTGCAGGCCTCCCTGCTTTCAGAGAACTCAAAGGGATCTCCACATCCCCCATCTTTTGGGGCCTACTTATGGGCAATGCAAAGGCGCCGTGCCCTCTAAGAGTATTGTCGCCAGGAATGTCGGCTTGCGGTGCGCACCATCCATGGGCTGTACGCGCAAGGCTTATAAAGAACTCTTCGTCAGAAACTGAGGCTAGTGGATTCCTGAAGGCAACGTATCTGAAGTCTAGGGGCCGTCTTTGGGCTGCCCTTTCTTCAACAGGGGTGCGGTCCTGGAAGCCCCCCTCAGTCGATGCCCAAGGATCACGAAGGCCGCACTGTGACCCTCGAGAAACACTAAGATCACAGACACTCGCCGATGTCTGAAGGGACTTAATGATGGCCTCACGGTCCGACGGCTGGGCTACGCCACATGCACACAGAAGAGGCGGTGAACGAAGAGTTCTAGAGGTGCCTCTTCATCCGTTCTGGCATTTCTGCTTCTGTGTGTCTGTGCTTCACTGGTCCGCATTTGCCACCATACAGCAATCAGGCTACATCGTGTCCACGTTCAGCCTCTTGGCACATCTCTATCATTCTGAGTGCTTCATTTCTCGTCACCTTTCGGCTGTTAACCCTTGACTCAATCCCTCTGGCCCTCTGTATTTGCCCATTTCTGCCTATTTCTCCTACCCTAAAGCAGGCGCCCTAATCCTTATTTTGGTTTTGCCTCTGCATGAAACTGATCTCTAGAGTGAACTATGTCATTTCCTCCTGGGGTTGATCTTCGGGCCTCTAGGACCCCTGCTGCCTTTCCCCCTGCCTGCCTTTCTACGCTTGCCTCCCTAGTTGTGCACTCAGATGGCAGCACTTCCTTCAGCAGCAACATCAGCAATAGCAAGAGGAGCCAAGTATCTGACCCGGTGCTGTATGCGCAATGAGATAAAGTACATCAGGATGAAGCCCGATTGCTACTTGCAGTGCGTCCCTCAGGCTGCCCTGGCCACGTGCCTTGTTGCTGGGGGCTCCCACGGTGCTGCACCTGCTTGCCTTCAACCCAGCAACGAAATCTACTGTCTGCTTGTACACCGTGTCTGTCAGAACAGGGGGCCACGTACCAGGAAACTGGTGTAGCTGAGGGAAAACAAAAGGACAAGCTACATCTGTTTGTGAATTTTATTGCTTAAGAGGTTGGAGTTGCCAGGTAGACAGGGGGAGGCTTTAAGCAGATGTTTTTATACTTTTCGGTGTAACCGTAGCATATGCATAGACGCATCCGTAAGTATACTTGGAACTATCCAAGTGTATGTGTGTGTGCATGCTCAAGTGTAGGCAGATTTGAAAGGCGGAATGAGTCCTAAGGGCTGAGGCCTTGCTGTGTAGAGGTAACGTAGCAGAAGAGAGCAGCCTCATTTTCTTGCGTAAAACACGTAGAAACAGGAAGAAAATGACAAGATAAGGTGATATAGCGGAATGGGTGGATACTAGCAGTGCCAGGGATGCAGACATGTATAGCAGACGACACAATGAGACTGAGAATGAGGGAGAGCAACATGCACATTCAGAGAATACCAGGCAGTCACAGGCGAGATGACAGCATACAAGCAAAGAATGTTACATGGAAATGTAGATAGAGAAACGCAAATAGATGCCCCCGCTTCAAGCGCCTCCAGTCAGCGGCGTCGCTAGGCACTCCTCCCCCTGTGTCGTGCTACCCCGCTTTCCTTATACAACACACAGAGTAATAAACTAGAGCTTTGGATAAGCTGAGGGTACGAAAGAAACCAGTGGCTGTTTTACTTCCTCTTGGAGGCAGTAGTGTACACATTTTCCTCCTTTTCCCCACACAACGCAATCCTCACCTTCCTTCCATCATACGCCAGCAACACAGCCCTTGCATGTTCCTTTGAATACAAATGGTGTAGTAACTTTTCCAATTCCCATTTAATCTCCCCCAAGTACCTCCTAACAGCAGCAGAGGTCTCCACACAAATTGCGAAACAGCGCCGATGCACAGAGGGCCCCCCTACTATCGCATACGTAAGGGGGAGAACCCTTAAGGAGTCCACACGGGGACTGGCAGAATGCTTGACGCGTCGCTCGCCTCCTGCGGTGTCTTCAGATGCCAGCTCTGCTGCTGTTGATGTAGCTGCTGTTGCGGGTCTTAGGGCAGCTGCAGCTGGAATTTCTGAAGATGGTAGTGCGTTTGCTGGAGCTGGTCCTTCGGACACTCCTGCTGCTCTCGTGGTGGATAGCAGCTGACTGGAGAAATACCCTGGTGCAGTTTGCTGGTGTGGATAGGCCTTAGCTCTCTGCTCTTGTTGCTTCCCGTCTACCCTCCGCTGTGGCACTACCACCAGTTGAAACTGCTGCCGCGGAGTACCCTGGTGCCGCGACTGCTGTTGAAGGCCTTCTCCGAAGGCCGTTAGTAAGGCAGGCAACTCGAGTGCCTGAAGCCTTTGCCCAATAGACGCCTTGAGGGTCTCCAGTGCTCCTGGGAGAGCTTTAAGTGCTTGCAGCTTCTTGCTTAATTTAGCTTTTGCTGCTCTTGCGGCAGCCAGGTCACCAAGGAGATTCCATTTGTGGCGCTCTACCTCCTTGCCCTCTTTGCAAAGGAAAACGCGGGCACGCAGTAGTTCGGAACCTTTTGTTGCCACTGAGGTGGCTGCCGCTGGCGCAGGTGCTGTTGCTGACTGCGACTCTGCTGCTCGCACAGCTGTTTTCTTCTTGGAGGGTGGAGAGAGAGGCCCTGGCCGTACAGCTCTAGTACTACGGGAGGCATCTGCCGCTGCACAACCGTCCACAGGAGCCCTCAAGCTCGGAAGGACTCCAGGAACTCCCCAAGTCAGGACGCCTATCCCGGATCTCGCCGAGAGAGGAGATCTCCAGCTGCTCTGCTCCCACGGGCTGCCCCCCTCTGACACCAGGGGAGGCAGTAGCAAGCGCGGTAAAAGCAGCTTTGGAGCAGGCGGTGCGGGAACTGCTCCAGCAGGAGCAGAAGTAACAGCAGGTACGTCGGCGCTTTCCTGCGCCACCACTGCACTCGGAGAACCATCGAGTCCTGATGGTGCTGCACTCTTGACGGTAGGATGCTGAACCTTGCTCTCACTCTGCCTCAGCCCATCCCCGCCGCTGCTGCTGCTCCTCCTCCGTGACACAAGCCGCATAGGCTGTGCTTTTTTCGTCTGCAGAATGGAGGATTTACCTTCGACGCGCATTTCAAGAGGTGACCCCCCAGGGGGCCCTTGGTGGTTTTGCTTGGTGCCAGAATTGAAGGTCCCCAAGCGCTCCTTGCCGCGCTGTTGCACGTGCCCCCTGGAACCAAGTTCGCTAGATCCGCCACCTGCTATGGGTGCTCTCCTTTGGTGAAGCCCCTCACTCGACGTTCCGTGAGTTCGGAAGCCTCGCGAGAGGCCCACTGAATTTGCCGCCGGCGCTGGCGTCCCTCTACAGGGACCCATAGGCTCAGCTAAGAGCCGGTGCACCTTGTAGGACGCATAAAATGAGACAAGGGAGGCCAGGCGGGTGTCTTTTAGGACAGAATAAGGGAGTGAGGCCGTTCCAGACAAATCAAGCGAGCTCAGCACATCCTCAGTGTCCCTTGGCCCCTTTTTTACCCCGGTGGAAGCCCGAGACACCGTACGCGGAGCCTGCCGCGTCCTCCCAGGCGCGGCGTGTGTAGTGGCCTTCACAGTCCTCGGCAGACTGCGAGCTGAGGGGGATGCCTTGGATGACCCCTTTGTTGCGTCCATTAACAGCTGCACGCGACCTGCGAAGCAGGCACACGAGCCTTCGACTCTAATCGCTATGCCTTCAGTCCATAATTACACCGAGTACTAAGAGCTAAACGTTCCACTCTATGTCGTATGCATGCGTACTTTTCGTATCCGCATTCAGGAAGTATATATTGTTGGGGCGGAAAGAAGGGGGCATCCGGGGGCTTCCTGGATCCCCCTTCCGCTTGTCTTTGGTGCCCATGGGCCCTGCCATTGACAAACGACCCCCTGGTGAGCAGTAGACCTAACAGACCTCGTTCTAACAGTTCAAATGTAGACACAGCAGTGCAGGTGTATCAGCATACGTGGACATGCGTGAAGCTACGGATCGACGCACACACAAAGCGCGACAATTCCTATACGGCCTTCGCCGTCTGCAAGACAAGGCTAAAGGGGCTCTTCTGCCTATCTGGGGGACCCCCATCCGGCCCGAAGGGCCGGCCCTCATGCTGAAAGGTATCTCCGTGGCGTGCACGGTTGGCGGGAGCAATGCTGAATCCTCCCTCCCTGCGGGAGACCGTGTGATCGTCAAGAGCGAAGTAAGCCCAAGACATGGATTATATGTGACGCAACTATCCTGCCCCCCTATAAAAAGGAAGGGAACACTCGTTAAGCGTTTCAACTCCAGGGATTTGTCCCGCAGAATTACACAAGGGCGATGTATAGTGGCGGACTACCATTCCAGGGGGACGAGGACAGAGAGGGACACGCAGAGAGTGGTTGCTGCAGAGAGACAGAGGAGGCAGGGTAAAGCTGTTTAGGACATGGAGGAAAGCTACGAATAATTCAGACAGATTTAATCCGGAGAAGGGCGAAAAGGAAGGCTCCCAAGTGAGGGGTCTCCCCACGTGATTCCTTTCTTGCCACCCCTTCTCCGGAACATGGCCGCCTCACTTCACGCTCCTTTCGATACTTCCTTTGATATCGCAACCAAAAGAAACAATGAAAGCACTGAATATGTGTGGCCCAACGTGCGAGGCAGTGGTGACCTCCCCCTGCCTACATCTACGGCAGCGCCTATGCAACCAGTGCCTCTGAGGGTATCCCTTCCCTAGGTTGGAGGCGGCTACTCGTAGCAATGACCAATTGTATTGTTTCTGCCAAAAAAGGCAATAGTTTATTGGCCCATTTCGAGAAGTTTCGCGTAAAGAAGCAGTAACTCTACATGGGAAGTGTTGAGTCAATGCCACACACAGTGACCAACGTGTCGCATCCATAGTGTATCCCGCCATTCTTGTGCATTGGACAACACAGTGGATACAATGCAGAATGAACAGTAGCCTGCATATTATTAGCGGCATCCACAACCAGCCCGAATTTCCGGCAAAACTCTGCCTTCAGACAACAAGACGTCAAAAGTTGAGCACAATTGTCTTAGACGGGGTACACGCTAACGACACTACAAGTAGAACCCGTGAAGCACATCGCGCTGAGGGTCGTTACACAGTCAGGATATTCAGGGATTAGCCCCTGTGGGGCGTAACATCGAAATTCGACAGATGCGTTTGTAAGGATGCACGTATAACATTCTCACCACGAATGCAAATGACCATACTCTTTTTAGAACAGCAATGGAGAATCTGATTCACTAATTCCCTACAAGCCCACATCTGACTAGAAGCATACTCTAGTGAACTAGACTCAACTGCTTGTTCTTCCTTTAAACATTCGTTTGCGGGGGCTTGTTGGCAGCAACGGTTCCTCCACTAACCTCGCTCTCTCACCAACCGCCCTCCCCAAAAAACAAACCCAAGCCCCCAAACCTTTTCTGAGTTCGCCGCTGAAACTTCAGACTCAAGGACACCCCAGAGATTCTCAACAGATACTGCTGCCACTGCTTACGTAGTGCTAGCTGAAACACAGCAGCGACTCGGCAGCGAAGGGATGCGGCGATCAGGAAGGGGCACCGCCACATTACTTAATACGTTTTAGCCGACATGCAGGCATTCATCTGAGGTGGCAGCCGATAAGCACTTTTAACGTGGCCCCTACACGCTAGGCCCCCTCATGAAGGACGCTCCCCCTGCCGCCTAGCAGCGCAGTAAGAAGTTAGTGCAAGCATGTCACAGAAGACACCAGTGGAAGAACATGTAATGAGGGGAGAAGGACGCTGGCTCTCCCTCTGCACTGTAATGTACCTTTTCGCCTGCGCGTCCCTTCCCCTAGCGCGACCTTGCTCTTTCCGTATTCTCTCGCATAATCCCATACACACAGCTAGCCTGACAACCGCGCAATGCCGTGTCGAGCCAGTTCTTTTTCTTGCTGGCTAGCCAGTCCTCCAGGTCCCCAATCTCCTCAACATTTTCATAGGGAGGAGAAGCCAGTTAAACAAGCCCTGAAGGCTCTCTCTCTGCCCGAGGCTTCTGCCCCTCACAACGCACCACCTTACCACCGCCATGGCCCTCAGAGGCATCAATAGCCACAGGAGCGCATGACGCATTTCCCCTCTTTCAACATCCCACACACACAGCAGACAGCGGAGGAAGTCTATCCTTCCACCCGCCTCGTTACATCCAGCCTCACCAACGGCTGGCTGCTCGCTTTCTCAAGCACAGAGAAAAAGCCGCTACTCGTGCTGCTGTTTGTCCTGCGATCCCCTCGCCTGTTGCGACGCTCCAGATCTCCCTACCGCCAACCCTGCACGCAGAAAGCAACAACAGCAGTTGACCAGACGAAGAAAGCAGAAGACGTTAAACTGCTGCCGACAAAGCTGCCGCAGGAGCAGCAAATGGTGGCAGCAACAAAGAGCAGCACCGCAGCGGCATCTTCCCTTGAAAAGGGCCCACACACGCAGCACCCCCCGGAGCAAAAGGCACCCACACTACCATGGCAACTCACCCCCGGAGTTCTCCGCAGCAAATCTCCCTGTGGCTGTATCGTCACCAGGAGTCCATAACGAATGCAGAGCAGCTGCCGTAGCACTCATGCGGCTAGTACTCCTTGCGGCTGCTTGTGCTGCTGCTTGTTCTGCTTCTGAGCCCCTCCCCCCCCCCATTGGGTAGGCGAAGCCAGGGGGCGGAGGGGGTACTAAGCCAGCAAAGCAGTGGTCCGTGGCTACAGCAGCTGCTGCTGCTGCAGTGCTGCTGCTGCTGCTGCTGCTGCGCGCGAAATCCCTGGTGAGGAAGGCTGCTACCGTTGCAGCTGCTGCGTCATTTTGAGCCAAGACGGCAAGGCTTTCACCCGCGTCAGTGCCCAACGTCCAAATACCAGGCGGCGCAGAGGCGAAGCTGCTCGCTGCAGCCGCTGCATCGCTCCTGCGGGAGGGGCCTGGCAGATGGTGGTGCTGCTGTTGAGGCTGATGCTGCACTGCCATCTCCTCCATGAGCCAGCAAGACAGCGGCTGCTGCTGCTGGCCTGTGTCTTCTCCTAGCAGCAGAGCGTCGATTTCGCCCGGTTCTACCGCTGCAACTGCCTTCGGCGTGCTGCTCAGCATGCAGCTCTCCTCGGTGGAACGAGGCGAAGGAATGCTACAAAAGAAGAGCGAGTCGTCCCGCTGCCGCTGCTCGCAGTCCTCCTGCTGCTGCGTAGGCGTGTCTCTGGAGAAAGAGAAGGGCAGCCAGCTGCCATTATCCCTGCTGCTGAAGTCAGCAAGCAACGCTGCAGCAAGCAGCTCCTGTGCAGGCCTCATGCCATCGCCACTGTCTCTATCGGCAGCGCCCGGTGCTGCTGCTGCAGTGCCCCAAAATGAAACCTGCTGCTGCTGCTGCTGCTGCTGTTGCTGCAGTGTCTGCTGTTGCTGATGTTGCTGCAGCGTCTGCTGTTGCTGATGTTGCTGCAGTGTCTGCAGTGTTTGCGGTCCTGCAGGAGCGACGGCTACCTCGGCGCGGGGAAATTTTCTGCCACTGCCGCTGCCAATAGTTCCGCTGCCTCGCGCCACAGTCCTTGAGGAGGTTTCGCACGGCAGAGACGAAGAGTGCTGCATCCCCATGCTGCTGCTGTTCGAGCTGCCGCTGCTTCCCATGCTGCTAGTTGCTCGCAGCGGACTGACAGGAGAGCCGACCGGAGATCGGCCTGCTGCTGCCGGCCGTGTAATCGGTGCAACTGTGCTCACTGGTAGCAGCAACTGCTGGCTGTTGTTGCGGCTGTACAGGCTGCTGCCTGTCGGGGAAGCCTTGTCTTTGCTGCGGCTACTGCGCGCACCCACGAAGAGCAGCTGGTTGGATGTCTGGACAGACCACGACGTTCGTGCGCTGGAGGCGCGCCCTTCTGCAGCTTCGCCTTGCCGTAAAGGCGAGGCAGCTCGACCGCTACTGCCTCGAGAAAAAGCAGCCGCAGAGGGGCCTCCTTGCAACGGCTGCGGCTGCTTGAGAGGACTGCGCGAAGCTGCACTCCCGCCTTGCGCAGACGCGATCGCACAAAGCAACCCCTCTTTTCCCTTGAGCCCCCCCACTACTCTGCTGCTGCTGCTGCCGGTTGGAATCAGCGTCGTAGCCGTAGCGCAATTATCGGGTTTGCAAGCATGCGGCGGTTGCTGCTGCTGCTGCTGGTCGGCAGAGCAGATTCCACCAGATAGTCCCCCTCCTGCTTTGCCTGCTGGATGCGAAATCGCTGCACCCCCAGAAACGAGGAATTCAGCTACCAGCCGCTTTGGAAAGCGCACAAATCCCTGTCTACCTGAACTGCCCTTCACATGCTTCCAGCCGAGTCGCTGCAGCATGCTGCTGGTCCGGCCTCCTCCACTGTCTAGACACCCCAGAGCACGTTCCGGCAGCTCTCCCCGCTGCAGCGAGAAAGGAATCTGCTGAACCTCCAAATACTGCACCAGCCGCTGCAGCAATTCCAACTCCTCGCGGAAGCGTCCGCTGCTAGGCGCTGCCGCGGCTGCTGCTGCTGCTGCTGCCGTGTCGTGATGCTGCTGCTGCTGCCGCTGCTGCTGCTGCATGCTGCCACTCGACACGGCCTCGCACGCCGCAGCAGCAGCTCCAGCCTGATCTTCCGCAGCAAGTGCTGTCAGTGCTGCCGATTTCCTCGCGCCAGCAAAAGCATTTAGAGGCTTCGGTAAAGCGACTGGTGCTGCTGCTGCTGCAACCATCGTCTCTGCATCCGCAGATGGAATATTCGAAGGCTTCCCACCCCACAGCTTTGGCGTGTCCACTGCCCCTCTAAGAGCCATCGCACCAGCACTAACACCAGCTCCAGCGGCACTTGCCGCAGAGCTTGCGAATCCTGTTGTACACTCCCGCTGCTGCTGCTGCTGCTGCTGTGGCTTGGTGCTGCTGTAGCCGGTTGCCTTCTCCGGGGATGCTTCAGCTCCCACACTCTTCCACTCAACATTTACGCCAAACTTCTGCTTTTGCTGTTGCTGTTGCTTATTCTTGCGACGGCCTTTCGAGGTGCCGCTATAGGCATCGCGTTGCTGCGAGTGGCCATGTTCATCAATAGCAGCAGCAGCGGCAGCAGCAACGGGAAGCACTGCTGCTGTCTCCACCCGTGAGACTGCTTCTAAACTTCCTGCTGCTTCGCCAGCAGCCTCTTGCTGCCCCATGGGCTGCTGCTCTTCCTGGGGTATATGGTCCGTTGCATCCTTGGAAGCAGCAGGTGATTTGCACGCTGCGCTCTCCGAGAGAATTTCTAAGTCAGAAGCAGTCCCTGCTGCACAATTTCCTGCTGTCTGAAGCGTGGCAGTATCGGGTGCAACGGCGGGCACAAGTGCCGCATCTGCTGAATCTGCGCATGCCAAAACGGCTTGCGCCTCCACTGGTGTTGTAGAAATCCCGTGCGTAGACATACTGGCTCTTGCAGCGATCTCCTGGTGCTGCTGTTGCTCCTGTTGTTGTTGCAGCTCTTGTTGTTGCTGCATCTCTTGTTGCTGCTGCAGCTCTTGTTGTTGCTGCACCTCTTGTTGTTGCATCTGTTGTTGCAGCTGCTGTTGCTTCTGTTGCTGCTTCTTCAGCGCTTGCTGCTGTTTCTTGGATACGGGTGCAGCAGCAGCCTTCATGGGCCTGTGCCGCTGCAGCTTGCTGCTGCTGCTGTTGCTTGCTTGACGGTGAGGTTCTTGCGGCGCTGTTGCCGCGGCTGCAACTGCGGATGCAGCTGCAGCCGCCCTTTGCGATGCTCTGCTGGCAGCTCTCGCCTTTGCAGCGGCAGCAGCTTCCTCCTGCTGCAGTTGATGCATGTAAAAGTCGGCGCAGTGCTCCGCCCAGCACTGGCGAGCGACCCAAGCCGTCATGCAGAGCAATGCAGATAACAAAAGTGCTGCAGCGAGGATATGCCACTGCAGCAGCCAGCTCAGCAGGGAAATGACGCCAAGGATAGTCTCAACTCCCAAGTAATCCCTCCCTTCTTGCTCGACTGCAACTCCTTTGCCTGCCATAGCAGCTAGGCTTTCTTCTGGAGTCTGCCGTGCGAGATTCTCTGCGAAATTCCTTCGAGGCGCACCCCAGCTCTCAACAGGGGGCTGTTGCTGCTGCCAGTGCTGCTGTTGCTGATGTGCATCCGCTTTCGAAGGCAGTCGCTGTTGCTGCGCTTGTTGTGGCTGGAGTAGTAACTGCTGCTGCTCCTGCTGCTGGTGATGCTGGTGATGCTGCTGTTGCTGGTGATGCTGCTGTTGCTGGTAATGTTGCTGCTGTTGCTGGTGATGCTGCTGTTGCTGGTAATTTTGCTGCTGTTGCTGGTGATGCTGCTGTTGCTGGTAATGTTGCTGCTGGTAATGTTGCTGCTGGTAATGTTGCTGCTGGTGATGCATGGGGATGAGAGACAACAAATCGCGAATTCGCAGAAGAAGGTTCTTCTTTTTTGCCAACAGGGACTGCCCGATGACACTGTTGAGAGCAAAAGCCTCAGCCTCAGCAGTACCGCTGCCGCTACTGCTGCTGCTGCTGTAGTTCACCCCCCCCCGATACTGCCGAAAGACGTGCAAAAGCAAGTGGTGGTAACAGGAGACGTCTGCACGAGCTTGTTGCACGAGCAGCAGCTGTTTGAGACAGGAGGGGCATAGGAGCGACGGCTTTCGTCGATAGAGGGGGGTGAGTACTTCTCGCTGGTGCAAAGACTGCGAAGTAAAGCCGCACAAACCCTCGATTATCCCGACGGCATCTCCAGCAGCTTTTCCACGACCACCAATTCGCGGCTGCAGCACCAGTCGAGCTGCACGCAGTTCCTCCAAAGAAGTGCCCTCTGCGCGCCTGCCGCTGCTGTTGAGGGAGGTGCTCAGGTGCACGATGCTGCAGCTGTTGACGGTCTCGAGTGTCACGGCTTCCTCCCGATCGTCGGCAGCAGCGGGAGCAGCGGCGGCAGGAGCTCCCTCCTCTTCCCCCTCGAGCAGCCGCGAAGCAGCTCTTGCTGCGTAGTCTCCAGGCATGCCATCAGCGGCTGCAGCAGAATTCGCCGTAGCTTCCCCCGCAGCAGCAGGAGCGCCCTTCCGCATGTTCGGATCCTCGAAAGACAGGAAAAGCTGGTACGACTCAGCACGCCGCAAGCACTCAGAGATGTTTCTCCGCCGCATGCGCTCCGTCTCGACTCCCTCCTGCATCCTCACCAAGCCTCCACGCTCATCGCCTCCCCCCCCTCCTGACAGCGCTGCACTTCCGCCACCTCCTCCCAAACATTCGCCAGTCATATCGTCAAAGACTGTACAGCTTGAACACAGTAGGGGGCCCAGACGCTGCAGATACTTGGCTTGCAGCTGCGCAGCATCAGCCTCCCACAACATGTCACCATCCCCGCTGGAACTGCAGCCCATCGCCGCAGAATCCGCAGGAGTGCCGCAAGGGCGTTGCGCTGCAGTTGCTGCAGTTGCTGCAGTTGCTGTTGCTGCAGTTGCTGTTGCAGTTGCTGCAGTTGCGCCAGAGAAACGCTGAGTCAGCAGGTGCAAGAGCTGCTGCTGCACGGCAGAGTAGACTGCCGATGTGTCTGACGAGGGTAGAGACAGCTGCAACGCAAAAAAAGAAAGCAATAACAACAACAGACTGCGCCCTTTTTACCCACCAAGCCAAAAAAGCAACGCGACTCACGCAAAAATGCCTTTTTGCAGGCAACGAATACGCCATCGAGAGGAGAGACGCCCACGAGAAGGCAGCTCTATACATATATACAAAGGGACTGCCAAAAAAGCCAACCACAAACAGATCGAATTTTTAAACTACAGAAAGCAGACATGCAGCACCCTATAGTAGAGATGGACGCTTTCACTACCTACCCATTGCCGAACAAGGTCGTCGATTGTTTTCAACCTCTGCGCAATCCGCCGAACCAAGAGGCCCCTGCCTTCTGCTCCCCGCATTAATTTTTTCTGCGCCTTGCGCGTTTGCTCTTTCTCCGGAAGAAAGCGAACTGCCTGCTGCACCTCCTGCAGCAGCTGCTGCTGCTGCAGCTGCTGCTGCTGCTGCTGCTGCTGATGGTGCGTAGCCGCAGAAGCATCTACTTGGAAGATATCTGTGGGGTTCACGAGGGGGAAGAGCGGCTCGAAACGCCCTTCTCCAAGTAAGGCAATCAACGCTTCCATCTGCTGCAGCACTGTCTCCTCAAGAGCGACTGTCTCCTTGAGCAGCACAGCCATCTCGGGAGATGAAGCCTCAAAGTCAACGCTGCCGCTGCCCTCTTGCTGCTGCTGCTGCTGCTCTTCGAAGAGAAAAGCAGAAAAAGGCGGGATATTCAGGTGAGTCATAACCTGCGGTCCAAAATTAATTTCCGAGATGGCTGCAATGAGCTCTTGCTGCTGCTGCGCCTCCTGCGGCTGCAGGTGCACCGCTTGCTGTTGCTGTTTCTGCTGCTGCAACTTCCTGGCTTGGAAATGAGACGCCTCTCGGACTTGACCCTTGATCCAGAGGGGGCACATGTGCTTCGCAGCCAACCTGTTGATAAACGCCATCAGCGGCTGCTGCTGAGATGGCATCTGTTGCTGCCAAGTCTTCCCCCCCTCAAGATCCTGCTCTTCGCGCTGCTCGAACTCCCTCAGCAGCTGCTCTTGCTGCTGTTCTTCTTCTCGTTCTTCTTGATGCTGCGGGAGGCCAAAAGCGTGATTCGGAGCAGCGAGCTGCTCAGAGGCAGCAGATCTGAAGATCCACTCGGAGGAGACGGGCAGCAGACGCCGCTTCTGCATGGCCGCGTCCAATCCAGGAATGTCGCAGGCAGCCAGAGATAGCTGCGCATACTCCTGGAAAGAACGCAGCGGAGGTTCCTGAAGCTCCTGCCTCGCAGACATTTGCTGCGGCGCATGCAGCAGCTCCTGCTGCTGCCCTAAGGTCGTCAAGGCAGCAGCAGGATTAGTAGCACTCCCCAGTGCAGCGACGTCCTCGTACAGTCGATTCAAACCGCCAGCAGCAAGCGAGCGAGCAACAGCGCCGCTCGAGAGTGCGTGCAAGGACCGCAAAGGGAGGCACAGAGGCGAGACACAAAACAGGGAAGCCTCCCAAAACACAAAGAGCAGACATGCGATGACTGCGGACAGAAAGAGAGACTTGCACGCGCACTCCAGCAAAAAGGGGAAATCCACTGCATGCAGTGCGTAGCGCAAACCTGAGCAAACACATGCCCATACAGCACATGCACACGCAGAACACCGAAAGCAAAAAGTCAGTGCCGCTAAACTTGCTGGCCTCCAATCAAAAAAAAGGAGTTTGCACAAACAGAAGCCCCCCCAAAACAGCACAAAACCACACGTGCAACACGCCACGCGACGGAGAACTATGCCAAAAAATGGCGTATATTTAACATACATGTATATATATATATGGATAGATGTGCATCTATATATATATATATATCTATACGTATGTCAAATATATACAACTATATATACATATACATGTATGCCAAGAACAGAGAGGGAAAGAGATGTAATGATACATACATGCAAACATACATACACATATACATGCATATATATATATATATAGACAGACGCACATGCAGACACCACGAGGGTAAGAAAGGAAGCACACGAAGCTGCAGGGAGGAGCAGCGTTCCTCACCTCTCTGCGAAAGTCGCAGCGGCTTGACAGCAGGTTCTGCACTCCACTCTTGGCGGTCGTGTTGCTGCTGCTGTTGCTGCTGCTGTTGCTGCTGCTGTTGCTGCTGCTGCGAGTCTACGGGAACTGCTGCTGCTGCTGCTGCTGCTGCTGCTGCTGCTGCTGGTGCAGAGAAAACTGCGGCGGAGTGTGGCGAATGCGTTTCACCTGAGTCCTCTAGAGGCGCATTAGAAGAAGAGACCCCTAAAAGCACGTCCCCACAGCGAGAGAACTAAAACACGGGAAGTAAACGGCATGACCGTGCAATGCAGCGAGCGGAGGAAGAAAAAGCAAGCCGAGTGAAGCGGGGGGAGGGGAAGGCAGGGGGAAAAGCATCGCCACGGAGACAGACGGAAGAGCACGGCGAGAAACAAGGCCACCCCACAAGGCACTGAGCCCATTTCGCGGAAGTGTATGCTCACGACCAGACAAATACGCCGTGGCATCCTGCAGCGCGTGAGGCACTGCGGCGAAAAGACGTCGCGAAAACATCCCGAAGCGGCGAATTGTTTGCGCAGCCAAGGAGGTGAATGCGCCTGCTGCAGTTGCCCGCAGGCCCTGTGGAAGATGCCAGAGAGCGGCGAAAAAGACACGCGATGCGCTCAGCAACCACTGCGAAAAAAGGGCGAGAGTGAGAGCGCAAGAGAAAGAAAGGGAGAGAAAGGAGGGAAGAGAAAGGAGAAAAGAGAGAAAGAAAGGGAGAAGAAGAAGGAGAAATAAAAGAAGAGCAATGAAAAGAAAGAAGGGGAAAAAGAAAAAAAAGGGAGAAGAAGAAAAGAAGAGGAAGTAAAGAAGGGAAAGGAGCAACGCGAGAAAGGAAGGGAAAGAAAAGAAGAGAAATAGAGAAGAGAGGCACTTTATACACACTCACACACACTTTGACATGCCACTCAGAAAGGCAGCACAAGCGACGAGGAGAGAGCGAGAGAGCACACATCAGACGTAAGTGTGGTAGAAAGAGATAGAGAGAAAGAGAGATAGAGAGAGCACAAACGTTGAAGCGGAGAAGCTGAGGCGCCTTCTTCCATGCATGCCTCGAAAGTGCATGTAAGAAGGCCTCTAGCTTACTTCCAACATAGCAGATGCAGATTGCTGCACGACTTCGGCAGCTACAAGGCACCGGAGCAATACAGGCAACGACAGCAGTCGCACAGCATCTATGACAACACACTCCCTGCAGCGCATGGCACACGACAAAAATGTAGCAAGCCATTCAAGGGGCGCAAAGATACTGCCACACACCGTCGCAAGTCGAAAATGCTGCGCATAGCCAAGAATTCGGTTCTTTGGAAAGACTGCATCGGCGAGTTCTTCAATAGCCATTCTGAAGGAAAAGACGCCTTTTCCCTCGCGCATGCAGAGCTTCGGTGCAAAACGGCCTAATGCTTGTTCGTGCAAAGTGCATCCGCCCCTCCCCCTTTTCCCCCCTTCCCAATGCCACATGCGCATGCTCCCTCCGATACACTTACAAGGAAAACGGCGAGTCAACGAGGCTGCTGAAAAGGGATGGAATTACAAGCATGAAGCCGCAACATGCCGCGATCTTCAGTACAAACTGCCCTTCGGTCGCCCCACTCTGAGACAGCAAAAGAGAGAGAGACATAGAGATATGTAGTAATAGAGACAGCGACAGCCAGACAGACGCATACAAAAGCACACACACAGACACACATATACCTACACATACATACATAGACATACATACATATACATACATACATACACACACAGCCACACGTATCCAAACACATACACACACAAACATGCAAACACATACACATACACACACATACAAACACATACACATACAAACACATACATACACATACAAACACATACACATACACATACAAACACATACAAACACATACACATACAAGCACATACACATACAAACACATACACATATATGCACGCATATACATACTTACACAGAAAAAGACTGTATTTTAGACAAAGAGATGCCGACATGTTGGCACTCAACGTGAGCAACAACGGCGAACTGTCAGCCACGCACGGCTGGAAGTAGAGAGTACAAGGAGGGATCTTCTCTATGCATTGCGCTAAAACAAGAGGCTGCACAGTATTCGAGCCGAATGCTTTTCTCTCGAGCAGCACGAGACCAGGTAAATCATAAAACCCATACCTGCTTTGCAGAAACTTCGGCGACTGCCGCAGCAGTAAAAAAGGAGAACTTCAACAGCCACCACGGTGCTTCTGCAGGCAGCAGCATCAAAGGCAACGCTGCAAGCCGCAGCAACACAACTGGGGCTGCTGCTGCTGCTGCTGCCAGCAGCATGAGCTTCCCCAGCAACACAGTATTCACAGATCGTCGACATGTATACTTCGAGTAGGCCTCGAGCTGCAAAAACAATCGCCGCACCGCCAGACATGTGTAGATATGTATCCACATATATATGTATATATGCATATATACACATTTATATGCACATTTATACAGATATATATATATAATACATACATGCATATACGTATATATGCACATACACACATTCATACAGATATATATATATATATATGTATATATGCATATATACACATTTACATGCACATGTATACAGATATATACATATAATACATATATGCATATATATATATGCACATATAGACATTCATACAGATACATAAATATGTATATATGCGTATATACACATTTACATGCACATTTATACAGATATATACATATAATACATATATGCATATATATATATATGCACATATAGACATTCATACAGATACATAAATGTGTATATATGCGTATATACACATTTACACAGAAACATAAACATATATATATATATGCATATATGCACATTTACATGGATGGGGTAATGCCGATGCACACAGAATCGCTCCTACCTGGCGTGCCACTGCGTCTGCCGCAGTGAAGGCTGTGCTAAGGCTTTTCTCTACCCCGTGAGTTCTAACGGCAACCTCTGCGGGAGTCCAGCCGCATGCATTTCGAGCGAGGAGGAGGGGGCCCCAGCTGTCTGCCGCCAGCTCATAGCGGAGACAGAGCAACAAAGATTCATCTCCAATTGAGGCGGCAAAGTGAAACACGTTGCTGCCTTCGCCAAGGTCGTCCTGAAGCAAGCGGCAGCAAGACGCATGCAGAGCCCCAAGACTGGCGTGTATGTGTAAAAAGACATGCACGACAGCAAGAAGGGCGCGAAACGCGAAGAACACCCCACACTTCGGGCAAACGCGGCGAGTGCCGGCGAGCAGAATGCATGCATGCCTGCATGCATGCATTCTGCCCCTGTCCAGGCTGCTGCCATGCGTTTCCTCAGAGGCCTTGCGATTCTTTTCCGTAAGCGGCAATACCAGCAGAGAAGGAGCGAGACAGACAGACAGAGAGAGAGAGAGACATACACATACGCACATACAAAAAAGCGGCAGGGGGGGCACCAATAGCAATAGGAGCAGCATCAATAGCAATAGAAGCAGCAGCAACAGGAATAGCAATAGCAATAGCAGCAACAGCAATAGAAGCAGCAGCAATAGCAATAGAAGCAGCAGCAACAGGAAGAGCAGCAATAGCAATAGGAGCAGCATCAATAGCAATAGCGGCAATAGCAATAGGAGCAGCATCAATAGCAATAGCAGCAACAGCAATAGAAGCAGCATCAATAGCAATAGAAGCAGCAGCAATAGCAATAGCAGCAACAGCAATAGCAATAGCAGCAACAGCAATAGAAGCAGCATCAATAGCAATAGAAGCAGCAGCAACAGGAATAGGAATAGCAATAGCAGCAACAGCAATAGAAGCAGCAGCAATAGCAATAGCAGCAATAGCAGCAGCAAAATCGGCATCGTACGGAGGCCGAGAAAAATCCCTTTGGCGTTCTTGCTGCCAGTTTTCGCACAGCCTCCGCAACGAATGCAGCTGGCCCTTGCTGCTCATGATTGCGTGTTGAATATGGAGGGGTTGCTGACTCGGAGAGGAGGAGGCGCAAGAGCAGAAAGCACTGTTGCTGCACGGCGACGGCAATTGGGTGGGGAGACAGCTCGTACTGCCATCCAAGGGGCAGCACGCGGTGATCTTCTGTGAGCAGCTCAGCGCTGGAAAGGGTGGCCATTGAAAGGCTGCACATTGCGCATGCACAGAGGCGTGAAGCATGCAGAAGGATTTGAGGCAAAACGGCACGAAGAGGGGGAGCAGCAAAAGCAGCAGGCGTAGCGGCAGACCGCCCATACATACACACACACATAGGGACACATACACACACACAAACACATACACACACGTGAGAGGAGAAGGCACAAAGGGCAGCGAGTGCTATGTATATGTGCACGCCAAGGAAGAATTTCCCCTCACTCTGCTGCGCAGCTCGTGTATTCTTCTGCCCATGTGCCATAGCGTTCGACTGCCTCGCGGAGAAATCGCTTCTGAGTTTCCCCGAGATGCAGCTGCTCCCGACGGCAAAGCAGCAGCAGCGCGTCTGCCCTCCTTAAAGCGGCCAGCAACGCAGCGGCAAACAGGTGAAGAGACTGCTGCAGTGCGCACGCACGGGGATGCAACTCGGGGAGCACCAAAGAAACGCTATCTTCAGCTTCCCCAGACGCTGAAGCACTGTCTCCTGCTGCCTTTGCAGTGCTGGAATCGGCGAAGGCTGCACCCAAGCCATCGGCAGGAGGAGGTGGGCCCCTGCTGCCATTGCTGCACAAGGAGGAGCTCTCGCCTCCGCCGCTCGACTTCGTGTTGCTCGCAAGTTTGCCGCTAACGCTGCTGGTAGCAAAAAGATGGCCGTTGGTATCGCTGCTGCTCACGCTGCTAAGGCTACTCCTGCGGGTAAAGTGGCGCTGCGTCCTTAAGAGAACTTCTTCCAAAACGACCTGACAGGGAGGAAAGAATCGCTGCCCCCCCTCGCCTTGCTCCTGCTGCTCTTGTTCTTGTTGCTGCTGCTCTTGCTCTTGTTGCTCCTGCTGCTCTTGCTGCTCCTGCTGCTCTTGCTGCTCCTGCTGCTCTTGCTGCTGCTGTTGTTGCAGTTGTTCCTGGCGTATCCGCGGAGTGGCGGCTTCGCTGCTGCTGCTGGTAAGGGCAGCATCCGCATCTCCGTAGAGGAGGAGCTGTTGCTGCTGCCGTTGCTGCTCTTGTTGCTGTTGCTGTTGCTGCTGCTGTTGCTGTTGCTGCAACGCGCAATACGCCTTGCGCAGTGCCCCTAGAAGCAGACTCACGTCCACGCCAGTGGGCGTCAGTCTCTTGAAGAGGCCTCCTGCGTCTTCTGGAGAACCTCCGCCACCGCTTGCTTCGCTGTAACCGCTGTTCGTGCTGCAGAGGCTGCTGGGCTTGCTCCCAGCGGCTGTCATCGCTGCAGCAGCGGTGATATGCGGCCTTAAGAACGACTCCAGCGTCTCGAAGACGAAGAGGGCAGTCCAATCGCGGCTGCTCCATGTGCCTGGACAGGAAGGACCGCTGTCGAGACAGTCCACAGGGGAAGGGCTGCTGTCATGCGCGATGCCTCCTACCAGGAGCAGCAGCAAGCGCAGATAGGCTGCACTCAGCTCGGCAGCTGAGGCAGCAGCTGCTGCACCGGAGGACTGAAACCCCATAATGCAGTGTGGCTCGTGCAGATGCACAGGCAGCAGTGCCTGCCTCAGCTGCACTACTCCCGACAGCGCCTCCGCGGCAGCCCCCCTCGCGCTGCCTCCCTGCACGCTGCTGCGTTTCGCAGGATTGACAGTCCATGGCTCCCTCTTGCTCGTGCCGCTACTGCCGCGGCAGATGCTGCCGCTGCCGCTGCCACTGCCACTGCCGCTGCCGCTGCCACTGCCACTGCTGCTGCTGCTGCGCTCCAAGCAGGTGCACCGCTCGAAGGCGTGCAGGTAGAAGAAAGCATGGCCTTGCGACGGACCAAAGCCTACGAGCACTTCGGGAGGCGGGGGGTGCAAATCCACGACGAGGTTGGCACTGCAGAGACAGCAGCAACCCCACCAGCCCGTTCTGCCGACCTGGTGCACACACGAAAACGCAGCTGCTGCCGCTGCATGCGCCGACGCCAGCACCCCCGAAGCTCCCGGTCGACGGGGTGTACCGACGGCTGGAAAGCCATGACTGTGCCGTCCCCGCTTCGGCGTTCCTGCCCCCGCTGCATGCCGCTGCTGCTGCTGCTGCACCGCTTGCTGCTGCTGCTGCACGAGAATCTGCCGCGCCAGCTGCTGCGGGGGGCGAAGAGAGTCGCCTTGAAGGATGATCGCCATGCACTGCGCATGATAACGAGCGGCTGCAATCCCCAGCAAGCGATAGTCTAACAAGGCCCCATTCAAAGCTCGCAGCGACAACCAGCGCAGCAGCTGCAATTCTCCCCCCCAAAACTCCTCAGCTCTTGGAGGGAGCGGGCACGAGGCGCTCGCAGTGTCTGCTGCTGCAGAAGCTGCTGCAGCAGATGCTGACACTGGCGTGGCAATACAACACGCCGCAGCAACAGCTCCCACTGCGTTGCTCTGTCCGCAAGACTCGCACAAAGAGGCCCCCAACACGCAAGACGCAAAGGCGTCGAAATTAGAAGACAACAACGCAGCAAGGGCGAGAGCTGGTGGCATACAACGACAGTACTCAGCCTCTCCCGCGACTCCGCCGCCGCCCCCCCTAAGAAACTCACTGAGCCCCTTGCCCTCCTGCTGCACTCTGCCTCTGCCTCCGCTGCTGCTGCGACTGCCTCTGCTGCTGCTGCTGCCTCTGCTGCTGCTGCTGCTGCAGCTAGCGGCTGCAGCCGCTGGGCTTCCGAAGAAGGAAAAGCAATTGAGGCAAAAGCCGAAGGCCTCGTTCTTGCTACTGCCGCTGCTGCTGCTACACCGGCAGGTGCAGTACACCTCGAGAGGCTGCAGAAGACGCTGCAGATAGCCAGGCCCTACTGAGTGCTCCTGTGCGACAAGAAAGCTGCTGCTGCTGCTGTGTGTGCTGCCGCTGCTGCTGCTGCTGCTGTGTGTGCCGCTGCTGCTGCTGGTTCGGGGTGCACGCTGCTGCGCGTCCGACTGCTGCTGCTGCTGCTGCTGCTGCTGCTTCTGCTGCTGCTTGCTGTCTTTGTGGAAAAGACACGTGGTAAGCGCCAAGAGGCTGGGAGCTGCGACGTTCGCAGCAGCGAGGGGAGATACTGTCGCCCCCCCACCCGCGACTCCTGCAGCTCCTGAGGAGAGGCCGCCTGCCCTTGCTGCTGCCCAGCTAGCGGCACACAGCGCACCGCGCAAGAGCGCGCTGCAGTGAATCTGGTAGTCTTTTCTCCTGGGGCAAAGCTGGAAGGCGAGATAGAGGTAGACGGGGAGCAGTGCCCTCTTCAGGAGGGGAAGCAAGGCAGCACACCACGCAAGCAGCAAAAGGGGCAGGCAGACCACTCGCAGGAGCCCGATGGCTGTCTGCATGAGCATGCGCTTCGCCGCAGCTGCTCCAAAGCAGTTTGCGACTTCCGCTGTCGCGATTCCTGCCGACTCGACAGACAAGGGAGGCAGGCTGCGCCAGCAGTCCCCTCCATCTTCCTCCGTCTGCTCCTCAAGAAGCCCCCCCCCCTCTGCAGCTCTCCTCTTGCTTTGGGGGGGCGAAGGGAGGCCTCTGCAGCCGCCGCGCTTCATATTGCAGCAGCCACTGCACAACTTCTTCGCAGGAGCAGCAGCAGCAAGCCGCTGGGAGCGCCGTTCAGCCCGCACATCCCGCAAGCCTAGAAGGCTGGAAGAAGCCCGCGGCAAACTGCTGCAATTACGCTTCCTACGCCAAAAGATTCTCGCGCTCGACGGCTGCCTCCGCAGCTTTCTGCCGCTGCCCCTGCCGACGCCACACGACGACGTGCCCAACAAGGAGAACCCCTCACGACGGCGGATGCAGCCTGCAGGCAGTGCTGTTTGTGTGTGTACGTGGGAGCCTTTGTATGTATGTGCGTGTTTGTGTGTGTATGTGTGTGTGTGTGCTTTTTACGCAGCGCAAGCGCAGCGAAAGAACACCTGCTGGATCTGCTGCCGCTCCTCTCAGCGGCCTCTCTCTCTTTGCTGCAGGAGAGGGAACACGCCGAAGAGCTCCTGCCGCTGGAAGTATCTCATAAAAGCGCACTGATCGAATACGGATGGTGACGCATGACCAGGATCTCAGTACTGCAAAGGATTGCCGCCGTCAGTGCGCCTACAGAGGGGGGGATGGTGTACAGACTGCCGCGGATGTGCAGTGCAACACGGCAAGAAGTACAGACGGCGAAGGGCGCAAGAGAAAACGGAAGAAAGGTAGCGGAGATGGAGGAAAGGGGAGAAGGTCTCTCGCGCGCGTTCTTCTCTCTGTATATGTGTGCACGTATGTTTGCCCGTGTACATTTGTATGGTTGTTTGTCTGTACGCCGCCGTTGCGCTCCTCCAGCAGTCCAACTGAATGTCTACCTGCCCGCTGTGGAGCTCCTGCTCCAGCAGGGATGCAAAGGGCACGCCTGACAGCGCACAGCCCCAGCCCACGCAATCCAACGCATGCAGATTTTGGCAGCGTCTGCGGCAGGAGTCACAGCAGCAGCACCAGCCTGAGTCCGTGTCAGCAGCTGCCTGAAAGCACGTGTGCATGCAGAAGGAGCGGCGGAGAGGCGCTATGGAGGAGGGAGGGGCCCCTCAGAGAGAAGGCGTTGCCTGGAATCGCAGCTGCCGAGAAACGGGGGCTCAAGTCTCCGCTCCCGTGAGCCTGTGGCCTCCCTCTCTTACGCTTAAGAGGCTTAGAATTGCAGCAAACAAAGATCAAGCCTCAGTAACCAACTGACCTCCCCACACGTTTTGGGGAAAGCGGCTGCTTAGGCCCTGGTGCGGCACAAGGGTAGATAGCGGAAGCGCTGCATACCAAGGCGCCAGTGGGCAGCCCGTATGTCAGAAAAGATGGCGGATACGCAAGAAATCAAATTTGGGGTGTACAGAGATCCCCGAGCGGCAGACACATAGGCGAAACGCGCACGTAGACCGACGGCTCCAGCCCCATTTGTGCTTATGCCCTGGAAAAGGCGCCTCTGAAGGAGAGGAGGGAGAGAGCATAGACACGAAAACATTTGAAGCACCCATCAAACACACGGGAATATCCCATATTTGCAGCCCATGGGCGGTGTCTCTCAGGACCAGCGCTCACTCTCCACAATATATGCCCCTACTGCTACTACACTCCGCGTAGTCGCTTCGCCCCAGCACGCTTAGAGAGAAGCCTGCATGCATGAAGCCGAAAGCGCAGCCAAATGAAGATTCTGTTAGCCGAAGGGGTGTGTGTGCAAGAGCAAGGGTGCTGGAGAAGGGACTCTAATCGCACTTTCCAAAAAAAGCCTAGGGATGCACGCTTCCGCTGGCGCTCACATGGGGTCCACACAGGAGGACGTGAGCAAACCCGCACTGGCTTTCAAAGAGAATCTCCTTCCCTTCATTGCAGTCAGAAACAACTTCATTTTTGAATATAGGGGATCCTTCAAGGTGCTTTCGAGCCTTCGAATGCAGGCGGGGGTGCGCTGCACCCTGCCCTATAGGTTTAGTGGGAGAGGCCAAAAAGATACACTCAAACGCTTTCTACTATGCTCGTTGTATTCAAAAAAGAATGAATTGAATGCTTCGTTGTGGATAGCACACCTTTATTGCAGAACATCGTATAAGCTCGATACAATCTGGCGCATCATTGTGTGTGTGTATCCATCAACTTCATGTGTAATAGCTTGACATCATCCGATGTAGTGCTGCTGCCTTTTCACTCAATTCTATGTGCACCTGACTGCAACTGCTCTGAGTGCTCAGAGCAGTTGCGGCTACGCTCAACTCTGCTACCCCTCTTCCTGATGTTGAAACTTTCGGAGGCGCCGGCAGGGGGACTTTTCCGGGGAAGCATTCTTAACTTTCTAGCAAAACTAATTGAGTAGGACTCCAACTGCTTCAATGAAGAACTTAGATCGATCGGTACACTAGAGGTGGGTGCAATACTGCGATTCTTCCTACGGCCCCATTCACTTTACAGCAGCTAGTGTTTCTGGCCTTTTGTTTTCCTAGTGAGCCTTCTTTGTTCTCCAACTAGCCTGCTTACACCTGGTCCAATCCAGTTTTTCAGTTCTGTTCCTATGAATGCATTTAAAGCTTCCGGTTATATGACCATATCCCCTAAAAATAGAGGCCGGTGGGTTATGGGGGGAGGGATGGCGGTTGTTTGGGGCTGCATAGGAATGCCAGTTTCCTCTTGCTTTCTTTTTCGTTAATCTTGAGTTGTATGCTAGGGTTGGTTGACACAGCCCTGACGTCAATGAATTTAAAAATCCCGATTTGGCTCTTCGCTTTCAGCCAAATACACAGGGCACTCATTTGCGTGTGAAATCTCAAATTGTCTAGCAATTCTGGAAGTCCCACCGATTGGGCGTTCAATAGCTGCCTCGGTTTCCATCCTGCAATCTCGCGTCGTAAACCTGTCGGACAAGCCTAGGTAAGCCCAGTGGTAAAGCAGATGCTCGTCTGCGCGGAGATTTACGGACAAAAGTCTGGCATTTTTCGATGTGCCAATGTGTTGATATATCCCTTAACATGCGCCTTCTCATTTTTCCAAACGCCTGTTGTTGAGCTGATATTGGCGTGGACCAATGAGTCAGGGCTTGTATGAAGGCTTTAGCAGTACTAATCCCTGCAGGCAGAATAATCCCCTTGCATCAGAGTCGCCGTTTAAATGATTTTTGCCCAACTAAACATGCCTCAAGGAGCACTCGTTTCTCCTCGCATCCGGGGAAGAAAGCGAAACCGGCTGCTAAAATCCTCAAGAAGTTTCCCAGCTTTTCTGCCGTGATACTTTTTGGATTGGAATATCCTGAAAGACGCTTCCATCAACATTCTGTCGGCTGCGAAATCATGCCTTTCTACGTAGGGTGGAGCTACTGCGTTCATACCACCTTGCGGGCCGGCCTCTGCCGCCCCAACTGGCGTTGCACCACTCTCTACTTCAATCGCCAGAGGCGTTTTCCCCCCATAGTGTCAAAGAGAATCGTGGTATTGAATCACCAAATAACTTGAGCAAAACCGGAAAAATGCTCTAGTGAAGCCTGACATCCCATTGCGTTCACAACCAGTGGACGAGCAGGAAATAGCTACGCCAAACCATGCGATGCTGCGAGCTGGTAGGCTCCATCGTAGTTCTCCGCTGGGACACACATAGATCCGGAATCAATTAGAAACTAAGCTAAAAGCCTTGGGTACATCCCAAAGAATTTCCACCTTTCCTTCCGGCTACCCCTCAGAGTTCCGGACAAGAGGGGGAAGACGATCCTACGGTAAAAGTGGCTGAACCTCATAGCCTACTTTGAGCATTCACAGTTATTTGCACATAGCAGTTAGTGCGCATGCACACAGCATTAATTCTCTCCGTATAAAGCTAGCTCGCTGTGCAGCAGGTAAGATATATGAACAGGTAAATTAATAAATTCTTTACTTATCATTACTAGGATGAAACCAAAGTAGTAGAAAGTCATCACCGATGTTCTGGAAAGGAAAGTTATGCGATTCAGGCGTGAGCTCGTCATATGGAGTAAGTTCTGAGCGATATCCTGAAGGTCAGCACGGCACCGAATGGCTTCTAATAGCGCAGCCGCTGAACAGGGGGCTCCTCGGCGCCAAGGATCCTATGTGACGGCCCGCATATTCGTGCGTCTAGTTTGGTGGCGTCAGGAAAACGAGGGCTTGCTACCCACAGATGCAACCATGGAGACACTACTGGGAGGCAAAATGCTCCAGGCCTAGGGGTAAAAGAATCCTCTGCACATTTTAGTTGAGCCGGAGTGGCAAAGTGGGTCACCACCCGTTCTAAGTGGCTCATAGTCGATAGCAGTAACATCCATCTTTGAGGTTTCTCACTTCATGCGCTACCTTCTGGATCTTGCCCCAATTTCTGCCGGCTAGACCATAAACTGCACTGTCAGATTACCCGTAGTGCAGCCTTCAAAAGCGCCCTCCTAGTCTTCCATGCACTCGCGTACCTCCTGGCACCAAATGGATGTTTTGCGCGATCGAGGTTAACGAGACTAGGAAGATAGGCCCAATGCCTCTTGGAAGCTTAGGGTTCTCTTGTCTGTCGCCTTCCTCCAAGAAGACTAGCCAGGACTTTTCTAAGCCTCAAAACACTTTTCGATGGTTTTTCTGTCCTCAAATGTTGCCTTCACTAGATTTTAAAGTTACCTTTCCCAGCTACCTGCTGGAATTTTTAATCACAGTTTGCCGCACTGCCGGCGTAGCTCTCACGTTCCCAGGACCGAAAGGATTGGTGTCCCTGCATCCATATGTCCAGGCTTAGTGTGTGCTGCTCCCCGGCTTACCAACTAAACCCGGATGCATATCTTGATTGAGTATTCCCCCTTTTCGTAATCCCCAAACTTCTCTAGATGGCGTCAAAACCTTGCCCTCTAGAGCCCCCGTCTGCGGTATGTGACACTCTTGAGGTCGCCGTGGAGAAATGGTAGACTGCCGACTCAAGATCCATTTGCTGGGAAGCCATATGGGGTTCCTCAAGAGAGTGACCGCACCCTCCAATCATTCCTAGCATCAGAGCTAGCTGCACAAAGCGTTCAGAGCACACCGACACAGCATTGTGCCGTGTAGCAATGAACGAAAGGTGCTCAGTGATAATTATGGCCGACAAATGGCCAAATTAAATAGCCAGCGGTTTGCCAATCCTGAAATAAATGTAATCAGCATGGCGAAATGTAGCTACGCGCGCTACAGAGCGCGAGCTGAAGGCACTCTGAAACTGAGCCGCTGTACGCAGCCGGCTCAGCACGTGCCTTTGCACGGAGTATTTTGGGGTTTTTCAAAATCCGATGCTGCTGCGGGGACACCCGAACCCTGTCCAGGGGGCTTCAGTTTCAGTTTGGCAGTCTGGGGACTGTTACCTGGCTAATGCACTGGAACTACACAGTAAAACCTCTGCAGCTAGGCTCCGTCGTTCTTCTCAGAGTTACCTGCAACAGTGCTGCCCCACGATGCGTCCCACCTCTCTCCCGAGCCGTCAAGAATGCGCCTTCAGGATCTACGCGACCTGACCTGCCTACTGCATTTGAGGTGTCGGAAGGGCTGAAAGCCTCCTCCTGGCAGCAGCAGCAGCGAAGGTGTGGAGGCGAACGGATAGCTAAGCTCCTTTTTTCAGTCGGAGGCGCGCGGCCTTACGCGCAGGATGGGATACCTAAAGTTTCCACGGAAAAATGTGCCGCTATCATCGCTTCCGCACCAGGCTTTTGGATGTTCATTTTGCTCTCACTATGTGCTTCTACTCCTTAAAAAAGGCCTTGTAGGCCGCTGCGGCCGACTGCCCTTTCCCCTCGTTTCTGTCTGCGGTGCTGCTCTTGGGCTTGTTGCGATCAGCCTACTGTGTCGTCGACTCAAGGCTCTGGACAGTCGCCACCCATGTCACCTTCAGGCTAAGGACGCTGCTCTCCCCGCCTGTTTCTGCCTTGTCTATTCTGCTACCCACTCCCGTTCTCGCGCTGCGCAGAAAAATCTGCTCTCACCTAACCCCCACTCTACGTACAACACTGCATGACAGTCCAGGCCCTCAGGATTCCGAAGGCCTACAGAGCGTTTCTGCCGCTTCTCCTACACCTGACTGCGGCGCGGGAAGACTCTCTAGCTGCCCGAGCTTCTCCGCTGCACTGTGTCTCTTAGCAGCAGCAAAGGCCTCGTATGCTGCCTCGCGCACCAGCTCCCTTATTTCTTTCTCCTTCTCAGCATAGTCCAGGCTCCACCCCACCGCCAGAAGGGTAGCGCTGTCCAGCTTAGCCTCCTTTTGCAGCAAATCATCCACTTCCCTGTGCACAAGCAGCAGCAGGAAGACTCAAAGGAGTGTACAGATAGGGTGGTCTCAAGCTCCACTGTGAGAAACTCTGCCCTCAAACCCCTTCTCCGTGGCTCAACAGCCACACCTGATCTTGGAGAGGATCCCCTCTACAACAGGTCTGAGTAAGAAATCGACGTTTGTAAGGGCCTCCTCTTCTTGAGACGTTTGGGAGCCTCGCCCCGCTGCTCCCGTGAAGAGAAGGGCCCCCTCCTCCGAGAAGTACTCAGGCGTCAAAGCAGGCAACAACAACCCCACCAAAGGAGGCAGCACTGCCCGACTCGCCGCCGCGAACGCCTCGAGACGCTCTCGTAAAGTCTCTGCAGCATTCAGTTGGAAGCCACGGCCAGAAACGAAAAGTTGCATGTATCAAGCACTCAAAAACCTTGCAACGCGCCATCCTGCGTTTGGTGATGCCGTCTCAGGAGAGTCACGCATGCGCAGCTTGCATCGCATCGTGGAAGCCTGGAGCCTCACTAGGCCTCATGACTTCGGGGGAAGGGAGTGCTTCCTACCGGGCTGCATGCTAGGGAGAGCTCGGATGTCGGCTGCGCGCTGATCGGAGGCGGGGGGGGGGGGCAGCTGCAACGCGCTTGCGGGCTTCTCAGGGAGACTGTGAAGCGAAGCCAGGAGCTGATCTGCACTGATGCACGCTGCAAAAAGCGACACACACAGAAGATCGAAGCTCAACGGGCAGTCTGACTGAAGCCCTATGCCGGGGAAACGCCGTATCTGAACGTCTTTATGCGAGCGGCCGGAAGCGCATGGAAAGGCAAATCCTGGCAAGACGGTGCGGCGCTGGTGGAGCACCTCCGTCATGCAGTCAAAAAAACGCATGCACGCCTTCTCGCTGCAGGACAGAGCTAACCCTCACCCTCGCGAGAGAGAGAGAGACTGCCATGAGGCACACAGCAAGCGGAAAACAGGTGCAAGGAGAAGAAACGAAAGGAAGAAGAGAAGCGTTCCGAGACGCCTACACACAAAGGAGGGCACGGCGATATTCGGGACGGTTGAAGCTGAGCGTGCTTACTGAGAGCGACAGCGGCAGCCACAAAGTCGTTGCACGCAGTGGCGAGCATTTCGTGGATAGCAGCCGCAGCATTGAAGGTAGTTTCAGAGACCCTTGGCAAAAGAAATGCGAAAAAGCCTTCATCTGCGGGGATGGAGGGAGCTGTGCCGGCGGAAGCGGTGTTGCGGGGAGCCGCTGCTCCCGCAAGACGCAGCAGCTGGAAGAAGGAGCCAGCTACCTGCAGCAGTCCGAGCAGCACGGGAGCTCTAGAGGACGGCAGCTAGAGGGGGAAGGAGCAGCAGGCAAGAGAAGAAGGCCCCCTCCAACAACAGCGACAGAGAGCAGTAGCAGCACAACAACCGAGGGACAGGAAAGGGGACGAGAAACAGCACGAGCAACGTCGCCGTCATTACCCCGGGAAAGGCAAGCTGCCGTTCGCTTCGGACAAAGCGACTTTCATAAGAACTCAAGATGTCGCTGAGGGCAGGGGAAAGGAGAAAAACAAACAACGCACAAGATCCCCCAAGGCTCCCTAAAGGCCGCATGCGCATGGCGCGAAGTGCGAGAGAATCGCCCTCTCACACTCACAGCAGCACGCGAAAGAGGATACGTATGTATATATATGCACGCATGTTCGCAGCGTTTGAAGGAGAGACGCCGCAGGCGTGGGGAGGCGCAACGGGAGTTTCGCAGCAGCACCGACGGCCTTGTGCAGGCACAGCATGCGTGGAGCTACTGGCGGGTAGGCTCAGAGAGAAAAGTTCGAGGAGGAGGTGGCGGAGGCGAGTAGCAAGAAGTGCGTGCATGCACGTATGAATTTGGAAGCAGCACGACACACACGGTCTAAGGAAGTTCGCGGACTCAAGCGACCACTCAACTCGGTGCGGCGGCTCGCGAGGTGTGAAGGGAGGGTCGGTCAAGAAGAAGCATAAAAAAATTGCTTGATCGTGCATGCTACGAAGGCTTGTTCTGGCCCTAGAAGGGCCCCCATGAGACGCACTGGAGGAGAGTTAGGTTCTTGATGAGGAACAAGCTGACCATCAATGAGACCTGCAACGCGCATTCGAAATCGACAGCAGAGCACTTTTGGCATTTCCAAAAGGCCGTGTTGAGTCTGCAGTGCAGTGTCCTCTCCAGGCAGAGCCTGCATGCGCTTGGGAAGAGACACACGGCAGCTGCGCAGCGCTTCTCGCTTCTCGGGCAAGAGCCATACCTCGACGTTGCTTGGAGGAGCCGAGAGAGCGGCTGGCAAAGTCGCTGCCGCACACGCCGCTTTCCCCGTTGGCTCACTGAAGAGAGGCAGACGGGCTGCCCCCACACTGCGAGCGGCAGCGTCGAGAGAAACGAGACAGGCAGCCAGCACGTCGCTGCAGGCGGCATCGAAGGGGTCTCCTGCCGCTGCAGCCGCAGATGAGCCGCCACTCTCCCGGCTCCTGCTGCTGCGCTGCAGCAGCAGCAACACCAGGTGAAGGGCCCTGCGAACTGGCGGATATGTCTGCTGTAATATCCATTCCCTCAAAAAGAAAACACACACACAGACACAGCCACAACGCGCACACAAGGACGTCTTCAGGATCGCTAGTTGCCAGCAGCCCCTTGCTCTCCAAGCTCCTAAACAGGCTGCTTGCTGCTCTTCTGGAGTGCAGAAGGGATGGAGGAACGAAGGGGAAAGCCTCCCTCCATGAAACCACCTGTCCCTGCCGCTCGCCAGCCAAAAAAGCGGCAAGGTAGTCCTCCGTAAAGCCCTGCCACTCGCATCTTCCCACGACTATCCCTGCCCCCCTACTCTTTCGCCGGGAAGGTGTCGGAAGAAGACACCCTACAGAGCCGCCCAGTGGTAAGGAGCTGCTGCTTTTCGCCTTCCAGCTTGCTTACTTCGAGAGCTCCTGCGGATTGACGGCGTAGCGAGAAATCTCCGCATCAACAGTTACCTCCAGACGGAAGAAGAGCCGTTCTTGCACGTCCTGCGAAAAAATCGCAGAAGCGACGGCTGCATGAAGCGGACCCTCGAAGCGGGCCCAAAGCAGCAGCAGCAGCCGCTCCACCAATGCCACGCGTCAAGTTTAGCGACAAAATAGTGCAGAGGAGACGAGTGCAGCACCCGCACATCACAACAGAGCCGTACGATAGTGAGTTGATACAATTTTTGCAGCAGCGGAGATGCATCCGCAGAGGCCTCTTGCGCAGCCGCTATCTCAAGCAACAAGGTCTCGCGGATATCGCTGCACGCAGGCACACACGCCTCCAAACCAGCCGCCTTAGCCGAAACATCCAACGTGTCTCAGCTCAGCAGATCGCCAATCAAAGCCCGCTGTAGCTAGCCCTGGCTAGCCACAGCCAAAGAACTCCCACGAACGGGGACGGCAGCCGTTATTGCCGCCTTACCAAAGCTCTTCGACGCTGCTGCATGCCAGGACTGCCGGGAACAGTTCATCATACGTCGCTGTGGCTAGACTCTCCAACAGGAACCTTAGGGCACCCTACGCGAGGCAGCAGCAGAGAAGCAACAACGCGCTAAACGCGGGTGTGTGCGCCTGAGCAGCAGCGAGCCACCAAGTCTCCCATCGTTTCCCCCGCTTCTCTCCAATACCACCGTCCACTTGGAGACAGCAGCGTGCCAGCAAGCAGCTAATGAGTGCGCAGAACTGACGCTACACGTGCTGCAGGCAGGCACTGCATCTCAAGCCCTCCCCGCTCCAGCTCTGCGGATTAACAGGGGGAAGGAAGAGGAGGAGGCAGCTCGTCTTCTTAACAGGAGCCCCCTAACCTCGTGAGTTGGCGAGACAGAGAACGTTGCAAAGAGATCTCTCTCCAGTCCGCAGAGCGATAAGGCGCTTGCAGCGACCGCACGGGCCGCCTCGGGCAATGTGTCACTGTTTCGCAGAAGGAACTGCGTGCAAGCATCTCACAAGTAACACTTGACGCCTTCGACACACGTCTTGCTTGCTTCTGGACTCGTCTCGGCGACAGCACGAGAAGGCCTAACCCCAGGGAAGCAACGTGCGAATCGCCTGCCTAATTCTGGAATTCAAACGCGCTTTTGCATGCCTGTGTCGGGGGTTAAGTGACCCAGGCAGACCATAATAAGCCTCCAGTGTATCTGCTCCCCGATTCGTTGGTTGCTGTTGGACGCTTGTATCGGCCTTGCAGCGAGGCGCGGCTGCTGGCCTTCTTAGCCGTCCGCAGTGGCTCGTGTCATCTGTATATCTGTCTGTATGCCTGTCTCTCAGTCAGTCAGTCTGTCTGTCTGTCAGTTTGTCTGTATGCCTGTCTCTCAGTCAGTCAGTCTGTCTGCCTGCCTATTGCGCCTTGTTGCACCCCTCTGAAGGAGGCTGTCGTCTTCCGTACAACGCACAGTAGCACTTCGCCCTTAAGGGGCATGGCAGAGCAGACACCCTTGCCGATTGTAAGCTGCAACTTCCAAAGCTTTTCCCACCAGACTGGCCTCCCGAATTCTTTCCCCACGGGGCACAGTTCTCCTTACCCCTCTGCGCTCAGAATTTTTATGCGTTCCCTTTAGTGCCTCATCACGCCCCCTTGCAGCCTCCTTTCTGCCACAGCCTCCTCTCTACAGACAGCACGTCACGACGGGCATGCCCGTGCTAGGGACGATCAGAACCCTCACCTGCAAGTGTTTTTTGAGGGACGGGAGGAGCAGCCGCAGCCGCATGGCACAGTACTGCTCCCTTAGCTGCTCGAGCGTTCTGAGGCGCACCACAAGGCAACTGCTAGCACTCAATTCTCTAAAAACTCATCCTTGGCCTGTAGCACTCCATGGCTGAAGAGGCAGCAAACAGCCCAGCGCGGCCAGGCAGGCAGGCTGACTAGCCGCTGCAGCCGCAGGGAGAAGGGGTGCATGCATATACATAGGCAGAGAGGAAATAGCAGCTGGAAGCTGCCCAGGACGGCTGTACGTGTCTCTCTCCCCTACTGGTACGGCAAGCAACAGAACCTTGCTTTCCTCCCTTCCTGCCGGCTATCCCTTCGAGCCAGCTAGTTGCTTAGCAGGAGGGCGGCAAGGGAAGGCACCCTCCTTGTGTGCCTCCAGGGGAAGTTGTTAGCTAGCTAGCTAGCCGCTGTGTGTGTCTCTTCAAAGGGCAGCCCGCTGTACCTGAGGTAGGCGTCACTGCATCCTCTAGCCTGCCGCTCCGTGAGAATTTGCATAACAGGCCTTGTAGCTGCCATCAGGACCTCAAACTGCACATGAAGCACCGAAAGATCGAGACTCTCTTCTTCCTGCTGCTGCTCTTGCTGCTGCTGCTGCGCCTGCTTCTCCTTGAGCCGCTCCAGCAATAAGTCTTCTGTGTGTCGCATGTGCTGCAACGCGGCAGAAAGAAGGAGCGAGAGACAGCGTGTCCGAAGGGCCTCATAGCCGCAAAGGCTAGCCTCCGCCTGCAGGAGCAGGAGCAGCAGAAGCATTCGCACCCATCGAAAAGTACAGCGTGAGGCACAGAGTTCTACAGAGGAATGTGTGGAGGTGTGTGTGTAGGGAAGGGAGGGATGGGAGGAAAGGCAAAGGACGATTCCCAGCTAGCTGCCCCTGCTTTTTCGCTTTGCGCACAGCCACTGCTGGAGGGAGAGACGTTCTCAGGCGGAAGAAGAGAGAGTATTTGCAAGGTGTGAAGCAAGAGGCAAGAACGGATACCCCGGAAAGTGCGTGCGAGATACACAAATGCTCAATCCAGGAAAAGAGCATGTATGAAAAGCCTCTTTTGCAGCTCCTTTCGGGGGAGGACAGAGGGCATTCCCCCGTGTGTGCTGCTGCCGCGCAAAAGCCGCATCCCCCTGAAAGGCTACCAAGGCTCCCATGTTGGTGCCTACGTCTCTGTAGTCCAAGTGCGACGCGAAGAACTGCAGGGCGTCTTCTATTCTGTCGAGTGCCTTCTTGATGACAGACACCTCCACTGCCTGTCGAGCTCCTAGGCCGCCTCCCACGACAACTGGAGGACTTCTCAACTGCTGATTCAGATACTCTAGTTGCGTGTAGTGACGCAGCCGCTGCTCTACGCACTTCGCCAGCGCCTGAAAGAAACGCAGCGGCAGCCAGCTACACACACGCCGCACCAACAGGTCAGCTCGCAGCTGCGAACGCGAAGAAGCATTCACACTTGCACGCCAGGAGAGCGAAGACACACGAAACACAGAAAGGCGAAACAAAAAGCGGCAGGCTCTGAGGAAGACCGCGCAGCGCATAGCCATGAAAAAAACGTTGATAACATGGGATAGAGCTGAAGGCGTCAGCGCCTCTTTCTCTCGGTGTGTGTATATGTCTGTGGATGTGTCTGTGTCTGTGGATGTGTATATGTGTGTGTATGTGGATGTGTAAGTGTCTGTGTAAATGTCTGTGGATGTGTCTGTGTAAATGTGTGTGTATGTGTCTGTCTGTGTATGTATGTCTGTCTGTGTATATATGTCTGTGTGTGTTATTTGTACTTGCGCTTGAGTCTGTCTCTGCAGCAGGTGTTTGAGTGCCCCCTGCAGCCCTAAGCTCGAATGCAGGAGCTTCTCTCTCGAGGCGTGAAGGCGCTGCCTCCTTTCCTCTAGACTCGAAAAGAATCCAAGGGTTGCACTCAGGGGAACCAACACGGAGTCTAACCTGCGCCGCAGCACGCCCCGCCTTCTAAAGCAACAACCCTCAACTTTTGCTTTCTAGGGACTTAACTGAAAGCGACATGCCCTTCTGCGAAGGAGCATGCATGCATGCGCAGTGCAAAGCCTCCCCTTGCATCCCTGGACCACACTCCAAGACGGGCAAATAGGCATCGCTTTAAGTAAAGCTGTTGCGCTCGGCTCGCGTACTCTTGAAGAGGCATCTGAAGCTGCTCTGTCTGTTGCTTTTCTCGTTCTTCAAAGAAAAGCACAGCCAAGTGGAAGGACGGCTCCTAAGAAAAACGCAGGTGCAGCAAGCAGCAACTCCTCAAGCCATGCGTCCAAGAGAGCGAAGGGTTGGACAGGGAGTCAAATAGGCGGGCGACTGGAGAGTCAAAGCGACGCAGACGCAGTGACATGAAAACACATAGGCAGGCTCCAGGCAGATATTTATATATATACTCATACACTCACACACACATAACCATACACATTTACATTGACACACTTGTTGCTGCGCCTCAGTAGCCTTTTCAACTGCAGCACGGCTGGCCTCAGCCTGCTGCAGTTGAGGAGATTGTTCTGTGTCGATTGGCTTGGTGAGCGGGAAGAACCCTTGAAGACCGCCTGCCCCTCCCCAAAGCGCTTCTAGGGCGTGCTCCTGCAGGTCGCTCTGCGGCGGGTGATCGCGATGCATCTTCTGGGGAAGAAGTGCCGCGCTAAATCACATTAATAAAGTCCTTCAACTTCGGCAGCAGCGACATGGGCGCCTGGACTGCCGAGGTGGAAGACTTCGTGCCTGCGCATGGGCAGGGAGGGGGGCAGAGAAAGCCGCAGGGAGGAGAGGGGAAGCCTTAGCGGAGTGTGCGATGAGGCATGAGCGTCCTGACGGCTGCGAATTTTCGCCGTGCAGATGGACCTGATGAGGAAGGGGGAAGACGATAGGGCTCTTGAGTCGTGCTGTGGTGGACAAGGTTCGCTACACCCGCCACACACCACGCGCACATCCGCGCATGTCCTCTCTCGTGGACCGCGTGCAGGAAGCAGAGACGAATATCAGACTCAAAAACACGAAAGACTAATGTTCGGCTGCAGTTAGCGGTCTGCGTGGAGGAGGCATGTGCCGCGGCAGACCGGCGAGTACCTCTTGAATTCAGCCCGCTCCCCGGGGTCTCTGGCAAAATGCAGGTAAAATTGCAAAGGGCGAAGCGCGCTGAAGTTGCACCTTTAGCAAAGGAGGCACAATCTTTAAACGACACGGAAGAACGCTCATGAAAGCAGCTCCTCCTGCGATGAGCTGCCGTCTTGCAAAGCCCCCGCCACCACCGACGGGTGTGGGATACCGCCCCATGCGTCGTAGGTGTTGGGGGGTTCCTCTACGGCGCGCGGCACAGCAGATCTACCATGAACCTGCACGCTTCCACCGTTTTCTGCTTCTTTCTTCTTCATGAAATCGGCCTCTTTATGCGAATTTCCTTCATTGGGCTTCGTGGGCTGTTCTTAAGCGCCGCCGGGCTGCTTACGGGATCGCGTATCAGGCCCCCCGCCTGCAGTTCTTCTGGCCGCTGTTTTCGCCTTCATAACGCGCTCTCTCTGCCGTTTTGGGCCTCTTTTCCTGAAATTCCTGCCTGCCAAAGAGCTTGATCTTTAGTGCAAAAGGCGACCTGTAAGGGTGACCCGCACCCTGTAAGGTCTGGCAACTGCGTAGCGGCGTCATTATCGCCCCACAGGACGATTTCCAGGAGCCCGCGCTCTTTCTCTCTGCTTTCGCCCATTTTCTCCCCTTTGCTCTACGCGCTTCGTTGTCTGTCTTCCCGCTCGCGTTGCCGGGCCTTCTATTCCTCCCCGTATCGTTCCCTGGCAGAAACTGGTTACTGCTCTTCGCCCGCACGGTTTGCGGCCGTGCTTCCTTCCTTCCCCCCTGCATTTCGACAGTCAGCCTCTCGCACTTCGGGCTCGCTCTCTCTATGCATTGCTGCTGCAGCTTCCAGCTTTGGAACGAATTCCTCCGCCCCAAAATTGCCGTGCTCTCTGCATCCTCTCTACATCCTCTCCACATAGATATATATATGAATACATTTATTTTTATATTTATAATCTGTATCGACGTACATATTAAGGCATCCGCACTCATTGCGCGTGGATCTATGTAGCTTGGTTTCCGTGTAAAGATGCCCGTTTCAGCACATGACGTGTCGCCTTCTTCAGCCCCCTTTTTGAACGGCGGGCCCCCCGGCGCCCATTTCGCCTGCGGAAAGGGAGATGGAACGCCATGGTGGCGGCTGAATGGCTGGAGGGGCTGTTGCTGCTGCGCACCGCGCTACTGGGTTGTTTCCGCCACGACGCTCATGGGGTTGCTGACGGGGAGTATATACTTTGGGTGGGCAGCTCTGGCCTCCATGATGCTCAAGTCCGAGAGCTTCTCTAGCATGTGTTCAAAGGATGCCAAGGGCCACTTCATCGATGATGGGAGGAACGCGAGGAGCTTGGCTATCTGCGATGCGCAGGACGCTGCGGTTCAACACCTGTACTCCATTACGCTGTTCACGATGACCAGTGTCAGTCTTGCGGCTGGCGGTATGATGGATTTCTGCGGACCCAGAACCACAGCCATCCTGGGATACTGTCTGAGCATCCTGGCGAGCTGCTGCCTCGCCGCTAGCCGCTGGGGGGGCGACGTCTTTCTATACATTGGATTCGTGCTCCTGGGGGCTGCTACGGATACCGCTTTCCTCCCAATCATGAGCAGCGCGCGTCTTTTCCCAAGCAAGAGCGGTTTCATCATTTGCATCTTGGGAAGCGCTGCCTCTGCCTCCTTCGGAGTTCCCCCGCTGCTAGAATTTCTTGCCGATACCATGGCGCTAAAACACCCGCTGGACATCTTTTGGGGGTATGCGGCGGCAGGGCCAGGGCTGTGCCTGCTGCTGACCTGTATCTTCTTGCCGAACTCCGCATTCTTGGAAGGTGGAGGCGAGCAGCCGGAAGCCTCTCCGCAGCAGCACTACCAAGAGTTGGTGGACGCTGCAGAGAAGGAAACGGCGGCACCCGACTCGGAGTATCTCGTCTCTTCCGATCCTGCAGTCTTAGAGACGCAGGAGCGGCAGCCCAACTCCGCATGGACGTATGTCTGCTCCTGGGAGTACATCATTCTGGCAATTTACTTCTCGGTGGTATCCTGCGCCGTTGTGTTCTACCAGGAAGCGCCAAGCCGCTACTTCAGCCCTCAGGTGGTGCGGGCATTGGAAATAGCGCTGCCGCTCTCCTTCATTCCCTGCGCCGCGCTGGGATGGCTGGCAGACATCTGGGGAATTGTGTCAGTCATGGCGATCGTTACTGCCAACGGCATCATGGCGTACGCGTGCGCCCTATCCGGAAATGACTGGCTGGGATATATTTCTGTTTTTTGTTTCATGGTTTTCATCGCCGTCTATACTAGCCAGCTCTTTGTCTACACTGAGAAGCGGTTCCCTGCGGTGCACTTTGGCAAAGTCATCGGCTCTATACAGCTAATTGGAGGCTCCGTTGCGTTAATCTGCAACCCCGTCTATTCTGCAGTTGCGGTGTCGCAGGTCATCTCCCTTGAAGATGTTACTTATTTTATTATTGCATTCCTTCTCACGCAGTACATTTGGCTCCTCTACCTCTGGCGAGTGCAGAAAAGCGAAGAAGAGGCCCTGGAGCAACAACTGAGTGATGTTGGTGTGCAGCTGCAGAAAAAACTTCAGCTGGAAGCTCGACACACGCAGACGGAGGAGGTGTCCTTTGCCTAGTCATTTAGCAGAGCGAAATGCGCCATCGGCGAGTCGAGCATTCATGATTTGTCACATTAGTGTCGTTTCACTGCGGAATTTTATGGCCGGTCACGTGAACAGTCAATGTACATATTTTACCGGAGTGCCAGTTCGCGCCCGCTCTCCGCTGTGCAAGTTGGCAGTAGCCGTTTGGGCATTTCCTGCGGCGTGTCACGTAGGCGGCCATTTGCAGCGCTGCGGGTTTTTGAAGCTCTGCCGATACGATCCACCATTTAAAGGATTGTTCATAAGCAAAATTTCAACCCTCAGGTTTTGAAATGGCTTGTGTGGACTGTCGTGTCGGTGGCAGGCAGAATTTAAGCATACCATACCCAAGCTCAATGCTGCGGGACAGAGCGCGACGGATAAGTTAGTGCCACATGAACTTTTAATCATCAACACCCACCCTGTCGCGCCACAACTGTGCGTGCATACAAGCCTGCTTCCACCGCAAAGCAAAAATAGCAGAATTTGACCAGCCGCACGCGGGTGTTCAGCACAGCAAATTTTTGTTGCCCCCAGCGCGCATTAGTGACCCACCTAGGCTAATTTATGCGCCAGTGATAAACCCCGAACTCGCGCCGGCGATCCAAGCAATTGCACCCGAATTGCATACACAGATCAATGCGAACCCGCAAGATTACAGCCCCTCAAGGCGGGTGTACTCGAAACAAGCCTCAGTCTTGTTCGTGTGTTAACAAAGGTTGTTGATGTGCCGGCGATAAATGTTATAGGGAACAACCTAGGGAGCAATGCTCGGACGCACACGCAAGGTGTTAAATAATGAAATGAGAACAGTTTGCTGGTGCGCTGTTTGTACTAAAAATACCGCTGAGGCCCTGCGGGAGAAGAGCGAGCGAAATAGGGGAGCCCAATGAGGACAGCCACGCTAAGTGTGAAGCCAATTTACAGGATGGCATGGCGCTCAGCTCTAAACGGGCCCGGCATTGTGTCGAGATACTGCCCAAGGCTGTCTACTACGGAAGCGCAACTTAAATGCCTGCTAGTGCATGACACAGGCAGCGATCGCTGCTCTCCGAGTTGCTGCATTGCATCCCGAAAGAGAAGCCGAAATTCGCGCTCAGTTTCTATGCCATTTCCGGTTGCGGAGCAATAGAGGCCCCCTTCTAGAAGCCTCATGCGGATGAGGCGAGAAAACGCCCGAGCCGGTCATGTTGAAGGCCACAAGTATTTGACTTCGTACTGTGTTCCGCTCTCATGGATGCACTGTTTTCACAATCATCGCCCCCCCTTACTTGCCAAACCGGCATCAAGATTCAATCAACGCAACCCCGCCACTAGGCCCTGCCCGTTTCCAAGGGCCCTGCGTGGCGCTGCACTGCTACAAGAACAGACCCCATTCCATTAGAAAACAGACTTGTTGAAACGAAGGGCACAGCTAAATGCTGCCTGGGGGTTGCACCCAACCATTAAAACGTACGATTCACGAGCCACAATTCTTCAAACACAACTCCTTGCCAAACAGATATACCCGAGACTGCACAACGAGCTCGCAGGTCAAATATGGTTCTCCATACGAACTCCCGAACACCAAAGGACGTCATATCAGCTGGCATGCCGGCACAGAAAAGCATTTGAAGCCGAAGAAGCCATCTTGAACTCCTTGCGCGTAATCCAAGAAAGACCTAAGGCCGTTCGCATTCCGAGGCCAGAGCCAGCGGTCCCTGGGCTCGCAGTACACGACTTGCAAAAAGGAAACTTCGCGGTGCGGTCGAAATGTTTATTACATAGCATCTCGCCGGCGTCGGTTAACAAGAGAGCCTCCATGGAGACATATTGAACACACTGGACGTCGCCTGTCTCCTTTGTTCAAAAGAGTATATGGGAACCAAGGGACGGATGGAAAGCAGTTCCGAGACGCTAGCACCAAAGCACTGCTCTCTAAAACTATTGTCGCCCCACATCAGTTGTCGACCCTAGAACCCTGCGGACTTGATAGGGTCCGCCAAATTCCCTCTCTTCGCATTGCAGAAGAAGTCCACTGACGAGCATCAGCCTGTCCCCGCCTCATCTTTTAAATAGATCACAGCATGCCTCTTGTAACTCCTGGGCAAGCTTGAAATGCAAATCGCTCTGTGCAGCTACCTCGCAAAGCCGCCAAAAGCCTCACTCGGTGCCCTCCCCCCCCCGCCTCAAGCCAGTGCATCCTCGATGCACCCCTGGCTCGACTGTGGCTCATGAGAAAGATCCGGATTGGTAAGCTGCACATCTATGGTGTATTTCTGCTGTCGCGCAGAGCCTTTGCCGCGTTTCCCCAAGAAAAATAATACTGTAATCCATACGAACTGCAGACACAAAAGGCCGACCATGATGCCTTGCACGATGCCGAGGCCGTTTTTAACATCGGGGTTGAGGGCGACACCCGAGTAGAGCGGGTTGCAGGCGAGAGAAAAGAGTCCTCCCACCATCTGAATTATACCGATCAGCTTGCCAAAGTGGTCATACGTGAAGTGCTGCTCAATGTATACAAACACCTGGGACGTGAAGATGGACATGTAGTTTGTGAAGCACAAGACGGAAAGGTACCCAAGCACTTCGATGTCACTGAAGGTAAAGAGGTACATCAGCAAGCCCGTGATGTTGGTGATGAAAATAACACGGAGAATGCCCCATTTGTCCGCCAAATACCCCCACATGATGCATGGCAGGAAGGAAAGCGGCAAGAGGATCTTTAGGAAATTGCGAACCGATACAGAAAGCAGCCGGTTGTGTGCCTCTTGGTAGAAAGAACTGGCCCAACCAACGCCTACGAAGTAGATTGTAAGGACAATGTATTTGGCGGAGAATAACTGCCGCCAAAAGCTTGCACCCGGTATAGCACACCTCGAATCACCATGTGCTCTCTCTCCTGCAGTCTGGCAAGCCGCTGGACTGTCACCACTCTGCTTGCCCTGGGCAGCTTCCGTGCTGCCGGCGTCTTCCTCGTCTCTGAAGTCGATGTAGCCGCTGCGCGGAATGAAGAGAAGAGCGAAAAGAAGACACAGTCCAGGCCCCATTCCAGCGTACGCCCAGAACACGTTTCGGGGTGAGCTGACGTTCAGGCTCTTGCAGATGGCTTCAAGGATCAAGGGAATGGCGAAGGAGGCCGAAGCGGCACTACCCAACAAAGTAATGTTCAGTCCGGCGCTCCCAGGAAACAGACGGGTGATGCACAAGACCGGAAGAAAGCCCATGTCGGCGCCCATGCCAATGAAAACAAAACCTGCGTACAGCGCTGAGTTACCCACAGTTTCAGAGCTTGCCAGCAATGCCCAGCCAGTAAAGTTGAACAGCTGCCCGAGGAAAGCCGTCATGAGAGGCCCCGCAAAGTCCATCATAGTGCCCGCCACGGAACTAAAAGTTGTATGCACAGCCAAAGTGATCGTGTACAGATGCTGCACTGCTGCTTCCTGTTCATCGCATATAAAACCCTTATCCGCAGTCATGTCGTCGATAAATCTGCCGTCGGCATCTTTGGGACACAGCGCAGAGAAGCTCTGCGCCTTCAGCAGCATCGAGGAGAGGGAAGCCCATCCAAAGTAAACGCACCCCGTCAAGAAGACGTACAACAAGTATATCAGCAAAATGACGTATCTGTTCAGTCCCCATGGCGTCGGCTGCTGCGCCCCGGGAAGATCACTCCGAGGCACTGCAGATTTTAATGACGACCATACTCTGGCGCCCGTTCCCTTCCCACTGGATAACGAAGAATCTTGTGCTTTCATGGTTGCCTCTGACTGCCACGTCGAGATCACACGGGAGAAGTAGATTGCACGACAGTGCGGCGATGCTCAAAAAAAGTTGCAGTAATTGTGAGTTCAAATTCGCCTCTCAAGGCTGATAAAGCATAAATGGCTGCCTTCAGTAGCAGTAGGTAGGTCCCCGTCCCCCGGTGAAGACCAACGCGTTACGTAGCGGGTCTACCGCCGTTACTCTCTCTCCCGCACAGCGGGCGACCGGGGAAAGGCAACGCTTGCTTTCTTCCCTCTCAGTATAAACAGCGAAAAAAAAAGCTCAGCGCTAGCCACAACTGTCTAATAATTGGGTGTACTGTGTAATTTTAAAGTCCCCTGCGGAGGGCTCATGCATTCGCCCAAAAATAGCAGTGCGGGGGATGGTCTCAGCCCCACAGCTCGCCCTGGTACAGCACCACTATCAAAGGCCCACACTTCCAGTCAACAAGCTCTATTTGTTGTGAGCATGCCATCATTCAAGAAGTAACGCGGCAGACAGGTGTAGGCAATTTTGTAGCGCCCTCAGCGCAAATGCATGGATGGCGAGGTGAGACAGGCAGTCGTGCCAGCTGCAGGATAGTAGGTCTTTAGTAATGCCCTAGAAAGGAAGGGCGTGAACGAGTCATAAACCGAAGGTAAGCAGAATACTGTCTTATTAAATGCAAATGGGCTTCGGAGAAGGTTGCAGAGGCAAGTGCCACGACAGCACGCTCTACATTCTTGCCTGCGGGAAAACGGCCCAAGAGTGTGTCTACGGGAATTAGCTTTACGCAACACACGCTTAAAGGGGGAAGGGTACCCTGTACGTGTTTTATTACCTTTTGGCCAGCGACTTGTGCTTCTAACAGTCTCCTGCCGCTGCCTTGTCCTCTGCTATCGCCTACTCCACTGTGACTCACACATATGTGTAGCAAGGGTCCTCGTTTTTTTAAAAAAAGAGCTTTTGCCTTGTTCTTTTTGGGGATAGCTGCATCCTGTCATTTGATAGGCTTAGGAGGTCGTGCTTCCCCTAGTTTGATTTCAATTGCTGGCTCGCTGACATTCCACAGGGAGTAACCGTAAAGTGAAGCTCAATCAAAGACCTAGTCATTACCGGGCTCCGTTACACCTTAAAAACCTCTGCCACACTCATTATCTGTTTCACTATAATTACAAACAAATTCACTAACTGGTGTGTTTGTCTGTAAAGCTTATTTATTGGAAAGCACTGCTGGGCGGATACATGTACCGCAATGTTGTGCGCGCCCGAGCTAGATGCGCTGTGTAGCGAGCTCCAAATGCTCTGGATGCTTGGAGGACGCACGCCCCAAGTGTACCTATTTCTTCATGTGAGAACTCTGAAGGTTGCGGGCAGGGAAGGGATGGAGCCCTCATACGAAAAACTCATTGATATACCGTTTATTTGTATTGAGTCTCGAATTGAGTGCCCCCCAAGAAAACCCTTGATGGAGGCTTCTAGGTGGTAGTATGGCATGGATAGATGTGGTTGCTATCATTTCATCCAGAGGTTCTTGACACAATGGGATGCCAGGCCTCAATACAACATTTGTAGGGCTTCTACATAAAATCACTTGGCAATTAAGAATAATCCAGTTATCTTTGGGAGCAAGGCGAGGAAAGAACCTCTTGCTGATCAAAGTTGGTGCTGGAGCAGCCTCTGTTCGGGCTGCAGAGGCCGGCCTGCAAGCTGACGTGAACCCAGTAGCTTCACAGCTAGTAGACAGGCATGATTTTGTCGATGCGCTAATTAGGATATGCATATCGGAACAGTAGGAAAGCCGGAATGATGGGCAAAGATTCGAAGTTTTGATTAGCCAGTTGGAGATGTACCCCGCAATACACCCCGCATATGGAGAGAAACGCATGCTTCTTGCGGCCTGTATTTTGAAAGGAAAAGGCTTTTACCTTTATTCTATTCATAAAGGGAATTTTCCTGCCTATTGGCACTGATACACTTTAGTCCTCCATATAAGCCATTACTTATCGGTCCATGCATTTTTCAGGCCAACAGCATGTTTTGAGAGAATCGAGAAAACTAAGGCAGGAAAAAATATCAATAGACCCATAGATCAAGTATTATGAAGCTTTGGTTCATAAAAGCCAAGAACGCAGACGAACACCAGAAAACTCGAATAATGTGCCTGGGCTGAATGGAAGCAGGCTGCTTGCGGAGCAAAGGGGGCACATCAAGGAAGCAAAACTCCCAACAACAGTCTGCACGGCATGAAGGGCTCCACAGAAGATGGAGCACCATTTTGGGATTCACCACGGTTCAATTGTGCGCCTATACAAGCTCAGACTGATATTCGTGGATTGCCAGCGTTACTTGACGCTGGATGTGAAATGGATGGATTTCACGATAACCCGGCACATAAGTGCAATCCGCCCTTTTACTTGTCAGCGCAGCGCCCAAAACTCAAGTCTGCTGACGGGCGGCAGAAAGTACGCAGTGGCAAGGCTACTGCAATTATTCGGTACTTTACAACAGAATTGGATTCTATCAGCATGGTCGATGAGTCCAATTTTGGACCGGCACACCATGACGTAATTTTAGGTATGCCATGGGTAGCCCATTGGAAGGCGAGCATGCGGCCACAGCTGAGTGCTGTGGAAGTTGGTGTGCCAGGCAGCAGTAGTACGAAGCAGTTCGTGGTCTCCACCGCGCGTATTTCGTGTGTGGTGAGCTGGGTAGAGTTGGTGCCTCAACAAGGTTAGACAAAGTCTTCAGGCAGGCGGCTCAGCAGCGCAGTGAGAGAAAACAGTTCTGAACATGCATTTCGTCATAGCGGCTCTGCAACCAGTTTTCTTATGCCAGACAGTGGGTTGGACTTTTAGCGAAGAAAGAGCAGGAATGGGCAAATACTGAGGAGGAGTTTGTGCATGTGCTAAATAATTACGAGCTGCCAGGAGGCTGCCCACTTTCTGGTCGTCCAGTGCGCCGTACTCACCTATTCCCGGGTCAGTCCCAAGCTATGCTTTAGGCTGTTGAAAGGTTTTATAGCATAAAGAGGGGAGTGAGCAGTAGGCGAATAATATGTTTAAAAAGGCAAAGTACAGTCTGTCTACTCGACATTTGACTTCACAGACTCCCTACTAGATTCCCCCATTCTCCCTGATTACAAGCTTAACAGACTTTTTGCCCCTGCACGCACAAGCTTCACACCACCCTTATGTCGTTTGCATTTGGTAATGTCCCAGCTTAACTGCAACGCACAGTTAATTGAGAGTTTTATGAGCCTATGAAGGAGAGACTAATGGCAGTGCACATAGATTACAACTCCATCATTTACCCTTGCAAGTGTCACAAAGTTGTCATCATTGGCTTTTTAGAAAGTTGCGTCTCAAATTAAGCGCAAAACTTTGCGGCGCAGGCAAGTGACCCGTGTGAACGCGAAACATCCACAGGGAGGCGTACAACTACTACATTTGATGACTGTAGACCACCGCTCACACGAGAGCAGAGCTTCTGGTGAAGTATTGTGGAGGATGTGAAGGACGGTGCTTAACGGATGATCAGCTGCGGGGTCCGTTACCCGCTAGTGAATTTGCAGCTGTGGTTGACAGCGCTAGTAGCCGGGGATGGTATGCCTGCCTCCCTTATTACTTGCCCCCCTCTCGCAGGTTCTGCATTAACCAGCTACCCTGTTATAGATATTGCTTGGACATTCCCCGGTTACCATCGTTAGGGTGTTCTCTGCCCTCAGATTTAGGCGCAGGCAATCCTAATTATCGATTCCTTGCATTATTCCTTATGCTTCCTCTGGAACCTGGAAAGCGATTAAGCTAAGTACTCCGGTTATACTTGCAAGCAAACTATGCTCCATGAGGGGCGGCTGCACTGCTGAACGAAGGTCCTTTTGAGATTTCTCTATATGATATTCTGATCTTTCGTTTTTCTTTGTACAGGCGGCTCACACATTTCAGTGCTTTGACGACAGGGTTTTAGCGCCGTTGAGGTCGTCTGTTCGTTTCCCCATTCATTTCCGGCTAGTGTTGCGTTGCTCTTCGCCTCGACTTTACTTTAGCATCCGACACAGAAATTTGTTTTCATTCGCACTGTTTTCGACTTCTGCCTACCTGAGGAGTGGCGACAGGGTGGAAGCTCCTACACTGCCCCACATGTAGTTGGGTTCGGCCGACAGGTACGGCACGCGAGGATATGTGCTCTGAAGTCGAAGCCGGGATGATGCATTATTCGTACGCTAGTGTACCTGAACTATGAATTTAAAAAGAATTGACCAGTTGGTCTGACTGTATATATATCTTAGCTATTGCAAAGTACTATTAGCACAGTTCCAAAACACGCAATGTTGTGCGTACCTGGGCTGAATGCTGTGTTTAACTACCTGTGAGTGCTAGGAGTACACAGAGAAAATGCAGCTGTGAACACCCTAGCTGTTCCCCTCTCCTAACGTGGAAGACATTCTCAGGCCGCGAGAAGGGAGGGCGGAAGTTCTTTTGTAAAGTCACTCAATAACTTTTGCATGAAGTTTGTAAGAAGTCCGAGGTCGAGGCTCTCTCAGCAGAGGACTTAGATGTGGCTCTAGATAATGCTTTTCCGTAACAGACTTTCTGTGTCTTTGACCTAATGCAACCGGATTTCGGAACGTTGAGAGAGCCAGATAGAGTGTGCACACAGACGCCGAACACTGATTCCTCTTGTATTGAGCCAACTCTTACGCTGGAAAAAATGATATGCACAACCGGTTACACCAAATAATGTATTCTTTGTAAATTCTTAAGTAGAATAATTCGTGTAGAAGAAAATGAGTATTTGTATATTTGCGCGCTGCACACCGCCTAAGTGTGGGTTTCACTACGGCATGTTCAGGTGCTGCAACATTCCGTGGGAATGGCTGCTCAAGGTGGCTCCGCTAGGGCTAAAGTTTGTATGCTCCTCGAGTATTCCTTTACAAACAAGGGAAGATACTTATCTTACCGGAAACTTCTTCATCATGAATGGCAAATGAGTCAACAGCATGCAGAAGTTTGTAGTGCGTGTGATACGCATTTCGCATAAATATTTCGTGATTTCATCAAAATAGTATACGTTTAGCTATTTTATTTGACGTAATGGAAGAATTACTACATTACGTGCAAGAAGCCAACACAAGGTGTACTGTGGACTGAGTGCATGCAGCAGACGCTCTGCCACGGAAAATTGAACTGCGGATGACGAACGGAAGTCGCTGTGTGCGATACCCCAGTACCAATTGCTTCGATTAATTTATTGTACTATACTTGCTTTTGCACTTCTCTTCCAAAAGCTTCATCGAGACCCGCTTCTGTGTTCACGGAGGCGGGTCCAGCTGGCGGCAGAAGGAACCTGAAGATTACTGCCTCTCTACTCGTTTGTTAGTTTGTGTTCAAATGAATCCCTCCTTTTTCCCTGGCCGAGGCTGTGGAAATGGGCTGCTCCAACAAGCCGACATCCCCGCCAAGTCCGAAGAAATGCCCGCGTCAGTTCTAGAGCCCTTACAGTCTAGCCGAGAGGATGTTACCAGTACCAACCCTTTCGATGACTATGAAGGGGATCCCTCGGCTTCCTCTCATATCAGCCAGGCGAAGGCATCCAGCACGGCATTTGCCGCCACCGGTGACAGCGGATCGCGTGGCGGGCACATGAGAAATGCGGCATCTTCCGTTTTGTACCCTGAAGGATTGCCGCGGTTTCTTGGGGTGCTACAACCAACTGTTAGCTTTGGCTTGTACCGCTCAACTTTGAGCCGAGGCATGGACTTTATTGCACACTTCGTTGCTCTGACAACTCTGCTTTCCTTTTTCGCGACCATTCTGGCCATCAGTTGGATGCAGAAGCTCTGCCTACCCATCGCCAAGCAGTGGAATAGCAACTACACACTCGTATTCGGAGCCTTTATGGCCTTATTGGGTGAGACTTATGTGGGATTATTTTCGTGGTATTGCACTCTTTTATGACAATAGACAAAGCACAGGGAAGATCGCCTCTTCAGCGTACTCTGTCTTCGACGTAGAGGCACTCCGTATTCTTGTACATTTCCAAAAAAGGCTATAATATTGAATGCCTAGAGGTCTCATGCAAGGCACGTTTTTGGCGCAAAATGCACTGGCGTACTGAATCGCTGTCCTCTACGCATTGTAGATCCAGTTAGTAGGACATGCATTTTAAAGAATGTTCACGCACAGTTTACGTTCGTTTCAGATATATTTTTCACGTGTTTAGTACTATTGTTTTTCGTAGTTGCATCGCGTTCTGCTGTTGTGTTTTACCTGCCTGTATGTGAATGCTGGTTTCAGCAGTTTTTTCATGGCGATCTGCAACGAACTTCGACCTAAGGCGATCCAAATTCTTCCTGTTTCTCCTGGGATGGCGCCTCCATGCATTGTTGCTGCTTTCGCTTCTCATGATACTTAGCCTTGCCTTTAAACCCCAGTTCAACGCGCACGTACAAAATAGCGTCCGCTCTTGCATGCTTGCAAGCAACAGTGCCGAAAGCTCTTCATTCCGCCTGTCGCCCTCCAGCGCCTCTCTTCTGCAGAGTGTTCAACTCTCCGGTCTGCAGGCAAGTGATGCTCTTCTTCGTGCTTCGGCCATGCCCAGCATCACGGAAGAAGGCCTCGGCACACCAGGCTTTTCCGCAAAAGGGGTGCAGTCAGCTTATCCTGTCGTCGTCTCTGAAAAAGCAACCGACGCCGAACCCACTGGACAGTCCGCAGACGTCAAAAAGGTGGTGAAGCCCTCTCCACTAACTCCGGCAGGCAAGTTGGCTTCGCAACAAGAGGTTGCTTCGCCGGCAGTTTCTGGGCAGGAGCCGGAGTTGCTGGCAGAAGGCGGAGGGAAGTCTTTCACTGGAGGTACAGACAGCAACCAGCCCATTGCCGTGGACAGCTCTTCTAGCCCTCCTTCGCAGCCAGAAAGCGGTCAGGAGGAAGGCGAAGCAAGGGTAGCAGACGAAGGCGTATCTGGCACCGCTATCTCTGCGGAGCAGCAAGAGAGCCCAGCAGCAGGTGTGTTAACGCCTTCTGGTGATGGCACCGTGGTTGGCAAAGTTCCCGAGGTAAAAGATGCTAGGAACGCTCCTGAACAGGGGTCTCCCCTTCAGGCAGACACAGCGACGGCACCGCCAGATAGCAGTGCTCATCAAGACGAAGCACCAGACTCAACAGCAGCAGCAGCATCAAGTGAGGAGGCGCAGGCGGGTCATGAAGCCGCCGATCAGAAACCTGCACAGACACTGGAGCTTGAGAAGCAACGGGCGCGGCTGGAGGCGGCGCAGCACGCGGCTGTTCAAGAAGCCAATGCCTTCGTGCTTGTTGCTCTGGTCGTTGCGTCTTTTGCGCTTGTGTTTGAGCTCTATCTGATGTATGCCTGCTGGAGCTTCAAGGTGTGGATGGAACGAGGCTACGAGAGCGTGGTCTTAGCAGGTGAGGCGGGGCAGGGCATAGTAGGCCGAAGGATCGCGCCGGTCTGGATTTAAAAGCCTCGGAAAAACGTTTTTTTCCGTGTTTAGCTGGAGCACCTTCAGTGTGCGTCTGTAACGACACATCATAATCGTCCCTTCGAACATATATGCGCTACACACTTCTCGTGCAATTTCCATTGTCTCATCGGTGCATGCCCGCTCGGCTTAACTCCTCGTGCACTTTAGTTGCATCGGCCTTACTTGGTTCCATATTTGCGCTGTTCACTTGCTGCAGGCGTTGCCCCATTCGCAACGGCGGATGCAGGCGACGGATGGCTCGCTTATGCAGTACGGATGCCTCAATCCGTTCAAATGGAAACCTATGGTGCCGATGGTGTGTTTACACTTGTGGGGTCATACACTTTGGCCCATATTTATGGTTGGCAGATTCTCCTGTCGAGCGCTCGCATGCTGTAATGCGCGTTTTACGGCTGTGCAGGATCCAGAGGGGCTGTGTCTATTCTGCGTGTGCGGGTGCTGCAGCGGGTAGGCCAGGGCGGCTGCCGCTGTTCTTGCAAACGACGGATTCTTTTGACGGCTTCGCTCATTTCGGCCTCCCGATGACAGGACGCTGGTGACTGCAGAGGCCGTGTTCTTATAGATTTATTCTGTACTCTGGTCCCCCGCTTCGCCATTCCCGTATGCATGCATGCGTGGTAGCAGCATCGGCGATGAGTGCGGCAGTGGCGCACTGCTGCCTCTTGTGTGAAAGCCTCTGGCTGGGCTGCGCGGGGGATGGTCCTGAGACCAGCGTGGAATTTCTGAAGGTATGCTGTATTCACAGCATCCTCCAGCGTCACGACAGAAAGAGGCCCTGATGGCGGGCTTTAATTAGTTTTTACCGCCGAATGCGACCCATTTCCCTTTCAAAGAAGGATGATGGGATAGGGAAAGGCTTGTGCTGTATAAGCCAAAGCAGAATTAGGGCATGTGGTTCATGATATGAATGAATGCGTGGAAAGCTCAGGCAGTTTGCTGAGTTTCTCCGCGATGGACTGGGGGAGCATGTTCTACAGTGGCCGCTCTTTTGTCAGTAGCCTCGCGGCGGTTGTGCTCATTGCAGTTTACAGCACATCTCCCTCACCCTGCTGGTTCTGTGTATGCACGCATAGGGAGGCGGTAGTATAGTTCTGATGTGGGAGAGGGGGGTCCATGAAGGTGCATAAGGATGAGTCACCTAGTGCTATCCATCTCCCGTGTGACGGCGGTCCCGCACCTAACGCAGCGCGGCACACGCTCCTCCGTTGGTTCACTTGCGCATCGCACGCCAATGCTTTTAAAGCAAAATCCATAGTTGCTGCCAACGACGCGGTTGGATAGAGGACTTGGATGTACAGCATGTGTGCCAATGTACACAATAGTCAACTGCTCCTCAATGAGCACATGTACGGACAACTCTTCACGCGGGTCGCCGTTAATCCTCATCCTTCCAAGACAAGGCTAAGGGCAGCGCTGGAAATCGTGCATCTAATGAAATGGATCGTAACACGGGACTGCACCCATAAGCTAAGGGTAGAAGGGCACTGTATCTGGCGGAATGGTCACTTTCAGCTAGAAGCCCACGGTGCTGCTTGCCTTATGCCCACTATGAAGTATGGTTTGGTGCTACGCAACCAGCGGACAGCTTTCACCTCAGCGGGAGTGTGTTCAGTGCTGCAGCCTTACGTTTTACTGTTGCGCCTGCGTAGTTTAGAGACCATAGGATGCTCCCCAAACCAAGCATATAACCGGAAGAAAGCAATACGACTTTCACCATATCACACGCCTACTCGATAAACGCGGTGGTAGCTTAAGCTAAGAACGTTCAATACTCCGGTCGTTATCGATAGTGTGGAAGTGGGCGAGATACCGGCGACGTTGCAAAGAGTAGGGAGTTGGCGGCGTAATGGGGGCTCGCCACCCTGAGTACTTTTCACGTGAAGCTCGTTCAGTGCTAAACATTGCAGATCTATGGGTGAGGGCTTACGTGAAATGTTCGAAATAGAAGCAGTACACAAGGAGCAAAAAGGGCAGGTTCCTCTGGTGCAATTTCGCAATAGTAGCAACGGCTGCTTGTGGGCCATAAGCGTCAGATTATAGCTACCATACATTTAACTCTGGTAGATACGCACAGCCCTTTCAGTATAGTGCCAAGAATGGCTAATATCGAGGCTGCGTTCGAAATGTTGCGGACTGCAAGTCGCTGGGGCAATTGTTGAGAACGGCTAGGAAGATCAATATTGCGAAGACCAGCAACAGTCGTTGAGATAAAGCATCAGCATGTGGACTTAAAGCACTATTGAGTGACGTTGTCAAGTGCAGAATGCATACTAGTGAAAGATTTGGCGCATCCGAGCATCCGAGGCAACATACAGGGAGGCATCATCTCTCTAGAATTGGGTATTCCTCTGTGATTCTGGCCATGTAGCAGAATCTAGTTTCAATCGGTATTTAGATGAAGAATCCCCTGAAGCGCCCTTTTTATTCCCTAGAAGGGCCCGAGGTACCGGGGTGGGGCCTTCGTAGGAGCGCAGATGATTGCATCGCGGGTCTGTGGCGTGGCAAAACATAAAATCAGGGAAGATTATCGGACTGCTTGGTGATCTTCCGTGTTATTCTTTGTTGTACTGTGTTTCTGCCGTATTATTTTTTGTTTCCTTTGAGGTAAGTTGCCTCTCGTTGCAATCTGCACTGTAATTGGCGATCACCGTTCGTGGACCCCGCAGGCTCCTTCCGCTAAAAGGCAGTTAGCGGAGCCAGAATTCATTTTTGTGGCTTTCATAAAATTGACCACAGACGGACGCTGTGCACAGGGGAACGGCGGTTGTTAAGGGTCTAGAGACACCAGGGCACCTCGCCATGTCCGTCGCTTCTGTTGTCTTTTTAAGAAAGTCCTAGGCACTGGAGCCCCCTGTATATTTTGTACCCTCGATGTTTTTTGATACTTCTTAAGCCATAAATCCAAAGCAGCGGATGAACTAAAGCCAAGGAGATGCGCCTCTTTCAAAAAGAACACGTGTTCAAGAACGACTGGGATGCAATCACGGTCAGCTATGTTTGCATTCACGTACACAATTTGAAGGCGAGACCCTATTCTAATAGATTGCATCGACGCATTCGAAGTGGCTAACCGGAAGAGGTCCAGTTGCGTTTCATTTTGGGTTCTTGCTACATTGGAAAAATGCGTTTCTCTTTTCTCTTCGTGCGTCCATCTCCCTTTAGTGGCTTTTTACATTCGCTGCTTCAGTCGCTTGCTTGTTCTTCCTCACCCCACGTATGCGGGCACAGTGCCGTGCTGCATCTTTCCTCATGTTGCTTCCATGTCGTATATGCGACACTGAGTCACGCACAGACTTATCCTTAAGACTACTATGAAGCTAGATGCCCATGCCTCGTTCTTTTAGTGGCGGGTCTTGCTAATTTGAGGCTTTTAGTTGCTATGCGTTGTGTTTGCTCTTTTTCAGTCGGCGTTTTGGGTGAAGTACCCGAATGAGTTGCAGCCGCATGTACTGCGAGTCGATACACTGGATCTTCAGATTGATTCCGAGAATCAGCAATTTGTCTGCCACCGCCTCCTTTCCCTAAGATACCAATGTCCCAAGTAACCTGATCCCTTTGCCTTTCGCCATTTGAGAATGTAGTTTCCTCTTTTACTACACTCCCTTGTGCGGTTCATCTGTTGTACCGTTTGTACATTCCCCGCGCCCCGCTTTCCCTATCCGTTTCAACGCACGCATGAGAAAGTCCAGGAAAGGATATGTGCTTGCTGTATATTTGTGTTCTGTTTGGAATTTCGATGGCATGTTTTGTATGTGTCGATGAGTGTTGCTGCCTACAGGTGGGTGCAAAAGTTCTTCGGGGCTTCACCTATAGGTTTCGCCTTTGAAGAGGCGACTTGTTCCCTCAAGGAACGCAAATTGACGCTTAGGTAACCCACTGTGGCATGTCTAAGGCGTCCATCCTATTATAAAGGAATAAATGATGCTCTCGTGGGGTGCCATGGGAAACAGTCTTATGTGTCTCTCCCTGCTGCTGTCTATGGGATCTTGTGCCACTAAGAGTCGGCATTCGCATCCTCTCCTTAGTTTTTCCTGCGCTTCAGGTCTTGCAACTACACCTTTGCGTCCTTCTTTCGTGTAGAGGAGAGCTGCGAGTACACGCCGCATCCTGAAAATCCGCAACACACGCTCTACAAACAGACTGCTACGTACAAAGTCTCGGGCCTGGGGTTGCCTGTTAACAGAGCAGTAGAAAATGTATGTGTGGTGCTTTGCATGCCCTTCGCTTCCCATAGAGTGCGGCTGGACGATGGTCCCAGTGTTGGTGCATGCAGCAAGGCCCCAATGCCGTGGTATCCGTGGGTGGCTTGTGGGCATGCTGCATGAATTCGTTAGCCAAACAGTTTCTGTGCTGTGTGTTAGCGTGCTTGCCGCTCCCCCATGCGGCCTTGACTTTCTGTGGCTTGCTTTTTTCAGGCGGCGGTGGCTCAGGCAGCAGAGAAATCTCTGTTGGGTGTCAGCGTAGTAGAGCGCCTTGGGGTATTTTTGGCAGAGCAGCAGTGGCGCGAGCGCTGCAGCAACTGTCTGCTTTCTCTAGAAGAGGCAGCGGCAAGTGCTTCAAAGCATGCCCAAGAAAAGTACAGGCAGCTGCGCATGTGCGTCGAGCAGAAGCTTAGAGTAGGCTGCCCCCCAAGCGAAGTAAACAGAAGCAGCAGCGCTGCTTTCCTAGAGCCTACAGACGATTTCGAGGCGCAGCAAAGGGCGCGCGAGACGTGTGGACGCACGGAGGATGGGATTCTCACGAAATTCGTGAAGGGCACACCCGTCTCTTCAGCCGAACACAGCCACGATAGTCTGGAGCAACAGGCACCAGCGTCTGCGCCGCCTGGTGGTCTGCATGCGGCCTCCTTTTCACACACAAGGATTCCCTTACGACTCTCCTCTGAGGAAGCGCTCTCAACGGGGAGTGCAGGCAATGGGGGCCCTTCAAGTGCTGGCACCCTCAGGAGCGACGCTGATGCCTCGAACAGCAACGGGGATGTTGAATGCCCCTGCGGCTTAAATTCTCCGTCCGGCAGACAGCCAGCTCCCACGGGCACGTGGAAAGAGTTCAAAAAACCGTGGCGCGAGCCAGCTTTTGCTGATTTCAAGGCTGCGGCCACTTACCCTGCTTCTTCCTCTTTGCCCACTGCATCAAGATCTGGGGCCATTGATTTTCCGCTTGTGACGCGGGAAGCTGCTACCGCAGCGCGATGTCAGCAGCAGCAGCTGCCGCAGCAGAGCGGTAAGCAACAGGTGGATTGGCGGGGTATCCAGTTTCCAGCTGTATCGCCTTCGAAAGACCTTCATGTACACAGTGGTGAAAGGGATCAGCAGCGGCGACAAAGAGTGCTGCCGCATGGAGGATACAAGCTGCTATTTTCAAGCTTAGGGCCCCCATGAACGCATACGGAGAAGTGCGAATCTGCCTAGCTTTTGTCTTCTTTATGGCGCGGTCTGCTTTTCGTATTGGGTCGCCTTTTATGGATACAAACTTGTGTCAGTTTCTCCAGACGGTGAGGCATTGAACATTCGAGCAAACCAGTCCTTGCGGTTTTAGCGCAGCACTGTGTATGGTAGGGCTGCAGTCGTGCGGCCACCCTCCTGCGCTGAAGGGGTTAGCGGTAGGGGTCACATGCAAAATGATCTGCCTAGGTTGAGGTTTGGGGACCTTCTGCGTGTCGCCGCACCTTTCACGGATTGGGAGCTTGCAGTATGCCGACAGACTTCGCAAACTGAGAGGCACACTTATGCAGTCTGTCAAGCCCCCTCTTTATTTAGTGCGGTTTAACTCTGTTAAGTTCCAAACTAACACATATCCTTCTCTCGTCACTCGGCATCCTCGTAGCTTTTGTAAATAATGGATAGCTTTTCCACTAAAACGGTCCAGAAATGTAAATCTTTTAGTAGAGACATTTAGCCGACTTCGCGAAGCCGTGGCAGCCAGTGCTGTTGTTGCTGCTCCCCCTCATCCCCGGCTTCCAAGTCAGACTGTGGCACTTTGTGGTGATTCATCTATCTTGGGGTCACGGCAATGCAGGGGACGCGCTTGACTAAGCAGTGCCGCGAAGTATATCAATGCCCGTTGGATCTCAACACAAATACAAAAGCTCCTAGTAATACAATAAAAACATTCAGGTGTCCGGGAGAAGTTTGTACCCTTCCTGTGCCCCAATTTCACAATTTTTCGAGGTACCCGGCTACAGCTGATGGGGCACCATCTGCTGAGCTTCAGGCTTGCTCATACAGCCTTGTTCGTTCGTGTATAACCCCTATTTTACCTCACCCTGGCGCCCCCCACCCCTCCACACACAATGGTCGATGCGAGCTACACCCCTTACCTATCATTCCCGTGTATAATACAGAAAGTCACAATCCACGCTGCTGGCCAGACACAGCAGAATGAAGAAAGCGCAAAATATCAACCTGTGTGAAGCGCTACACCAGTTAACGATAATCGACACACCCAGGCTTTCATCCCTACTATTGCAAAAAAGGGATGGGTTTTCAGGGGATGCTGCTGGAAATTGGATGAGGCTGATGAGGAGATAAAACATCAACTGCGGAGGACTTGGGGGTTTTGTCGCAGCAAAAAATGTAAGGAATTAAGAAGACACTTTTCGTTTGGTCTCTGGCCGTATTTTCACGACGGCAGTATGGGATCAGTTCCAGTATGAGTGTACCTGCAGCCGGAGCTTTGCCTTATTGAATCTGTGCCTAGATACAGATTCGAAATTAGGATCCTCCTTTGTCTCGTGCAAAAAGGCTGGAGGTTGTTTCCTTAACCTCCTAACCAGCCAAGCTGAAAGCCAAGACAGTTCCGTACTCTTACAAGCCGAGCAGTTGCTGCCTGGAATAGAGCAAGAAGTACTTCTATAAGGGTTCTAAGGGTCTCAGGACTATAATCAAACCGAATGATTTGAAACTCAGGGGTGAGCCACTTACAAAAATGCGGTAATTAACGGACCGCAAAAACAGTCGATTGTTTGACGCATGTGATACCCTTTAGAAAAATAAGGCTCTCGACGCATCATAGTCAACAAAGAGAGGTACACTCTGGAGAAGTCTTGCTCAGTCAGGGAATTCTTGTAACGTGCGCAACGCTGAAAAGATTTCATTGCTGCTCTGCCTCCCAAATCAGCTTAAAACCGCCTCAGCCCAGCCCTGCACATGCTCTAAACCAGGGGAAATCTACATTGATGTGGCATCCAAAAGTGCTTATGCGAAGAAAATGAAGTAAACTGCAGTTTTTAAAGCGAATGGCAAAGTATAGCTCACGGTGTTTATTAATCGGGTCTGCTTTTAAACCCTTTGATGAAGGTACGAGTTATGGGTAATGCGATCTCTTTCTAACATGATGTTCATTCATCAGGGCAAAAGTGAAGCCTCTTGTGCTGCATGGGCGAGATACGCTTACTGCAGCTGCTGGTCAAAGGTCTCTGTGAGGTCAACTGTCGTGCAAGTATACCAACACGGATAACTTCCTATCTGCGAAGTGTTTACCAGCCGTTCCGTGTATACTTTCTTCTGCGCCAGCGGAGCCAATAGGCTGGTGCAACCAGGCACGCATTTCATTAGCAGTAACAATGGCCAGGCGCTTCCGCGCCATCACTTTTACTCCAGCCTGCAATTCTTGCTCATGATCACTACAATCACGGCATTCATTGAAGAATGTGGACATAGGCGTGAGCATGGCTTCTTTCGCATCCTTTTACTATCGCAGAGGGGTGTCCTGTGTGGCTTAGTGTACCACTCCATCGAGGGTCTTTCAAGAAGACGTCTAATTCCTGACGCAATACACAATATAGAGAAAGTTTTTGCGTGTTTCTCAAGAGAGTTCCCTCCATTCCCTGCTTGCAATTCTCAGGGCTCCCGAAATGAGGGGACAAGGATTGCTAGGGTGCGCGCAGCTGCACCCTCAGAGCGCTCCGAGCATTCACAGCTAGCTGCACTAGGAGTGTGATGCGCATTCACAGAACATTGTGCCTTTTGTCCTAGCAGTAGTCTTCAATGAATAGGCTATACGGCCAAGCAAACCAATCGGTTGATTCTTCCGTTATTTTTAGTTAAATACAACTAGTGTAGTAGACACTATTCAAGCGTAGCAAAGCTTGATAGATCTTCCCCATTTCTTAGCAAATGCTCTTGTATTCCGTTCTTTTCCGTCGAAAAAGCCGTGCAGGGTCTGTTACCTACGTGTTCGTCGAAATTAAGTGCATGCGGGATGCTGGGAAAATTCCTATCCTATCGCCACTGCCCAGCCAGGCAGAAACGCGCAAACAGTGCAGTTGTGTTCCAGCTGTTGAAGAGAAATCTGATGGAAGAAAGACCCACACACCAGCCAGCATCGAGCGACGGGCCAAAGCAAGGCGACCACAGAGGCTTGATCTCTTGTTAAGCAATCCCTCCGCGCCTCATAGAGCAGTCTGTGCAGGCAAATAGGGAACATAAATGTACCTAGTGAGTATCACAGCCTCAAAAGATACGTAAGGAATAATGTGGGAAAACATACTTGGAAGTGGCGGTGCCCGAAATTCGGGAAAAGTGGACACCCTAACAATAATTACAGGGGACCTTGTAAGAAATATCCATAAATGAAGGTAGCTGTTTTAAGGGAATTCTGGGGGAGGGCAAGTACCAGTACCAAGTAACGCAGGACCACCGTCCATGGCTACCAGCGTTAAGTAAAGGCAGAAATTCACTCACAGTCACGAAGCTTCCACCTGCTGCTCCGTCAGCCACCGAGTCTGGCGCTCCCCACTATTGCACTTGAAGCTCTTGTAAAATGTGGCATCGGCGGTCGACAATACTAGAATCTGTCACTTGTACGCCTTTCTACGGATCTTCCGCCTCTACAAGAGTCATCTGCCTGCGCCGCAAAGTTTGCGATTAATTAGAGAAGCTTCTAACTTTTGAAAGAAGCCAATGGTGACAGTTGTGTGGCACGTCCGGCTGTAAAGGCAAATAGCAGGCTCATGAGAAGATGCAAATGGTCCAAGTCAACTGGCCGCAACGTCTTTATCTTGTCACCTTCTGATGCACCGCCTAAAACCTGCCAATTCACCGTACTCAAATCTTCCAGGCTCGAAATACACAGCCCACAGTTTCTTAGCATAATGGCGTGTTTTCTCTCTTGAGCTTTGGACATACAGTCGTGTGCACCAGCCAGCTGTTCTCTAGATCCCTTCTCGGCAAAGGGTAGCTGCTGACCTCCTGCCACCAGATCCGGGCTTGGATCGCAGAGGCAGGGGGTTTCCTTAGAGTAGAACAGATTATTGGGAGAGTAATTAGTAGAACAGTGTTAAATTGCATCATAAACCCACTCAGCACCGAAACGAAAGTCCAGCCAAGCAATAAAATTCCGTGAGCATAAAGCCACAGGCACTGCAGAGGGCAGTGGATGGTGAGGATGGTGCGCTGTCTATCCGTCTGCATCATGATGGTTACATTTGCTAATAAAACGGTCAATGTGTGAGCAGGTCTAAAGTGTTATGCCAGTATGCGCTAGCGAAGTTTGAATCCCTTTTCGTAATGATATCTCTGTGGAGTCTGTAACGCATTGCTTTCATTCAGAGGCTAAGAATAACTGAGCAGCTTCCTGAGTTGTGAGCGAACTGTAACAAGGGCTGTAATGGACACACTTGCTCAGTCTATCGGCAACGATATACGTGCTATCCTGACCCTTGAAAACCAGCAGTGACAACAAAGTACTCAGCAAGATAAGTCCGAAACTGTTCAGGAATGGAAAGGCGTTTTAGAATGCCTATTTCAGGAGATTTTTGTTACTTTAGCTGCAAGCAGTCTCAGTATGATGAAACATGCTTCTCAAACGCGGGACGCATACCAGGCCACCCGAAGGAGCGTGCGAGCCTTCCCAGTGCAGTGTGAATCGTACCTTGACCCCACAAAATATGCTAGTGTGCTTACTACTAAAAGGCAGAGCACAGTGAAGTCGGAATGTATAATAAATTGAGGAGTGCCCAGTTTGTTTTGAACCGTGGCAGGCCATCCTCGACTTCACAGTGCTGGACCCGTTTGCGATTACAAATTCTGGCAGTAGTAGCGAATGTATTAGTTTCAAATGCACAAGACGCACGCATTTTGATAATTCATGCTGGAGCATCGATGACAAGAGCCGCTGTGGTGAACAGCAAAGGGTTTCTGGGGTGTCACGTTAGCGCGTCGGCGACCATCTTGGCTTCACTAGGGGTCATTGCCAGTCGTATTGCAGGAAGCTGTAAAACCGGCAAACAGCTCCAGGATTGTACAAATTCTTAATTCTCTATGCTAGATGCAGTAAAAAATAATGGTTGGTCTGGGCAGCAAAAAGACTCCTATGTAAATGGTGTTGACATTTCAGCACGGCCTCCCCACTGCATAGAGCTTGCTGTTTCCACACAAGATACCACTACTCGTCTTTTTGGCGTATCGATTAGAAGAAAGAGCAAAGATTTGGTATTATTTAATAGCCTGCAGGCTTCTGAGGAGAGAACGGCACCTACAGTGACGTCATAAGAATTGGTTTTCAGGAAGAAAATGACGCTCAGAATCAGGCAGCGTGAGTACAAAAGAAGTTTTGAGGCGCCCAATAAACCTTCTTGCTACGGCATCAGCCATCTCTGCCAGTGTCCTGGGCTGCGTTTCGTTGAGTGAATCAGTCAAAGGACCAATTATCTAAGCAAATACAGGAGTGATATTTAAGTAGTAAGATGCAAGCTTATAAAACTTCGCAACGCTATTGAAGAGCGTAAACGTAATGGCCTCTCTTTGATAGTTTCAATTTTGCAGATTGTAGCTCATTCCTGCAGCCAAAAATGCGATAAATTCGAATTACAATCGTGTTAATGAAAATAGAAAATTTTCCACCTGTACATTCTGTTGCGTGTCCCGCTACAGCTGAAGCGCCCGCCCAATGTCCTCTAGGTGTACTGATACTTTGCAGTTGTCGAGTAAGACGCCCATACACACCACCATCCACCCCTCCCTGATAAGGGCATAACCAGCCCAAGCAGAGATTCCTCAGCTCAGCTGGGGCATTTCTAAGTACCAACGAAAAGCAGGTCTCAATGTGGAACGTGTTGTGTCTGTCATCAGGGTGTATGTGGATATCTAACAGGGCTTCTGTGAAGTCATATCTCGAGTACACTGTTGATCAATGTGAATTGCCTAGTCAGTCTTCAGTATGAGACAATCGCGGACTTTCCACTCTAGTTATTCTTGCTCAGGGGCATGCATTTTAGCTTTCATGTGCGACATTCCGTCCGTTCTTCTCACCAACACCGGGCAGTCCTCAAGGGGCTCGCCAACTCTTGTACTTCGCCTCTTTCAACACATCATCCGCTCGCTGCTCGTCCCCATCTTCATGCTATGGACGCTTGCAACATCGCAAAACATAGCTTGTGGCTAAGCCAAAGGTTGACTTAAATATGGTGTGCTGGACGACCAGAAAGTGGGCAGCCTCCTGGCAGCTCGTAATTATTTAGCACATGCGCAAACTCCTCCTCAGTATTTGCCCATTCCTGCTCTTTCTTCGCTAAAAGTCCAACCCACTGTCTGGCATAAGAAAACTGGTTGCAGAGCCGCTATGACGAAATGCATGTTCAGAACTGTTTTCTCTCACTGCGCTGCTGAGCCGCCTGCATGAAGACTTTGTCTCACCTTGTTGAGGCACCGACTCTACCCAGCTCACCACACACGAAATACGCGCGGTGGAGACCACGAACTGCTTCGTACTACCGCTGCCTGGCACACCAACTTCCACAGCACTCAGCTGTGGCCGCATGCTCGCCTTCCAATGGGCTACCCATGGCATACCTAAAATTACGTCATGGTGTGCGGGTCCAAAATTGGACTCATCGAACACGCTGATAGTAGCTGTTTTCTTAAAGTATCGAATAATTGCAAGAGGCTTGCCATTGCGTATTTTCTGCCGCCCGTCAGCAGACTTGAATTTTGGGCGCTGCGCGAATGAGTGAGCAGGCAGATTGCAATTTTGTGTTGTTAAGCCCATCCATTTCACATCCAGCGTCAAGTAACGCTGTAAATTCATGAATACTAGGGTGAGCGTTTAAAAGGGGCACAAAATTGAACTGTGGTGGATCCCCTAGTGCTGCTCTGTCCTCTATGTCTCCCTTAACGCCATGCAGGCTGGAGTTTCTTCCTTGATGCTCCTTTTGTTCCCCCCAAGCAACCTGCTTTCATTTAGCCTAGGCACATTTTTCAAGTTACCTCGTGTTCGTCTACGTTATCGGCTTTTGCGAACCAGATTGTCATATTTCTCCATCTACTGGTTTATTGATATATTTATATGGCTGAGTTTTCTCGCTTCTCCCAAAGCATGCTGTCGAGCTGATATCTGCATTGACTCCTAGTTGTGGCGGGCTACGGTGGACTCATAAAATTTCTATCAAACTACCTATTTGTAAGCAAAAAGTAGGAAATAGTTAAATAAATTGTTTTCCTGCTGTGTATAGTTTATTGTTTGTTGCAGAGCACTGTATGGTCAATGTTAGAAGGGGAAATCTTGTGTGCGTGTGCCTTAGACTCCACGTGCAACCAGCTGTATAAGGCTGAGAGTGCTTAGAGTACTAGAGTAAGCAGTTTAGGGGAAATGTGATTTTTTGTTCGAACTTCTCGGAAGATAAGCCTGCTTTTTGCTACATGCCCTGCTGCGTATTGAAAACGTCTTCCATCTGACCGGCAGCAGGCGGGTGAAGGAAAATGGCTACTAAACAAACCCATCCGGGCAGGATTCTGTGAAACTAGGCACTCTTTTGGGCATTATCTGTGCTTTAGATGAGGGAAGAGCTCGTGAAACAATGAAAACTTACAATGCGCGTGGCTCTCGTACGCGCTGCATGTAGTGTCGCTTTGTAGCCCGGGTCTCCATAAACCGCATGGTATAGTAAGCCTATGAGGGGCTCGTTCCTGGTGGTATTTTGAAATGCTAGGAAGCTGAGAGTCTTTTCATATTCCCTGGATGCTTTTTTGTTTCGTTGGAATTCATTGCATGGAAGCACGAGAGCAGCTAGCTCATTCACTCTCTCCCTGGTCCTTGTTTCCTGCCCTCGTTCCATTTCCTTGCGCCCCAGCTGAGCCTTCCTGGCTTCTCTGGAGGCTCTTTTCCTCGAAGGTCACTTGAGGGAAAAGAAGCAGCCTCATTTGGCAGATCAAGCCAGTGTAGACGAGCTCCTCCGCCGGATCTGGGGAGCCCTCACCGTGACGCTTTAAAACGGCGGGGGTCCGAAGGCCGTCGTGCTGTGCCTCTGAAATTTTGGACGACTTGCGTTTGTCCTGAAAGGCGAAGGGTGGCAGCTTTGGGAGTGGCAGCGGCTCAGCAGTGCAGCCTCGATTCCTCTTGACCTGGTGGCTGGCGCTTGTGCTGGGAGTTGCTCTGGGAGCTTCTATGGCGTGTATGTCCTCCTCGAGTCGTGCACTTGAGGGGCTTATTTCGGCGGCACCTTCTTTTTTAGATGCGCTGGTCGGGGGGCCCTCTGGACGTCGCCGGCTGGACCCTGCCGCTGAAACTGCATGTGGCCCTTTGGGGGGGCCTCCTTCTCCCGTCTTAGCTGCTCGTATCTCATTCTGCTAGTTTGGACTACACGCGATTTTTGAGGCATTGACGTCTCTGCCATCGTCCGAGCACCTGCGGAACCCGTCAGAATGTGGCGATACGGAGCAGCACTGCTGCTGCCCGTGCTCTCGGCGGGGGTTAATGCATCGGTTGTTGCAACATCGCTGCAGTTGCTCAACAGCCATGGGGCTTCATCGGAAGACAAAGCAGCTGGTCCTTCTGTTGTGCTTACTGCCGTTAGTGACGGCGTCGATGCCTCCTTGGCCGAGATGCATGTGAAAGACGGTGCCAGCCTTTCTTCTGTGACGACACAGCAGAGTATTAGGCCGTACAGCAGTGCGAAATCTTCTATGCCTTACTGCCACAACTGCTTCTCGGAGAATGCAGCCTCCTGCCGCGTCTGTCTACATGGCGAGCATGAGTCCAGCGTGAGTCCTGCCTTAACGCCCCGGACCGAACGCATTCGCATTCAATACGAGTGCAGGCCGAATGCAGAACTCCCAAACACTGTGTAACTGCAGCTGGACGGAGCAATGAAGGGTGGGGGAAACTGCTCTGCGTGGACTTTGAAGGGCAATGAGCATTGCGGTGTGCTGTTTTCTTGAGCAGTTTTTGATGCCAATGACTCCCTCGCGCTTATCGGCAGAGCGGGAGGAGGCGTCATTCGCGGCGCTGGAGACCAATCACTATGCAGTTAAGAATTTGAATAAGACGTTCTACATGAAGCGGGGGGAAGGGCCTTTTGGGTCTTTAGGAAACAAGGAAATAATACGGGAGAAGCAAGACGACAGGTCGGGCAGCTTCCTTCAAAGCCAAGGCAGCACCGATATCCTGGACCTCGAGTTAGGGCTTGCGGAAACGTCCGTGCCCATAATGCAAATGAAAGATGTAAGTAATTGGTCTGGTTCTGAACTAGCCCTCTCTCCTTATCTCTGATGCGTTCGCCATGCACTGCATGCTCGAGTGTTTGGTAAATGCGCCGTCTTGCGGTGTATCCCCAGAATTTCGAGGCTTTAGGCCGAAGGCCGATGACAACTCATCCTCTTTGCATGCTGTGGGCTGCGTTGCTGTGATTTCAGAGCCAGTACTGCGGCATGCTGGGTATTGGGACGCCTCCCCAGTGGGTTAGGCCGATCTTCGACACGGGCAGCACGTATGTTGCACTGCGCACTGTACTTGCAGCTTGCAGCAGCAGGATGGATCAGTGCAGGGAATTCAAGCTTTGAAACGGCTCTGCGAAGGCACTGGGCGGGTCTTGGTCAGAACGACGTCGTGGTTGGCTGCTGGTGTGTTGCCTTCATCGATTCAAGGCTCAAGGCTATGGCCAGAACATTTTGCGGTGTTGTTGCTGCACAGGAACTTGTGGGTCGTCGGTTCCAAGTGCACGGATGACACATGCAAGAAGGTGACGCAGTTTGATCCGACAAAATCAGGGACATTCGAGTACACATCACCTCCCGTCCACTTGGACATTACCTTCGGCACCGGCCGAATTGAGGGCACAACGGGAGTCGATAACTTCCAGATCGGGCCCTTCACCGTGAAGCGGCAAACCTTTGGACTGGTGGAAGGCGAAGGCGGTCACAACATGCACGGAAATATCTTCAAGGTGCGAAGAGTCCCAGCCTGTGTAAAACGATCTTATTTAGGCTTTTTGCTATTGAAAAAGCAACGGTTTCTATCAACTACACCGAGTGCGCGTGTAGTGCATGACTCTGGCCGTTTTACGCGTTGACAGCACGTACTAACTGCCTTGATTGACTCTTAGAACGATCACCCGATTTTCTTCTGTTTCTTGCACGTGAGTGCTAATCCGCTCACCCGGGGACGTTGTCGCACATTGAAACACTTGGTGGTGCGTTGATATTCTGTGCAGTCCATCGATTTCGAGGGGATTGTCGGAATGGGATTTCCGGAAATGTCCAGCACTGGCGCAACGCCCATTTATGATAACATTATGAACCAGGCACAGCTGAAGCGCAGTGAATTCGCCTTCTACGTGGCAAAAGGATCGCCGGTGCGTCTTATGTTTAAGGGTACAATACAGTCGGAGTATGCCGAAGTCGTGACCTAATAGACATAATGGCTGCCATCTACAACCTATTTGCTATGACTGTTTGAACCGTCTGCACGCCCTTTTTGCAGTCGTGCATAGGCCTCTGGGATTGGCACTTGCACCGTAACCGCACGGATTCTGTCCGTTTGTGCCCTTTGTTCGCTCTGTGCATTCGTGGACTCTACTTTGTGTTGAGAATTTCGATGCATTATTTGGTCTCCAGCAGTTGTGCTTTTTCCTCTACTCCATGTGTATATGGCATCTTGCGTGTATCCTACTCATGCTCCAGGTGTCCGTTTGTGCCCTTTGTTCGCTCTGTGCATTCGTGGACTCTACTTCGTGTTGAGAATTTCGATGCACTATTTGTTTTCCAGCAGTTGTGTTTTTTCCTCTGCTCCATGTGTATATGACATCTTGCGTGTATCCTACTCATGCTCCAGGTGTCGGCTTTGTTTTTTGGTGGTGTCGACCCTCGTTTCTACGAGCCGCCAATTCACATGTTTCCTGTAGAGCGGGAACATTATTGGGAAGTTGCCTTGGACGCGATCTACGTCGGCGACAAAAAGTTTTGCTGCGAAGGTGGAACCAAGAACTACGTTATTCTCGACTCGGGGACTAGCTTCAACACACTGCCAGGCGCAGAAATGAAGAGCTTTTTAGAAATGATCCCTTCACAGGTGCGCTGGTCAGGGAATGTTGTAAAGGCTGCACGTGATTCTGACAGTGTCCCCGAAACCTGCGTCGCAATGACGAAAATTGAGGTCCCACGAAGCCGTTTGGACTGTTTGGTTTGTGCAGGACTGCGGGGGGGAAGATGACCGATTTCTTCAGCAGTACCCCGACATCACCTATGTCATTGTAAGCCTTGATGTGATGCAGCTGGTCGGACGCCGGTACACAGTATCAGCGGAGACTATGTTGCAATCGATAGCCTCGCTTTAAGGCTTGTTTATGCTCTGGATTCCCATGACGTATGTAAATCCATGCGTATGTATACAAGTGTACTTGTGGGTATACTTGAGTACCTTATGGCAGGATACGTGACTAATTTCGCTCGGACAGCTTGACAGTGAGTTCATGAGACTCAGTTTCTAGTTTTGTATCCTTCATAGTGACTATCGCATTATCTCAGGGAGGAGTTAGTTTCGTGTTAAAGCCCGAAGACTATCTGGTTCGCAGCAAGATGAATATTTGCAAGCCGGCCTACATGCAGATCGATGTTCCCTCTGAATTTGGCCATGCGTATATTCTGGGATCCGTGGCTTTCATGCGCCACTTCTTCACCGTATACAGACGTTCAGACGGGAAAACGCCTTCTCTTGTACGGAAATAACAGGAATTTAAAACCGATAAATGGTCGAATCCCAACTGTTTTCAGCCCTGCAGGAAAAGAGGAAGTATGGGCGAAGTACAGGCAGATCGCTTGTGGTCGCGCGCTTGTTTGAGTTCAGGTTGGCATTGCACGAGCAGTGCACAGCCCCGAGAATAAGCAGTACTTGCAGCAGGTGGTGGACGCATATCCGGCTGGCACTTTCAAAGAAGGAGACCTTCTTGCTCTGCAGAGAAGCACAGGCGGCTTCGGGAACCTGTTGCTTGAAGAGGAAGTGGCGCTGCGCAACTCCAGCAAAACTGCAATATAGAAAGCACAGAGCCCCTCCGCCCACATCGCCGTGAGTGTCGGGGGCGAAGGCCCCTCGCCACAAGTCGCCTAGTGGTCAAAGGAACACCGAGGGTGTTCGAGACGGGTTGAATGCCGCATGTGAGGTAGGTTCGTACTAATTTTACTAGGAGCGGCTATTGCTCTGGGGGGATGTACATCCCGTTGCTCTACGCGACATTGCTTAGCTAGGCATGGTTTTTCTCTAATACGCGGACATGCGTCCCAGTATGAATTTCCCTCTCAAAGAAAGCCCCCGGCGGCCCCGCTGTAGTTGCTTGTAGCAGTAGTCAAGCCTCAGGGCAGCTACCACGGAAGATATAATAACGCCTCAGCAGGACGTTTCACGCAGCGACGTGTCTCTACTTTTGGTGGGAAGGCCTCCCGGGCACGGATTAACACGTGCTAGACTTTGTAAGAACTGATTGTCTCCTGATTGCTTGTCGTTTGGACCGCAAGTGCAGAGTGATCAGACCCCGATTGTTGGCTGTGAATACGCACTATGTACAGCTTCCGCATGAAAGGGCACCTTCAAGTAGTCCTGTTCAATAGTTGTCTTCCGAACTGAAGGGTGCCCCCGCACAGAGTGCCCCTGCAGTAGCCCCCAGCATGAGTCTATGAGATCCAAAGGGTCTTTTTAGAGAAGGATGCCGACAAACCTTCAGGGCACCAGTTTTTTAGGTGGTCCGGCAGTTCGAATATGGCGCTAAGGTCTCTTCCGAGTGCAGTTGTAGCCTGCGAAGCATTCGTGGTGTTAGCTCGTGATGAGTCCTTTGCAACGGGGGCTTCCTCGCGCGATTCTTACCTTCAGCTTCTGGGAGGGCTTGGGAATATCCACCTCCGGCACCCTAGAGGACATTCCATCGCCGATGGGGCTTCAAGAGAACAGACTCTACCAAGGCAGAAGACGGTCGTACCAGTTAACATCCCCTGCAGCGGGAGTTCTGAATGCGCTGAATGAGAGCAGAGTAATTAAAAGAGGCTCACGGACCAAGAAAGGTGCCTTTGAACTTGGCGGAACCTCCGCCTGCGATCAGGCCTGCAGCACCCTGGGCTGGTGCGTGCGTGAGCTTGTGGGTTTTTTGTTCCTAATGGCTGTATCCGACATACAGTCCTCGTAGCCTTTTGGCCGCAACTCTTCGTCGTCCTCTTGCTGCCGCGTGAACAATACTGGCTCTTCTCCTTCAGCAGCTGCACAAAGTATACTCTATTGGGAAACGGCGGTCAATTCCAAGGGACGCTTTCTTCCTCTCACCTGCGGCTACTCTGATGTCGCCGATCCGTTCTTGAACGTTCACTGTGTACCATGTGCCAACTGCAGGAAGTGGCGGCTAGACATAAGGTCCCCTGATCGTTGGGCCAACTACTAAGCACTAGCTAACCTTTGACTTTGAAATTGCCGACAGTTCCAAGGACCTTCTTTTCGCCCTTCTTCACCCGAATAAGTTGGATACCGCCCCCACGGGTCAACATGACCACCCAGAAATTTATCTCCCCGACGCTTCGAAACACGAGGCCTGCCTCCTTTGCTCCATCCAGCCGCATCGTGCTTTGAATTTGTGTGCCCTGACAGAAAAAATCGCGCTTCATTAACGCAAAACGCGTGGACATACGCCGGGGCAAGAAGAGATTAAAGGGGAAGGGATGTGCGGGCTCCTTGGCTTCATCTGTGCCGGTGTAATCAATCGTTTGGTTTGCCACATCATAGGACCACCCAGCAGCTGGTAACCAGTCGTTTGACAGTTCTGGAGGCCCCCTCCGAGGATCCAACATCCAGCGAGGGCACCCTCCCCGCTTGAATAGCTTCTTGTACTCAGGGGGAGTCTGGGTCGGGAAAAAGATATTTGCCACGAACACCAGCAAGTCCAATTTGCTTCTTGTCTGTGCAAAACGAAACGATTGACCAGTCGAGACGGGCTGCAGAATATCAGCCATGGGGCTCGCGTCCGGTTTGGAAGACCGCCTAGCCATGTAGGCTAATACAGGTACTTGCACAACCGATAACCATGAGGTAAGCAAAATGAGGGGTGCGAGACCCATCGGTTGGACGATCATGCTAACATGGGAGCAAATTCCATACAGCTGTGGAAACAAGAAAGCAGGCGACCAGCGCCCTGTATTGGAACGAAATATCTGGTGTATGTTCACCTTGGTCTGGAACTTGTACCTGCGAAGGCTGGTCACATTTTGAATTGAGACATGAACACTCTATTCATTGTTTGCTGTCCGAATGGACTGCTGCATCTGTTTTATGGCCTTGTGTAATAGTTCCTTTCGTTTCGCCCTGAATCGAATCGCCGTTTCCATCCCAATGGTCAGTGGCTCGAGCTTTTCGAGCCCTAGGTGCGATCCTGGTTTAGTGACCCTCCCGTCATGCAGAATGGCTAAATCTTCCTCTGCTGTTGTGCTAAACTCCTCAAATAAAAAATGTTTAATGAACGAGACCACGAAACGCAGTGGGTTTACCTGTACGTACATGGACTCAACAGCGATGTTGATACGTTTCAGCATTTGAATATTGGCACTGAGACGTGCGTACACATCTAAACAAGCCTGAAAACCCCATAGATATCGAAATTTAGAAGTGGCTCAACAGGCCCCCAAACTATAGCGTAAGAGTTTAAATCTGAATTTTACTTACATGGGGGCGGCAGGGAGAACCGCCGTCGGCAGGGGGTTCGTCCCCTTCCTCTAGAGCGCTTAAATCTTTGTTTCCCATAATCACCTGCATTAAGATAATGAACAATCGAAATGGACAGTCCGTAGTTCCGCGTTCAGCTGGGTGCACGCAGGAAGCTCTTGCTATGTACAGCACACATGACGCAGCACGTTCTTCGAGCAGCACACCTTCGCAGCGGCAAGCAGCCTTTCGTCGGGCTGCGCATCTCCATTGATTGTAACTGTGGGCCTGAACTCAACAACGGGTGCTCTCTCTGCGTCATCGGCGCCTAGCCGCCCTTGCGCCAGTCCCAGTTTTGTGAGTTCTCGGACGACCTCTTGGCCCAGGAAGGCGAAATCATCTGTCAGTTTCATTAAATCCACACCAGTGGAGCGCAGCGCAGCGTGCACACGCCGCGGAGAGAATTCCATTCGAATCATTGCATGACTGAGCCGCAGAGGAAGCAGAAATATGCAAAGCAACTCCTCCTAGTTGTTCAACTTGCAAACTAGCTAGCTAAAGCGGGTTGCATCTGTCCTGCACATCTTTGCTGATAGTTCATGTATGGATCATTTCATTTCGGAAGTTTCCTGAATCCCGCACTGCTCATCGTACGGAAGCGTCACTGTGGACAGCCATGCGATGCACGCTCACGGGTTGTCGTCTGGGAGCAGACCGTAGTTAAGGAGCAGAGTTGCATTGTCGAAAGGACCATACGATATCTGAATCTCCTCCCCTGGTGCAATATCCGCCGTTGCCACGAGATGCACAGACTTTGTGTCCTGCAGACGGCCGTGAGAAGCTTTTCCGGCGGCGTTGCCTTGCTCGGGCGGCATTTCGCGCCCACTGCTATGAGCAGCAAAATAAAGGCTTGCGTTGGCATCGCGGGGGGAGTGACTACACAAATCCACTACTGGAATGAATGCGTGCTGCCCACAAGGCGTCTTGATGGAACGGCACACTGCTGTCGCGTACGCTGTCACCAGTCTGCCAAACAGGGCATGCGACTCCTGGGGGTCAGCCGCGCCGGAGAGGACCGCTGAGACATTTTCTCTTATTGTGGATTCGGTGTCGGTAAAGGCGCTGTGCAAACGGTGCAGTCGCGCGATCGCTGCGTGACAAACTGGATGTTCTAGCGCCTTTAGTTCCTCTGCCGTCCAAAAAAGAGGTATCGTCCTTGACGGCGGCGGGAGCACGCGCAGATACTTCAGCCAGCCCACACACAGGCGGGAAAGCCATGGTGCTTTGGCAGCATGGCCTGATGTTGTTGGGTGCAACGCTAAATGAGGAGGAGGGCTCCATTCGTGCCTGAGCAGCTCTTGGAAAAAAACGAGGGCGAGTGCCATGAGAATCTTGGGGTCGGTCACATTCGATGCGCCGAACGTGGCGCTACCCTCGGGAGAACCGCTTCCCGCACATCTTTTGGTCCGTGCATTCAAAGCGTAGTACACCAGACGCCTGATGCTCTCCGTACTAAAGTGCAAGGCAGTCGGAAGACTCGCAATCTTCTCTCCCCGTGCGTATGAACGCAGTGCTACGAGTCCTGGACTCCAGGGCACTGCTCGAGCTGAGGCTGTTCTGACTCCTCGTTCTGTCTGATGTAAGGGTTTCAATGCGATTCCATGTACGTCCAGCTCTGCACCATTATCGACAAGCCAATTCAGTAGATCAATGAAGGTGCCCTCCTGTACAGCGTCATGCGCCAGTTGATTTCCTCTTCGTGCATGTGTGAGGAAGGTTCTACGACTCTGCACACTCCCCGTGCGCAGTAAACCAGGGAAGTGTGATAGCCTATCATGGCCATGCCAGCCCGTCCATGCTCCGACTTGAAGCGGCAGCCACGCGCTCGGCCTCACTACTGCTGCAGAGCCCGACAGTTCAAGATAGCTGAGCACCTGGAAACATACGAGAGCAACGGCGCCAATGAAGCGCATAATGAATCTAAACAATTCAAGCTGCCATATAATGTAGCCAGAAATATCTAGAAAGCCATTTTGAAGGACTTTGATGTGTGGTTTCAAAATCCTTGAAAGTCGGCGGCGTCGATGCACAGCGGAAAAAGTTGTAGATACACCGCGGACGACAAACAGAGAGGCCAGTCAGCATGAGTCACTTTATTCGAGAAACGAGGTTCAAAGAAGTCTCCACCAATAACATGCCCAACACAGGTTCCAACAGAAGATGAAGTAATGTCCTGCTGCAAAGGGGTGCGCATGCAGTAATGGGAAGCCAAAGGCAAGACTCCCAGCATCGAGACAAATTCTGCAGAATTAAAATGCCTGAATTTGTATTCATTTTGGGCAAATTCAGGCTCTGCCGTGTAGGCATTTAGAAAGAAGTACCTTTTCCAGATTTCCCTCCTTCGCCTGCAATTGTATTCTCCCGAAAATGGCATCGCTAGAGGAAACAGCAAAGGTGTTTCAGGGTAAATTTGAGAGTATGATACGGGATATTACAATATTGTCCCTTCCAATGCAGAAGAAGGCGTTCCAGTGCTGTGTTTCATGTTTCGACAGCCACAAAGGGGAGCCCGAGAATATAGCTGAATGCATTGGTCAGTGCCATGAACCTTCCCAGGCATTCAATCGCGTATTACAACGGGAGGTGGAGGGACTTCAGACCACAATAGAGAGCTGCCAAAAGGTAAGACGTTTTTACTGCATAAGGGCATCGTACTGTGCCGAGAACAGCCCTCATGTGCATATCCCTGCCATATGTAGCAACGCAAAGTGATGTATTTGGCAACGAGTATGTTCTCTTGTATACTTGTGTTTTATGCTTTTTGAGAGGCTTCCCGAGAAATATCATGAATCCGACCGAACCACTGTTGCACGTTGCAACAACCCCCACAATCACAGAATGCGAAATGCTCTTCTCGCTTTGCTGTGCGGGGTCTGTCTTCAGATCTGTTTCAACCGGATAGCGCCAAAACTCGAATCAGCTTCATCTCAGCGTGAGAAGACGGCCCTGGAAGAGGAGAAAGACGCCTGTTTTGTGCAATGCTTCAACAACGGCATTCCGGTCATTGCAGAAATAAGCGGACGCCTGCGACGCCGAGTAGCCAATTAAGAACATCACGCAATCGTATAGAAATCATCTGAACACGAAGCAATACACAGGGACGGAACACAATACACATCCAACGAGGCAACGGCACTCGCCGTGAAGCCCTCAACTTTGAAGGGCATCGTGACACTTCGTAGTTTGGGTTTTTGCCATTCCGGGAGAAGGGCAGTGTTGTTTCGCTCTTTTTGAACTGCTATGCGCATATCTAGTGAAGTAGCTTTTTTGTAACAAAGGCAACGGCCAGCTTTCACCCGACTGAAATTTTCGTATTTTCTCTATACATATTCTCTCCTGCCTCTAAAGCCTACCCCCAGGGTCAGAGTTCTCTTTCTACCTGCCAGCCTGTGTGACGATTCGGCTATGCCTGTAGTTTTGGAGCTGTCACCTCTCTGCTGGGTGTGTAAAACTGTGGCTACGTGCACCGCGCTCAATCGATCGGAGCTTGAGTCGCGTATGGGCCCCCCGCCGTCGGTTCTCCTAGGCTGTCTGTCTGCTGCTGGGTCCAGCTTTCATAAAAACTCGTCTACGATTTGCCGCACACTCTAGTCCTGGATCTGTATATCAGCCTTCTCCTCCTTTCCAAAGGAAAGTCCATAGATAAAGTGCATCGCACGGCGGCAGCCGTTCACGGTGCCAGTTCTGAAACCGCGCTCTCCCGCACAACGCGCCCGCCGTGTGCTCACTCAAGCTGAGCCACTGGATGTTACGTGAACGAAAAAGTCAAAGGGAAATGAAACCAATGCAGTGCTGCAGCCGAATGGCCATCCCGACTTCCGCAGGTGTGCACCCCGCCGCGTTTCTTTGAATCGGTGGTCCAGCGCACGCAGCGCGCTGGGGTCGCCGATCTGTCTGCATTTCTGTTCCTGCCTTGCAGTCTCATCTGCCACCAGAATGACTTGCGCCTTCAAAGCGTTTAAATTGTAGATGCCTGGACACGGAAATAAGGCCGTGAACTCTGCATGCGCACTTGCCCCCGGAGGCAGCACCCCCAAGTCGTGGCTTACTTTTCCGAGCCAAATGCAACTTCCGTCTAGCGCCACAGTTGGCGTGCTCCCCTGGGAGCCGCATCTGGAGATCGCATGCTGCTGACCCTGAGATTTCCGTCTCTCGATTTCCTGTGAAAGAGCACGCCGAAGGAGGATGCGGCGCTTCGCTAGAGGGCTCGCGCTTGTCTCAGCTCACCCGCCGGATACTGCTCCTCCTCTCCCTAGTGCCCCCGACCCTGTGCCTCTCATGAATAGTTGTGCAGGAAAAGCCAGCCTTCGCTTAGTTGCCGGATGGCTGCGCCTCCCTCTCACCTGTGGAGTCTTCAACCCGTCCGCGCCGCTGCCAGTCTTCAAGCCCAGCTGCGAAAGCCGCCCCCCCTCGCCCACGTGCCCCTGCTGACCATTCCCAGGGTTAAAATCTACGATGCGACGGCCAAGGCGGGCCTTTACCCCGTCGTTGTAGCACGCGTCAGGCAGTTCAGCCTTGAGCTGCGCATCGAGGGTGTTGTCAGTTTCACCCTCTGCAAGAACTGCGGCGCACAACGGCCGAAGGCCAAAGTGCGGGGAGTCAGCTGAGCCCCCCTGGACTGCGCCGCTCCCTTTCCGTTGGCTCAGCTCCGAGGCGTCTCGAAGTGATGCAGCGCCGACTTCTGCCGAGGGTTCGAAGGCTTCGAGCGCCGGAAAAGCCTCCTCTTGGCTTCGAAGGGTCGGCCCGCTACTTCGGGATGCCATGCGCAGGCGCAGACGGAGGTGGAGCGAGCTCGAGACGTTTCTCACGATAAACGCCACGGTGTACATACAGGGCGCCTCCGCTGTCCAGCGAATGCACCGCCGGTCAAGTGCCAGCGAAGGTGCAACCGTCAACTCAAGGGGAAGGCCACGAGGCATCACGGCAAGCGACACCTGCGAGACACACACGTGGCACCCCCCCACTGGAACGGAAAGCTGCCTCCTGCTTTTATTAACCGGCGTCCTCTGAAAATAGAGTACCCGCTTTCCAGGCGTGCGAGGTGTCCTCTCGCGATTTCCACCGCATGACACCGAGGCAAGCAGCTCTCTTATTGAGGGAAGACGAAGCAGCGAAAACGCAGCAGCCTCCTTAGAAGTTCGCAGACAGAGAAGAAGTCGACTTCTTACGGCCCATCCTATGAGGCCTCTGTCTGGCTGGAAGGCGTGCGAGTTGCACTAGAGCTTACGGGATTGAGCGATGATACCGTTCCTGTGCGCTGGCGGCAGCTCCTGCCTTCACCGTAAGCGGTGGGGGGGGGCCTTTGAAAGAAGTGCGCGGATTCTGTGGGATGATGCGGGAGGGCAGAAGAGGCAGCAGAAGGCAAGCGGCTGTCAAAAGGCAGGCTGGAGGAAGCAGTCGAAGCTGAGGAGGACGGCTCTTGGTCGCTCGCGCCGCAGAGCTCCCACTGAAGGGCCACCTGCACTTGATTCCTGCACAGGAAATGAAAAAAACGGCATGCACTCAAAAATCCATGCAAAAACGCAAAGGAAGCACAAAACAAAATGCGCGCATACATATACACTCACGCATACATACACACACTCACACATTGCACACGATCACATACACATGCATACATGCATACACATATATTTACACATACCAACACACATAAACACACAAACATACATACATACACATACATACATACACATACATACATTTACACATACATTTACACATACATACACGCATAAACATGCAAACAGACATAAAACACATACACATACATACATTTACTTATGAATACACAAACACACACAGAAAAGAGGACAGCGCGGAGCTTCATTGTCGGAAGCGAGATGCGCGAAGGCCACCTGATCCTTGCCCCTCCCCCCGCTGGCAAAGTTCTCTCGCTACGTAGCGGCAGCAGCCCTTCGCATGCAGGGTGTGTGTGTGGTGCATGCATGCATGCATGCATGCGTGCGTGAAATCAGCACATGCGAACTGGCAAGAAGATGCACGTGCCTAAGGCGTAGAACACGCGCTGCGGCAGCGGCACTGGGGGCGTTAGCTAGACGGGCACCAGAAAGAAAAGGAGGCCTCTGGGATGCGCAGCAAAGCTGCTTTCAAAGATGACTGCCCTCAGCGTAGAACAGCCACATACTCTGCAGATAAATCCGCCAAACGCTGGAGTTTTTCCGCGTCTTGAGAAGCGTAGACGAGGAGCAACTCCTCCGAAGGTCCCAGCTCTCTCTGAGGGGCATCTGCAGGAGGCGATCCTCGCGCGTCAGAAGCAAAGCTGCTGCCCGTCTTGCTGCCTTCTGTGCCTTCGCTGAACGTCCACCTGTAGGGTATGAGCGGCACACATCCAGGGAAGAGACTACCGCCACTCGCCGCTGTACGACTTGCAGCACACGCTTCGAAGCCTCCTGCACAAAGACCGCTGCTGCCTCCGCTGCCCGTCATCACGTTTTGCTGCTGCTGCACCTGCTGCACCTGCTGCTGCTGCTGCTGCACCTGCTGCTGCTGCTGCTGCTGGCTTTGGGCGGAAGGCAGCCCCTGGGCACAAAGGCCGCACACCCTCAGGCGGTGTGGGGAGATGCTGCGGACTCTGCATAAGAAGAGGACTTGAGATGGCACGCGCCACGACAGCCGCTGCACACATAAAGCGACTCCAAAACACAAAGCAACACTTAGCAGCAGCATCTTTTGAAGGCGGCCTGCTCTCGATCCTGGGAGCCCTTCCTTTGGCAGGGCGCGGGCACAGACCCTTGCAACCGCAGCCCCCACACACATACATACATAACATACCTACATACATATATATATAATACATATATATATATGTAAACATAAATATATATATATATATAAACATAAATATATATATATACCTACATAAATATACATACCTACACATATACATATCTACATAAATATATACAAATCTACACAAATACATGTATATCTACATATATATACATACCTACACACATACATACCTACATATATATACATGTATTTATGTACCTACATATATACATATCTACATAAATATATACATATACCTACATAAATATGTATACATACCTACACAAATATATATATATATATACCTCCATATATATATATATATATATATACTTACACGCACACATGCATGGACACAAGGCCACAAGGACCAACCCCTTTCCCCTCACCGAAGCGAGCAATCCCAACAGCTGCAGCGATTCAGGCATCCTTGCATGCCAGAATCGCCCCTCACCGGTTCGACGTGGAGCTCGAGAGAAGGGGCTACCGCGAAAATTGCCTCCACTGCCCTCCAGACGGGCCGCACGTGATCTCCTGTGTCTGCTTCGCTCTGCGACTGTTGCTGCTGCTGCTGCTTCTCAGGCAGCCCTCTCAGGCAGAAGCGGACGCGATGAATGCCAGCGCACGTCGCTCGCACAAAGAGGCGGAGGCAGGCTGTCATCCCTGGAGGAATGAGAGAGCTCGACTTTGTCGGCGTTTGTAGTTTGCAGTCGCTACCCTCTGCTGCAGAGGCAGCCGGCTGCAAACTAAAAACGCGAACGAAAGAGGAGCTGTCGAGCTCCCCTGCGGGCATCATCATCATCCTGCTGCTGCTGCTGCAACTGCCTACACCCCACGAGTGGACGCGCAGAGGAAGGCCGTCGGGTAAGGCAGCAGCCTGCACAGCCTTCGGCATTTGCACTAGCTGCTGCCCCAAGCGCATCTCCACTGCTGCTTTAACCTGCGCCTCTGAAAGCAGCGTCGCAGACGTAATGGACACGATATCCTGGGGAAATACTGCGACTGTGAGCTCCTCCAGAGAACGGGCTGCTGCGCCATTTCGCACCAAAAGGAAGCACTCCCGCTGCTCCCCCGCCAGCATCCACGGCGTCTCGCGAACTTCACACGCAGACACATCACTTCCATGGGGGCTAAAGGGCTTCTTCAAAGAAGAAGGCGTTCTGCAAGGCACACAAACACACACCAACCATAGCGGGGGCACAAAGAAATGCTGCGCAACACTCAGCGGCGGGAGCTTCATTGATGACGGCCATCTCAGCGCCTTCCTCTACCGCTTCCCACCAAACCTCCTAAAAATGGGCAGCATAGCCGCGGAACTGCGCTTTGTACACAAAAACCACTCGAACGCCATGCAACCCCACATCCATAAAAATATATATTTAGATATATACACATATACATATATATATTGTATATCAAAAAATACACATACGGATATACATGGGGGGAAACGTGTCGAACTATTTCTTGGCTTACGCTCCTGATGGATTTGGCATGCCTTTTAAGGCCGCATTCGCTGCATCTTATAAATAAATAAATATACATATGTATATATGTACATATACATCAATATATATATAAATACATATACATATATATATTGTATATCAAAAAATACACATACGGATATACATGGGGGAAAAGTGTGGAACTATTATTTGGCTTACGCTGCTGATGGATTTGGCATGCCTTTTAAGGCCGCATTCGCCGCGTCTTTTAAATAAATAGATATACATATATAAATATGTACATACACATCAATATATATATATATAAATATATACCCATACATATATGTACATATACATCCATATATTGTATATCAAAAAATACACATACGGATAGACATGGGGGAAAGTGTGGAACCATTATTTGGCTCACGCTGCTGATGGGTTGGGCATGCCTTTTAAGGCCGCATTTGCCGCGTCTTTTGAATAAATAAATAGATATACATATATAAATATGTACATATACATCAATATATATATATAAATATGTACCCATACATATATGTACATGTACATCCATATATTGTATATCCAATGAATACACACATGGATAGACATGGGGGAAAGTGTGGAACCATTATTTGGCTCACGCTGCTGATGGGTTGGGCATGCCTTTTAAGGCTGCAGCTGCCGCGTCCTCGGGTGGTGTCTGTGTTTGGTGCTGCGTCAGTGCGGAGCATTTCTCATCTTCACGTTTTTGCGTTTCGCCGCTCTGCCTCACTGCCGCTTCCGCCGAGTTTCGCGGACTGCTTTTCGAGGCGTGGTGGCGGTAGTGTCTTGGCCAGTCAAGAAACTGGCAGTCTAGAAATGCGAAGTCTTTCGCAACTTCCAGTTCGAGGCGCAGATCAGGTCTGTGTGTCTCGTTCACTCGGCTGCGCGCATCCCAGCGAAAGACCTGAAGCACGTGGACAGTGCAGCGAGAAAGAAGAAAGCGTAGAGGAGGCGACAGCAGCAAGAAGGAGGCTGCCTGCCACGTGGAGGCAGGGAAAAGGGCTGGGGATGGATGCTGCTCGCTGGAAAGAAGGCATCTGATCCTCAAAGAAGGAAGATGCAGCGCGGTGTGTCACGCTGCGCCCACATCACGCGTTGAGAAGAAAGCGGCTCTTCAGCATGCAATCCGCTGCGGATGGCCATGCCGCAGAGCCGCCTCGCCGGCAGAGGTGATCCCCGCAACCACACACAAAATGCCGCGCGCAAAAACGAAATCGAGCAAAAACACCCTCCCCTTGCATTGGACTTGCAAGCCTAGGACGCAGCCTGCCTTTTACCCGTATGGGTGTTTCCATGTGCAGAAGTCTGAAATCCTCCACGTGCAACGCGTAAAAGAGGGGCAGCCCGTGAAGCAGGCGAGACAGCTGCCCCTTTATCTCCGAAGTCTGCGAGGACGCCAGCAGCTGGCGAATCATGCTGAGACGTTGCTGCAGCCTGCAACGACCCTCCTCCGCGTCTGCTGCACGATCGTTCTCCTCCTCCGCCTCGCAGTCCAGGTGACAGTGGCCGATGTCAAAGCGCCGTTCAACGCGCTGAGAGCCGTGCAAACAAAAAAACTGAGCGACTCGCACCAACCGAAAGAGCTCCCCGACAATGCCTAAAGAAGGATACACAAATATACACACAAATGCACACACAAATGTACATACATATATCTATAGGTACATATATAAATACGAGTGTATCCATACACATACATATATATATATAGGTACATACACAAAGACGAGTGTATCCACACATGTATATATACACATATATAGGTAAATATATAAATACGAGTGTATCCACACATGTACACATACACATATACATATACATATATATAGGTACATGTATAAATACGAGTGTATCCATACATGTATATACACACATATTTACGTACATATATAAATACGAGTGTATCCATACATGTATATACACACACATATATTTACACATATATATACATATAGATAGGGACCTATGTAAATACGCGTGTATCCACACACACAGAGAGTACAAAAATGAGGTAATGCAGCCCAGAAATAGGCGCTGAGGGAGGCGCCTATTTCTGCAGAGTAGCGTGAGCTGTTTGCTGTGCTGCGCGGCAGCAGACGATGGCGTGGAGTTTGCATTGCGAATTACGACGGCATGAGCAGATTGGCTAGTCAGAGAGTCAGTGCCTCGGAAATAGCCGCGAAGTCAGCTTCGTGGGGGAAGGAAGGGGTCGGTGGGCTTCCCACCTTGCAAACACAGCCGTCCAGGCTTTAGCGGTGTTGCAGTCAGTCGAACACTTGCCGACGCAGTAGGATCGAGGGCGACATTGACAGTGGAGAAGGCTATGGCCTGCTGAGCTGCTGCAGCCTCCGTAAGCTCCGCCTGGGGTGTAGCAGCTTCCTCCTGGGGAGACAAGCCACCCCGTGGCAGGAGAATTCCAAAAAGCCGGAGGTTGCTGAGCTCTATGCGGAGGGACAAAGGATTCATGAGACGCAACTCGACAGTAACGGGCAGCCCAACTGCGGTGGTTCGGCGAAGTTCCTCGAAGGCCTGGCACGAGACAAAACTGCCTTCCTGCACCACCTCAACAGCCGCATGAAGGCGAGAGTCTCTCTCTAGGCAGAATCATGAAAGTCTTTCTCTAGGCAGATTCATGAAAGTCTCTCTCTAGGCAGATTCATGAAAGTCTCTCTCTAAGCAGATTCATGAGAGTCTCTCTCTAGGCAGATTCATGAAAGTCTCTCTCTAGGCAGATTCAAGAGAGTTTCTCTCTAGGCAGATTCATGAAAGTCTCTCTCTAGGCAGATTCATGAAAGTCTCTCTCTAAGCAGATTCATGAGAGTCTCTCTCTAGGCAGATTCATGAGAGTTTCTAGGCAGATTCAAGAGAGTTTCTAGGCAGATTCAAGAGAGTCTCTAGACAGATTCAAGAGAGTCTCTAGACAGATTCAAGAGAGTCTCTAAGCAGATTCAAGAGAGTCTCTAAGCAGATTCAAGAGAGTTTCTAGACAGATTCAAGAGAGTCTCTAGGCAGATTCATGAGAGTTTCTAGGCAGATCCGAGAGTCTCTAAGCAGATTCAAGAGAGTCTCTAAGCAGATTCAAGAAAGTCTGTCGGCAGATTCAAGAGAGTCTGTAGGCAGATTTAAGAGAGTCTCTAAGCAGATTCAAGAGAGTTTCCAGACAGACTCAAGAGATTCTCTAAGCAGATTCGAAAGAGTCTCTAAGCAGATTCAAGAGAGTCTCTAGACAGATTCAAGAGAGTCTCTAGGCAGATTCAAGAGAGTCTCTAGACAGATTCAAGAGAGTCTCTAGGCAGATTCAAGAGAGTCTCTACGCAGATTCAAGAGTATCTCTAGGCAGATTCAAGAGTGTCTAGACAGATGTCACCTGCCTGCACGGCACAAAAAAATCGCCCCTTTTCCTATTTCCTCCCCTCCTGCCTTCCCCCCCCCCCACCCCCTAGCCCCGCCTGCAGACGTCGTACGTTCACCCCTCTTTCCTTTCATTTCTCCTCCCTCTTTCCTTTCCATTCTCCCCCCTCCCACACCGCAATAGCGCATCTGGCAAGGCACCTGCCGGCTTATGCGCAAACCGAAACTACCGAGAGGCCCCTATGAAAGACATAGCGCATCGATCTCGCACGCAGCCTACGCATCGTTCAGCTTCGGCTTCAGTATTTTCATCGTCTCGAAGGCCTAGTTGCACGAGACGGCGCGCAAAGACGCAGTCCCACATTCTTTCTTGGATCTGCAGCTCTTGAGCGGCGCGCACGGAGAGGCCAGCAGCAGCAGCAGCAGCAGCAGGAAGAGGAGTAGGAGCAGCAGGAGCAGAAGCAGCAGCGCCTCTGCCTCCGCAGACAGTGGTGAGCCGTGCGAGGACCTCATAAGACGGCAATGCGTAGGAAATCCTTGCTCCTCCAGTGCCAGCGCGTGGTGGTGATGATGATGAAAGCTGCAATCGCGCAAGCGAAGCGAAGGCCAGCGATTCAGACGGCAGAGATGCCGCGCTGAGGGGGAGCGTCCCTTCCGCCTCAGCGAGGAGAGCGTCTCCAGGCAGGTACACGCCAACACTGCAGAAAAAAACAGCTCATACACTCGCTGTATATGTCCTCCAAGCGATAGACACATGCACACGCGCAAAAATGCTCTCCAATCGCCGTGGGCTCTGCGGTTGGCAAAAAAATGCAATTAATGCTCTGGTGAAGGCTTCAAGGCTCTTCCTCTCTCTCTATCTCTATCTGTCTCTATATATACATCTCTCTATCTATCTATCTATATCTATCTCTCTCTCTATCTCCAGCGCAGAGATGCAGACACTCCCGTCTCTTCATTCTTCTCCGCTTTCCCCGGAAGAAGGTGTGGGAGGGGAAGAAAGAGCTGCTCGAGTTTCTGCAGCGAGTGAGCAAGCAAGCGAGCGCTATAAGGAGTTTGCTAGCTGTGAAGCGCTTGTGTCGAGCCTACCTGTTCCGCAACAATCCTAGGGTGTCTCGCAGCTGAAGAATTGGCACGCGGAGCTCAGTATCGAGAGTGATGGCACTTGTGAAATCTTCGCCCTGTGCAAATTTCTCTGAGGGTCTGTCTAAGAAAGCTCTCGCCGCTACAACCTTTTCGGATGCAGCGAGCCGCTGCCGCTCAAGGAGCACCCGACACACAAACAGAAATTCTCTCACGTAGTGAGACTGCCGCTCCGGAGGGATCAGCGCAAGGCCTGCGCGAAAGGACAAGCGGTGAAAAATTTTGCCCATGCGCACGCAACGGATGCAGCAGGCTCCTCTGGATACACAGAGTGCACCATGGCAGCAGCAGTAATAGTAGTAGTAAGAGTAGAACGGCACCCATAGCAGGAGTACGGCAAAAGTAGCAACAGCAACAACAACAGCAGTAATAGCAAGGCAATAGTAGCAACAACAACAGCAGTAATAGCATGGCAATAGTAGCAACAACAACAGCAGCAGTAGAATGGCAACAGTGGCAACAACAACAGCAGCAGTAGAATGGCAACAGTGGCAACAACAACAGCAGCAGTAGAATGGCAACAGTGGCAACAGCAGCATTAACAGTAGCCTAGCAGCAGAAGCAGCAGGAACAACAGCAACAAAAACAGCAACAGCAACAGTAGCAATAGCATGACAACAACAGTAGCAATAGCATGACAACAACGGTGGCAGCAGCAGCAAAGGCGCCACAACTAACCTGCTCCGCCACTGCCCGTAAGCATGCGGCATTCGTGCAGGGCAGCGATGCTATTAAGAAGCCCCAGAAAATGCAGAATGGATTCTTCAAGAAGGTGTAGACTGAAGGTTTGTCGTGCCATGATGAAGCGCAAGTGTTGTGCTACATGATGCCAACCGCCCGCCTCATAGCCCTCAAAGACGTGCAGATAGCAGCGCAGCGCGAAGCGTTTGTATCCTGATGGACAGCAGCACCCCACCCGCTGCATAAAAATCACGATGCACCACGGAAGATCCCGACTGCCAACATACATTAGACACCCTCCTGTGTAGAGCTGCGTCTTGAGAAAAGCAGCATCCTCATGTCACTCATGCACTCATACCAGCGCATACCTACCTTCTGCCACCTGCGGCCTGCATTATGTGTGTTTGCGTGTCTTTGTGTGTGTGTGTGTGTGTGTGTGTGTGTGTGTGTGTGTTTGAGTATGTGCCTTTGTGTGTGTGTGTGTGTTTGAGTATGTGCCTTTGTGTGTGTGTTTGAGTGTTTGTGTATTTGTGTGTGTTTGAGTGTCTTTGTGTGTGTGTATGTGTGTGTGTGTTTGAGTGTCCTTGTGTGTGTGTGTTTGTGTATTCGTGTGTGTGTTTGAGTGTCTTTGTGAGTTTGAGTGTCTTTGTGTGCATGTGTCTTTGTGTGTGCGTGTGTGTGTATGTGTTTAAGTGGATACTGAGTGCGCAGTGGTGTACGTACTCGTGCACGCATAGTATATATATATCTGCATATCCATATATATATATATATATATATATCCTCCATGTATATATAGAGGAGGAGAAGCCAGACTTCCAGTATCTTACCCGCCTTGTAGTATGTATGCCCTGCCATGACGAGCTGAAAGTTGCGCTTCCTCCACTGTGAGAAGCCTGCGTGCTCGAGGCAGACAGCTGCCTGCTCGAGCAGCATCGCACTCCTGATGGCTTGGCTTTGGGCCTGAATAGCCGACACCCCTTGTTGTTGCTGCTGTTGCTGCTGTTGCTGTTGCTGCTGTTGCTGCTGCTGTTGCTGCCACATGGAAGCATCCAGAGAGGGAAGCTCCGCATTTGCGGCGATGAGACGCCGCGCGACTTCAGCGGAGACATCTGCAGAGCGTCCTCCGCCTCCAGTCATCAGTGGCAGATGCAGGACGTGCGGCAGCTGCAAGAAGCTTGTGGCGGCACTGCTGCTGCTGCTGCTGCTCGTGCTGTTGCTGCTGCTGCTGCTGCTCGCGCTGCTGCTGCTCGCGCTGCTGCTGCTGCTGCTCGTGCTGCTGCTGCTGCTGCTCGTGCTGCCGCTGCCGTCCATCAGCAAGCGATGCGCGAGCAGCACGCAGCGCAGTGCCAGACGGCCTGCTGCAGCCTGCGAAGCAGACGGTGGCAGCAACACGCCAACACACAGCATCGACAGTTAAAGGGAGTCTGGGGAAAGCTTATAGAGCCCTTCAGGATGCGAAGAACAGGAAACACGACACAACACACCCATGCATGCATGCACCACTCCAGAGAGAGAAAGAAAGCACAACACAACACATGCATGCATGCACCATTCCAGAGAGAGAGAGAAAACACAACACAACACACCCATGCATGCATGCACCATTCCAGAGAGAGAAAGAAAGCACAACACAACACATGCATGCATGCACCACTCCAGAGAGAGAAAGAAAGCACAACACAACACATGCATGCATGCACCACTCCAGAGAGAGAAAGAAAGCACAACGCAACACATGCATGCATGCACCATTCCAGAGAGAGAAAGAAAGCACAACGCAACACATGCATGCATGCACCACTCCAGAGAGAGAAAGAAAGCACAACGCAACACATGCATGCATGCATCACTCCAGAGAGAGAAAGAAAGCACAACGCAACACATGCATGCATGCATGCACCACTCCAGAGAGAGAAAGAAAGCACAACGCAACACATGCATGCATGCATGCATACGCGCTCACCTTTACGTATGCGTTGTATGCCTGGTCAATGTACGACTCAATCTCCCGCCTGGGGCCAGCCATGGCGTGTAGTGCCACCGCACACATTTCGTATGCGCCTCCTACAGCGAAGCAAGATAAAGACGCAATTAACACACCCCATCTTCGTCTAGGCTTCGTTTTTTTCACACCTATCGTTTCAGTCACAGCTGCAAAAGCACAAGCAGTGGCCATCATCCGCCAGCCAGCCCTTGGCATCCCCTCTCGCGCAGCACTCCCCCCTCCCCCCTTCCCCCCTCCCTCTTTACAGCAACAGCAGCAGCAGCAGCAGCAGCAAGAGGAGAAACAGCCAAGTCTCCTACGTCTCCTTTTTCACGCAGACACGCCGCCATCCATCCCTAGCCAGCGTCGAAAATGCCTCCCTTTCCCTCCCCCCACGCAACGTCGGCTGCGAGACACCGAATGAACAAGAAAAAAGCTTCTTCTGGATAATCAACACGCACCCAAGTGCAGCCAGCGCTTGTCTTGCTTGAAGTCGGTGGCGCAGCTTCTGTAACTCTGCAAAGCGCTTTCTGCGCTTCCAAACAACAAGCTAAGGTCCCCCAAGAGTCGGTACTGCCACTCAATAGCGTGCAGCTGCACGCCAACCCCCACAGCTCGCTCTCTGCGCAGTCGTCACAGCAACCCCTCCCCCCTCCCCCCTCTCTGCCTCGCACACATACACACACCTACACACACCCCACTCCCCCTGCCATGCTAAACCTCCTCCAGCAAGCAAGCACCCCACAGATGCACACGTCCATACACACAGAGCCGCACAACAGACACGCACGCTCCGACGCAGGTATTTACACACATAAACATACATAAACATACACGTAAACATATACACACATAAACATATACACACATAAACATACACATACATAAACATATACACACATAAACATACACACACATAAACATACACATACACATAAACATACACATAAACATACACAAACATAAACATACACACATAAACATATACACACATAAACATACACATAAAAACGTACACAAACATAAACATACACATACATAAACATACACACACATTTACATATACACACATAAACATACACATAAACATATATACACACATAAACATACACATGCATAAACATACACACATAGAAACTCCTTCCTAGTGGCCAATATCGGTTGACATATGTCTCGCCACCTTAACTCCCCATTCCCACGCCTCCCCCCTGCATGCATTAGCGTTCAATCCAAGCCTTTTTTGCAGTCGAGTTCGTCATCAGCCAGGGCAGCCCAGTGCGGTGTACAGAAGACACTTGAGAGAAAGCCAGCCATGACATGTATAGAAGGCCTCCTGCTGCCTGCAGCTCCCGGCTCTATGCATGCATGCCGTGCTTCATTTTTCAACAACCCCCAGCAGCATGCACATGCGCTAAAACTCACGACATAGCAGCCTGCAGAAGGCGTGACAGTAGGCGATACAGACAACGACCCTCCCGCTCCACCCATCACCACCTTCCCCTCCCCAGTGTCGCTGGAGCCTCCGTTGACGACCCCTCCGCCGCTGCCACTGCCTGATTCTCCTGAGAAAGACACAGCCACGACACCAGCAGCAGCAGCAGAAGCCCTCTGCAACTGCAAAAGCCACAAAACAAACGCCAGTGCCTCATACGGACGGCGGGGGAAACAGGCATGGGAAGCAGCCGGAGCAGTATGCGCGAATTCGCGAAGAAGGAAAAGGCAGCAGATGTAGTGCAGCAGACGAAGTGAAGCCGACGTGGTGAAGCAGATGCGGTGCTAAGGGCATCTCTAAAAGCAGACGTGGTGCAGCAGATGTGGTGCTAAGGGCATCTCTAGAGGCAGACGTAGTGTGCAGCAGATGTGGTGCTAAGGGCATCTCTAGAGGCAGACGTAGTGTGCAGCAGATGTGGTGCTAAGGGCATCTCTAGAGGCAGACGTGGTGTGCGGCAGAGAGGGTGCTAGAGACAAGACACCTAGAGGCTCTGTTGCCTTATTGTTGGAGCCAGTCTAGAGCTCGTGTGTGTGTCAGGGGAGCAAACGGAGAAGCGCTTCTGCATGCACGCCGGAGCAGGAGGCACACGTACCAAGCAGCGCGCCTCCAACGGCGGATAAGAGAGCTTCAGCTGCTCCTCCCGCCTCTTCAGCTGCAGCGGCAATCCCCACCACGACCGCCTCTGCTGCGGCAGTGGGAGTAGCCGACGCGGCAGTGACTGCCTTAGGCTTCCTCCACAGGTAGCGCAGCTGATTTCTTAGGCCTTTGCGGTTGCTGCTGATGCTTGCGTCGAGTTGTCGAATGCGTTGCTCTGACCAAGGAACTACAGAAGTCGCCACGAAATGCCGCACGAATGCTCCAAGCCACTGGAGATCTTGCCACGCCAAGCCGACGCAGAAGCTGCAGCCGAGGCAGGCGGGGGAGAAGCGGAGGGCAGCTTCTCCTGCCTGCTCTTGCTGCAGGTGTTGCTGCTGAGATGCGGGCTTGGGAGGGGAGGGGGGAGCAGGGGGGGGGATGGCGTTGGCAGTCAGGCGCGCAGCCACGGGAAGCTTTTCTGCGGATCGAATGATGGCGTCTGCCAGCTGTTGGGGGTGCTGGACTTGCTGAAGGGGATCGTTGTGCAGCAGCAGCAGCTGCTGCTGCTGCTGCTGTTGCTGCTGCTGGGGCTGGGCCGGAGAATCTGCCGCCTTCGAGGTTGGCGGGGGGTGTTGCGCGTGCGGAGGAGCGGGGTGCGTGAGCAGCGTGGGGGATAGGCTTGCGCCAAGGGTTTGGTGGAAGGAGAAGGACAGAGACTGCGCGTAGAGGAAGCGAATTGCAGGGAGCAGCTGAGCAGACAGACAGGCAGGCAGACAGGGGCCACAAATATGGCGCATGCAGCAGTCTTTCCGCACAAAAGTAGCTGGAAACACACTGCGGCGAGCAGGAGGGTGGTTCTGTTTGAGGCTCCAACGCGCGCGTGCAAGGCAGCCACCAAGGGTGTGCGCCTCTTGTGCTCAGACCTTTCTCGCGTCCACTGAAGAGTTCAGCTAGGGATTTTTCGAGATGGTATTTTGCAGCGCCTCGCGGTTATACTACCCCAGAGAACACCCTGATGGCGCCTCTAGCCGTCCATACCTGCGCATGTCGGGTGCTTGTGCAGCCGCGTCCAAGCGTCAGCAGGTGACAGTTGGCGGGAGGAAAGATCTCGCAGAGGCGTTCCATGATTTCCATAGGTCTTGAGGAGGCTGCCCTCTCTTGAATGCCCGGGGGGAGGGGGGCCCCTCCTCCCCCCGCAGAGGGGGCCCCCTCCGAGTCGCCTTTTGCACGAAGTCCATCGGTGGAGAACCCTTTGGCAAAATCTTCTGAGTTGCCTCGCGGAGCACCTCCTGCGCTTGGGGAGGCGAGAGGCTCCTGTGCATCAGGCGTTGGAGCAGCCGCAGCGCGCATGCGGGCGGCGCATGCGTCGAGGTGTACGTCCAGCAGAATGACTGCCCTGACGGGGTTCGGATCGAGGATGTACTGTCTGCACATTTGCGGCAGGCTGGAAGGCTGCAGGAGCTCCTCCAAGGCGGCTACAGGGTCAGGATCGCGTGTGCTCACGACGAAGATGAGGCCGACAGGCTGCGACAGAGTTTCATGGGAGCTGAAGCGTGTGCCTTCAAATATCACACGCCGCCACTCGTTGTACCAGGGCAGTTCAGCGCCTAAGGAGGTCTCTGCAGCGGGATGGCTGGCGGCGGTAGAGGGCTCCGGCTTCCTCATATCCGGCGGCACGCCCCCTCCGAAGACTGAACAGCGCATCTGTTCTCGCAGTTCGCTCACGCTAGGAGACGCCAGCAGCAGGGAGCGTGCAGCTAGCGACTCGACGGAAGGGCAAGGCACTGGCTCGGCCTCTTCCAAGTTGAGAAAGCGCACGCTTAAAGGCCGAGAAGGTCGCTTGAGAGAGCCTCCTCCTCCTGCGGAGGCGCTGATGCTGCTGGCTTTCGAACTGTTACCCGCAGAGCCGGCAGATGCTCCGCAATCCGCGCGTAGCTGCAGCACCAAAGGGGGCACTCCTCGCGGCGGTCCGAGCCGAGACACCGTCCCCGAGGGGTCCAGTTGATCGGGGGAGAACTCTTCTTCATCGTCAGAGGCAGATCTCGAAGACGTGGGCGTTGGTGGATCATGAGAGGATTCTGCGTGGCGGCGGCCCCGGTGTACAGACACCCCCGCCCGACGCTTAACGTGGCTCCTTATGCGGTGAACCGTCTCCCCATTGAAGGGCTGGAAAAGGCAAGCAAGAGAGAGCCCGGTGAAGAAAGCCACCTCCCTTTTCGCCGTTTGCGAGCCGCCTACGAGGATGTACGGTGCGAAGGTGCGGGCGAGCCATTGGCGCCTGTGTGTAATCTCTGGATGCATGGTGCAGCCGTGTTACCGCAGAACCTCTAGAGGGAGCCTCTGACCTCTGCGGAGTCAGTGACGAGCCGGAGGAAGCCCCTTGAGAGGCAGTCAGCAAAGCCCTGCATGCCGGGAGTTGCAATGGAGGAACGGCGCGCGTGTGCGGCCAGCGAGGCGGAAGAGCACGGACTCAGCTACACAGGGAGTGGTTTTTCGGGTGTATCTTGTCGTGGTGGATTTCTAGAGTCTCTGTGTTCCCGCATGTCCGAGCTGCTGCACGCTAGAACCGTAGGGTGGGCACTGATGGGGGCCGCCGAGGAGCGCGACAGCGAGCATCTGTCGCAAGACTCGGGAGGGGATTCAAATAACAAAGGGCAAGAGCGAAGACAGCCAGAGGTACTCAGCTGTGGAACAGGAATGCGCCTTGGTGCTGCCCGCCACTGCATGCTACCACCACGAGCAGCTGGGGGGCTCTGCAACTGCTCGTGGCTTCACGCGTGTACAGCTTTCCCTTCGTTTTTTGAGCGAATGAGCGTGAATGCACTCAAAGACACAGTCGTATCCCCTTTCAGTGCAAAACCTACGCACCCCCGGGGGCCGCAACACGGCAAGCACCGCAGCCGGCGGACTCAGGATTTTGCATGGGTGCACGAAAATGATCATTTGCGCCGATAAAGCATTGTTTTAGGCAAAAGTTCTTCAGTTTCTGTTTGTTCTTTTGCTGTGTTGCCAAGATGGGGGCGAAGACTCGGTGCCTCGGGGGTCAGGTGTCTTTCGACAGACGTGCCGTTCAGGAGCTGCTGACTGATAACTAAAACGGGGAGAAATTGACGACCCTTTCAGGACCGTAACGAAAGCAACACTTTTTTCATGCCACGCAGTAGTGCGAGCGGCTTAATGCCTGAGGCGGAAGGATATGTGGTAGTTTCTACTGCTTCAGGCAGCATCAGCGTCTACGCGCCTACGAGGGGCGAGTTCCCCTCCCAGACAAGACAAGGACTGGGGTCGGTCCCGGAGCTTCGCACCACTAAAAGCACGAGAGCTAAGTACTGAACTGTTCAAATGGGGTTGGGACAAAGTGTTTGGTCACCATGAAAAAGTCATGTTGAACTTCAAGCTAAATCTGCGAAATAGGCAAAACCGTGGCAAAACAGTGCCATAATTGAAGGTAACTATCGCAAAACGAGAGCAACGCACTGCTTTCTTGGTTTCTCTGGGAACCTGAACCAATCCTCAAAATCCTGCAGCGGGTTATGCCCCATTTGAAAAGTTCCCCCAACACTTCCTAGGTTTAATCAACATTCAGAAGGCACTTGACTTACTGCATTTCCTCTTTCCATATCTTATTTACTCAGAACCGTGGTAGCACGATACAAAAAGGCGCAGTGTTGTGTGCCTTTGCCCTAAATGCTACGTGCATCAGTTCAGAGTGCTGGGAGGGTGGAGCTACGCCCGCAAGCGCTGCCCTTCTCCTCTGACATCAGGAACTCTAAGGGGCGCAGATGAGGAGTGCATAAGTTAAGTGCTCTCCTACGGAGATCTTAGATGGAGCCTTACATGATCCATTCTGTTGGACTAGAGTGTTTACCTGGAAGCACATTGCGGGCTACGAAGGACTCCAGAAGTAGCTAGAGGCTGTTGGGGGACCGAAATATCAAGGTGTGTGGGGTGCGGACCAAGGGAAGGCTGGCATTGCGTATGTTCTATATCATACCACCATCGATCCCAAGAAGCAGTGCTGCTTGCAGATGTGTAGGTATAAGGATCTCCAGTAGTGGACCGATCTATGCAAGGCCCCCGCTCTCCTGCCGAACGGATTAGGACTTCTAATCAACAAACCGAAGCACATCAGCGCCTCTCGTTTACACTTTTGTACGTGGATTTAGGAGCCACGGGGGCTCCAAACGCGCAAGAGGGACAAATGCACCCACTAAATCCCCGGTCACAGTCTTGATAACGTCTGGGCATCCATTCGGTATTCTCACGTATAACAGCTCATAGTAAAAGCATCTACAGCAGCGGATCCTTACGTCGCAAGTGTACAGCGGATGATGCAAAGCAATGCTTTATCACGCCGTTTTCGAAATATAGACGTGAGAGTAAACACGAGTAGTGAACGGATCGCGTGAATGTGCCTCTGTGATGACCTCTGGCAAAGTATGAGTGAAAAGCAGGGAGCTGTTTGTTTCGATGACATGGCAGTAATCCCAAATTTCGTTCAACTAACTAGCATGTGTCTGAGCTATCGGGTGAGTGGGCAGTTTGCACAGCCTTTGTGCCCCGAAACTTCCCATATCGCGTCTCTGTACCCATACGAAGGATCACTATGCTCAGGCGCATTACGGTCCTTGACTGCTGGTTTCTCTTGCTGGTAGTGCAGGACGAAAAAATTAAGAATGCAGTAGGCATTCACCCCTTCGTCGCTGGTTTTGCCTCGCCATCCCCTTTATTAAAATGAAGAAATGTTTAATAGAGTCCAGGAAACTCCGGAAAGTATGATTTCTATTAGATCTTGTTTGAATGTGTTTAATCTGTTTATTTTCCCTGTATTGGCCTTGAGTGAACTACAGCAGTACGCGTATGTTGTTCGACAGTGAAGGCAAAAGCATAAATCAGTAGGAATTAAGAGATGAACTACACACCTGAAGCCCTCAGTTGAATTAGCTAACTGTTATATACGGTGGGTATGCACATTGGCTATGTATCACCTTTTAAACTAAAACCGCAAAGGTCGTAAGCACAGGGCAAGCTTGGGCTTAGGTAGGAAACATTCGCCGATAGGATAGGCATTGCTTCTCCCAATTGCTATTTGACACGGTCCTCCAATTTTTAAGCTAATATATGGCTCTGCGCTTCTGTCAAGCATTCACGAAATCGTTTTTGCACCTGATAAATATCGTATCTCCCTCCGAAGATAACAGATGCCAGGCTGCATACATAAAGCAGGATTGTGTTCCGTATTGTATATACAGACACGATAATGTGTATGAACTAATAATCTCATGTATTCGCCTGAACTGCAACAGGATTAAGAATGCCTATTTCTCCTGTTCCAGGTACTTACAGAAACCACCTGTTTGCCTTATTTGGAACCAGGGCATCCACTAGGGGGATCTGCGTTTATTTCAAAGGTCTTTCTGACTGATCAGGGGCGCCCTTGCAGTTATTGGCGCACTGTCATCTGCTCATGCACCATTTGTTCTCCACTTCCAACTCAATTGTATCCATGACCTTTGGAAATGTGTTCTACTGGTACACTTATGCGTACTCTGTTTGTACTGTCTTCCAGGCTTCTTCACGCGGAAGCTTGTTGTTCCAATTGTATTGCCCAGCAGGTCAGTGAGTGCTTGTTTGGCCAGTCGAATACCCCGATTGCGATGCTGTTTGGGCTGCGTACTATGCGGTCCATGGTTCCTTTTTCTTAGTATGCTCTAAGGCATGTCAAAGAAATAAAAGGTCAGCAATGTCGTTTTTCTGCTGGTATGCATTGGAGCTCCTTAGACCAATCAATCTTCACTAAGGTGGGAAATGCTACCACTCTTACGCTGAAGATGGGTGGGTATAAGAGGAACCCCTCATATAATCGCATGTACAGCACCGATATGCGCACACCGAGCGTGCTGTACTGATTTGTGGCGCCAAATAGCCACTCCAGCGTTTCGCGTCCACTTGGAAATTGCTCACTCCTCCGCATCACTTGGTTGGGTCGCAGCTGAAGAAATCAAGCGTTGCAGTGCTTCGTTTGTGATGCACACTTCAATCGGTTGGGCTAAGTTTTTGTAATTCTTTTACGAGAACCGCACGTGCAATCCATTGGTCACATGACACAGGCTCCTAGACCTCTCAGCAAGTCTGTGACGCGGATGGCCATGTGAGGTGATGGGGCTACTGCTCTCCATGCATAGCGATACGAAACAGGGGAGTAACCCACGGTGATAACTATCTTGGAGCTAACAAGTGTGGCTGTATCGCAGGCGCTTCTGAGTCGCCGCTACGCAGGTCGTGTGCAGCGACTAGAGGGACACAGTGCTCGGTCGATGTGGAAAAGGCATAGGTGGAGGGCTGAGATAGTGGGCGGAGTGCCACTGTCATTGCAGCCTAACACCGCCAGCCGTAATGGGCAAACCACCAATCAATGGGGAAAAATATTTCTCAACGAGATGATTAAGAGCTCTGGTATCCGGTAGCCAGCCACCATTTTGAATGCTGAGAGCCCAGATACCGCGGCGTTAAACTCTATTGTGCTTTTGATGGCGGGCAAGAGCACAAGTATGGCTTGTTGACCACTTCTTTCTCAATAAAATTCATAGAGAGATACAAGAATACCGGTTAGAGGGTTGCTGTATGAGCGTCTAGTGCTTGAAATACTCTTTATTGCCACACGTGACAGCAATATCAGCTCTGCGGCCTTCTTGTACGATTCAAAGGTCATTAGCACCACAGGATTTATTCCTTTGCAAAGGTCCATGCATAGGCAAAAGCACTCACCTCATTCCAGGCAGTTGAGCTTTATGTAAGGATATGAAGCTCGTTTGAACGCGCGGAGGAAACGCTCTGCCCGTGCCTGGGAAATCGAATGACAAATTACATGAAATTCAAATCCAGTGCCCTGACAACCTAGCGTTGCACAAGTAAGCTGCCACTAATTGATAAAGCTGAGCTTGTAATACACGCATTTCCAGCGCAGGGAATTCTACTGGTGCTATACGGGCTGTCTACAAAATTGCTCCTACAAACCGTCAATGAACAGCAAATGTGCTCTGCTTTAAAAAAGCTTGAAATGCAATCGTTAAAAATGAGTCGAACATAAAAACCTGCGAAGGATGCAAATGCCTTCCTGCAACTGGCAGGCGGCATGCATCTTAGCAGTCGGAAATTGCTCTGCCACTAAAATCATATGCACAAGCGTGCCGCAGTGTGTTTTAATTCGCCAGTGCACTCTCCATCTGATGCGAGTGAAGCCGAAACAGCCCCCAAGCTCCTTTCCTTAGGGTTCAGTTGTCACATTGCAACTCCCGTGAGCAGCATCAGACACCTGCGATGCCAACGGTTTGCGCCGAATCCACCACATGCGCGCCAGGACAAAATACATCAAAATAAGGAGGCCAAGCAATGGCAACTGAACAAGGTACAACCACTTTGGGCCAAGTCCTACTGTGAGATGGAACAGGGGGCTGCAAAAAAGGGATAGAAGCCCGCCGACCAGCTGCACGATGCCAATCAAGCGGCCGAAATATATAGCGGGGAAAGTGCTTTCAATGTATACGAACACTTGAGAGACGAAGAGCGACATGTATACCATGAAGCACAATACGGATATGATACCCGTCGTTGCCGCCTGCTTCAAGCTGAAAGCGTATGCCAATAGGCCTGCCGTATTGACGATTCCCATCACCGGTATTATACCGAGAAACTCTGACAGCTTGCCCAAGATGATGCAGGGAATAAAGGAGAAGGGCAGAGCACTGCCTAAGAAATCTTGCGCTTTCTGAACCAGAATACGGTCATGGCCCTCTTGGTAAAAAGAAGTAATCCATCCCACCGCGATAAAGTAGATGACAATTAAAATATACTTCTCAGAGGACAGAGTCTTTAAAAACCTATAATCCGTCGCTGTTTCAACTAGTTCTTCGGGCTGTTCAATAGACCATCTTGGCTTCGTTGAGGCTTCCGAATCACTCTCGACGGTAGTTTCCCCCGCATGTTGCTCCACTGGCTGTGCCCACTTAGGCCCTGTATTTTGTTCTTCAGGTTTAAAAGCCATGTGATTCTCTTGCATGCCGCCATCATAAACCTTGTACGCCTTTAACGGCATCACAAGGAATACGATGACAAGGAACAGGCACGGACCGAAGCCGACGTACCACCAACAGCCTGAAATGCCACCATCCGTGAGATAAGAATGCAAAATGAGGGGGATGGCGAAAGAGGCGGACGAAGCCGACCCAATCAAAGTTATTACAGTCGCAGCAGCGCCCGGGAAGAGGCGGGTGACCAGCAGAGTGGGGAGGAAAGCGGTGTCAGCGCCTAGACCAATGCAGATGAAGCCGAGGTACACTGTTGCGTGCGACTCCGCCGTCAGACTTGAGATCAACGACCACGCCACAATGTGGAAGCACTGGCCAATCATAGACGTAATTTTGGGTCCCAAGGTATCCATCATTGTGCCAGCCAGTGCACTCATCGTGCAATGCACCGCCAGCGTGAATACAAACAAGCTCTGCACAGAAGCATCCTGTGCATCGCAGATATAGTTGTGTCCTAACTGTCGTTGGTCGTCCACAAAGCCTCCCTTTCCGTTGGCTTCGCATTTAAAACTAAAAACTTGAGCCTTTAACAGCATTGCCGACAGCGGAGCCCAGCCAAAGTACACGCATCCTGTCATGAACGTCTGGAGCGCGTAGACAAATAACAAAGCATATCTGTTCAAGTTGAGGGGCGTGGGCTGTTGAGCGCCTGGAAGATTGGCTGGGGGAAGGGCACGACGAACCATGTCCATAGATTTATGCGCCCACAGAGGCCCCGAAGCATTGTAATTCGCCATTGTAAACATCAACTGAATCAACAGCAGGATAGTCTTGAGAGGAACGGGCCAATATCAAACGCCTCACAATGGACTGCGCGCCGCATTGGCGGAGTCCGTGGATCTTTCCCGCTGTATCAGTCCAGTAGACGCAAACAAAGCAAAAATAATGCGATATTCACACAAAAAGACGCTATGGCGCGCGTTGTACTGTACGCAGACTTGAGAGATGCTGCGAAGGTCTGAGTGGTGCCTGGTCCCTCCCTGCGTCAAGCCCAGTGGCACCGCAACAGTCCTGCACCGAGTCGCTTTAACTGACACTGCAGACTAATTCTGGAGCCGATTCATCTCATTTACCTTGTTAAGCTTGTACTTAAGTCTAGTTCGAGGTCTAGAAGCTCCGTTTAAACCAGGATATGCACTTTGCTCCGTGCTCTCGTGGTGTTGTCAATAAGCTGTTTTGAGCTGTGGTCCTTCACTTGAGTCTAGAGTTACGTTGACCCAGGAAGCTTTCAGGGCAGTGTAAATGAATGCTCCTCTGCTTGGAATTTAGGAGAAAATGCTAAACATAGCTTAATATTGATTCTGTACTTCGTGGCTTCGCCGTCAAGTACAATCACGTGTCTGGGTGTCCTACCGATTCAATATAGGTGTGCTGCTTCAGATGATACCACCTTTCTGGAGTCGGAGATCACAATCAGAAAGCGATAAATATACTTGATACCTAATCTGCATTAGACCGAGACATTCACGCTTCTGTTTAACGAGGATGAGGTACTATAATTCCATGTAGTCCCGACCAACGGGGGTCAGGCAATGTTTATCATGGTAAGAATGCGCTGTCCTAGTGCTCAACGAACTATATTAATAAGGGTAGCTTGATTGATTCACATTGAAGAGATTGAATAGCTCAACCAAAGGCCTTGCTGTTGCGGCAAGCACATATTGTCCACGGCGAGTTTTGCTGTTCCCGTTTATGATTGTAACGCTCCGTATATCTGCGTAGAGAAAAAACTAACTTTTGATATACTACAAACATAATCAGAGGTTATTGAATGCTCATCAAGTGAGCTGGCAATTTTTTTACCAGCCTCCCTGAAAGGTCTGTGATGAGGCGAAAACGACACGAGGTTGAGCGTAGCTGCGTCCTCTAAGCGCTCCAACATTTGCAGCTAGGTTCGCGTGGCAACTACTCCACATGCATACAAAAATGAGTCTTCTCGCATAGAGCGAAAGGAACTCTGCATTAAGAAATAGGAACAGACACAGCAGCTAGCCAACTTCACACTACTTTCTAAGTTCCAGATAACTGGCGTTGTAGAAAGTGTTTAAATCTAGCACAGCCCGCTACATTTTTCCCATCCCGTCACTGCATAGTGCACGTCCTTGTGTTGCGCACCTGTTCATCGAAGCTACCCGCGTGCAGCCCAGCAAAAGGCTTCCCGCCCGATCGCAACTCCTGAGGCAGGCAGGAACCGAAAAAGTGCAAATCAGCAAATCAAATGTATGCATCAACTTTTAAAGTAAAGTTGACCGGCAGAAGCTTTATCAGACTCGACGACAAGAAGCGAGGGACCAAATTAATAGGACCCCAGAAGGGGCAATGGCTCGTTGTCGTTGGAGTGCGGAAATATGGGAGTCCTCTGCTACGAGAAGACAGATGACAAGTAAAATAGATAGGATAATCAGAGTTTAAATTCTTTCAGCAATGCCTTCGCTCCTTGTGGAATAGTGCCTGATACCGACGCTGCTAGCAGACTACTGGACTTCAAAGCCCCAAGCAAAGCGTAACGCAGAATGCGGCACTTTTCAAGCAACGCCACTAGATAAATGCAGTTATCTCAGGCAGAGCTTGCGATGAGGGAGCACAATTACCTAGGGACGGAAGAAATACCGTCCATGGTAAATAGCGTTGTTAACCGGAGTAGCAGATTATCCACTAGGAGAGAATAGGCGCTAGCTGTTTCTCCGTCAACCAATGGAAAATGGCGTTCTCTCCCCTGTTTTGGCCAAACCGCCCGTCAAGTGTCTCACCAACGCTCAGCAGTCATAGAATATACAAGATCTGCCACTGCATGTGGTTTTGTCGCCCTCACTCGGGTCGCTTGACTGCGAGTCACAGGCCACGAATAAATCGTGGTTTTGAAAGTTCGTTAGGTCGCCAGTATTGAGAGTCATGCGCCAACAACTTTGGGAACAATCGATGCAGGATGAAACAGCACTGATCTGTCAAAAGATGGCGAAGGGGCCCTAGCCACCGCACCGCAGAGTCCTTTGTCTTGCCAGCTTCTGATGCATCGCCGAAAAAATGCCAATTCACCAAAACCAAGTCGTCAGGCTCAAAACCACAGCCGACACTGACCAAAATATTCTGTGCATGTCTCGCTTGAGCTTTGCGTATGCGTTGGCGTGCCCTCGTTAACTGTTATCTGAATGTCTTCACCTAAAGGTGGTTTCTAACTCCAAACCAAAAGGTCCACGCCTTTACCGGAGGAGGGCGCCTCAGTGTTGACCAGCGATTCCAAAGAGCAATGGGTGGACGAATAAACTGCTGTTGCTCAGGTAATGCAAGGTAGAAAACCAGAACAAGAAATCGGCGCTACAGAAGCCTGTGCGTAGTTGCATTCGGCCTGTCCCCCTGCCTCAAGGTAGTTCTTAAGGGCCGTATTCAAGTTCGTGTGAATGCGGATTAAAAAGACACACCAAAATGCGTGAACACAAGCGCCATCCGTGATAGCCCCTCAGGAATACGTGGAGCTTCCACATACGGATTGAGAATGATTGAGCGTCTTCCTGAGCCGTCATAGAGCTAAAGCAAGGGATAAAGCGCGTATATTTGCTGACTCAATGGCGTTGATCCTATCTTTATCCGTGATTTCTCACAGTCCACGACAGCATAGTTCGTAATCAGATTACTTCAATTAATTTCAGCAAACAGATGGCTTCCTAAAAGTTCGGCCTTAAAAAAAAATAGTGTGGTTTCAGCTGCTAAAAGTCTGGGCATATCGAGTGTCTACCCCTCGATAGCAGGACACATCCCAGGACACTCAACTGCAGTGTGAATCCTACCTCGGTCCAACGAAACATGATTGTTTGCTGTGTGCACAGAAGCACTTCAGAACGAAGTAGGAGAGTATAAGCGACGGAATGCCTGCTTCGTTTTGAGCCACAGTAGGCCATCCTCAACGACGCAGTGTTTCACCCTTGTGCCATTTTGGATTCTCACAAGAATAGGAGACTCATAGCCGTTAGAAGCATTCATCGCCCTTTGAGAGGAAACCAGAGCCATGTCAGTGGCATCGGTCATCCAGTAGGTAGAATATAGTTGCTGACAAGTGCTTATCATCCATTGTTGTTCGAGTATAGAAGAGGTTTGATAATACAGCAAATCCCCGTAGACCAGGCTTCAGAAGCCTATCTTTATGACTAATGCTTACTGGAACAGCGTGAACATACTCATAATCGAGCAGCACAAATACTGAAGGAGTTGTAGGGCGGACAAAAAGCTTTTATGCTCCGGCATCATCCTTCTCTCTCTAGGCCATAGACTGAGCTTTCTGTGGTAGACTAGTCATGGAAACAGCAATTTGAGCACACCAGGAATGAGATTTCGGTATCAATGCAAGCCCATAAAACGTTTTGACGCTCTACAGTGTGTGAAAAATAATGGTCGGCTTGATTGCCTCAAAATCTCCGGAACTGGTTCAACTGCGGCAGTCGAAAAAGGGATTTCTGAAGCTAGGGATGTTCTGATAGTGCATCCCAACAGATGCCGGTGTACTAGCAAAAACGTACGCGGTAGGTGCTCTCAGGTCCTCTTGAACCTTCTGGATCAAGGTTAAGATGCCCCCTTGTGAATAGAGGCCTTCACCCCTCCCTGATAGGATCATCATAATCCCAAGTAACTTGCCGTTGCTGCTCAACCGGGGCAGGAACAAACCACATATGGGTATTTTCGAATTTGCGATTGCAAACGTGGCTTAACGATTTGGGCTTATTGATTGGGTGGATGGGGATTTTAAGGAAATCGTATGTGAGGTCAAGTGTTGAGGTGATCATTTATGCGTGTAGCTTGACCAGTAATATGCCAAGACAAAGCGTCAGCACTTTTTGCCTGACAGGAATCCTTTTCAGCGGCTTGATGCTAACGCATATGCGCCACCTGCCATTCATTTTTGGTACTAACACCGGGCGATGCCCAAAAGCAGTGTTCGATCCCTGGACTTTGCCTCTTAAAAATATTGATCCGCATGCAGATCAATGTTTTTTTCATGCTGTGGGAGCTTCTGCTAGCGCAGAACTTACATTGAGGCTGACCAACGGTTTTGCTCAATGCAGCGCGCTGGACACCCAACAGGTGCCAAGCCTGCTGGCAGCTCATCATTAATTATTGCATTCGCAGAATTCCTTCATGAAACCTTCCCATTCCTTCTTTTCTTTGGGCTGAGTCTTGCTGGATTTTTTAACAAAATGGGTGCGGTTCATGAGGATGGAATGCATAGTGAGCTCCTTTGTCTCTTACTGCGCTGTTGAGCCGCCTGCAATAACGCTCTGCCACATCTTGTTGAGGTAGCGAGTCTCCGCCGCTCACCCAAACCGAAGCACGCAACGTGCGAGAGCCCAGAGGAAGCTTCTTACTAGCGTTTTCCGGCAAAATAACATACACAGCGTAGAGCCATGGCCGCGTCTACGCCTTGCATTCGCTCACCCATGGCATACCCTACATCATCTCATAGTGCGCGAGTTCAACAACATATTAGTCGCGAGCCATGCTAATGCGAGAGACTTCGTATTTGAAATTGTACTCAGCTTTAGTAGCCCTGCGAGTTCTTGCCTTTTGCTGCCCGGCGGCACGGCCGAGCCTGGGTGACTGCGCTCACGAGTGGCTATTTAGATTCGGCTTACCCGCCGTCTCCCCAGAGAACAGATTCACTTCAAATCCGTTTCAAGTGGTACTTGCACATTCTAATCATGAATATGAACCCGTGGCAGCATAAAGTTGCCCTATGAAGGGTGCCCAGCTGCACTTCTATCCTTTGTAGCTCCCTTCACTGCGCCAGAGCCCCCATGAGGGCTTTCCCTCTCCGTTAGGTGCCTTCTGTGGTACCCATGCAGTCGTTTTCCCGTGGGCTCAGTCCCGTTGCTCATGCTCTTTTCCTTTTTTATGCGCTTGTTTTTCCGGATTAAATAACGTGATTTCCCCTATTTGCGGCAGCTGCTCTGTTGGGAGGCTGTTTGGGGCTGCATGGGAGTGCCGGCTCCTTCAGACTTTCGCCTCTTGTTTGCCTTGAACTGTAGGCTGGGGCAGGTTGAAGCATCCCCGATGTTCATAGGTTTTAAACCTACACTTGACCCTTCCTTCTCAGCCGGAGGCACAGGTGCTGTGCTCATTTGCTCCTGAACACCCCCCAAATCCCATCATTTGTCAAATCCCCGCCAGATGGTTGCTTAAACACTCAGCCGCTGCCAATTTTTCGACCACCTCACGGGGCACTTATAGTGTATGTGATATAAAATAAATCAATGACGAAGCAGGTGCTCGTCTACGACATGGCATTTGCCAACCAAAGTTCCATCTTCGTTAAAACGCAAATCTAATTATGAGACCTCCTATTTTACTTTCTCGATTCCTACAAAACTCGATGTAGACCTTATATCGGCAAACCTGATGCATGAAGGCATGCACTGTTGCATTGGGCTACGCTACATCTGAACATTTACTACCGCACCAAATTTAATTCAACTAACAGCAAAGCAGTGCCTGTTTGGTTTGCCTGCCCCAATGTCTTACTTATTGCAGAGTACTGTTAGCTCGATACAGGAAGACGCAACGTTGTCTCTGCACGCGATAGGGGCTATGCAGAGCTGCCTGTGGGAGCTGGGAGTGCTTAGAAGGAGCAGCTACATGCACGCTTGTTGCCATGGCCCTTGATGTAGGGAACTCTTATGGGCTCGGCCTTGTACTACACTGAACCTAGAGTTAAAACTATCCCTCCGGAAACATTAGAGATGGAGCGCTTGAAATTGAGTACATAAATTTGCTCCACATATTGGAAACTCTCAATTCTGTTTTCTTTTGTGACCACGGCTGTAGTACAGAACCTCCCATATCCTGCGTACATGTTCCGTTTTTGCGTTTGCTAAAAATCCTATGCACCTACAGCGTAGTACGTGCAGACCGGTGTCTTGTTTCGGAGCGCTTCGAAAGCCCTCGACCTGGACATGAATTGAAAACAAAACTGCATGCAAAACCAACACAATAAAAAACGTGTAAGACCGAACTAATGAGCTTTCCTTCCGATCAGTGGACTTTTTGATGACGTGCAGAGATTTACAGCGGACAATTTTCTGAAACGACGATGGTCGGAGTGGCACTACGGGGGCTTTTCACTGAAAATTCCCCCTTTAAGCACTTATCAAGCATCAGAAGCTTAACAAAACTATGGATATTTTTAGTTTATGGAGATGCTGGCTAATGATGGATGAGATGGGGGCTTTTTCAGGAGAAGGGTCGGCATGCTGCGGGCAGATGTCAGTTGGGCAGGCACTGTTTGGCTTTGTATAGTCCCATGTATTGGATCGACCTTCGCCGGCTCTCGTAGGCTGGCCTAATGTTGGATGTATATTTTTATAAATGTTCTGATGTGCCTATTGGGATCTGAAACCGGCGCCTCCAGCGAGTGAGGCCAGTGCAGGTCGGGGCTGGAATGGAACAAGTCCGCACATACCTTTTCTGTGCTACCAGGGGTTATTACTGGTTGCTTCTGTGATCCTTTCATATTAGAGCAGGCATGTTTGAGTAGATATGCCCCTTTGCCGCTCTTTTTGGGGGCTACGTGATGGTCTGGCTCCCAAGGACTACTCTGAGTTCCCCTGCCGCACGCATTACAAGATTGATTCTTCGTCCACGGAACGCCACTTCGTCAAATACATGTATGAATATATTTTTAATACTTTTGTGAACCTCCTCTGATTTTCGAATATTCGGCCCGTTCCGCGCGCCAGAAACTTGCACTGGTCAACAGTCCCAGGCCACGCGGTCACCCACCTTCCTGTGATCGACAGTTGTCGCCTCTAGTGTCTGCTGGCTTCCTACCCGTTGTCGACCTCCATCTCTTTAAAAAATTCCGCGTTTTCTTCAGGAGCACTACCCAGCGGCCCACTGTGGTGCTATGCCTTGTTTTCCCGTGGCATCGCCGGGCACCCTCGTTGAAGCCAGTGACGCTGCCCGAAGCAGCTGCTGACCTCAGGAAGTAGCACAAGCGCAAGGGACCGCGCAAAAAGATGTTCGCATCGCCTTTGCCTCCAGGCCCAGATGTTCCCTGTGTTTCATCCGTCGGGCCAGTGGGATTTGCAAACGCCACCTCAGTTCAGCAGAAGCGACGGGAGGAACAGCATTACGTATTTCAAAAGTATCCAGGCAAAGAATTCAAGGAAACACAGTCGACCAGGAGAGAACCGAAGACTGCCGTGTACTCAACGGCGGATCAGGCGGTTCTCCAGCCACTCCGGTCCCTTGATCCCGACTCTCGAGATCTAAACCTGACTGCCAGTCTAGAAGCATTCGTCGCTGGCGTTCAGGGGCAACAGCACAAAGACGAGCATCCCACCTTCGTCTCTTCGGAGCTCTCAACACACGAAACTGTAGGGGGACTGCGCGACCAACTGCAAAAGGTCTCGAGTGGCGCACAGGGCGGCGAAGTTCATGAACGGCGCGTGATACACACCATGAATGACTACGGATCTTCAGCATACATGCAGGCAGGAGTAGGCTCTGTATTTCCGGAGGCGTATGCAAACAGCTATGTGGTGACAAAAGAAGGGGAGGTCACAACTGCACCCGGAGCAGCCACCTCTTACCAAGTCGTGCTGTCGGACGGCACATCCTATCCGTCAGCTGTCTTTCCTGCAGGTGCGTGTTTACAGCCTCTGTCCTCTTGTTGTAGGAGGAAGCTTGCTTCATGCGGGCTTGCAGCTACTTCAGGGGCTCACATCGGACTCATGGGCGCTAATTACTTCTCCCCGAAATACCCAGCCTGCTGTTGTTGGTTGCGAACTCTGTGCTCCGTGCAGTCGGCAGCAGCAGAGAAGCCGCAAGGAGCACAGCTCCGCAAACAGCAGCAGCGCCGCAGATGTATTCCTCTCCAGCACGAGTGAGCGCAGATGTTGCTGCGTCCTACTACCCCTATACAGAAGGTATGTGAAACAACTTGGCAGGCTCACATGGCAAGCAGCCCAACACACACTGTACTGAAGCACCAGCATCTGTTAGCTTGTGCGCTCCTCCAGTGCCCCCGTCACTGCTGCACATACATACACAGAGAGGGATAGACAGAGACAGAGGCACACAGACACAGACACACACAGACACAGACACACAAACACAGAGATGCAAATATATATTATACAAATGCGTCTGTGCGCCTGCTGCACGCGCGCGCAGCAATCCCCTATGCCGAGGCGGCAACTGTAGGCTCCCCAACAACAGCACCGGGAACAACTACAAATTACTACACGTCTTGTAGGTCAAAGCCCCACAAAACGCATGCCAGTCGCTGCGTTTCCGAATTGCACGCAGCACTGCGCACAGAGGACGGAAGGGCAGTATGCGTAGCACCTCTAACATTTCTTGCTGGACTTTTAAAAATCTTTTCCCGCTCCTCTTTTACCCTTCTCTTTTACCCATTTCTTTTATCCTCCTCCTCTTTTACCCGCCTCTTCTTTATCCTCCTCCTCTTTTACCCATTTATTTTGCCCTCCTCTTCTGTTATGCTTCTCCTCATTTTAACCATCCTCCTCTTTAAGTCATTTATTCCCCTGCTGCTCTTGATCCTCCTCTTTTTACCTATCCAGTGGTAGCTGCAACTGCGTGTGTGCCCGAACGGAGATTGTGCACCTTTCTGTTGCGCCTATCTGCCTGCCTGCCTGCCTCCTTTTCTTGGTTGTTGCTCGCAGATTATCGTCGCCAGTTTCCAGTATCGCCGATTGTGGCAGACTCTGCCATCCCTGGCGACGATGGCATCCCCGCCGTATCCTTGCCACATGAGAGAGATCGCTTGGTGGAAACGAATCGTCTGAGCACTGAACGCCACATCTCGCCAGGAGACGACACTGCAGGGCGTCCATCAACTACCAGCTTGGCAGAGCCAATGCTGCTAGTCGACGGCGTGACTGGTTTGCCGCTGAGAGGACAGACGTCGATCGACCGGGGGACGACCCTCCTCAGCAACCCACTCGCGAATTCTCGTGATTGCAGGCTCCTAACTGCCAAGAAGAAGCTTCTGGTGCGTAGGAGGCTTGAAAAAAGGGGCCCCATCACGCAGCGGGCGGGCTTGCATGCTGCTGCAGTCTGCACGGGGTGGTGTACGTACACCGCAGAGTTCGCCTCCGAGGGGGGAGGATACGAAGGTTGCTCAGTGTCTCCTTTCTTCTTCTTCCCTGCGCAGTCTCGCCCCATGCAGCTGATCCACGTAAACCGATGGGATGGAAAGGAAGTTCTTACTGTTGGTGAGTCCTCTTGTGGTCTCCTGGCGCTGCTTCCTCCTGCGGAGGCAGGATGGGGGGGGGAGGGAAGGGAAGAAGGGGAGACGCAGGCGCCTGCAAGAGGGCTGTCTCGTCTCTTTTAAGCGTTGCCGTCGTAGAGGCACATGCGACAGAGAGACGGCATCGCGCTTCTCGCTCGGATAGGGGGGGAGAGGCGGCACGCTGCAGTTGTGTATCGCTGTGTCTGTCTGTGTGTATGTTTGTCTGCGCGTAATTTTTGGAATCAGATGAAGGCGCTCGCCGATGGCTCGGGGAGATATCTACCCGCTATATCGCCGTGATTTCAATATGCGGAGAGCTTCAAACCGGGAAGTCGGGGCTGGCAAATCTTCTTCTCGATGAGTCCGTCGCGTGTCTGCGGACGCTGCTGTCTGTCTGTCTGTCTGCGTGTTTGTGCGCCTGCCTGCTGTGCTGGACCGAGCGTCGGTGGCAGAAAAAAAATTGGGCAATCCGGCCCTGTTGCATGCACTCACACACAGCCTCCCTTGCTGCTCAGAGAGAGAGAGACTTCTTCGTCGAACTGCTTGGTGCTGGAAAGGCTTGTGCTGTCTAGACGGTTGCGCGTTTTTCCCTGCTGCAGCAGCGTGATGAGCAGCACTTTGGGCTTTGCGGTGGGAACTTCCGTGGCAGCCCCCGTAATCGCGCAGGGTACGCGCTTTGTGCAGCGCGTTGAGTCTGAGGGAAAGACGGAAGGCGTGTGGATGTCTGCCGTGGAGGCGGAGGGTGACAAGGACAATCTGGTGTATCTTGTTCTCGATTTTGAAGGCATCGGGTCGGTGTTGTTTTGCCGCTTCGCGGCGCCTCATTTACCCCTTTTTTCGCGTTTCCCGGGGAGCACCTGCCCTCTCCCTTCCCCCCTTTCTTCCTGCCCCAACCTGCAGGTGATCCTTTTCGCTGCTCTCAAGCGTTCTGAGCCCTTCAGTGCTGCCTCCGTCTGCGAGTGCTCTATGCCTCCGTGCACAGCAGTAAAAGAAAAAGCGTCGAGCATGACCAACGCCTCTTCACCCTTGCTCTGCTGGTGTCGCATTTCCTGGTCTTCGTTACCAGGGGCGCTGTAGACAGCGACACCCTCTTCAGCTTGGCGTCGGTGAGCTGCGTAGAAGTAAATTAACAGAGACCGCTTTTTGCATGCGTGTGTGCATCTGCCGCTGTCTCTTTGAGTCCCTCCATTTCGGCCCTCTGGCGGCGTCATACGTGGGCTCCCCACGTATCACGCAAAATTCAGGGGTGTTTTGGAATCTGGGGGGAGGGGGGAAATGGTCAGTTTCGCTGACAAGCAGAGCCGCCACGCGTCTCTTCCTTCGCCTCAGCGCACTCTTCTGCACAAAAGTTTCTGCATGTAAATTGCAGGCTTCTGCATGGACTCAGCGGCTGCGCGTCACGCACGGCGGTGGAGCAGATCGCCAAGCACAAAAGCCGCCGACTCCCAGCAGTCATGGAGTCTCCCCTGCATCTCCCAATGCGAAGGGCAAGCCTGACGCTGCCTCTTCCTCAAAGGCAGGCTTAGGTTAGTCTGAGTCGGTGGTACACTCGAAGGCCTTTTCGAGTTTGTTTGCAAGGGGCTTCTCGGATGCGTGGTGTCTTGCCGATTTCGCTCTCCTAAAGGAGCGCGAGATGCCTGTCTCTCGCGTTTCCTCTGCACCGAGTCTTTGAAAGCTGCATGATCTACATATTACTATATTATATAGATATTTATGTCTATCTATTGAGTTGTTGGACAGATAGAGATAAAGAGAAACCCCGTGACGGTAGCGTAGCGGCGCGGTTGCGTGGTCCATGGAGGCGTATATCTTTCGTTCTTTGTGGAGGATTGCTCGAGGGCTGAGGCTTCGCAAAGAGCTTTATACTTCTATGGTTTGCTTTCTTCTGTGCATGCGCGTGCCTGCGTATATGGCGATAGGTGCGCATGTCTGCGCAGCAGTATTTCTTGCAGGTCCCCGTGAGAGGTCATTTCGGGGCTGAAGCGCCTTGTGGTGTGTGCATTTGTGTAAATGCGTGTGCATCTGTGTGAATGCGTGTGCATCTGTGTGAATGTGTGTGCATGCATGTGTGTGTGCATGTATATATGTATGCATTCGTGTGCATGTGTGTGCATGTATGTATGCGTGCATTTGTGTGCATGTGTGTGCATTTGTGTGCATGTGTGTGTCCATGTGTGAATGTGTGCATTTGTGTGAATGTGTGTGCATCTGTGTGAATGTGTGTGCATGTATGTGTGTGTGCATGCATGTGTGTGTGCATGTATATATGTATGCATTTGTGTGCATGTGTGTGCATGTATGTAGGTGTGCATGTATATATGAGTGCATTTGTGTGAATGTGAGTGCATGTATGTGCATTTGTGTGTGCATTTGTGTAAGTATGTGCATTTGTGTGTGTATGTGCATTTGTGTGAGCGTGTGTGTATGTATGTGTGTGTGGCATTTTTGGTGTTGCGGATTTGCAGCAGCAGGGACCTCCGCGGGGGGGGGGGGCACCTGGAGGGCTCCCGCCCTGCTGTGGGTTCTTCAAGACTTCAACATGTCGATGGTCGACGAGCAGCAGAATCCGCTGACTGCTGGAGATTATTTGGAGGCTTTGTTGGCGTTGAGTGTGTCTCGCGACGTGCGTGGCTTTAGCCAATTGGCAGCAGGCCTGGAAAGCCCCCAAATTCGCATGGCGCGGCAAGAGGTCTCTGAGTTGTTCGGGGGAGATCGCGACTGCGTTGCTTTACCCTCTCCGCTTGGATTTTATGCCCCTGCTGGTCAGAGTTCGCCTTCAGGCCAGGCTTCGGCAAGGGCGCTGGAGGCTGTCAGCGTTTCGGAGTTTGTTCCACTGTATCAGCGACGGCTTGCGCAGCTGCGGTGTCGCGTCTTTCGCGATTGCAAGGGGAGGGCGCTTGACGGAACTGCGCTTACTGGCTTGGCTCTCACGCGAATTCTGGAAAAGCTTGTGGAAGGCATCAACGGCGGGGAAATCCCGGAGAGCGTGCGGCTCCTGGGGTCCATTCAACACGATGAATGCCGACGCTGGAAGCAAGTCTGCGAAGAAGCGTTCACGAAAGAGCTCAGAGACACCTTTCAAGCGAAGCTGCCCATTCCCTCCAAGGAGCTCCAAGAGGGAGCAGAGAGCTTGCAGCGCAAGTATTCTCACCATTTCAAGATCCACGCAATTGGTCAGTCGTTGTTCGGAGGGGCTTTGTGTGGCAGCCCCGCGCATGCAGGGGGCCAGGGGACGCGTGGCGACGTGCATGCGTTTTTTTAAATTGCTGAGCGCTGTACAGCCCACTGCGTGAGGGCATAGGGAGACAGAGCAGGAGGATAGGGTGCACAAAGAAGGTATGCACAACGCAAAGGTGGATGGGTGTTTTGTCTCGACGACGCTGCAGGTGTTTGATGCTGCTTTGCGTGCTGCATCTGTGTGTCTGTGTTTGCGGGATGCGGGGGCAAAAATTTACACAATCAGGTGATGATGAAGTCCTCCGCCACTACAAGACACAACTGAAAGAAAAACTGCGTCGCATCACTGACAGAGCGTTGGAAGAAAACGAAGTGCGTTCTTCTTGGCCAGCAACGGAGAGCCGCGCTTTTTCAACGTCCCCATACAGCGATCGGGATAGTCACATAGATAGTTAGATAGAAAGAGAAAGAGAGAGAGACGAAGAGTGCTGCCCTGCGCGCTTGCCATGGGGAGTTACATGAGATTCATATATGTATATATGCATGTATATGCGCATGCTTGCTGCACTGTGGTACTGTGGAGAGAAGCCTTTCGCGGTTTTAGTGGCCGTCTGTCGGCATCTTTGCAATGCATATAAGGGGCCATTTCGTCCTGTTGCGCCGCTGCTTCACGCTGTGCTACCGAGGACGGTGACGCATGAAAGAGAAAGAGACTCTGGGCGTTTTTGCTGCATCGCGCGTGTGGCGTTTGTTGCTCCGACACTTTGAATGGGCTGTTTCAGAGGCATGCGGAGTGGAAGTGTCGGCAGAAGGCCAAGATGCTGAGTGACAAACTTGGCATCGACCAGAAAATCAGCGGGAAGTTGTACATGGATCTGCAGGCGCTCAACGATGATTTGGCCCTGCTGCGTCAGGAGTACGCTCCCAACTCTTATTGCCGGCATGCTTGCTTTTGCTGCACACTGCTCTGCCAGCTCGTCTCACGCTGTGACGTTGATGGGTTCGCACCCGCAGCCGTGCCAGCGCCCTTCTTGGCTGCATGCCCATGTGCCGATTTTGTAGCTCAACGTGCGCGTCTGCGCAGGTACAACGCAGACATACGAGGCCCTCGCTACGTGCATCAACGCGTTCTCAACGAGTACATTGACCAGCTACTGTCTAGGGGGGCAAACGCCGTCGCGGATGCCTTGCAGGATCTTGCACGAGACTCCGAGGTGCTGAGGCTATGCGGGCTGTTTTTATCGGCACTTGCGATTTTTTTCACGTGGTGGAATTCGTGTTCTGCACACTCTGTTCGGACGCAGCTGCAACCCGCTTTTACATTACGCATGGTTTCGATGGGTGTCATGCCGCTGTTTTGCTCCTCGCCACTGTCTGCCTGAGTAGTGCGTTTGAGTAGTAAGAATTTGCGACATGGGCCTTCGTGTGTGGGGGGAATGGGCATGCACTGCTGCTTTTCAGCGTACAGCAGCTCTGCTGCACCAGAAAACAATGGACGCTGAGCGGAAGGGAGACAAAGCTGTAAAGCTTGAGCAAGAACTGCAAAATAAGGACTAGTACGCAAGCTGGGGTGCTTGTCTCATTTGGCTGTTATTACCCGGGGCATGCCTGAAGTTGCGCTGCGTAGCGTGCTTGATATCGAATTAAATCGTTTAGGAGAGAGCTGGCAGTCCTCGCTTGCACTTTTGCTGCAGCGAGACTGAGCAGCAGCGTAGTAGCGTGCCTGTTGTTGAATTGAGTCATTTGAGAGAGCTGGTCGTCACTGGTGTGCATTTTGCTGCAGCGAGACTGAGCAGCTGCGCCGCGAGCTAGAAGACGAGCGCGAGCAGCAGACTCTCCAGGAGGAACGTTATAAGCAGTGCGTCACCCCTGCAGGCAGCTTCTTTCCCCAGTCTGTGCCCCCTCTTTTGATCCATGAGGATCAGCGCCTTGTTGGCTGTGTGTCTGCATCAGACAGTGCACTGCAACACGTGTGTGTCTCGTTTTGCTGGCTCCGCCGCTGCCGCCTTCTGCAGGGAGACAAAGGAGCTGCGCCGCGAGCTGGCGGAGCAGCGGGAGACAAATCAGCGACTGAGCGCTCTGTATCACTCGAGGGTGTTGGACGAAGAAGACGCTTACCGCTATGGCCCTCGCCGCAGCAAACACAGTGCAGTTGGTTTGAATGATCAGGCCCGTTGCTTCGGCAACAGGTGCACCCTTATGTGAACGCGCAGGGAGAGAGGTGCTCTGGCTGCCTGCCTGGGAGCCTAAGACCACTATTGCCTCTTAGGTAGTGGGCTTTCAAGAACAGCGGTAGTGCGAGCAATAATAAAAATCCTCATCTCTCCTGTCAATAAGGGTATTGTCAAAAACTTAATGGGGCATTTTATAGTTGACCGAATAGTTTTCGCTTTGACGGATTGTCGACTCCCGTCCAGCGAGCGACTTAGGGACGTCTTCGGCTTGCTTGTGACATGCGTATGCCGCTTCAGCGGTCTCACAAATATCTCCGGTGCTCGATGCGCACGCGCAGTGTTTGTCTGCGTGTTTCCAGAGCTGCTTTCGCCACCTGTCACACTACGTCTGATGTAGAGCAGCTTCCTAGACCGCGCTGTGCGCACTTTGCGGAACGATTGTGCCGGGCAGAACACCAGTCTACTAATGCGATTCGTTCGTTGCGAAAAAGCCTAGTAATGGACATAAACGTAATTAGAGAGTAGAGTGTTTCGGCGGGGTTTGCTGCATGGACTTCCCTCGCTACCCATGTGGTCTGCCAGGAGCCTCGCCACCGTAGCTAGGGCGAGTGAGTCTGACGTCAGAGAAGCTCCAGCGAATCGTCTCAGCTTAGCAAGCCCCTGTGAAAACGTTCCACTGCCGAGTACGTTTGAGGTACTCAACAGGAAACAAACAGAGCGGCCATGCGGCGGCCTTACGGGGAAGAGTGTAGCCTAATGCACTCCGCCCCGTTTGGGGTGTATATCCTCTCAGCGGCTACAAGTGGCACTGCAGTGGCATCTACAACTTATGCGCATTCCGTACCAGATCCATGGACAGTGTAAGGCGTATGGTGCACAGCGGCCGTATATCGGCATCGCGTGGCTGCCCAGTCGTCGTTATTACACAGCAAGCGAGCCCGACTTTCCACAAAGCTTCCTCCTCCTAACCCTACACACAGCCATCTTGGTGGGCTTTGCTGCATCCTCCGCCCATCGAGGGGAACAATATCTCCCATCTCAATTCGCGAAGCGCGCTGGGATGCCAAAGCGCAGGGAGCGAGCTCCTGCTTGCTGAGCTGGCACAAGGCAAGTAGGAGACCTGAGGAATGCAGCTGGCTTGCGGCGTGGTGGGCTTGTTTTGCACGTCCATAGCGCTGGAATTTCCACACGCTTTAACTAAATTGGTAAGGAACGTTATTCGGAGGCGAGGAACCCTGGTATGTCCGAGTCATAACAGGCGTGCAAGGTAGATTGCTCCTTTGAAGATTTTGGGAAAAGGCAAGGCGCTGCTCAAAGTTGCTGTGAGCATATACATTGCCCGTGGCCACGGCGTACGCTTGCTGAGCCATTCTATTCACCTGAGCTTGCTCGAAGCGCTGCTGTTCTTCCGTCATTGAAGGTGCAGTTGCGTAGGCTGTGCCGCCTGGCAGCTCTGTAACTAGGGGCTCAGAGTATGCATTTGAATCCTGTTGACACCACAAGCAAGAGAAGCAGTTCCTAGACAGCCAGACCTTCAGGCGCAGAAACTCGAACTACAAAGGGATTAATCGCGTGGAGGGGGGTGGAAGTAGAAGGGGAAAATGCGCATCGTGGACGAGCCTGCGAGAGAGCAGGCAGCCGACCCTTGGTGAGAAAATGGAATTGGGGCACTTACAGGCATGCAGCACTGCATCAGACCAAGACCTGAAGGATCGACGCATTCTGCTGTAGCGTTGCCACATTCAGCAGCCTCAACTGGATCCAACGGGCAACCTTGGTTGCACAAGAGGTCTCCAGGGTTCAGGCACTTGTACTGGCCGACCCACATTTTGGGTTTGTCCTTATTCGGATAGAAAATATAGGTACCATTTCCACCCTTGACTTGGTCTGTGAGGAGGACGGAGACGCAAAATGCACGAAAGAGCATTTGTTATAGGGGCTAGTGGCCAGGTTCTCAGCATTTGCAACTAGCGCTAGGAAGAAGCATTTTTGTTTCCGCCGCTGCCCTCCAGGCTCACTAGAGAAATCGAATGACCGCGTCTGGTCCAGAAGACGCTTGGGGAAGTCAGGATCTTCAGGTAGCTCGGCATCGCCCTGAAGAACAACATTTGCTGAAACAGACCAGTGGTATTTATCGTGGGTGCACTGGAGATGCGGGTCCTGCTCTTACATCCAGAACAACTGCGCTGGCAAGTTATCGATACGACAGCAAAATTTCTACGCTCATTCAACAGGTACGAGAACAATTAGCACTTTATTTCACAATCAATCCAGGACCGCCCATCGGCAGCTGCAGCCAAACAGAGGACCTGGGTTACTGCTTTGATCGGTATAATCTAGGCATTGTAAATCTTTAAAAGCCGCACAGGGACAACAGCTTGTAAAGTGGCTTGAAGGGTATACGCGTGTGAGTGCTTTTTTGATATGATTGCCACGCAGTACTACGGCTCTTCAGGTTCTTGCAGGTGGCTGCTAGCGATAAAGGCGAGACCACAGGCTACTCCTGCTATGTACTCTCAGTCAGGCCTGGAACTGCTAATCGCATCTACAGTGGATTACATACCTCTTTGTAGGTGTGGACGTAAGTGTGGCAACAGAGATCCTTGGTAGCGATGCGTTTGGGCTTGTCGTCGGCGCTGGCGCTGTTCCCCATCCTGAATGCTTTGGTCTGTCTGCGCTGCCGTAGGAACGAAAGGCAGTTGCAAAAATCTAAAACGTGATTCAATATCCGCACACGTGAGCGGCTGAATGAAGAGCAGAAAAAACCTTATGGCGCCAGCCCGATGCAGCCAGCGCAGATCGATGCGGCCAACAACATGCCGCTAGAGCAGACTACGGGAGGACCCCTGCCTGGGTATGGGGTGCCTCTATGCACGGAATCTCAGGACAATTATATTTCAAACGCACGCAACATTTCAATGGCTTCTCTTTGAATAATGATGGTCTTAAGCCCAATGTAGCGGATGTCGGCACCGGCATGATTGCAGCTGGCTGTGTATGAATGAAGGCTCCTGCAGCACTGAACCTACTTAGGGGACACCAGATTTTCTCTGGTGCGTAAAGAATCCCTTTGAGCAACACTTTTATTATGCTAACAATATGACCACTATGTACAAGCAAAAAGGAAGTCTTTTCGTTTATTGCAGTGGTTGGTTGCATACCCCGGATAGTGGCTTGACACTGAATTTGTACGCTCATGGACCCCGATGTTTTCAAAGTCAAACCATACTCAAAGCATTTGCTTTGCAGTATCACCACTACTTCAGTATTGTATCCTTCCAACAGGTACAACCCAAAGGATTATCTTCGAGCAACTAAACCGAGTGTTCTTGCTGCACCAACGCAGTACTGAATCACCCGATCCTGTACCAAGAGCTGAATAAGCTCGTTCCCGCCCCCGAATAAGCTCCATGCACTTAGATAGTGTTTTGAGAAGACATTGTATGCATTTTATGCCTCTTTACACGCAACAAGCGCACCAATAAGGGAGTACCAGTCATTTGCGTTGCCGTACTGTCTAGGGGAGGCATCGGATTGCCCGGCAGGCAAGGTATACATCAATCGAAGTGCTCCTATACATGAAAAACCTCTGTTGTAGGACTAGTTCAACTGAAGATTTTTACTTCTACGTCACAGCATTTCTTGCCTCCTCTAGTCGGATGAGTGTGGTGCCCTCATTATTCTCAGAACGAGGTGTACTGTTGCCTCTGCACAGGCTTACACGCTGGTGGAACTGTGGGGCAAGCCAGTTTATATGCCACTGTCAGCCTCTAAAAGCGGAAAGGACAGAAACGCGTAATTTTGAAAGAGTGCATTGCCATATCATACATTAGGGAGCAATTCCCACTTTCAAATCGATATTGGACTTGAGCAGTCAAGTGAGCAGGCACCTATAGCATAGCTTAATATTGAAGAGTGCATGGACACCAGTCTAGCAGTAAAGCAGTAGCGAAAACATTCACCCACAGAGCAGCCAGCTGCAGTTCGGAAATGACACTACCAACACGCAGTAGCCGAACATGTGAATTGCAGTTCCATTTGCCACTATCAATACTCGACACGGATACATAGGGCTGCCCTTCCTTCTACGTGGAGTTATGGCTGTTTAGTCTTGTGTTTCTCCGGTCAGCTCCCGCAAAAAGAGTGGGTCAGCGGGAAGCTCGACAGCCTTGCGCCTATAGTGAATTTTTTTCATACAAGCAAATACGGTACACAGTCCCTGCGAACGGATCCATTATGTAACTTGAGAGCTTAGGTGTTCGGCCACAGCCTTATGAGCAGTACAATATTGAGGATGGCACGTCCATAGTGAAGCTAAGAGTCTCGCTCAGCAATCGCGAAACATATCTGGAGGCATCTGTACGATGACTACTATCTGTGAAGCCTTCAAGTATCAAACCAGGTCTTATAAACTGCATACTATCTGCCAACGCAAAAATGTGAACGCTTCTACAGCAGCGCACTGTTTTGCGCTGCCTATGCTCCCCAAAATGATCCAAACACACCAATGTGTATTCAGAAAGCCAACATGGCAGATACTAGCTTGGCTGAAGGCGGGTGCCATTTTGCTCATGCGTTAGCGGAAAAGGTCAGATAAATGAGGCACCCTCTTGAAGGATGCTGTGGGAAACATTGCCCACAGCACGACTTACCCTACTACCGAAGGTACTTGCTACTGCACCTTCATAATTAAAGAAAAAAACTTATTTTGATATTGAGGACTAATTTTCCAAACTCGTTCGTGGAACTTGTCTCATACTGGTCCTTGACAAAACTGCACCCGAGGCAGGAGGGAGTTTGGAGCCCACCCGTCAAACAGGTATGAAAGGAAAGCATGGAAAGTACCTAAATGCCTACAAGCAAATAGCGCTGTCTATGTTCAGTCACACGTTTGAACGGTGATATCTTGGCTAAGTGAACCTGCATTCTTAGAATCTCTCTCAGATCCTACACGGAACTTCCCGTAAGCGGTCTCAAGTGTGGGAGTATTTGCTGCTGTCTGCGGGCCTCAGAATGGGGAGTGCGGCTCAGGCACGCCTTCAAATCATCTGTTGATAGAACAGAAGCAATCTCAAAGAGCTAGATGTAAGTGATTGGGAAAGGCCACAGATTGCACAAAGCGAGGACACTCCGCTTCATGGAACCGCGCACGATTGTCATGCCCATAATGCTTGTACAAAAGTGCATTCCTGCAACCTTGCGGTGATAGATGTAGGGAGCAAGCGCTAACCACGTCAATCGAGATTGATGCATGTGCTCGAGTGCATCAATTATCCAGCAAAAGTGCATGATATTGGAGAGCCTTCCGCAGCAGACTGAAAGCCGATCAGCGTGGCGAATGCTACATCCTTGGCCAAAGTATACCTCCATGAATCTGGTGCAGTCAAGATTGTGTGTGTGTTTCCCGGCAAGCCCGATGCACCAGGCACATCGTATGTACCGGGCTGAGGTACACTTGAGCGCTTCTACTGCATCCGTCATATTCAGTATGGATTAGTAAAGAAGTGACTCTTGAGCTTGTCTTTTCCTGTGCCTCATTTATTGCAGGGCAATGACACCTCAGTATAGCACGCAATGTTGTGTGCGCGCCCCAGGTGCTCTGTGCGACTAGCTGTGAATGATCGGAGTGCTGAAAGGGTGCAGCCAAGTAAACCCTGGCTTCCCCTCTCCCCTCCTTGCACGAAGTCTGCTGGTTGCGAGCACGACGTAGGCAGGACTTTTCTGGGATACACTCATTAGCTTTGTAGTAATTTTATATTGACTCTGCAGGTATTGTTTCCATAAGAAGACTGTAGATGGGACGGTTACACCGCAGTTGGTACTTCACCGCCAGCCAGCAAATGACTTTTTGGGTAGTTCATGCCATCCCCATTAACATAGATCATTCACTACTACTCAAAGCACGAAATCGTGACTATACACAACCTCGTGGCCCTCCAAGCCGTGAGACAATTACTGTGTGTACTCTTACACGCTGGGGCTGGCCTTTTTGCGAGAAGGCCACCAAATTGCGACGCTAAGACACCATGTCTGTCTGAAGCTAGCTGATATTCGGATTCAAACTATAGAAGCAATCAATAATCTACTCGGGACTGTTACTTGACAGTGATCACAATAGCGCCCAAGGGGGGCTGATGGGGTCAGTCCTCTCGAGATCCTCCTCTCAGCCCCACTGCTCTGCCTTGCCCCGACATTTCATCCGGTGCTTCTCGCTCATGGGATAAACAGTTCCACGTTGATAAGTAGGGTATTGTACTCCATTGAACGGAAATGGGGATTCATGTTGCGCTGCTTCCTTTGGCCGCCTACATGGCGGCCGCCTCAGTGTCTTCTGTCGAAGGCTTCCAGACCTCGCGGAGCTATTCAGTAATGGGCCCATCCAGTATTCATGGTATGGGATCTGTTAGAGCTTCCTATCCAGCTTCCTCACTGCAAACAGGATCGACGCCGTTCGCTGCTCTGGCCGCCCCACACCTCGCCAGGCAACCCTCGACGCCCTCTTCGAGGACCTTCGTGAGTAATCTACAGAGCAGGCGCAGTATTGTCCTGCACTGTGAAGCACCCACGCTCTGTCTATAGACTGGTACTGTAACACGCATTTGCAATTAACATGTGCTGGCGCCGTGCACGTGCCCACTGCTGAAATGCTTGCAGGCCAGGAGATCAAAGAAGATCATTTTGGCCGATGAATGCAGAAATCAGCTACTTGAAGGCATTCAACAGGTCGCAGACGCTGTGCGAGTAAGCCCACCTTGGCGGGAGTCCCCGTTCTTGACCCCGGACTCGACATGTTTTCCGAGTCGAGGCCCCCCGTACTTCGCGCACTAGCACACACCTTTTGCATCTTTCACCTCTCATTTGCAATGAATAGGTTACACTGGGGCCTCGTGGGCGCAATATCTTGCTGGAAAAGGACTATGGACCTCCACTCATCGTGAACGACGGCGTCACGATTGCTCGTAACATTGAACTGCCCAATCGGGCCCACAATGCAGGAGCGAAATTAGTGCAAGAAGTTGCCTCCACTTCAGATGAATGGGCTGGAGACGGTACCTCCTCGACGACCATCCTTACCGCAGAAATTGCGAAAAAGGTAAGCCTTCGCGTGTTCTCAGGTGAACCAGGCCGGCTTTCTGGTAGTTCTCACGCCGTGCTTCGTTTTGGGGCCTAAGCCACTGCTTGCTTCTTTCAGAGCCTATTACTGACCACACATGTAACCAACAACGAAGCAATGCCAAGGCTCTCTCTCTTACCCCATGTTATAAGTGGGCCCTAATGGAGACATGTTTCGGCCATTCATGCAGGGTGTAGAGTACGTGAACCAGGGACACAATCCAATCCCTCTGCAGCGCGGCATTCAGAAGGCAGCACGCATCATGATGGACGAAGTGCGGAACCTGGCAAAGCCAGTCAACGGCTTCGGGGATTTGCTGAACATCGCAACCGTCGCTACGAGTGGGAATGCCGCGATGGGAGAAGTGATCGCAAGGGCATTCGACAAGCTGGGCAACCATGCTGCTATTGTGCTCGAAAACAACCCGTCACAGGAGGACACCGTACGTGCTCCGTTTCAGAGCATTTCCGAAGACGACTTGCAGATAGGGACTGCGGGCAGCGACGGACCGAGGGGGCTGTGGGAATGTACTTTCTGCCACGAGACTGCTCTGCACGTGTTGCTGTGTTGCAGCTCGAGTTCACCGAAGGATACACATTTGAGAGAGGCTACTCGTCTCCGTACTTCCTGCTTGGCGAGGAAGCTGACTTCATTGAGTGGAAGAACCCTCACGTGATGGTCTGCGACTATAAGATAGAAAGCGCACAGGCCATGCTCCCCATCCTGGAGCACTTCGTCAGAACTAAAGAACCCCTTGTCATCATCGCCGAGGACTTCTCCACGGATATGCTGCAAACGTGCATCATTAACAGCATGCGCAGGCTCCTCAAAGTGGTAAGCCATCCCGCGGACGGCTGTGCTTAGCACTCTCGGCCTCGTTGCAAGACGCTACTGCATTGCCAGTGCGCGTGTCTCGCCTTGGTGGTCGGGTGTAGAAGGGCTGAGGAGGGCAAGCGCCATAGGGCCTGTTGCGCTCAGGTGACGATCCGTGCTCCATCCTTTGGCGAGCGCCGAAAGGACTACTTGCGTGACATCGCCGTCGCAACAAATGCACAACTCATTTCGAAGGATTTGGGTCTACCACTGGAAGAAGCGACGCCTGAGCATGTAGGAAGTGCCCAGGGTGTTGTTGTCAGGAAGGACAGAACTTCGATTCTGACGAGACCAGAGTTTCAGGACCAGATCCAAGAACGGTACGGGCTGTATACAGGGCGAGGGTTTTTCTCTAGGTACTTTGTACCATTGGAGTGGGATGCTCAGCGCGAGGCGTTGCCCCCTTCTCACATGCGCTGACCGCGGACGTGCTACCCTGTTTTGCCTGCGATCAACTGAAGTGTTCAGAGACTCCAGGGAGAGATGGAATCGGCAACGTCGAAGTTCGACAAGGACAAACTTGGCGAACGCGTTGCTGCCCTTTCCGGGGGTATTGCGAGGATAATGGTGAGTGCACCCTTCTAGCTGTGTTACAGACCAAACGGCAAAGGAATGGACATGACACACAGATTGGCCAGTGTTTATCCCATCATACACAACCATGAGTAAAAAAGCGTGTACGCGAGGTTTTACTTTAGCCAGATTGTTTACTCACAAATCTTGGGCATAGTGTGCCGCCCTCCAGGGTGGAATGCATATTCTTCCATCTCATGTTTAAAATACCTGCAGATTGGGGCATCTACGGAGACGGAGCAGAAAGAAAAAAAACTCCGGTACGAAGACGCCATTAATGCAGTCAGAGCAGCCATTGAAACTGGCTACGTGCCAGGCGGTGGCGTCACGTACCTCGCCCTCAGTACGGATCAGTTCCGTTCTAAGGTCCTGAAAATGGTGGAAGAGACTGCTCGCGAGGAAATGAAGGGCATTGACGAATCAACAGGAGAAGAATTCCAGGTTGTCGGTAAGTACTCTCGCAAAAAGCGGAGTCTAGCAGAGAGGCTCTGTGGCGATTCACTGGCTAGCCTTGATGTTGCAAAACCATCTACTACACGAAAATAGAGAAAATAACTTTCACAGTCTAAATCCGTAGCGCCACGGATGGCGTCTGGGCTGATGCAGAGGAAATGGAAAGCGAGATTGAGCTGCAGAAGGCTGGTGCCACAATTGTTGCGGACTCTATGGAATCCATAACGAAGCAGATCGCCTTAAACGCTGGTATGCAGTCTGCAACACTAAACTCCTACTGCGTTCCGTATGAACATTTTAGTGTTTAATTATGAAATGAGTAGCGGGTCTACGTCTGGATTTTGTGTTTCCACGTCACCATCCGTCAAATTGCAACACGGGGCATTTTATGCAACTTTCATCAAAGTGTTGAGGTTCCATGCACAGGTCTGGATGGAGACAGAGTTGTTAATGCCATCTTGAAGGCCAACAAGCCGTTCGGGTTTGGCTGGAATGCCAAGACGAACAAATTCGGAGATATGATTAGCCAGGGCGTCATTGATCCCGCCAAGGTATGTATTTCTGCAATTGAGCACTCAACCTCCGTGGCAGGCCTTGTTCTAACGACCGAGGGCATGATGATTGAAGAGGAGCAGGAAAGAAACAAGTCATCTCCTGATGATGGAGAACTATAGAGACAGCATTGCCACGGCAACAACAGCTTGTGAAGTAATAGTGCAGCAGGAATCAAGTTCCGCCGCTTAGTTTGAACAGCGGAAGAAGTCGGAGTGCTCGGGCAAGTTGCACGGGCTTCCTATCCTTAACATAGTAGGCAGCTAGCGAACAGCAATTTCAATGGCAGAAACCTGCACAAGCGAATGTTTTTGTCTATATTACTTCACTGTATGCACCGGCTTACTCCCCAGCTCTGATCGAAGGGGTCGTCCGTTTCAATCTGATTCCTCGATTTTAAAACTTGGTACCAGTAAGCGGTGTGGTACTGTCTCACCGTGCTCCCAAAAGAAACTGTCACAGAATCCTTGTCATGTGGAACAACGACTTCTATGGGCGTGGAGAACTTGCCCTCCCCAACGGGTCCTTTAAAACTCGAATTCATGTGTGCATTCATCAGTGGTTGGTAATCTGACCCACCGCCACAAGCGTTGACTGCATTCTGCTCAAAGTCTTGAGAGTGTCTGGAGCAACACTGGATATAAGACTCGATATTTCATGAAATAAACAGTGCACGTACCGTTCAGTCCATGCGTATGCGAGACCCCCATCCGCCCCTGCGTGGTAACAGGAGCGAAATCGAGTTCAAAATTCGCTTTACAAGGCAAAGGTTTTGTTTGCCCTACCCGTGTCTAGGCGCATAAAGCCTGTCTCTCCGACCTACGGCGCTTGATTATGTCAGGCCAATGGGTTACTGTGCGGAGTTCGGTCATACCCATGCATCAATGAAGTGGAATACGGCTTTGACACGCAGCTCGTTATGGGGCGGTAATTGCTTAAAAACCTTGCTTATTTCTCCCTATAGACGTGAATGATCCCAGTTTTTTTCAGTTCGTTCATGCTTGGGTCGGCCACACCTTTGCAAACTTCCCATAACCTCCGAGCATGGATATGCCAGCGCACGACGAAACAATTTCATGAGACGCTGCTCTATAAATGAGTTTTTTTCAATTACTTGGGTTACAATCAGCAGCAAACCTGGGTTATCCCATCCCTCGGCACTCCCTGAAGTGAAGTCTTCACGATGCGTCGTGCGGAACTGGGGAACTCCGCGGACTGTTAGTGGCCCTTGCAAATCAAGAGAGCTGAAAATTGCCAATAGTGCACACTCCATGCATCCAATACTATACGCTTTCGTTGGTACACACCTCGTGGAAAGGTTAGCATGGATGTGCATAGTGTCTTCATCGTCAACACTAAGTATGGTTGATCTTGGACTTGCAATGATGAAACTGCCAGAGCTGTCAATACCCATTTGGAACTGATCTACGTCATTCCCAATGCCGATTAATGCGTTTCGGCCGCTCGCGGGGGCTACCCGGAGCTGCCCGACCACCATCCCAGCCTGCACCACTGGACTGTCCGTAGCGGCTGCATCGGCATCCAATTTAAAGAAGAGTGCTGCAGCTCCAACAAGCGTTAGGGAACGTAACATCTTCTAAACAAAATACGTAAGTGCCCTTCCAAGGGATACACGCTCGCCATACAAAACATGGCACGGGCGAATCCTGTTTTGTGTCACGGTTAGTGTATGTACACCATGAATCTGAACGGCCCGATTCCTTCCACAAATACGCAAACATGGCATAATTTTCTTTTTCTAACAAAATAAGGCAAGAAGAAGGATATTTCAGTAGTTTAAATACTCCTGTTCGGCGCTCAGCGATCCACGTCGCTCATGTTCAAGAGCACTAGGCGCTCGTGGGACTCATGGAGTGCAGTCACGACGCAGATGGGTGACACAAGGCGGCGGCTGCGCTCTGCAAAGGCTGCGATAGACATAATGAGTCGAATAGTGGCCCTACCTTAAAGCCAAGCAGCAAACGGTCATCAGGACTGATATTTCATCCGGGGAGGTGGTATGATGTAATCCCCCATCAGCATGCGTGGCGTGACCTGTGGAAGTGCGTTGATTCCAGAGCTCACTGACGGAAAACAACCAGCAGTGTTCTGAGACACGAAGAGCGAACATCATATACATTGCCTTGAAACTAGACTAACTCAGCACAAACGTTACGACTCGGCATGAAGTTTACCAGCAGCGGGTACTCCCGCAATGGCTGAGAAATATTCCACAAAGACACAAACAGCCCCATGCCGTTGTTCGTCCTGCAAAAAAATGACAGCACAAAGGGGCTGAGCAGGCTGGCAGGTCAAACTTCGCGGGACGCAAGAGGACAACTAGAAACATAAAGTGCTCGCTCGCTGGCGATAGACAAGGAAGGACGAAACAGAGACCATCACTTCCACGCTTACTGCATCAGCCCATTGCATACGCAGGTGTCCTTGCCCATCATGGACTGCAATCAGAGACAAAAAGGCAATGAACACGCCGCCGCCATCCATCTCTCTTAGCTCTATGCGCGGTCCGAAGTCGCAAAACTCGGGTGTCTCGAGCGCATGTGATGCATTTTGTGGATTCCCTTCGGCCACTCCGCTCTGGATGCGCTGCTGTTCATATGCATGTCGACACTGCACGACGTAATCCATAAACAGGTGAAGCAGCTGTTGAAAAACCGACGCTTCTAGTCTTATTTCATGGCGATATCGCAGTGCAACGAGCTGTAGGCAGCGGGGCGGCACAACAGCTGCGCACGCCGTCGTGTTCTGTGACACTGCCGATGCTGATTCCGCATAGAGAGACTTTTTTGTATTTCCTCTTGAACATGTAGCCCCCGCACAGTTGGGGGGGCTGATCAATGCGTTGAGCTGTGCCAGACGTGAAGTGGTCCCTATAGGCACCGATCCCCTGGCAGCGGAGTGTTTTAAGCTTCCGCAGCCGTTAAGCGTAACAGTTGACGACCCTGCCGCAAGACTGTCGAAGTCGACGAGGAGGTTTACGTCTCCGCAGAGAACCCGCGTACTAGGATTTCTACTACTTTTGGCAGAGTCATCGCTGCCAGTTGCAACTGCTTCAGGCTTCCCACGAGCCTCTGGTGATACCGAAAAAAAGAGCGAAGCACGAGGAAGAAAATATGGGGAGAGAGAGCCTCTAGCACATGGGTCGAAGCGGGAGTTGAGTGCTGTGGGCGACAAGTAGCGTTGCATAGCAGGAGAGCCAAGCAACGAGGCCAGCTAAAAACGCAGCAACGCACAGGCCCACCCGCTATCGAAATTGAAAACCTTGCCAACATGCATCATGCGCACCTAGCCGAGGTTCGCTTAGGACTCTAGCTGGCACGTGGATGCCGTGATTTTCCGCAGGGCACGCCTGCAAAAGCGGAGGGTGCACGCACAGTGTAGACCTGAGTAGCTGGAGAAACTGCTTTTTAGCTGAGACTCACTGTAGGATCGTCACAGTCCCAAGAGACTTCGCTAGGCGGCGAGACACGATCAAGAACGGCGTCTTTAGCAGAGGCCAACGTTCGGCTGAGGCAGTGGCCGTGAATGTATACGGGGAATCGGCACTCTGGGGCGCTCATGGGTAGAGAGACGGTTTGGCCTGTCGGAGGAGTGTGGACTGGAACACCAAGTTCCCGCTGAAGAACCCGCGCGAGCTTCAGCATGCCCTCCTTCTCGCCGTGCACCAACATGACTGCTTTGGGCTGCAAATGCCGCGCAAGCTGCTGAATCCCCGTTGTATCCGCATGAGCCGAAAACGACATGTAACGGACTTTGCACAAGACCTTAAGTCGCGTTCGGGCGTCTAGCGGGATGTCCCGTTGCCCTGGACGCACGGCAGAACAGCCAAAAAAACACCATAGAGCCGAGTCGTCATCGTGCATGCACGAGGCTTATGCCGCGGCGTGACCGCAGAAACGCCTTTCCCCCGTCCCCCGCTTCCTGGCCGAGTACTAGCCAGTGCACAGCCCTATTGACTGTGCCGAATAAGAAAGAGCTTCTGGAAGCGTACTGCAGCTCCAGAAAGAGCCCGCCACACCAGCGGCGGACATACCATCAATTAACATTGCGCCCACAGTTCCCCGCACGCAGTATCCCGGAAGCAGCACGAGGTTTTCGGATCCCCCCGCCCAAAGCTTCAGAGCCTTGAGGGCCAGGCCACCGTGCAACATCCCCGGCGTTGCCAAAAGGACCACTGGTGTTGGCGCAGTCAGCACGTCTGGGGGGAGTGCGGAAATGTGCGAAAAGCTGAAGGCTCCAAGGTCGTCTGAAAAAAACAGCACTCACCCCCTCCACAGCGTATGAAGGAGCTGCACACCGTGCCAAAACCCTTAATATGAACCGACAGCCCAGCAGGTATCAGCGAACTCTCGCGATCGGTGGAAACACACATTTCCAACGCGATTTACCCACCTGTGCACGCTGGGTCCTCCTCGACATGGTCAGCGAAGGCCCTCTGAACCGTGTTGGCGCAGTCTAGGCGGTGCACCAAGTCGCTGCCAGTCCACTGCACGTACAGTTTGTAGTATTTGTTAGCCTTTTCAGTCATGCCGCCCCCAAAGTAGATTGGATACTGCAGCTGCATCCGCTGCCAGTAAGAATTCAGCAGCATGCAGAGTTCCTGCGCTCGCCCTACTGCGAATACCGGGATCAACACTTTGCCCTTCAGTCAAATGCACAAGCGCACGCGCAAACCACCACAGCACAGATGGCCGCTCTCCTCCCTACCCAGACGCAAACCTGCCGTGCACCCTCGACACCCGCTCAGCCACGACAGAGAGGACTTCGAACTGCAACCATACCCCTTTTTTCAGCGCATCATGCACGGCGTCGCAGAACTCCCTTTCAGTTATCCTTTTAGAAGGCCGCACAAAAGAACCATACGTGCATTCGCTGATCAGCAAATCCGGCCGCAGCCGATGAATGCTGGCGCTTCCCAAATGGCGGTCGGGAGCCGTATTGAAATCGCCTGCGTATCATGTCACAACGCCGGCTCCCTTCCCATCATTCATCTACTACTAAGCCTGGGCAGCCATACCCGAACGTGAGCTAACGAGCCACATGCACGCCTTTTTTCGAGTCGCTAACACAGCAGCGAGACGCCCGGGTCATGCTTGTTCTCGCCCCCTAGAGAGGAAGCTCAGCAAACCGTTTAGATGCGTTTTCGTCTGCAGACTGGACGCATTGTTATTGCGGACCCTAAATTTAAGAAGAGCATTTTTGCCACCTACGAAAAAGTGTCAGTGCACGTTTTCGCTGTTCCCGGGCAAATTGCGGCGTTTGCGGCATCGTGGGTCGGCGGTTCCTCACAGTTATCAGCGAGTTTCACCATTTCATTGCTCGGATTTTGGCCGCTCACCTGTATAAACAATTGACAGGTCTCCGGGGAGCTGCGCATGCAGCATTGCAGCGCCCAAGACGTGGCCGGCGTAGTACGGAGTGGCTGTCCATCCACCCGCCTCCCAAGACTCGTGCAGGCGCAATGCCACGCAACGCCTCATACACCGCTGTGCCTCAGCTTCTGTGTAATTCCACTGTTCCTGAGAGGCACAGGCTGCGCTTCTGCCATCGCCACCGCTGTTGCCGCCGTTCCCATTCGCACTGCCGTCTTTCCCCCCATTATCTACTGAAAAACAAGCGCCCAAATGCCACTCGCAAGAGTGCTCAAGATGAAACTTCTTCCACGTTCAACGGGCTAGTTTCCGAGCACAGCGACGCCGACAGCCTCACCTTCCTGCACGAGCTGCCTGCCGCGGAAAGCTGCTTCCTTAAAGATACGAGCACTGTCAAGAAGCAGCACTGGGCTCAGTGCACGCGTGGGATAAGTCATTGCGATCGGATTTCGGTAGCTGAAGAACGCGAAACAAGGGCAAACAAGAAGGAAGTTGCACGCTCCCATGAAATGATCAAAAGAGAGCAGAGCAGCATGAATACAAAAAGGGGCATCTTGCAGTCCGGAGGGCGCCGCCACGAGGGTCGGCCTTTACTAAGACTTGTTGCAAGTGAAGCAGCTGTGTTCTCGGTGCTCCTGCAGCGGAAGCGCCCTGCAAGTGAAGGCCAGCAATGTTCAGCTACGTATGAGAGACTCTGCAGCCTTAGTCAGGTGCATAAGAGGCTGGCAGTCAAAAGTCGCAAGCCTTAAAAAAGTGTGCAGAGCCTTCAACTCGGGAAATCCTGCGAGTTTTACCCGAGGCGTTCTGTAAAGGAAGGGAGTGAGCCGCAGTGGTCCATGTGGAAGTGCGAGATGAGTGCAGCGTCTGTACAGCTCGCGAATAGCGGTGAAGGCTGCAGCATCGCCTCTTCCATTGTCTTAAGCTCAAGGTTCGGGGCCGAGTTTGGGGTCAGTTGCAGCAGCATGTTCAGAAGTGGCAGTTTTCTCGCCTGTTTCGCACCCAAGTGGCTCCCACAGTCGAAAAGGAGTCCTCTCTCCCCGCGCCGTACATAAATTGCACTGCGTCCAACATCCTGTCCAGCACCCAAGACAGTTACGTTGAGCGGCTCTGCGGCTGCCGCTGCAGCACCCGCGGCGCCCCCCTCCGTCGTCGGAAGAAGCAGAATGCGCTGCACGGATTCCTGCATCAGAGCCAGTGGTGGCTGCAGCACAGGCCCCTTGGCGGTGATCGATTGCGACTGGCGTGTGTTTGCGTCTCGTGCATGCGGCAGTCCTCGGACGGGGGTATTGCCGCCACGCTGTCCGTGGGAGCGCGCGCCCTGTCGCTGCTGTGGCTGGTGCTGCAAGGCTGGCATGGGGTGTATCTGCTTCTGTTGAGTCTGCAGGTTTGCTCCATGGCGCCCCTGCCCTACCTGCCACTGCGGCTGCAGCTGTTGATCCGGCTCCTGCGGGCAGGAGCCCTGTACAGGCTGCAGGTGGAAAGGAAACGCCATTTCGCTCACTGCTCAGAAAGCATCTTGGGTGCCGACTGGCAAAGCCACGTTCAGGTGTACGGGCAATCCACACCGCCAAACCGCAGCGTTGGAAAGGAGCGCGGCCCCCCTCGCTGTTGGTTGTTCATGAGCGACAAGGCAGTTCCTTTCAGCCAGCGGCAGGCGTTTCAGTCAAGACGAAAACGAGAAAACAGTGGAAGCAAGGGGGATGAAGCCTCGTTGCCGCTGCTGACCCTCTGGAATCTCTTGCCCATTTCGCCCGTATCACGTCCCAGCGGCAGAGCATCACCCGTTCTTGGCACTTTCAACTCTAGTGCGCACTCAGTAAATGAATGAAAGATTTTTTTCCTGGGGTGTTGGGGGCAAAGAGCGAATCTGTTAAGCGGTTGGTTTCGGGGCTTGTCCCCGAAGCGAGCATGCACTGCGCTCCAGTGTCGGCTCACGAGGCGTGGGAGGAGATTCGCGGTGAACCCCCAGATGTAGTTGGAGTTCAGCTCTTCAACGGAAACAAGAGCTTGTCTACCTAGCAACTCTTTCAGGAGAGGAGGAACAGCTCCGAATCGCTATTTCCTGAGGCACCCCACGCACGGGTAAGCTAGGAAGGGCCCTCCGCCTGGTGCAAGCTTCTCCGGCTAGGACTGACTGTGGCTGCTGGAGGGCGACGAATGCGACCACTTGAATGAATTAAGGGCTGGATGAGCGAGTCACGAGGTACAGGCGGGTTGTGCTAGCGAAGCCTCCTCAAGGAGCAGCCTGCACTCTCATTCCAAGGGCACTCTGCAACGCACGGCACTTTTGAAGGCCTCTGTGGCCGGAAGGTTGAGAGGGCATCCAGCTGTCTGCACGACACGCGAAAATGGTGAAGAAGGCAGGGAAAAGCGGCCGCGCGCCCTCGAAAGCTGGGGGGAAAGCCCCCCAAGGCTCTGCCCTTAAACGAGGCACGGCATCAACTCTCCCCTCCCGCCAACTGCCGACCAATAAAAAGCCAGGTGAGGTTTTGTCTGAGGTGACAGCCGCCTTTTTGTCCGAATAGGTCTTACTGAGGGCTGCGCTGCCCCAGGCGGATTCGCCCTTCAAACACCTTGCTTGCAGTGAACACCCTAACAACACGGCAGAGCTTCAGCTGCCACTCCAATGATACGCAACCTTACCCATAGGCCGTTCTCTCTTCCCTCGGGCCTGTGGTGGAAGCTATTCAAGTTTTGAGCCACAGCGATCTGCCCAGTCCGCATCGCACCACATACCTGCTGTCAAACCAGTGCACAACAACGGCCTGTGCGATGCCTGGTTTCTTAGGGCACTACCGATCTGCCAGCAAGATTAGGCTGTTGAAGATGTACTCTTCAAAGCCTAAGTGGATACGTCCTGGAGGCAAAGAGCCGCAGCCTTCGGCCCCCGCGAGAATTCATCCTGACCGCCGCTGGTTTGGAAACACTCGAGTTATTGACCAGCAGAAGCTCGCGGCTTTCAGAGAAGACATCCAAAAGGCATCTGCCGATCCATACACGTAAATTTGCAGCCTGTTTTACTTTTGCAATATGCGCAGTCTGCTCCCCGCTTTCATCTTTGTGTAGGGGGCTTAGTTCCATTCATATCGAGCGCTGCAATTTACGCAGGAGCTCGGGCCCCAAGCAAGCGAATGATGCCACGCGAAAGCACCTGCAATTGAGGGAATATTGGCACTTGTTGCGGTGGATTTCTCATGCAGCGTGCTCGATGGTTGCGATTTTGGTGCGCAGAGTTGTTCTGAAGCGGGCAAAGCTGCCCATGAGTCTCATAAAGGATGGAAATGTGGGAGGCCAAAAGCAGGCAATGGGTCCGGAGGGGTCATTGCCGAAGTTGCAGGGTGACGCTCTCGTTGCCTTGGAACCCTTTGAAGGGGTTTTTGGTAGCAAAAAAACTCGTAAACGGCCAAGGCTTCAGGCGGCCGACCTTGCCACGCTGGCTTCTCAAGTGCGCCTTGAACTACACATTCGAAAGCACATCTCTGCAGCGTCTGCTTCTCTGCCGCATGATCTGTGAGCGTTCCTCTGCTTACTTTCATGATGCACGAGTTCCCTTTTTGCGGATATGATTTCCTGCTGCCCCGTAGGCTGCAGTGCGAGAAGCAGCTTTCACGAAGTCCACCGGAACGGAAGAGGCGCTAGGAGACAGCGGCGGAGAGGGAGGGCCCGTAGAATCAATTTATCAGAAGGGAACCAGCCGCAGAATTTGGGGGGTGCGTTGAGTGTGTGCAAGAAAAACTTTCATGTGTCCAAACTAGACGGCCAATTTGGCATGAATTACCAACTCAGTACAGCGTAGTACCGTGTGGTGTTTCATGGAAAGCGTGTTGTTACGGATCATACTTTTCACCCTAAGATATGGGAGCGAAAGCTGGCAAAGCGTGGGTGCCTTTTGCACTGCGATATCAGGAGTTGTATAAGGTCATTGACGCGTCAGATGTCTTGGTGCAAGTCGTAGACGCACGTGACCCAATGGGAACACGGTAAAAACAAGGGCTGCTTTTTGAATTCTAGCCTTCCCATCATGCAGGATTTGTGTATCTACCCCGTACTTTCGGACATCGTGATGGCTTCATCAGTGCTAAATAATCTGACGGCTAGACAAGTGTGGCTGCCACAACGTGTACATGTACGTGGTGCAGTTAGAGTGGTCGTTGTTCCGTCTAAAATCTATTGACATACCATTGCTTTGATCTATGTATTGCTTCCGCTGCTTTTTTACCCTATCAGTTGCAGGCGCCTGGAACGGTACCTCAAGGGGCAGCGTTCCGCCAAGCACTTGGTGCTGGTCATTAACAAGGCAAGCAACTTGCGTACTATCAAGCGTAGTACAGAGATGCTACGGCCAAATGTTGAAGTATCTAGAGATGCTCTTCTGAATAGCTGGAGAGGGTGAGGAAGGGGGAGAGTTCATTGCATCTATCGATTGAGAAAGACTACGTAACGGAGAGCCTTTCTTTTGGCTGGCCCTTGTTTGTGGTGCCCTCAGGTGGATTTGGTGCCACCACGTGTTGCGCGACACTGGTTGCAGCAGCTGAGCAAAGAAATGCCTACCCTCTTGATGCAGGCCGACAAAAACAAGAAGAATATTGGCAGGACGCAGCTCTTTCAACTTTTGAGGTGCGAGCAACTCCCGGGGAGCATTAAGCGGAAGGCGACATGTGGTATCAAGTAGTTGGAGGATCGTCACCAACGAGAAACTGTTATCTGTGGACTTTTTTGCCTGTGTTTGGCTTGCCTCAGGCAATACGGTCAGCTACTGTCTGATAGGAAGCATGTTTCCATAGGGTTTTTCGGATATCCGAACGTAGGGAAAAGCTCGATCATCAACTTTTTAAAGAGCAAACAAGTTTGCAAGGCAGCCCCGATACCCGGCCAGGTTGGTTCTACGTTTGCTTGTGGATGAGCGTATCCTCCTTCCGCTTAGAAATTAATCTTCATGAGGGCTTTGCTTCATCTAATAGACCGGCAGAAGCACAGAAAGTCCGTTGCACACAAAGGAATGCTATTACTTTGTCGATTTTGTCACAATCACTTCGTTGCGGAGGCGGCGGTTTATTAAGACCGCATGTGGCAATAGACGTTTCCAGTTAGACCATTGCGATTTAAATGATATGTTGCGTGTGACTGGGTCAGACTCGTGTGTGGCAATACGTTGCGCTGACCTCAAAGTTGTACCTCATTGACTGCCCAGGCATTGTTCCTCTTAGCAGCGAGGCAGGCGATGATACCGCGAAGGTATGATACAGCTTCTCGCTTTTCCGTTTTATGGCGTTGAGGTATAGCTAACGTTTCTGTGTCCCTGGTAGAGCCGTGTAGCACACCCGTATACTAGCCGTTGGTTGTTGACTCTTGCTGTTACTGCTGGCAGTGAATTGTTTGTCTAGGTATCTTCTTAGTTTCTAGAGGTACCTGCTTCTTGACTTTACTGCAACAGGTGATGCGAGGCGTTGTGCGACCCGAGAGGATCAATGCTCCTGAGGAACACATAGCGACCGTCTTAGAACGGGTTAAGAGGTACGTGGTAATTTGGTCAGGTGAATCAGCGACTCAATACATTTTCCGGTTTCTTCAGCATACAAGTGGAAATTGGTGGTATTTGTTCGCCAATGCCGCTTTACGGGGATCGTAGTAATGTTAAGCATACAAAAACGCCTGAATGTACAAGGTGCTGTTTTCGCATCCAGGGAGGCCGTGATAGCCCGCTACGGCTTGGACCGGAACGTGACTTGGGGAGATTCAGAGGAATTTTTGGCGCTGTTGGCAGTGCGTCTCGGAAAACTGAGGAAAGGAGGAGAACCGGACATTTCTACCACTGCCCGCATCGGTAAGCAAAAGTTCTTTCTCACTCTACTTGCAGCTCACAACCAGTCGTCTCTGACTTCTGATAAGGGGACCATTGCCTATTATACTGTTCGCCATATCTTCGCCCCTTGCTGGTGTGTGCATAGTGCTGTACGACCTGCAAAGGGGCAAGCTTCCGTACTACGTGTTACCCCCGACGATGGCAAATGAGGCAGCAGACATTGCTGGAGATAGGGAAGACGCCGCGGTGGATGGAGCTTTGGCACTGCCTGAAGGAAACGCGCTGCAGCTAGCGAATGGTACGCTGGAAGCCCTTAATGACGAAGAGAAGGCAAGAGATGAGGCACCCTAAACGATTCACGAAGACCTCGGGGCAACCCGTAAGCCTCAAGGGAGCTGGACAGAAAGGCGGCGCACCTTCGTTCTAGCGTAGCCCACCTTAAGTTCACAATTCCAGGTATTTTTAAAACCATAACCATCACGTGCGCGTTCGTTGCAAACCAGTGCACGACTTCCGCGAAAGTTTTGGCTCTGTATTAATGCAGTTTGCTACATACTGCAAGCTGAAGGTGGTTGGGCTACCGCAGCGGTAGTGGGGGTTCCGCAGTGCAGGCGCTAGTCAGCTCTTCTTATCTGCGGCTCGCTTTACGACATGCCACCCAAACTGAAGGAAGTTGCCGGTTCGCAGAAAGTAGCTACATGGCGACACAAAGCGGCTACCGTATGCGCAGTTAAAGTGGCTGACAATGCCCACCTCTAATGCCACTGCTGCCTAGCGGCGCATGAAATCAACTGACATTTGGTAAGAAAACGTCCTGGTCCGGAATTTAAAGTGGTAAAAGAAAAGTGTTTTTACCGCAGATCAGGGACAGAAGCTCGGGAGCAATGGAGAGGTCAGGTCCTCACAAGCCATCACTGCTATACCGTAGCAAAGTTTGGTAGCGCAACCACGTGCAGCACAAGCTCCGGAATCAGCGCACCCTTTGGCGAACAATACATATTGCCAGAGCGAGTGAGATTGATGGCCACAGATCATCCGTTCCAAAAATACATTGCAAAATGCCCGATGGATCGGCTTTGCTTTCGGAAACCAACGGCTGCGGCGCGACATTCCCGAACTTTCCTACCTGCAAAAGCTTTGCAGAGGAACCGCACAACGGCTACAAAGTCGCCAACTTGCGCCGAAGTACAAACCGCGCACTCCGGGAGGCTTCCAAGCCACCTGTAGAACAAGGCAGTTTAGTTTCTGCCCGTCCTATACATATTACCGCCGAGCCAAGTGTGCTACATGGGCACTGCTTTTTATATTTTCATGTGAAGATTATTAGCTTCAACTTTATCCTGCTGGTACCGCTCACGGCTCCAGCTGTTCAGGAACACCGCAATCCCGCTTTTGCAAATCTGGTAAGCTTCTTTTAATCCACCACATACGAACCAAGAGAAAATACACTAGAATAAGCAAACCAATCATTGGCAGCTGAACTACATACATTCCCTTAGGACCCAGGCCTACAGTGAGGTGGAACAAAGGGCTACAAAGAAGCGACAACAGCCCGCCGACAAGCTGCACGATGCCAATCAAGCGGCCGAAGAACACAGCAGGGAAGTTTTCCTCGATGTACACAAAAACCTGAGAAACGAACAGCGACATGTACACCATGAAACAAAGTACGGATATCATACCCGCCGCCGCCGCCTGCTTCAAGCTGAAAGCGTATGCCAATAGGCCTGCCGTATTGACGATTCCCATCACCGATATTATACCAATAGACTCTGACAGCTTGCCCAAGATGATGCAGGGAATAAAGGAGAAGGGCAGAGCACTGCCTAGGAAATCTTGCGCTTTCTGAACCAGAATGCGATCATGGGCCTCTTGGTAAAAAGAAGTAATCCATCCCACTGCAATGAAATAGAGAACGATAAGCAAATACTTCTCAGAGCAAACGGTCTTCAATAGGGTGCAATCTTTCTGCTTAGGGTGTGGCTTCTGACACCCAGTTGAACACGAGCCTTCGAGCTGACTGTCCAAGCTTAGCTCTCGAGTCTGCCCAGTCGTCATAGGCGGACGTTCAGATGCTGGCTTCTGATCACTTGGTACTACTTGTTGGTCGAAATTAGCCTCATCGTATGCCTTGTACGCCTTTAACGGCATCACAAAGAATACGATGACAAGGAACAGGCACGGACCGAAGCCGACGTACCACCAACAGCCTGAAATGCCACCATCCGTGAGATAAGAATGCAAAATGAGGGGGATGGCGAAAGAGGCGGACGAAGCCGACCCAATCAAAGTTATTACAGTCGCAGCAGCGCCCGGGAAGAGGCGGGTGACCAGCAGAGTGGGGAGGAAAGCGGTGTCAGCGCCTAGACCAATGCAGATGAAGCCGAGGTACACTGTTGCGTGCGACTCCGCCGTCAGACTTGAGATCAACGACCACGCCACAATGTGGAAGCACTGGCCAATCATAGACGTAATTTTGGGTCCCAAGGTATCCATCATTGTGCCAGCCAGTGCACTCATCGTGCAATGCACCGCCAGCGTGAATACAAACAAGCTCTGCACAGAAGCATCCTGTGCATCGCAGATATAGTTGTGTCCTAACTGTCGTTGGTCGTCCACAAAGCCTCCCTTTCCGTTGGCTTCGCATTTAAAACTAAAAACTTGAGCCTTTAACAGCATTGCCGACAGCGGAGCCCAGCCGAAGTACACGCATCCTGTCATGAACGTCTGGAGCGCGTAGACAAATAACAAAGCATATCTGTTCAAGTTGAGGGGCGTGGGCTGTTGAGCACCTGGAAGATCGCTGCGCGGCAACATGCGGCGCAGAGCCGGCAAGAACCCGTTGGGAGTCGAGTCTTCTCCTTCACTTTTTCCCCCCATCATCAATATGTCGTAAGAAACCTCGGAATTCGAGCTGATTATAATGAGAATATTAAGGATCTTGGATGCCCAATGACGGCGAAATGGGGAGTCGAACGCTGATTGCTGCCAGCGGGCTGGCTGCTCCAGCTGCAACACAGGCTGGGGGACAATTGAAAACAGGTAAGGCAGTGCAAAGAGGCAACGCTACAGGCTTCTTTATGACAAGATGAACAATGAAGCATTAAGGTATATTGTTGCTGAGTCGTGATGGTGAGCGATGGAGGCCGGTCGTGCGGGGCGAAGAGTGGAGCAGATGCTCTGTGCGCTGTCCCCGAAAATTGTTTCCAGCTAGGCACCGGAAGATGAGGCTCAAAGCAGAAAAAAGACATAAGTAACAAAAAATTTTGTGCTAGGCAGGGTGGGAGGCCTCTAGTTACTGTTGTCTAAATACTTCAAGCCATTTCGGGCCCACTTGTGCAAAGGGGTCTTGCAGGGGTTCCTGGTCTTCGGCATCCTGCACCACAAAAGACACGCTACGAAGCAAAAAAAATTCATCGTCATCCCACCTGTCCATACCTTGATTAGTGCGTTGCGCATTTTTGTTAGTTGATGCAACCTTGTGTCTCGATCTTAGCGATGAAAAGAAGTAAAGTGTTAATATGCCAGCGAATTTGGGGAACGGTGTAATGATGGGTGCTATTGTGGGACAATTTAATAGCGGGCTGCAACGATGCGATAATTAGAATTCCCTCCTTCGGCTCTCGCACATTCGGTAACGATTCAGTAAAGCATGTTTACGAGGTAGCGGACAATATATCCGCCGTGGAGCTTGCATGCAGAAATAGCTGCGCAGCAATTCGATTATAGCAGGTTGAGCTGCACTTTGGCAATTTCTACTACGCTAGCTGAACCTAAGTAAGAATTAGTATATAGTTGACAGTTTAGTGTATCTGTAAGTATCTTTTATGTGCTACAGAGTGAAGCTGTTTCTCCCCATATTTACAGCCAGATGCACATAGCGCCTAGTGCATATTCACACGCCGTTGCGGCTTGATTCGAGCTACCAATACTTTGCGAAAAACAAGATCTACGAACGAAGAGATTATCCTAGTCTAGTCCGTACTAGTCCTTGATAAAAATATAACGAGTGTAGATAAAAGGCATAGACAGTAACTTGGTCCACAACATGCTTTGCCACATTCCAAATCACACATTCTTGTGTTCCCTACCTGACGGTCAACGAACAGCCGCATAGAAATGGTGGAAGATTCGACTACACTATCGGCTCTTCCCAGGCAGGCAGAAACCAAATATAGTGTGAATGAGAGAAATAAACGTGCTTTCAGCCGCCAAAATCAAATCGAGGGGGAGAAAGAGAAGCTTATTAATCGACAACGAATGGCGTACTAAAGTGTCGTGGATGCGGCGGCGCGACGGCTGGCTGCCATCGATGCTTGAAACGTCCGGGCCTCTGCTACGAGAAACCAGAAGACAAGGAAGACATGTAAAGGGTACAAAAGTATATGCCATCAGTGCCTTCGTTCATCGTAAAGCAAAATCCTAGCAAAATACAGCTATTATGTGCAGGGTAGTTGAGTCCGAAGCCACAAAAGAGGCATAAGAAAGAATATGGGGTACGATTACTTGAGAGTGCATGCATATAAATCTGAGCGCAGCAAACAGGTTTTCAATATTTGAAGGGAGATGTTCAAGTAGAACCACCCCTTTAAAAAGTCGCTATACCAGGCAGAGCATGCGCTGGGGACGGAAATCTACCAGCAAACACACAGGATACCATCCATGGTGTTTAGCATTATGAACCGAACAGCGCTGCAAATTATTTTGCAGCAGCTGCTCCTGCGCTAACTAGTGAAACTACCGTTCCCCGACACAATACAGCAAAAGCTTTCGTCCACCGCCTCGCTGAAGCTTTCGAGAATCTAGCCTTGTCTAAGCTCCGTTAGGTTCCTCCGCTTCAACACAGTCACTTGCTGCACGGTAAGGTCCGCGTGTAATTTGGAAAGTATAAGTTCTTACAAGAAAGCTACCATTGATGGCTCTCTGACACCTCCAGCCTCCTCCCGCTGGACCCAGCCCTGCTATCTAGGTTGCTTCGCCTCTTACATGCATTTACGGATTACAGGACTTGAGGTCCCGGAGTACGAATAGACGGGTTTGTTGGGGGGCTGTCTGGGAATGCTTGGATATGCGGGCTTCCTCCGCCTTTCTGTTTTCCTCTATTTTTGACTGCTGGTAAGAGCTAGTTGACAAACCCCCGACATCCATAGGTTTCCAATGCCCACTTTACCATTCTTCAGCCAAAGGGTAAGGAGGTGCACTCATTTGCTCCTGAGACATCTACAAGCCATCATTTGCGGAATTCCTGCTGGTCGCTCGTTTAACCGCGGAGTGTCCGCCCGTCCCGTGAGACCAAGTAACGTTACCCTGCAATCACAGCCAGTGGATGAGCAGAGACCAGCAGCACCAAGCAATGCGCTGCTATCAGTTGTGGCGCCGCATCTAAGGTTCATAGGAAAATGCTTACTTGCGCAGTCAATGCAGACATAACGGGAAGTCCTTGAGAGCTTTTCAGAAGAGCTTCTGGTTCCCTTGCCCGCCCATTTAGAAGCATCAAATAACTTTGTGAAAATTTACTTAGTGTTTTTCAAAAGAAATTTCACCTCTCTTGGGCCGCGCCCTAACGTGTTCCAGCAAGAGTCGAGAAGCACCGATAGGGTACGCATTACTCCGCCCCCTAAGAATTCCAAGCATTTTCAGCTAGTTTTACAGAACGTCTAAGGCACGCGCACATTATACTGCATCTTTTTGGCCGAAGTAACACTCCCGTGCAACATACAGACATCTACGAAACGACCAGCCAAGCGGAAAAATTTTAAGGAGTCCTGGGTAATATAACTACCATGGAAGAAAGTGCTCGAGTGCACATGTGTCGCACTACCTGCGAAACACTTTCTTTAGTATGGCTACCCTCTGCCACGTCACCTGCAATGTAAGGTGAGTAAATTTGCATTAATATCCAGCCCGGTGCATCGTTAGACCTTATGCCTTGAGGCGAAGGGCACATGACAGCTCTTTTTAGAAAAAAAAAGCTTTCAAGTCTTCAAAGTGCTTCGGGGCAAAGACACGCTTATGGGGCCCCCGGTGAGAGTCACCAGGCTCTTGCCCTTCAAAGATAGTACGGAAAATTAACATGAGTATAACGGCTACACTGCACCAACAAACTTCCAAAAAAACAAGGTGTAGTTAGCCAACGATCATTAAAGAGTTGCCCCATTAATTTGCCTTTCCCTGTATCTTATTAATGACAGAGTAGCTACGACATAAGAAGACGCAGCGCTGCGGGCGTGTAGGATACATGCCATGTGTAGCTAGTTAGAATGCTAGGTGTACTGGAAAAGTGCACCTGCGCCCACTCCAGCTGTCCCACTTCCCGCATGTCCGGAACTCTGGAGATCGCGAGCAAGCGAAGACAGACGCTTCTTTGGAAAAAGCCAAAGCCTTTGTACAGAAGCCTTAATCGCAGGATTACAGCTGGTAGTACTTCATGATAAATTGCGGTTGTTTCCTGCTCATCCACAGGCTGTAGGGATGCAGAGTGATGTCAAGATTCCCTAAAACAGTTGTCTGGTATGGATCAAGGTATGCAAAAGATCAATATTTCCTTCCTGTAGTACCAGTATGATGCAACAATCGTCTGACGATGGAAGTTAACACAGCCCACAAAATGTTTATGGATGCGTCGATGAGGTCATGCAAACCAGAAAATGATGACGCCAGTAGGAATGAGCAAACACTTACCTTTTTACCAGGCGCTTGGATTTTTACCTTCTGTTATCCCCTAAAAAAGATACACTACTGGTTTGGGGGCCAGTTGCTTGGAGGAGAAACACTCCAGTGATCGCCCCATTTAAGCCCAAGAAGTCGTCTACCCGCAGGCAGTAATTGCTGCGCTATGCAACGATGAGCTGCCAACCTGGCCACCTGCTAGTTGTCCAACGTACCGTACGTAGGTACGCCCTGAATCAGTCCTTAGCGATGTTTCGCATGGTGAGAACCCCTCACACCATGAAGAGGAGAATAGCCAACAGGTGGGCTCGTTGTTGAAAAATGTATAGTGCAAGACTTGACCACCGCTTTCTACTATAACGCAGTGCGGATGCCGACAAAGGACCGAATGGGGTGCATGTGAGTTAGCTTAATCCCCTAAACAAGATTACTCTGGAACAGTAGCTTCAGATGCCTCATATTGACCAAATGCTTGGCAGGCTACACAGATCAATACTCTACTTGGCATTTTACCTCACAGACGCGTTCCTACGAATCCCCAACCCTTATGTCGGGCTCAAAACGACGTTCCAAACCCCCATTCGCCAACGCGAGCACACCTGCATGCCGTTTATACTTGTAAGTGCCTCAACGGAACTGAAGGGGCAAGTTAATCAGGCTTTCTATGAGCTTATCATGGGACACTGGCTGAGCGGCTACATGGTAGACGTCTTCGTATTCAGCCGAGACGTTCACGCCAGTCTACAGCACCTGCAGCGCGCGCATCAGCTGTTGCGGGAGAAGCAGTGGTAATTAAAAGCACTCAAGTGTTCGTGCATCTTGAAAACCATTGTGCTTCGGGCTTTTCCGTTTTGGCTGCAAGCAACGAGCCAGATCCGGCAAAAGTTTAAGCAATCAAGGCATGACCTTTACCTTCGCGCACCCGGAAGGACGTTCAGAAGCTTTTGTGGCCCTGCATCTTACTACTGCAGCTTTCATTCGCAGGCCTGCTCGGGTTGATGTTTTTTTAACTGACCTACAGAAGGAAGCACAGTCTGTGGCCTAGATAGAGGAGGCGGATGCCGCAACAACGACACTTATCAGTCACCTTGAAACTTCTTTGATACGTGTGCGGCTTCATTATAAGCGCGATTGCTTCTTTTAAACCGACGCTGATGATGTCGTGCTTGTGGCTTCTACCTTCAAATATTGCTCTAGTCACTACACTCTAAATTATAATTCTACCGATCGTTTTTATTACGGCTTTACTGGATCCAAGCAACGGTATTCCGTGGAGGAAAAGAATTTATGTGATGTGGCGGGGTGTGGAAATCTGTCGATCATTTTAACAAGGACATCATTTTACTGCACAGACCGACCAGCAGTCTTCAATATACCTTACGAAGAGCCTTTAGGTAAGAGTACAACTGCTCTTAACCGTGACGATTCACAGTTTCTGTAAAAAAGTGTTCACGCCTTATGCTATCGACACTCATTCATCGGCTTTTATCGCCAAAATTCAGAATGGCAAAAGAATGAAACACTACTCCTTTGAGCGTGGCCTACAGAGGCTCGAACCAAGGCGGGGACTCTTGCTTGCACGTATGGACTTGGCTTTGCAGTGCTGCTTTGAGCGAAGCACGTGATCATCTTATTTTGAGGCCATGAGGGTATTCTCACTGCAGTGTTAAAGCACTGATGCCCCTTGTGGTTGCTTGGGATGTGCCCCGCTTTTGAGGAGCTTGCATCGTGATATCCAGCTTGTCATTAGCTTTAATGGTGCACTCCTGAATCCGCACTATTGCAAAAGGTTTCTGGCTGCTGACAACATTCGGATTGCACACAAAGAATTGTGTACAGAGAGTCTCAGGGGCAATGTTTCTACAGTTGTACTTGTGCATTTTGTGACTTTGAGCTCAGCTAACTTGCATGTGCCGGCCGTCTTTTTGTTTGCAGAAATTTTCATACGATGCGAAGGTAGCGCTGAACTAGTGTGCATTTGATATTCCTTACACATTTCACTCGTCTTTTTTTCTTCTAGCAGGAGGCCGACGAACGTCGACACTGCCACGATAGGAGCTAACGCGCCGTCACGGTCATGCTGGTTTGGTCCCTCGTTTGTTATTGGTTAATGTGTTTGCTCTGTTCCCATCGGTTTCACCTTGGCGGCTTAAAGACACTTTTGCTTTTTGCAATTTTTGCCCTGTTTTTCGTTTGTTCCTCTCTAGAAAGTGACGTTAGGCCGGGAACCCTTTCCCATTTCTTTATACTGTCGGCTTCCATGGACAGGTAGGGAACACGGGGGAGCGTGTTCATAGAGCGGGGCGAGGCGGGGGCCAGGAGGCGGCGGAAGGCGAAAGATGTCACTCGCAAAGCTGCACTAAACCACTTCCTACAACACTAGTTATATTAGCTGGGAATTTGAAACCATTGACCGATTGTTTTGTGTTTCCTATTTGAAATTTCCGCAAAATACCCTTTCCTCAACACAAAAAGGCGCAATGTTCCGTCTGTGCCCCAGGCACGCTGTGCAACTGGCCATCAATACTCTGGATGCAGAGTGGGTGAAGCAACGTGCACCCTGGCTCTCCATGTGAAAGGCGGGGTTTATTTAAGGAAAACACTCAATAGATTGTATTCAGTCCAGAGCTCGAATGTCTCCCCAAGTGGAGTGTTGGTGAACGAGTTCCCTACCAGCATGGGTTGCACTTTCAATTGCTATCGCGGCTACTGCACTGCACATAGACAGGCTTAATTAAACCTGCCGGAAATCCATGGAATTACTGGCTTCGCTGCACTGTCTTCGTGTGCACACGCTCCCTAGGGCGCTTTGGGATGAATGGTAAGCCACGCTGTTACAGAATAAATTCGGCTCATGACCTGAGGCTCAGAGCCAGCAAGACTATTCAAGAAGATGCAAGGCATAGTATTCGGATCATCGGCCAACAAAGCAGCGTTTACGGAGAGGGCCACTCTCCTAGACAGCAAGCCGGGCAGATGGATTGGAAGGCTTCCATGGAAAGTGCTGAGGCCTGATGCACAACTCTCATTTTACTTGCAACCCAGTAAACAGGGTGTAGCGACTCACTACAAAGTAATACGTTTACGTTGACACAGAGCATCGATCGAGGAATAATTACGGAGTGCATGACGAGACAGCTACTGTATCCCAACCCTCGTTGAGGAGCAGGCTTAGTAAGCAGCTGCAACTTCCCAGAACCCGTGGGGCATATGTAACTCGTAAAAAAGAGGATTAAATAAGAATACAACGGGGATGTGTCTTTTGTGCATTCACCGAGTGTAGCAGTAGAGCTTTCTCCGCATTTGCGATTCAACTAAGGCCTTCGCTGCGCGGTGAGCCAGCCGATGCGGGAGCATTTCAGTGCCTTATCTGGGTCCCCTTCCGAGTTTGCAATTTCCTTTCCCTGTATTTGGGCAAATTTGCGCTGGATGACTAGAAATAACATATGTTGGGGATGAGGCGCGCAGTGCAGTTGTCGCTTTTCAGCGTGTGATTGGTAGCAGCCCTACGCCGGTGCCCTGCACCCTAAGGGACCCTCATAGTAACATGCGGCGGGAAGGGGACGAAGCTTGAAAGGCCTCACGCTACAAGAGATCTGGCATAGACACAACAGCGGTAAGAAGAGTTCTCTTTGATTGTGCATCACTCCCCGCAGACCAGCCCTGTTCTTGTGGTTCGGGAGTAAGTGAACCCCGGGTGCAGCTACACGGTGTCTTGCAACTAAACCGTTCTTTACTGTCCAGGACTTTTTATTTCGTATTCGGATCCCATTACGCCGTTTAGAGCCTGCATTAGCGAGAGGCCTCGTGTATTGTCTTCCGTCTCCATCTCTGCGCGCGCAGCGGCACCTTGCCTCGTGAGGTTGTAGATTCAAGAGGGCTCTGCGGCATCGACGTAATAAGGCCGCTGCACTGAGCCTTCTTTGCGTGCTTAGTAAACTTATACACTGGGTACTCTTGTTCTGGAGGCAAGAAGCCTTCCTCCCTGAAGGCGTGGCGAGGCCCTCCCCTGTGTGGCCCGTCAAGCAGCCGCCCTCCTGGAACCCACGTTGCTCCAATTTTATAGGGGGGTTCACTACTTCTTACCGCGCAGGATTGATGGCGTTCGTTGCCAGCTCAATGCTGCCTCGCGGGGAGGAGTTCGTGGGCTCCGAGCAGTGGCTGGGCTACGAATCCCTGTTTGCTTCCTTGGATGTGCTGCACTGTGCTCTCCTTTTAATAATCCTGCTGGGATTCTTGCTTGCGTCCTTCACTGAGGATGCTTCGAGTGATTCTCTGCGTGTATCCTGGATAGCAACGCAGTTGCTGCCAGCACCGCGTTCCCAGCCGGAGTTGGGGTCACGAGGCCTTACCGATGGCCAGCAGATGTTGAACAAGCTGGCAGAACGGAAGGCTGCGCAGCGCCTCAAGATTGTAATGGCACCCGTTTTGGAGGCTGTCGAGGAGGGCCGTCTGCTAGAATTGGTTTCAGACAATATCCGCCGACTGAGAGACTCGGTGGCATTCTACGCCCGCGTGCTGTACGTGCGCCGCTTCGCAGAGGGCACACGCCATCTCTTTTACATGGCACAAAAAATCAAATTGGATCTTGAAGTGCGGCCAGGAGAGTCGGAGGTAGTGACATACGTGGAGGCAAAACGCGCCCTTCAAGACGACAATCGGTGGCCTTTCATGGTGGAGGTCTCTGATGTCAAAGACGACAGGGTCACGTGCGCTGGCAACAAAAAGGCGTATCCCATGAGCTCGTACAGCTACTTGGACTTCATTCGGGAGCCACAGGTAATAAGCGATGATCACGCTACACACTGCCCACTGCACCCCTTGCCAGCTGTGCTACTCTGAACGTATTTCATCGTCCAAGGATCTGTCTTGTGTGCTTTATGGAAGAGTTTTTGCACAGTCGGCATGCGCAGAGCTTCCACGCAGGATCGCTTTGGCTACACTGCGAGCGATTTGTCGTGCGTCCCTGAAAGCACCGCTATCCTACCGCGCATGGCGTTGTGCATGCGCTACGCTGTCTCTGAGCAGGTCCAAGAAGCGGCCATAGCAGCGGCTCGGGAATGGTCTACGGGCTCGCACGGAGCACGTATGCTGGGAGGCAACTCAACAATATTAAGAGACCTTGAGCGCACAGTGGCCAAGTATTATGGGCGTGATGACGCACTGCTCTGCGCCACAGGGTTCTTGGCGACAATGAGTGCCGTCGCTGCTGTCTGCAAGAAGGGGGACTTGGTGATTGCTGACCATAGGGCCCACGCGTCTCTTCGGACTGGCATCAGCATCAGCGGTGCGCGGAGCCTCTTCTTCAAGCACAACAACTACGTGCATTTGAAGCAGCTGCTACAGAGAGAGAGAGGCAAAGCCCGGAACTGCTGGATCGTCGTTGAAAGTGTGTACTCCATGGAGGGAGATATCGCAGATCTGCCAGTGCTTCGTTCTCTTGCGGATTCTTACAACGCCCGGATCATTTGTGACGAGGCGCACGGCCTAGGAGTCCTCGGGAAGACTGGGAGAGGGCTGGAAGAGTATTACAATATGCCCGGGTCTTGTGATTTGCTGTGCGGTACTTTTTCCAAATCTATTGCCGGTGTGGGCGGATTTATCACCTGCAAACGGCCATTAATTGATTTCATGGACTTTCATGCTCCGGGGTCCGTTTTTTCTGCCTCTTTGACGGCCTACTCTGCTGGGGGCGCCATGAAGGCCTTTGAGCTTATGACGGGCGAGCAGCAGTGGCGCATACAAAAGGCGCAGGATAATGCGCGGTATTTGCGGCGGCTCATCGAGACGGGCGACGATCGATGGCCAGCAGATTATCCGGAAGAGCTGAAATATGAAGTGGAGGGCATGGATTGCACGACGGTCATTCCTGTGGTCTTCCCGAATAGCCCTCAGCGCATGTTCAGGATCACCATGCTTTTGCTGGATAAGGGCTTCTACTGCGCTGCCGCAGCCTTTCCTGCTTGCCCCCTCCTCAGGCCCAGAATTAGAGTGACTGCTACTGCTGGCTACACTAAGGAGCTGATGCACGCATTTGTTAAGGCCTTGGTAGAAACGACCATCGAAATTGGGCCTGACGGTGAAAAGGAAAAGGAGAGAGTGCAGACCTCAGCTGCGGCTGCAGCGCCAGCGAATGCAGGCAGCCTTCAAGGCTGACGCATGAACGCGTGGATGAAATATCGGAAGTAGCCCGCATATCCTTACCTATCTCCGCTGCGAAGGTTAAAAATTCGCTTCGCTCTATAGCTCACTTCTACGGAAACAGGAAAGCCTACCTGCATGTTGCGTGCGTGATGTCATTGTGCCGTTTGAAACGGTATCATTTCTGTTGTGGCAACTGTAAGCACCAGTTGGTGTGCGTACAGAGTAAAGAGCCGAACTGCGGCGTAGTAGACTTCTTGGCTTCTGGTGATTAGATTGCATATAAGGTATTGTTGTGGCATGCTGAAGTCGATCAGACACTGTATGCGGGCCACCTCTTCTTTCTGCTTCCACGAATAAAATGGGGCGCGTCGCAATGCTGAGGGGAGCTCATATGACACCCTGAGGCTGTATGGGGATGCAGCCGTTCGCTGCAGCGCTCTGCAATGTAAGATGCAGTGCAATGCAAGGCGGAAGGATGGATTGGAGGAGGCAGGTGGGACAGTGGAATTTGGACGCTCCAGCGTAGATTCATGAGGGCATGGTCCTTTGCTACCGTTCCCAGTGGGCTCTGTCGATGATTCAGTCTTCTTCGAGCCGTCTTTTGGCAAAGACCAGGCCAGCATGCGTTTTGTTCGTGAAGCCACGTTTCGTGTTTGCTTTTTCTTTGTTGGTAATTTACGGAGGGCAGCAGTGAAGCCGGCTAAGCTCCACTTCTGCATTTTCTATGAATTAGACATTTAAAAAACTTCAAGAACTTAAATAGATTTGGGAATTAGGTAGGCTGTTAGTATACGCTGTTGGTTGTGGAGTAGAGTTGGCTAAGTGTGGTAGTATCAAGATTGGGAACACCTGTGCTAGATGCTGTGTGTGTTTAGTCGTGAATTCTTGGGTTGCTTGAAGGCTGTACCAGCGCACACTCTAACTTTCCCTTCGTGCAGCGGGATGCGCTGCCCTGAGCACTTTTGCTACACTAGATATTGTTAATCGAGAATATGTACGACTTAAATTGTGAAGTCAAGCTGTTTGTACACGAAGTTGGTTGCAGGGTAAAGCCAGCTGCATAAAAGCGTCACCGATTGTGAGCGTATGCCTTAGATGCTGTGCGTAGCTAGCAGAGAATGCTAGGAGTGCTTGTAGGGTACTGTGACCCGCACCCTGGCTGGTCTATATCCCTAGCCGAACTTTTCTTGGGGCATTGAGCCAGATCCGTCAACAGTTCAAGCAATTCGGGCATGACCTTCACCTTCGCGCACCCACAAGGACATTCAGAAGTTTTCTGGCCTTCTATACTATTACCACATTTATATTCGTAGGCTTGCTCGGATTGATGCTGTTTTCACTGACCTACGAAAGAAAGCCCAGTCTGTGGCCGGTGGAGGAGGCAGGTGCCTGCCAGTTGAACTGCCAGAGTTCAAGAATAAAGGCAGCATATACGCCGTTGGGTGCGGAGGAAGCATATACGCCATTATTCACCGAGGCAGCGAATTCGCACATTTAAAGTTTTGTTTAAGCTTTGTCCCGGCTCATAAATTCGCTCAATTATTCCAAACCCTTATGTATCGAGCTCTGCGAAATCCCTGAGTATGATTACGGAGGGGGATTCGAAGCCTCTTAGATGTTTTCTGTGAGCTTTTATGTGCCACCTACACACTGAGCATATTAAGGTCATTGCGAACCATCTGGAGGCACGTAGGCGCATGGAACGCACCCGCCGCGCCCTTCTACGGTATCTGCAGCTCTGTGGTCAGATTAGTCCATTTGATTGACTTGATTTTCTTCGTTGTGCTCAGTGGGCTAACAACACAACCGTACACTCACCTATACGTTGCTCTCCTGCATCCCTGGGATCTGCTGAGGAGCCCCTCTCCGAATTATGCCTAGAGCTGGTCGCATGGGGTCAGTAACCACCCTTAGCCGCGAAAGGGTCTAGAGAAGTGCTGAATAGTGCGCGCAAATGTGTATGCACACCCCTGGACAAGCACGGAATTTTGATAAGCGGTGGCCGGCTGTGTATTACGAGCGAGGGGCCTTGGTCCTGGTAGATCGGCAGGCTTTAGCAGGTGCACCCAAAAACGATCCAAATAAAGGAGCTTGTGGCCAAGTGGCTAGCACTTTTTGGGACATTCACGCGAGTCTACTCCCACTGCATCGACTTTCTTCAATGTGTTGGGTGTCATTCTAGTGTGCTTATGAACTTTCACGGGTACCCGAATTATTCGCGGCCTCTGCCTAGGAGGCAGGGCATCTGCGAGAAGCCGGAGGATTTATAGGGAGCCGTAGAAGTGCTGGCGTTTGGGAGAATACAGCGGAAAGGAGAGAGTTGATGAAAGCTTCTACTAAAATTGGTTGAGGAACTACAACCTTAGGGTTTGTCACTGGAGCGGCTGTGGGCCACGTTGCCTGCGACAGGATTTGCGCGTTGTTTGTTCACAATACTAGCTGCAAAAAATGGCACTATGCACGTTCCCATTGTAACTTTCCTTCCCTAGCGCATGTGGTATCTCTCAAGTATACACTCTCCTACATAGGAATCGTTAAGAAAGTTTTTGATTTGTATCCGTAAGGGGTTTTCTACACTCAGAGCAATGCCCAAGCATTCTCAGTAATCTCGTCCGTACATTCTTACGGATGCTTTTTAGAACTTGGAAATCGACAATCCGCGTTCGCTGGCTATATTGTATATTGGCATGCAGAATTGGATTTACGAGGAGCGTAAGCACTGCTGGACTGGTGTGCCTCTGGATTTCGTCTCCACGTCGAAGCGCTTTTGTTGTCCTGTAGAAGCTAACAGATTTGGCCTCTGACGGCAGCGGGGCATCCCGCCGCTGCTGTCGTGCTGGTTTCGCCTTCCGCTCATTCTTCCCTGAATGCACAACTTTGTACTGTTTTTCTTTCCACAGGCCGAAGACCATCGTGCCTTTCCAATGTTCACTGTTCCCTCATTTCTGCCTCCTGGGGAGTGGCGACACCTGGCATGTGCCGAGTTGGGCTCAAGGAATACCAATGGAACACGTGGGAGTGTTTTAATAATGAGGGAAGTTTGCAGCGGGCTATGCTACGCTTGGGTAGTTTCTCTTGCAGTAGTTATACTTCGCTGAGTATCGGCGAGCAACCAGTTATATCATCTGTTCGTGTGTACCATTAGTTGCAGGGTAGAGATAGCGCAACAGCATAAGAACCAATGCTGTAGGCCTGTACGCTAGATGCTATGTGCAAATAATTGTGAGTGCTCAAAGCACATAGTGGACAGATCGACACGCACTCTAGCTGTCCTTTACACATGCCTGTCCCCTGAGGCATGAAAATATAGGAGAAAGCTGTTTTAGGGAGGCACCAATGTACCTATACTGAGCTCATTGGGTTTGGGGCTGACTGCCCACCCAATGAGCCCCTCAAAGGAGCGTTAGAGAAGAGAGTACATAGCGAATATGTCATGAGTAGGGTGTTTGAATGAACTACTGAATTTTGGGATTCCTTCACAGCAGCCTTTGCGTGCTCGCAGGTTTTGGGCGTAACTCATGGTTTTCGCCGTTTCGTGGATCCTCACAGCAGACCTCTTTTTGATAGGGTGAGCAGCGCAGCTGCTGCACTTACAGGTCAGCCCTATTCGGTGTTTCCACAGTCGCTGTGGCAATGCGACTTTCCTGGTCTTTCTCTCTGATGGACGATACCTGCAGCAGGTGGCCAGCAAGTAGATCGGAGAGCAAACCACCAAAAGGTGAAAAGATATAATGACAGAATAAACATTGGTTTACATGTATTTGAGGCATGAGCTTGCGCAGACAGATACAACACCAGAAGCGTTCCTTTCCCTGCGTCTGCTGGTCATCCAACGCATGAGCTGTATGTAGCGTAAATCCTGGGCACGATTATTCCTGCCCAGAGCAGCGAATGGCACATCAACCTACTACAGTCCAGCAATATGAGAATCCTTTCTAATCCTACTTCTGTGTGCACAAAGCTGAGAAGCAGAATGTAGGTCCTTTGCCCCAAGATATTGTCATTTTTATGTAGAGGGGAAACAGCAAGAATGACTCTTAGATGGGAGCCACAGGTGGTCCATCCAAATTATCCATTGCGACCGACTTGGTTGGGTAACGCTCAGCAGCCACTAAAAACGGGTTTCCTGCAGGCGTGTTGCAATACTATGCTATGTATTTGCTACTCTACAAACAGGATTAGATTATAATATGTTAACGCAACCGAGTTCGCACAGGCGAGCTATGCGTCTGCATAAATGAATTCGTGCAAAAGGACTGGTACGCCTCCATCTAAGGTATTTGCGACTTATTTAGGTACGGCGATTGAAAAAGATGTTCTAAAGAGGTTCAAAATGCAGAAACGAAACACTGTAATGCGGTAACGACTTCCATCCCTTTCCCTGGACATTTGCTTTATGCCGTCCGCTTTTTGATTTTGTCTCTTTCGGAAATATACTCCCCTAAGGTAGCAGTAGAGCTGCTATTGTATATTCCCGCTGGTGGCCTGAATGTCCACACGCCGCAACGCAGCAGCACTTATGGTCTTGCAAAGAAAACTGCATACTGCAAGCATTGCGAAGACCTGATTCTGTCCACAGAGGTACAGTCACTTACATTCGTGTACATGGACCAGCCAACATAGGTTTCTGTTTCTCCCTATCTGTGTATTAAGCTATATGCTACCCTAGGAATGCCGTGCTCATTTCTCTTGCCTCTGTTCCCTATGCTGCTTTTCTTTCCTTCAGTCTATATCCATCCTCCCGTCCTCCCCCTATCTTAAAACTTCTTACGCTTAGCATCTTTGCTGCAGCATTGATATCTGCTTGGTCCACGCCGTTCATGAAGGCCCTCTGAAGCCCGCCACCTGCCCCCTTGAAAGCGCCCTTTTCCTTTAGTGCAAAGTAACGAGGCAGTGACTCGTGCAGCAACGTCCCAGTCAAAACACCCCATTCAACCAAGTACCTTAGGCCAGACACACACACACACACGCACATGTTAGCAGTAAAAGCGTTTAAAACCGTCGTGGATATGCCAACTCTGATTTGTCTCAAAAGTAAGAAGCTTGACTTTCAGGGAAAGCGGGGGGAAGACAAGAAACTACAAAAGACAAGCCGCACATCACAGGAGCAGCAAACCAGGGCCAAACAAGGGGCGCGAAAACCAGGAAAATCGGGGAAAAAACGCGCAGCAGCCCACCTCAGTGCCACGAGGCTATTTCTGTTTTCCTCAAAGAGGCTCTCATAAAACCCTCTCGTTCCATCTCCCTGAAAGATCAGAAGCGAAAGAAAGACACAAAACATGTGGCTTCCTCCTCCTGGGGGTGACTGTATGGACCAAGCAGTCATGTCATCGCTCAGGAAACTAAAGCACAGTCACTACTACACAGCTGGAGCATGCACACCTACAACCTGCCTCTGGCCAGAAGCCGTGTGTCTGGCTGAGACGACAGAAACGAGTAAATCAGTAAATCAGAGGGATAAGGCAGTACATGCGATGCAGCACGAACGAGGTGGAACACGAAAGAAAGAGCCCAATTAATGACTCTTGAGCTCGCCTTACATTTGGTGGAGTGATGAATTTTTGGCCCTGCTTGAAATATTTCCTCGCATCGTTGGGCAGCAGATTTTCCTCCTCCTCTGCTGTGCCCTCCCCTCTGGCTGTCTTCTTTGGGGTTCTGGGGGCAGCCTTGGCCTTGGGAGACGCCTTTGGCTTTGCTTGCTGCCGCTTTCTCGCGGAGTCAGGGGCCTTCTCTTTCTGCGCATGCAGGGAGGGAAAAGATAATGCTACTGAATATGTGATGCACGAGAAGGAAGATGACTAACGCAGACAGGAGAGGTGAGTGCAACGTTGGTATGTTCATCGAAGACGATAAAGGCACTGGCGGAGAAGACATGAGAAAGACAAGTATGGGCATAAAACGAGAAAATGGATGGAAATGGTGGATGAGCAAGGCACACGGAAACGCTAACACCGCACCGGACAGTAACAGCAGGTCTTACGTCTGATGAGCCCTGGATTCAGGCAACGCTCATAGCAAATAAACCTCGAGTGCAATAAAGCCAAGGGAATAAGCACGACACATTAACACATGTACTCTAAGCCCGCGCTTTTCTTGGGGCTCCTGGGAGCTTCATTGGCAAATTCTTACCACAGCAGTTGTCTTTTTGGTCTGAGTCTTCTTCTTAGCAACTCTTTGTTTCAAAGGAACATCATCGTCGCTTGAGTCAGACATGGTAGGGAGGGGTGGTGCATATAACTCGCGAACAGTACCAGCGCTTAAGGGAATCTACTGCGAAACCTATCGAAACTGCTCCGATCTCCTGCCCGGACGAACTTATTAGAGCAAGAGATTCCGGGAAAAGGAGGGCTAGAAGCCAGTTTTTCTTGCAAAAAACAAGATTGCCTCGCTCGCGCCGCTCAGAAGCAACCGACCGCTGTGGATGTGCAGCTGGCTGAACGAGGATCCAGGTACTCAATTCACTCAACTTAGCTCTTTTATACACTCATTGACACAAGACTCATGTATTCAAATAATCGCCTGTTACTTCTTTCCCCTCGCCCTCCCGCCAGCAGAGCCCCAAACGCCGCAGCAGCGCATGTCTGTTTATATCGACTCCAAGCGAACAGAACAGTGGAGAGGCAACCAAGGCATTTTTCGCTATTACATGGTGGCAGACGGTGGATTTTTAGGAGGCAGCCCTTCCAAATATAACGACCTACCCCTAGGGCCCCCCGCTCACATGCGGCGAGTGGCAGCCGTTTCATTGTTTGTATGACGAGTAGGAGGGGGCCACCAGGACTTGTACATAGTGAAGAGACTGGTTATGTCTTGCTATTTCCCTTCACGCATGAGCCTTAGCATCCAAACTAATGCACTCGGCCGCATCGATTGTTAGTCTGGCAGAGCCTGAGGTCGAAGGGCGAATTCCCTTTCTTGTACCGCTGCGGTGTGGTCTTCGGGCCCCATGTACCTTCTGCTTTTCTACTGTTTTCTTCACCTCTCTTAGTCATTTCCACTACACGGCCTGGCCTCGCTGTTGTACTTCCCAGCGGCCTTTTTGTTCACTAGGAGCTAAGTAGCGGTATCCCCAACGCACGCAATACGGAAGGCGAAGGACAAACAAAAATCTGCCGTGATGTAATGGGTTAGGCACGAGCGAAATCCAGCAGGCAGGCCTCTCGTCCTCCGTCCTCCTAAAGTGGTGGACTATTCTCTTTTTTGAAAGTCCTTCGCCGTCTCTGCAGGCAAATGACCAGGCACACCAGGTTTTCGCATCTCGTATTCGAGCCAAGGATTGCGCGTCTTGCAGCAAGAAGGGTCCCTCGCCACTGCTTCTGCTGCAACAGAGTAGAAACAACTTGTGAAAGTAACAGCTGCAGAGATCGTTTCTTCGGTGTCTCACTTGCATCATGGCGAGTGAGGAGGGAATCATCTACAGCGTCCCACGCAACCCCCCCATGCAGCGCCTCTCCTTATACCTCGATTTTGTGCGGAGGGCCCTCGAGGAGGACTCATGCATGGTCATCTCCCAGATCCCTGCATGCCCTGCCCCGCTATGTGCATGCTGCTGCAGCAGCTACCGGGGGAACGGCTGCCCACACACGGGAGAGAGGGAGCCGAGCGGAAGAGATCCAGAGGGCAGATACGAATAACCAAGGAACAGTCAGGGAGGAGGCAAACAGCGACACGTTCCTAGCTGCTGCCTTGAGCAGCAACAAGTGCATCGTCTTGAGGTCGCCCTCAGAAACCCCCGGGGGCCCCTCCAGGCGTCACTTGATTCGATTGGGGCATCCCTGGATTTACGATTATGAGATTAAGAACATCGGGGCCTTTACAAAGCAGCAAACAGGGGAGATGCTCCCAGTCTACGACAGCAACGGTACCTACACTGAAAACCAGCCTGAAGGCCTTGCTGCTGCTTGTGTGGCTGCAAGCTGTTTCCAAAGAAGCATGGGCTGTATTAGCAGACACCACGCTCCAGTGGGCTTTCAAAAACAAAGGCTGCTGTTTCATTCGTTGATCTTGAAAGGAGGAACATGCAGGGCCCTACAGGGCAGCTAAGGTGAATGGACACTGCATTCTTCGCGCTCATTTTGCGGTCTTCAGGGGAATACATAGGATCTGGAATTCTCAGCCGGCAGGCCTCTGTGGCAGTTCGCATGCTCACAAAAGGCATCAAAGGCCAAAGCCGCATAAATGGCAGCAGGGGGTTTGTAGGAGAGCCCCCCGTTGACGCCTTAGTGACCGGCCGCTTCGTTGCTGCTCTGCAGCGACGGGGCCCCTCCGCTGAAGTATCCCAGCATGCGGTCGACAGCAGCAATTACAACGATAAAACTTCCGGCGAGAGTGCATGGCGGGCAGTAGACGGAGAGGCGGATGGTGTTCCTGGAGTGGAAGTGGATGTCTATGGGAAGGTGTGGCTCCTCTGCACTCATGCCTCCCTGATGCTGTTGTGGCTTCGGTGCTGGGTGCTGCATATCTGTTCGATGGGGCACAGCGACCACACTGCGCTGTCTTTGCGACTGTACCCTAACTTTGCCTCTTTTCTGCGCGTCCGTTTGCTTTTCTTCAGGCCGCTGTGCTACGCCTTCATTCCCAAAGCATGCGCCGCTTCATCCCAGCCTTTATTCGCCTTCTAAAGCAGCAACTTTGCCTGGACACCTTGTGCATCCAGACACTTGAGTCTAAAAAGGAGAAGCTCGCGCAGGTAGGGGAGGAGACACGGGCTTCTTTCGGATCCGCTTCAGGGCTTAATGCGAGGGGGGAGGGGGGTTCCTTCACGGCTTTACAGTATGGCGTTGCTGGGTGTCTGTACCAGTCGTGTGAATTTGTATCAAAGTGGCGAGCAGAGACAGAGACCTGTCAAGTAGGCGGGCGAAGGATTGTGAGGAATTGTAAAAGGCTGTGTCAATGGGTTTCGCTTTTTTCGTGGTCTGCTCTGCCACTTAAATTTTCTCTATTTGGGGGGATATGCACTCCACTACTCCATGATGAGAGGCACATTGGGGCACCTACGTGCGGGCTCAGGGAGCCGAGAATCCTGCGTACAGTGCCCTCACTTTTCGTCTCACGTGTTCTGTATGCTCTTCAGGGTGGGGCAGAGTACCGCAGCGAATTGTTGGAAGGGTCTGATCCAGTGGTGTGGATTGTGGTGGGTGACTCCCCTTCCGCACGGCTGCCTGTACACTTGTTTCTTCCTCCGTACGCTTCCTTCAGCTCACAATCCCTGCACCTCCTACCGATTCTAAGGCGGCATGTCGCCGGCGGAGCTTTCCTTGCCGTAGACGGCTGCATGCGAGGGGTCGGGATCTCCTGTTTGCGGGCGCTGGGAGGCTCCATTGAGTCTGAGGGGGAAGCTGGGGGGCAGGGAGGCGCAGAGAGTTTGGTGCTGGTAGAGACATCTGAGACAACCAATGGCTTAAATGAAAAGGCGGTGGCCGCAAATCGCGTTATGGATGCCGTGAACTGTATATACACTGAGGACGTGGTCAAGGAACTTTACTCTATGAGGGCCTCCTCCCTAAGGTAGGACCTCCCTTGTATACCCCTTTTCTTTAAGACATAGAGCCGACCTATCCCGATAAAATGTACTTTGGCGGAATGCGGCATTGAGCTCATCAGTAAACTAGTCGTAACGCCTATCCGCGCGCACCACGTGACGCCCCCAGTTTGCATTCATTTGTGTTTGGTCCTATAGGTTTCGTGGAGTGTACATACACCTGAGGCCTAAGATTCGCTTCACAGCATCAGAGCGAGGCGGCCAGTTTGGTCGATGGTTTCGCCCGTCTTTACGGGGCATCGAGTCTCAATGGGCCGCGGCAGCGGCCCTTGTGGAGCCGGGGGGTCTCCTGACCGCCTCCTTGCTGCTGCCGACATATCTCAATTCCTGGGCACTGCGAAGCTTGTGCCGAGCTGCAGAGGCAGCAGGCAGGAGCGCCGCGCTTGTCTACATCAATGCAGCCAACGCGAATGCCAGGTGAGCCCTCCAGCGCCATGTGTCTCCCCGGAGGTGCTCGTTGTGTGGGAAGTACGGCTCCGTTGAGCATCTTAGCAGGGGTACACTGAAGGGCAGAGGATGAAATGAGAAGGTGGATTAAGGAGGGCTTCATGATGTGTGATTACCTGAATGTGCAGAATGGCGGCATTACACCTGGACTTGTGGAAAGAACATGTCATCTGCGTGCAGCTGAGATGATCGCAGACGAACTTGGGAAGCGGTGGTATCTGCCTTCTTAGCGGTCCACCGCTGTTGCACCCGCCTTTTGCCGCCACTATCCCTATCCATGAACTCTGTTCCGCCTGGATTTTCTTGTTTGTGTCTGCCTTTAGTAGTCCTGCCCGTTCTTGTGCCGGCTGCTGAGCTTACTGAAAAAGTCGTAGCACTTAGTTGGTTCCTCTTCTCCTAGCATGAGCTGTTGAGTGCGACCAGACGCAAAGCATAGGCCTTTGAGTTGGGAAGCGCCCTTCACAGGTCAGGAAGACGAGGCAGACACATAGTGTGAACTGCGTCAGTGCAAGCCGCTCGAGCGGATCTGTGATTCCTTTAGCATCTCGCGGATCGCTGCCTGCGTGCATGGCCATAAGCCGAGGTTCTAGAATTCATAAACGAGGTTTGGAATTTAGGATTATGAGCGTGGAGGATTAGGCTCTAGGGTTTTGGATAGTGTACAAACCTGCATCATGGGCATTTCGAGTATCTTAGCTGCAGAGGCTCTGGCGGTGGGGCACCTGATGAGCATTTGCCCGATTATGCGATTGAGCTCTGAGGAGTAGAAGGAAGGGATTGGGGGAATCTACGGAGACATGCATGCAAACAGAAAAGAGGGGCGATTATAGGGGCCTTTGCTAAATGACAAAAACAAGAAGAGGGAAGGCACTGGGAAGGGCAGGGTATCGAACCAGATATAGCAGAGGACAAGAAACACGTGGCACAGAGGCAGAACGAAGCCGAAGAAAGTGGGAGGCACACGAGAAGGGAATCGTATCTGAGGCAATAAAGTAAAGAAACCAGCAGGGATGATACAGCACGAATGGCATAAACCAGCAGTTGCGTATTTGGTCCCTCCCTCCCCTTTTCTCCGTACTCCCCCACCTCAGCATTGCAAATCCTGTAACAGAGATCTGCGAGGTTCTTTGCCTGATGGAAAGGAGTGCGAAAGGTTGCCATTTCGAATGCTACGCAACCAACAGCCCAAACGTCCGAGGAAGGACCGTATGGAGAGCCCTGAAGAATGCGTTGCATATGAATAAACGAAGCACCCGACAGAAATGTGTCTGCCTGAATCTTCTGAAATTGATGCATTTGTGGACCGTGCTGCCGTTGTACTTGCGTTTTTCCCAGATTTCTTAAGGTATGTAATGGCTAAAGCCGTAGCTCAATGGAGTTGCTCAGCTGTTTGTTCCCTTCGTGCTTTCGGTTGTCTGCGCTCTAGCTTGCATTTGCCCTGCTTGTAGTTAGAGCACCTTGCACAGTTCCGGGCTTAGGTAGTACGGAGTGCCTATGAAGGTTTTTGCTTGAGCCTGCGTGCTCTCGAGGGCCTTGCTGATACCAAAGTCTGCCAAGCGGAGGCGATTATTCTTCTCTATGAAAATGTTCTGACTCTTTATATCTGCGCATAAGGGGGGGCAGGAAAAGGGGGGCCAGCGAGAGGAGAGTGGAGGACGCTGATGGAGTTAGCAACCCCATTGATGACGCGCACATATACCACGGGGAACGGAGCGAAGGACTCGCGCACTTTAAAGAAAACAGACACCTTGTGAGATGCGCAGTCTACGCTTAATTGTTTAGCCCATTCCAAAGAGTGTAGCTCACGTATTCCCCGAAATGTGTCCCTTCCTCCCAACAATGACCGACAAACACAAACAGCCAACATCCCCTCCTGTCCCCTTCTCAGAAAGAGCCTTGTGCTGCAGTCTGTTTGCACCCTTTGGGAATGGGACTAGACGTGCAGATCAGACAAAGGGTCGTGGGGAGATAAGGGTTGACATAAGAACTAGGCAGCAACGGACACTCGCCGCACTCTCGTAGCTGCCGTCCTCACCTCGGTGTATTATTTTGTTTTGATGCGTGTACTTGACCGCCATAAGCAGCTGAGCCAACCACCTAATGATCTGTTTCTCAGGAAGGGGGGCATTCTGATCCTCGCGAGCCCGCAGCAGCCCGGCCAGATCCCCACCTGCAGATTGCCATGGAGGAGTACATGCATAAAAATAATGGCGTGAGAACCAGGAGAGTTCAGCATGTACAGCCAAAGAAAGCAGTGGGGTGTTGGACATTACAAAGAACAGCCTCTCCATCCACTTCGGCCCCCTTCCTTTCCCTTTCTGCCTTGTGTTTCCCTCCCTTCCTTCTCTGTATCTAGGCCACTACACAGCAAACAACTATTGTGTGGCCCTATCGTTGCCAATGCGCCTTGGTCCACTCATGTAGTTGCCTCTTGTCCTGCCTGTTCCTCTCTCTTCATCTCTTGTTGTCGTGTCACTCCTATTGGTCCCCTATTTCCGCATGACGCTGCTACAACGTGGAGGCTGTGTCTTTCCCTGCCTGCCACTCTGCGCCCTCTGATGCTTTGCTACTACCCTCCATGCAGCTCTCTGCATCCGTTCCTGCATGACGCTTTTACCATCGCAGAAGCTCATAACAATGTGGAGGCTTTGCCCCTCCACATAGCTGTCAAGGTAGCGTACGATGAAGGGATGGTCAAGCGCTGCCAGCAACTGAAGAGCACACAGGTTCAACCGACAATTAAGAACGCAAGACAAGTTAGACAAGACAGGGGGTTTTAGTGCAAGAGTTTACGAGCATATTCGAGATATCAACGACCACATACGCGCATTTGCTGTACCATGCAGCTGTTTCAGTAAGGGGATACGCAGTTGATAAAAGAAAATTGATCTATATACGTATCTGCATGCACAAGTCTATGTAGCTTTGTAGATTTATCCATGCGTTTCACTACAGTCCCCAACCGATGGGGAAGCAAATCCATATATGATGCTATCTGTTTATAGGGGCACAGGTGTACCGCTACATCTATATTTGCATCTATAAAATTGAGATGTGAATCCAGGTGCATGGAGCAAAAGCTTCGTTGAACATAAACGTAGATGTGTTCATTGGCGGATCTCAGATTTTCATTGCGTGCGCAGCTATCGATTCGTTTTAAAGTGTGCAGGGTGCCGGTACAGTGCTGCACAGATCTACATCTACAAATATGGGGATTACGGCAGTGCGAGTGTCTCTTCAGTTGCAGTAACGCGTGTACAGACAAGTGAACTAAGAGGGCCTGCGGATTGTGTTGCACGTATCTTGGCAAGCAGAACATATTAAGACGATGTGGATACAGGCAATTGCTGGCTGAGTCATGGAAAGAGAATTATACGTGTAAATACAAAGATATATAGGAGGATGGACACAAAGCTTGGTACAGGAGTAAAAATGGTTATCTCGTACCTTAACTTCATCGATGCAGGCCATGCGTTCCTTCTGCGGAACTCTTCCCACGTCAATCACCTTCGCAACAACTCTGAACGGATATTGCACACGTAGAAATAAAGGGCGGAGAAACGGCTACACAGAGGAAAGAAACGAGGACATAGAGTCTTGTGGATGATAGCTACATTGCCTGAAAATGCCCCCGATGGGAGGTGACTAGGCTTGGATGCAAGAGAGGCTATTACGACTGCGTTTATGAAGTCATCTTCAAGCTATACGGAAAATTTATCGAAACACACGTATTTCCATTTGTGTCGGTGGCGAGGTAGGCTCGTCCGTAGGCGCCTTCTCCTATACATTTCAGCAGCTCGTAATGGTTCCGACGTGACATCGAGAAGTGCCCTGCAGAGCAAACACGCCACAGGATATATCAGTGGAAGTGCATAACTGCATCATAGAAGGCCTCTAATTTGTGATTCTCTTTCGCTCTGTCCATCCATTACATGGCCTCGGTCTCTACTTTCTGTTTCTGGATGCCTCTGCAGTACGGCATATGAACTCGTACAGAAGGTGTGGGAAAAAGAAAGCTTAGAGGGGACGCAGTGAAGAGGAACAGTAGGAAGTCGACCGATGATAATGTATCACGAGAGCAAACCGCTTTTGTCTGTGCAAAAGTGGCTCAATCTGTACGGGCAACAAGATAGTCACGGAGAGAGGCAACAAGGAAATAGTAAGTGTATGGTAAAATGCATATGGAGACTAGAAGACTGAAGAAAGATGCGAGGAATATGATGGGGCCGTCTGGAGTTCATAGCTCCCGTAAGGATCGCACATATGTGCAGCACCTGTGCCAGGATGACGCAGCAAACAAAGGGACAAAGGGTTCGTTTTAGTGTTGTTCCATTCTTTTTGCTTGAACCGCGGGGAAAAGCTACGAGTAGGTCTGTTAGTGCCTGCTTAAATGAAAGGAATTTAATATCTGACGATATGCTGTGCGTTTCAATGGGTTTAACGGTGCTCCTTCTATGAGACTAGGGTCAGTGTGCGACTCACCTGCACATAGAGAATGAATTCTGTGTCTTCTATTTCGCGTTCTTATTCTGTCTTCTAAGGGATATAACGCCTTAATATGCCTAAAATTTCCAAGTCGTGGCAACAAGAATTTCCTCTGATGACCTTTGGGTCAAAGAAGCGGCAGTGCGTATGGCAGTAAGCGACAGGCAGAGAGTCAAGGGTGCTGTCTGCCATTGCACATGGCAACGAGAGACCCTATATTTCATTTTTTATCTTTAGATTTGTGCGTATTATAATTAATATTGAGTGTGTGGCTCTAAGAATGTAAGAGTTGGGAGCTAGGGATTTGTTGTTTCCGCTGTTGGGTAGTCGATTGCTATGGGATTCAGAATAGTCCTTTAAGGCCTTGGAATTCGGTAAGAGATGCTCGTATGCCCCACTAAACAAGGGTGTTGAGTTATCGTCATTCTCAAAATATTCGCGACACTGAGTCCATCCCGAATGCCCCTTTCAAGCCCCTGCGTGCAAGTTACCTCTGGCCTCACATCGGTTGTGAACCGCTACTAGGTAACTCCTCGTTCTGATGCATTGTTCCCTCCCTTTAGAACACGCTGAATCAGCCACAAGACCCTATATTTAAAGCATTGTGGGTGTAAAAGAGGTGTTTGCGCCCACAGCCCAATACAATTATCCTTCAGCCTGAAGTATGAAACCCTGTTACCAAAGCTTTACTCCGCCTGACCTTCTGCGTAGTTTATTCACTAATCTTGGTGCCACAGTTTTCCCAAGGTGCTAAGAAGAGGAAGAAAGGAGCGCACACCTGGGACCTCCAACAGAACACCCGACTCGACCTGGTGCAAAATCCCCCTAATCCTTCCTCTGTATGAGGTAAAAATAGAAAAAAAGAGCTCATATTGTACAGACATGTATTTCTATCATTAAAAGCCTATGTTGTTCCCCCTCCTCCGATTGCTTTTGTTGGTCTTGAGGCTGCTGGATGCCGACAGCTACGACAGGACCTTCCGAAACCACCACTTTCGTTTGTTGCTGCTGCCCCCCTTTGCGCATGAAGCCTCCCTATTTGCGAATATCCCTCAAAATAACACAGGCGAGACAACTTCTGGTCCTCTCCTAAACCGTTGGTGTGCCAAGAGTAACGAATCTGGAAGAGACTGAGGGTGAGAGGGGTCAGAAGTAGTCAAGACACGTCCCCCTTTCACACAGCACGCCTCACAGCGCTCCACGGCACGTACAACTTTCCTCATGCCCAAGAGTTACCCCTGGGGGTTGACCCTGTGGGTCATGGATATGATGCTGCTATTACATAGGAAGTCCTACCTGGGCATCCGCTTGGATCGCCGCAGACCCCAGTGGGATGAAGCATGCAGGGCTAGGCTGGCTATTCCAAGCTAATCCATAGGGTTTCGAAGAGGGGGGGTATGGCGGACGGGGTAGCCACTGTCCAGACACTGCAACCTGAGAAAAGCATGGCGAGCCAAAGGCATCAGCTCCTGAAGACCCTGCATCCGTAAGCGCTGTGGCCGCCAAAGGCCAATACATTGGGAATCTGAAAACCGTGGGACACTGAAGAATCGGTTCTGTGGACCCCTGCTGTAGGCGAGACCATTGCTGCTCCTTGATCATACAGGTTGGATGCCACGGTCGAGACTTCGCTTGCGGCAGCGTTACGAGGCAGTTGCACGCAGGGGTAAAACAGGCTGGTGAAGCTGAAGCCCCCAAGGGATCCAGCAGCACCATGAGACCTTCCAAAGGACCCCCAAAGGATAAAAAGGATACTAAGGGCCCATGGGAAACAGACGCCGGATGGCGTTGTGTGGTATCCCTTGAAAATGAATCTTTCCTGTGCGCGTCTTCGGGGTGGAAGGACACAGGACCACCAAAAACCTCATTAGGGGGAGAACGCTGCTGGTATGCCTCCTGTTTTTGCTGCTCCTGACTCTGCTGATGCTCGGCCCTGGACCAGCCCAATGCATTTACATTCCTATTCCTGCGTGGTCGGCCCACAGGGCTGCTGATGTTTACCCTGGGAACCACGGTGAGAAGTCCTTTCTCATTTTTTCTACTAGTGTGCGTAGATAGCTGGGAGGGCTTAGTTATGAGCGTTGTATGCTCGTCTGCTCTCTGTGAATCACAGCTGGCAGCAACAGACGCCCGGGAGGCCCTTGAGTGACTCCTCGAGATGTCGCTCTCTGTCATGGCACCCTCAGGAGCGGTGCTTATGGACGATATTAATCCAATATCAAGGGCATCCCCTGCAGATGAAGCCACGACAATGCATGACATGCATCCTTCTGATCCAGAGTTCCGCTATCTGTCCTCTCTGGCCCCCTGCCTTCGTCTCTTTCTTCGTATGTATATGGATGTGTCTCAAAATCAGTAACCTCCCGGAGATCCCACTCACTAGGAGGGCCTCGATGTTCAGGCAGCAGCCAAAAGCAACCGCATACGGCCGAAACAATTCAAAGAATCACCAGCAGTTCATCCAGCCGCCAAATAGGATATCCACAGGGATGCCCACTACCTGAACCACCACGGGGAGCGTATTTAGGGGAAAAAGCTTACCGAAAGGGGAAAGGCGAGAATGAGACCTTTGCACCAGCTCTTCCTCTCCATGTGCGTGACGGCAACTGCTGCCAACTCTGGGCGATGTCACACAGCAATACAGGCTGCCAACACGAATGTTTAGACGAAGACACCGCAAGGACAAAAGGGACAAAAACCAAGAGCAAGGAACAAACGATTATTTGTTTGATGGCATGCAGGAAAAACGCGGTGTCTGTTCCATTGTCGCGAGAAAAAATCTTCCGTTCCTTTGCTGCCGGTCTGCCACATTGTTTGCTAAAACCGTGTAGCCTCATCAACTTATTACTGCGCATTACGTTCCCTTACTTGCACCTTCCCGAAAGCCAGAAGAGACAGAGTTGAGTCTTGTAGAAGCTATCTGTGGACCTGAGCTCCGAAAAGCCATGGGCAAAGCTGCAGTCTGTGGCCTTACATTCGCCCCGCCTAAAGGATACGCAGAGTCGCGTCTTCCTGAGGTTGATGGGTTGCCGTATTTCACTTTCTGCATGCGCGTAACTACAGGAGTCGCCATACTTGCACTGGTTCCGAGCAAAAAACCCACACATTCTTGTTTTATAGAGTCCCTCCATATCAAATTGCATCTTCTGACTTCGACTTCGACGTGGGCACCACAAGGATCTAGAGAGGGCTCCCCGGTGCATACCTTCTTTAGGCAGTGGCTGGCCCTCCCCATGCCGGCGGTGCTGTCGATATCCACGTCTCCAGCTTCTTTGGCTGCATTTACTGCTGCTGTTGCTGTTGCTATTGCTATTGCTATTGCTATTGCTGTTGCTGTTGCTGTTGCGGTTGCTGCTTGTATGGCACAACATGGGGTCGCTGGTCTTATGTTCTAGGGCCCCCGGATCCTTATTCTCCAGACGGCGGCCTCCCTCATCCCATCCTCTATCGTCTTCATTTTCTTGTCCCCACCTTGCATTAGCACACTGATCCGAAGAATTCTGAACTGAGCTGGAGGCCCCCTCAGATCGCAAGCTTCCCTGCCAGGAACATTCCCCTGTGGCATAGACCAACCGCAGAAGATCGCCGCGCAACGGGTGAACTGGTAAGATAATTACACTGTGATGGACCAATCCGGACAGTCAGTAAGGTATGCAGAGAGTCACCAGAGCGTCAGTTCCTCATTGTGGGCATCTATGTGTATGCTAGCATAGGAGCTGCCCCCAGCAAAAAAAGACACGACGAGACCGCACAATCAACACGCTGAGAAGAAAATACCGAGGCAAACGAATCAGAAAGGACAGGCTCATACAGAGTAGCCTAGGGTGGGGACTAGAGGGCGGGACAAAGTTTACCACATGTTTCATTTGACGGGGTGATGGCGCTTTCTTGTTCTAGAGCAGCAGCGGCGGTAATGAGGAATTGCCTCTCCCGTTCCCGCTCTTCCTCTGGATCTCGACTATAATTTAAAAATTCTGGGGGCGCCGATTGAAGCTTGCCTCTAGATGGTGGATCAAGTTCCATTTCCGGGCAGACGTACAAGCTAGAATGCATCGTTGCTAAGGACTGTGAAGCCAGCACCCGTTTTCCGTGCTCAGCAATTAAATTCGTGTTTACTGCTCTGTCTTGCTCTCACGCTATGCACTGTGTCCCCTCAAAAGGAATAGGGCATTACATTTAATGGCTCTTCTATGGAAGTGCGGGTAGAGGGAAAGGGGGGTCGCTTGTTCCAAGGCCCCGTCTCACGTCCTTCTTGCAATGTTTGCGCCAAGGTCACTGACAGGAAAAATCGTGGTGCTAGGGGGAGGGCGGGGCCTGAAAAAACAGCATCTAAGGGTTCCTATGCCCATTCGCGGCGATGTTTCGGAGCAGCTTCGGTATTTGCTTTGTCCAAACGCAAAAAGGGGGGAAAGGCGGCAAGTAGCGCTCCTCCTGCTGTCGTATACGAAAGATAGCACTGTTCTCCCGAGGGCTTTCAGCTGGACTAGGCAAGAGGGCACAGTGGCTTAAGACAAGGTTTTGTGTCTCGAAATCTGGCAAAGATAAGATGAGGGAGTACAGAGGAGGCCCATAAAGGAGAAAAAGAAAACAAGAGAGACAGAAGAAAGCCTTGTGTATACTGGGCGCAATCGATCCCTGGATGCATACGAGTACGTAAGAGCACAAAAAAGAATGAAAAAGAAAGTAGTTTGTTGTTCAGGACCAGCTTCGGCAGGGAGCGTCAAGGCATACACTTGTCGCCTTGCCAATCCACGGCCTAGTTCGAGGACCCATGCGCCTCGCTGACTATAGTCCTTCCCTTATTCCTTAATAAAGCAAAGCACAAAAGCATGCGTATTGATCTTCTAAGGCATGACAGGGTGCGCAAGGTGCAGCCACTACACCAAAGGGCCAAGTTGCCTCGGTTGCTACACCATTGGCCCCGGGGGCACACAAGGGCACCCAAGGGAAGGATGTCTGGTACTGAATGAGCAGGAAAGATGGAAAGCGAGGATAACAACTCGGGTAATGTGAGCAGAGTGCAAGTGCGGACACAGCACAGTTTCTCCTGGTGCGGTATACCGTATGTGCAGGCGGTCTGACCAATGGGTTGCCAGCAACAGAGCAGGAAATAACGAAGCCACTTGGTTTTGCGCTTGCACTTTCTCTAGATTGTCACTCTTCCGTTTCTTACGATGAAATCACCTTTAGTTTCTACACATTCGCCATGAAGGCGCTGGCAGCGAACGCAAACAGGATTAAAGCCAGCGTCGGGCTTCTCTCGAAACTGCGGTCCCTTGTGTGCTACGCGCGGTGTTGCCTTGCTGCTGCAGTGTCACTCTCACCCTCCAGTTATTCCATTATCCTTCTTGTTTTCCTATGACTTCCAAGCCTTAGTCTTTAATTATAGGTTTGAACAGAGCTAGTGGTGCTTGGACTTTTCCTACGAGCCCGGGTAGTGAGGGCGCAGCCGGTGGGAGCGGCATAAGGATTTGTGCTCTTCCATTTGGTACCATGAGGGAGGCTGTGCAGAGTTCGTAGCCGACCAAGAAACAAAAAAGTGCTTGTCCCAAGATATTATTCTAAATGAAGGAGGCCATTGTACTTTTCACGTGATGCCAACTTCGCTTGAGGGTGAGCTGTCAGCTCCTATGTCAGAGTGCACCCGAAGATAATCTTAATACAGGTTAGTGTTAATATCGAAAATGCATCACAATCAGAATAGCAGTGGTAGCAGAACTTCCTATGGGGAGAAGGGAACCTTGGTCAGCTCAAAACTACGCCTCCCGGGCACAGAAGCTAGAAGATATACTGCGATATCGTGTCAGCAAACACACATTTAACAATGCTAGTTGACAACCTCGCTGCCCCCCTTCTAACACTGCAAAGAAGCAAACTAAATAAACTTTGCACTTGTTATCAGTCCAGGAGCATAAAACCTGCAAAAACTCAAAGCCTTTGTTGAAGGATGTGTACCCGATGGTCCATGCTAGTGAAACCGGGAAATACGCATGAGACTCAGTCGGCTCGGCCAACAGCATCTGAAATAAGTGTGCAAGTAGCATCAAGCATTTCTCATACTCTTACAGGATACAAATGCCACGACTGAAAGGTTCTCGCTTCTTAAGCCTCTCCTTTTCTCTTGCCGTTCCTTTCGCCCCACCAAAGAGGAAATAAGAACAGAAAAAAAATGTGGTTACGCCACACAGTTGGCGCTCTTTCTGTTAAAAATGAGTCACAACAGTTACCTGTTTGACTGAATGCAGAACTTTACCTCAAAAAGAGGAAAGCATGTGCTAAAATGGGAAGAAGACCATCAACCGATACACCAAGACGGGAAGGTAAATTGAGAGACCAGGGCTAATCCCCATTAACAGAGATTAATACACGTCACAAGGATAAGAACGATCTTTGTTAAGAAGCACAGCACATTTTAAGGCGTGTGCGTAGTTCTCGTTCATACCCCTTGCGCATTGACTGAGGAACGGTAACCTTTGGTGAAATCTGTGGTAACTAAAACCTAGATACAAAATGCCTAGAGAATACGAGCTGAAATGAGCCCTTTAATCCAAACCACCTGTGCATTAATGGATACGTTCTCCAAGAAGCCCTCGTGTCCTGTAGTTCCCCTCTTCCGTTGTCCTTTTATAGGAAGACGTTTTCCAAGCTCGCCCGAATTCCCGGTCGCCGTTTGGAGCCACCTTTCAAAGCAAGGGCACTTTACATGTGGGCCCTGCTCTATTGAATACTGGTTTGAAAAAGATCCTGTTCATGGTTCTGGAAGTTTATCCTTGATCGAGGGAGGCCGCCTCAGAGGGCCAGCGGCTACATGCGCTTTACGCTGCAAGGTCATCAGGCGCCCGATTACAACAAATTCGAGTGCCATAAGAACAATCAAAAAGACCTGCACACGAAGAATGCCATGTCCATCTTGAGATTTGACTGCCGCCGTGTATACAGGATTACAGATCAGAGAAATCAGCCCTCCGATCAGTTCAATTGTTCCGACCAGCCGGCCAAAGTGGCTTGCCGGGAATGCCTCTCCAACGTAAACAAACACCTGCGAGCTGAATAAAGACATGTACACCATGAAGAACAACACGGAAGCGTAGCCTGATCCTGCGTTGCTCGACAAGCTGCATAAGTAGGACAGCACTCCACTAGCATTCACGACTGCCATTACGGGTAAAATACCCGTCCAGTCGGAACACCTCCCCAATAAAACGCACGGGACAAAGGAAAGCGGCAGCATCCATCCTAAAAACTTCTGCGGGCCGTCTGCCAGCAAACGGCTATGTGATTCTTGATAGAAAGCAGAGACCCAACTGACACCGATGAAGTACATAACAATCAACACGTAGCGCTCCGAAATCATACTTCTGAATATCGATGCAGAAGCTATGATGGAGCTACCCGTATTTTCCGTCGTTGAGGTTCCTGCGCTTAAGGTTGCCAGCCCAGATGCTTTGTCATGAGCACTGATGGCTGTTCTGTGGAGAAATGAGTCACCCTCCATAGCAGCAGAGACATGGGGGGACTGGCTGATCTGCTTTTGCTTTTCTTTTTCAGGGGCCTTGAAAGGCTTCAGAGGCATCATGAACGCAGCAATTACAAAAAACAGCCCAGGACCAAAACACGCGTACCACATACACCCCGAAACTTCCCCGGAAGGCAGCAGTGACCACAAAACCAATGGAACAACAAAGGAAACGGATGATGCTGCGCCTAGCAGAGTGATGACGAGTCCAGGGCAGTGCGGAAAGAGCCGCGAAATCAGTAACGTGGGGAGAAACGCCGTATCCGCCCCCATGCCTATCAGCACGAATCCAAAGTACACTGCAGCGTGTGACTCTGGGGTTAGAGAGGAAAGAAAGAGCCAGCCAGAAGCGTTGAAGATCTGGCCAAGCATGCACGTCACTTTGGGACCTAGAGTATCCATTAGACAACCCGCCAGAGCACTCGTACCGAAATGGACGGCAAGCGTTATAGTATAGAGATGTTGCACCGCTGCGTCTTGTTCGTCGCAAATGAAAACCTTTCCTTCTTCCCTTTTGTCTACAAAGAATTTTCCTGCTTCATCGGTGGGGCACTTGAATGCAAAAACACCGGCGCTTAAAAGAAGGGAAGAGAGGGGTGCCCAACCAAAGTACACACAGCCCGTAACAACTACTTGCATGGCATAGACGGAGAGAAGGATCCAACGGTTTGTATGGAAAGGTGTTGCTTGGGCTGTGGGGGGAAGGCCGTCCGCTTGGCCCTTCATATTCTGAGCTCTTCTCAAATGGTTCCTTTTCCAGTGTCTATATCCTATGGGTGTCCTGAGTATGACTCCCCGGTTCCACTTCTTATGAGAAAGGGACGAGGCGTTCAGGACGGCGTGGATGTCGCCTCCTATGATTTCCGCAGTTTTCAGTTAGACGAGGAACTCTTGGAGGTGTGACAAGAGGCGAAGTGCCTTTCCCCTTGTGCGGAAAGAAAGCGTTGTGCATAGTTTCATTGTTAACACCGAAGCCGAAACTCTATCAGAAGGGAGGGAAGGACGGAAGATGTGTTCAGCGTATTAGCTACGCTGCTGCAGTGTTATTGATCCAACCTAGTACCGTTGAGGCAACCGGGGGAGCTGACTGCATGAATCCCACGGTTTGTTTGAATAGCTCCTAAAAGACCGTGATGTCTAGAGCTCGAGACACATTCTCCCCCGCGTAAAAAGTAAGATAGCCCACTATGGGACTCAAGTACTTGGTCTGTGCTGCACTGTCTGCCACAGCGTGCCATTGCACAATAGCTCTGCCTTCGGCTCAGTGACTCACAGAGTTATACAAATACGTGAACATACTGCTGCGCATGTGTTATGCAATAAAAAGAAGGTGGAGGAAGCACAGACCGAAGGCCCTAAAGCCCCAAGCCAATGAGAGAGTCTGTGTTATGGCCATTCTTGTACCGCTGCGCCGAAGCCCCTAGCTATCTGATCAGCGAAGATTTCACGAGATTAACGACTTTAAAGGGTCCGTTTAGCCTATTTTCCCTTTATTTTGAAGTTAATTAATGCACGCTTCGCAGTGAGAGAAGGAGAGGAGAGCGACAGCTCTTCCTACCCTCCTTAGCAGCGTTCTCAGCACTCCTCTCCTTGCATCTCTTTCCTCAGGACGCCGGCCTCGCGCCGCTTTTCCCTGCCTTTTTTGCTGCCGACTTCATCCGCCGGCCTATCATCGCAATCGCGGGAGACGGCGCTCCTTCCTGCCTCCTGCTTTCTTGCTTCGCCACCCTGCTGCAGGTGCTGCATGTGCCCTCTCCACGCCTCCCAGCCCTGAGATCATCTTCAGAGCCTCCCAGTACAGTCCGTCCATCCGCATCTTTGCAGCAACTGCGAGAGTATCCCAGAAGGTCCACCGCACGCAACGGAATCCAGCGGGGCCAGGCGTCGGCTCAAGGTGCGCAGCGCGAGATGAGCGACTTGGCGCTTCGGCGCTCCCTTTCCGAGGACGGAAACTTCGAATCGGAAGCCTTGACGGCCTTGAGCCTCAGTGCGAGCTCTTTAAGGTGCGCGGGGAACGAAGAAGACTCCTGGACCTGCTCGAGCCGTAGGGGCAGCAGCAGCAGCGGCGGCACAGTGAGGGGCCGCCCCCTCATGCATTCGCCTGCTTCAGATAGCCTCCCGAGCTCGCAATCCTCCACAATGCAAGGCATCTTGGCGAGTCGAGAGGCTGAAGGGGGCCGTGCCTCACCTCCTTGCAGGGGCGGGAGCAGTCCTACGTGCAGCAGTTCCGGGGGGAGTGTACGTACAGCGCAGCCCGAGGGTTCGGCGGAGGAGCAGCAGCAGTTGCTTCGGCAGGAGATAGCCTTTAATGCCCTAGGTGAGCAGGTTGCATCTCGCACTTTCTCTCTTTCAAGAAGTTCGCGATCTCCAGGAGCCGCAGGAAGCTTGCCAAGTGTCGAGATCGAGACGCATACCTCGTCAACCAGCAGTGGCAACAGTGGCGTGTGGCTGCCAACTGAAGGGGAGCTACGTGCGCCTCACACAGCGTTGCCTCCGCTGAGTGCCTCAGTGGCTTCGGCAGGAGGAGCACCCCCACTCGCTGCGCCTGGTGGAGGTGTGGGAGCCGGAGGGGGGGGGGGAGCTCTTAGGACTGCCGGCGAGGCGGAGTCTCAGCCCTCCTCTTTTGCATCCGCAGTAAGAGGTGGTCTGGAGCGTCTGATGCGTTTCTCGAACTGGCCGAACAGAGACGCTGGCGGAGGGGGCGTCGCAGCGGAACCGTCATGCGCCATCTCCCTGAGGAATGATTCTGCTGGGGGAGGGGCTGCTGGAAGCCCTCCTGAGGGAGGATCTTTCCCTCAGCAGCGGCTCGGAGTGTATGGGCAGCATGTACAGCCAGAAGTGCCGCCCTTCGGAGTGGCCCACGTGAGCCTGCTGTGCTTGAAGGTAGATCGGTGTACAGCTGTTCGTTCATCTCGGCGTTTTGTGCGCTCCTGCTCTGCCGCTGCGCGCCTGCCTGCCTTTTTTTTGCTCTCTCTTGAGTTGGTGCATGATGCGCCACCCAAGGGAAATCTTCTGCAGAAGCTGCAGCTTTTAACTCGCTCCTTTTGCTGCCGCTCTCGCTTGTCCCCTGCTGCTGCTTACCCACCTCGGCCCTCAGGCGGGGGCTCCTCCTGCCGCGCGTCGTGTGGCTCAACTTCTTAAGCTGCGCGTTGCCTTTTTTCTAGTGGTGTGCGCGCGCGCGCTGAGCATCGCCGAAGACAGGGAAAAACCCTGTGAAGGCGTGCGATTCGGGGAAGGCTGCGTTTGTTTGCAGCCGGAAGTCAGAGCGCACGTGGTGCTCTTGATGGAGCTGCAGCGCATGCGCAACGAATTGCAGCAGCTGCATCAGCAGCAGCGGCAGCCGTCCATCGTCATCCAGAATACAACTGCAGTTGCTGCAAAGGCAGAGGGGCCTCAAGCCACCCAACAGCCAGAAAGGAGTGGATGGGCTCCCCATTGGCTGTCCGTGTAAGCGCCAGGGGGTGGGGGAGGAGGTGACGACACGTGTCTCTTTCTCTCACATGCCCATGCATTTTCCGCTGAGTGTCTGTCTGTCTTGCCCCGCACTGCCTTCGCTTCGAGGTACAGTTTGTTCCGGCTTGCTGTCGGCGTGGGTTGCTCATGTGGCTCGTTGCCGCGGTAGAGGGCTTTTACAGGGGGGTCGTTCTTTCACAGACTTGAACTCGTTGCGTCTGTTGAGTCGCGTAATCTCTGGCTACATGACTGGCCAGCCACTCAGTAGGCCGCTGGGTGTAGGCCATGCGTCGCCTCGGATGTCTGGCTGTGTATCGTGCCGTCTTTCCTAGCGGCATATAGTCAACGACACGACTGCTTTTTATATGCGACGTCTGCCAGACTGCTCCGCTGGCCGTCCTCTATCGCCTTCAGCCCTCACGTGGCTCCATTCTCCCGAGTGTATTTTTATGCCGACCTCTGCACTTTCGTGTGGCGCGTGCACATGGCTCCGCAGGTTTTTCGCTTCGCGGCTGAACCGCTTGCTTTTTGTCTGCGGCGTTGGCGTCAGTTGCTTTATGCTCCTCGAGCACTGGCGGCATTCATGGAGGATGGCGCAATTGAAGGCAAGGGGCCACACACACTCGCGCTTAGGCAGCATCACACGCTGGGTCGTGTCACGTTCGAGTTTTGGTGACTTTCCGCTTTCGAATACCCTCTAGCTCCTTTTGTTACCGTCCTGAGTACATGCCTCACCGGCATGCTCTCCGAGCCGCTTCTACCCGACTGCCCCTCTGAGCTGCATCGTGCCACTGGGCCCAGTTCTCATGTGTAGCAGCACGTGCCTGCCTGCCTCTCCCTACTTCTTAAGTGCTCCTCTGTATATCTTATGTAGAGTGGGCTGCACAAACCCCTCTCTTCAGAGGTCCTCGTGTACCTGCCTTTCTGTGGCTTTGCGGCAGCGGCGAATGGACGCCAATTTGCTCCTCCGTGGATTCCAGTTGCTAGAGGAGTCTCTTGGACTACGGCGCTAGTAGACGGTACTGCAAACCATGTTGTCAGGGGTGCTGCCAGCTAGGCAGCCAGTTGACTGCTGCCACTGCCATGTGCTTGCTCGCGACACGCTACAGCTGTGGCAGCTGCTGCACTCGTTGTCGCAGCAGCTTGCTTGCTGGGTGCTGCTGCTGGCAAGCGGTCCTAGACAGCTGCCGCGGGGGGTCGATGACCCCGCAGCGAAAAAGCGGCAACCTCTAGGGCGGAGCCAGTCGGTACTCGCGGCAGCCGTATTGGTCACGACAAGCAGTGGCGTCACTGACAACTGTCGCTGCTGCACATGCGACTCGACTGCGCATCTGTTCCGAGGCGGGAAGCCGCCAGGAAACGTAGTTATGTTTCGTTAGCAAACCACGGGGTCAGGTGGCTCACACGTCTGGCACAGGTCGGGGTGGCGGTGGGCTAAGGAGGGGGTGCACAGCGGTAGCTAGCGGCAGGCTATGAAAAAGCAACATCGTGCGAAGCAGGCCACACTGCTCAGTCTCCCCGTCACGCATGCGCACATGCCGCAACTGCATTTGCAAGCGTTGTCGCTGGTACTACTCATATGTGGCGCGCTGCAACTCGCGAGAGGACAGCTGCGTGAATTCCCCCCGGAAGCAGCATTTCTGCATCACTAATGCCGAAAAGCTGTTGGTGGTGGGCGTACTGTAGCTGCCGCTGGGATCCCCAAATCCCACTGAATGATGAGCCTCCGAGACAAGTGTTTTTTCCCTGGATCTGCTGCAACACGCGCAGCAAGATTTGCTGCCGCAGCTGCTCTTCCGCCGCTACGGCTTCCGATGCATCCGTTGCTGTCACCGCTGTTGCGCGTTGGGCTTCAAGCTGCTGCCGCATGGCGCCACTTGAAAGCAGCAAGCAGCCCGCGTTCAGAGGCAGGAAGGGCCTTCTCCTTGGGGTGTTCCGACTGCCGCAGCACGAGCAGCCGTCCGCACACGTCATATCACTGAATCCAACAACGAGAAGCTTAGTGGTTGATTGCTGTATGCCAAATCGCTGCATGGCGGCAGATATGTTGCCGCTGCCAGACAGGCTGTACAGACATTCTGCGAAGAAGCTTTTCGTCTTAGTCCTTCCGCTGCTAAGGCTGCCAAGGCACCGCAGTAGCGCCACCTGCAGGTGCTCCAGGGATACCACGGAGCATGCATTTAACAGCAGAAACCCCCCCACACGACAGCTGCGCCACACTGCAGGATCTACCGAGGGAGAAAAAGAGCCCGAAAGCAAGCTGTGAAAGGGAGTTGACGCTGCATCCTTGAGGTTGCTGCTGCTGCTGGGGCTTTCAGTTATCCTGCTGTCTCTACGGCTCACGTCGAGCTTGCTAGCTTGCTGCTTTTGTTGCTGCTCGTCTGGCTGGCTTTCCTGCAGATCTGATGGCTGTTGTGGTTGCTGCTTCGGCGGCATAACGAGCAAATCCATAAGCTCACGTGCGTTTTTTACATCGGCAAAGAGGAAGATGTCAAGTGCAAAGCGTGGGAAGAGAGGAGCTAGGGATGCAGACCATCCTTTATACCCGTGGAAGGTCGCTTCGGAACTCACGCCCACTTTGCAGCAGCGGCAGCAGTGCGTGCCGTCGTCGTTGCTCATTGTTGCACAGCCGCTTTTACGCTGCAGAAAAATAAGAACGGTGGGTTTCCCTATGAGGGGGCAGCGGCGGTGCCAGCGCAGGCCCCCTCGCGCTCTTCCGGTGTATCCCCTCGAGACCCTCAAAATCCCTCTAAAAACACTTGAAATGACCAATGCAAATAAAGGGGAATGGTGAAAATCCGTTCTCCGAAGATATTTCAATGGCGCCTAGGGAGCCTCGGCTGCAGGCTCCTGCTGCGCCTTCTGCATGCAGGCGCTGCCAACCCGAAGAGCAGGCAGGCAGGGCACATGCGCACAAGTCTCGGGTGGCATTTGCTGCACAGGCAGGGCCTTTGGCACCAGCACTTTCTGTGCTGCAGGGAGGCCTTCGCTATTGAAAGGCGCTCCTGCATCCTCCGGAGCGGCAGAGGCTGCAAGAGCGACCACTGGCGGAGTCGCATGTGGGTGGGTAGCCTTCGACCCTTGCCTGCTCAATCGGACGTGCCACTGCAGGAGCCGTCGTTGCAGGTGCAGTGGGAGCTGCAACACTGCAGGCTACGCGCCCTCCGCCCCCCTTCCCCCCTGCAGGAGCAGCGCAGATTCCGCTGTGTTGGTGGACATACACCTGCGAGCTCAGCTGTCTGCAGTATTTGGGCAGCACACGAGGCCGCATCAGCATCAGCGCAGACTCTAAAAGAGCTGCTCTTAACTGCACCGCTGTGCGGGCCGAGGCATGCCAGCTGCCCCCGAATGCCGAGCTTCTGCAAGCAGGCTCCTTCTGCTGCTGCTGCTGCAGCAGGAACAGAAGGAGCAGAAGCAGCCGTTTTGGGTGATGAGCAAACTGCCCAACTCGGAAGAACAGCCCATGGAAGCGACGTTCCCGCACTTGGTGCTGCTGCTGCTCGTGCAGCGGCGTCTTGTAGCGGCGAAGCCAAGAAGCAGGGGCGTCCTATCAGTGCGTCAGCGAATGCAGCAGCACCGACCAGCAACGCGTTTGGAAGTCTTGCAGCAGGAAGCCTTGCTGCCCCACACAGTGAGGCAGCCGCAGCGGCGCTAGCAGGAGGGCACTGCTGTTACTGCGGGGGCAGTTGTTTTGATCTGAGTGCATGTGCACCAGCAGCAGCCGCCGCTGCTGCAGCCGTAAATGTCGCGCTGCTCCGCTGCAGCAGCATCCTGGCTCAGTTGCAGCTAATACCTTGCTGCTGCAGACTCCCGCTTCATGCATTAACAGACGCCATCGAGTTAGGAAACCTCCATCGCCTCATCGCATCAGTTGCAAGCAATAAGGCCCCTTCTCAAGCTGCTGACGACAGCAACAGCACCAGCAACACCAGCAACACCAGCAGCAACGCCGGAACGTCCACCCTCTCCGGCGCTAGACGCACATCAGGTAGCAGTAAGCGGAAGATGCATGCAAGCGACAATGGCGGCAGCACCCCCGCAGATGCCAGCAACACCAGCACCACTGCAGACACCAGCAACAACAGCACTGTAGACGATTGCCGGCGACAACAGGGCCAAGAAGATCCACAAACGCCACAGCAACAAGAGCAAGAGCAACAGCGAGAGCAACAAGAGCAGCAACAACAACACAAAGAACAACAAGAGCAACAAGAACGACAACAAGAGCAACAAGAACGACAACAAGAGCATCAGCAACAAGCAGAGCAACAGCAACAGCAACAAGAACAACATTCCCAACGAGAGTCGCATCAACAGCCTGTTTCGTCTCCCGTGTGTGGTAGGCGTTTAGCAATTCCAGCTCCCCTGCAGCGCCACCAGGCACTGCAGCAGCTGCGGGGTGGTCTGCGAGCTGCCGTTACAGATGCGGCCAGTGAGGGCATCTTGTTGTATTTTTTCTCGCCTTGCATCAGCAGCGCGAGTGGCAGCAACGCCGCCGGGAGCAGCGGCAGTGGCAGTGGGGAAGGCGGGGGGAGTAGCGGTGCCTTCGTGCTGCGCTGCGGCTTGCTGTTGGAGTATATTGGCGATGGAGATGCCTGCCTGTCTTGGGCGTTCGTGGCGCGTGGGCTTTCAGCTGCAGCAGAGAAGCAGCTGCTGCTGCTTTTGTTGTTGTGCGCCACGGGAATCTTCCTTAGAGACATGCCCTATTCCACTAGCGTGGACGTGCGAAAAGCCCTCCTCCCACACCGTCTCCCGCTGATGCCGTCGCTGGTGTACAGCCAGCTGCTCTTGGAGCAGCAACTGCTGACGTCGCTGCTGCAGCAGCAGTGCAGCATCGTTTTCGCCGCCGCTCCTCCGCCCCCCGTCGCCACCTCTGCTGGCGTCGCTGCAGAGCCACCACTCCAAGCAGGGGACGCGAAGCGAGAAAGGCGACTTTCCGCATTGCAGCAGAAGCAGGCAGGAGCCGAGGCGGAGGTGGAGGCGGAGGCAAAGGCGGCTCCAGCAGGAAAAGCGCCAGTCGCAGCAGCGGCGAAACAAACAGCAGCAGCACCCATGTCACGTGCGGCAGACACGAGTCTCCTAGGCTGCGTTCCCTTGCGTCCATTGAATCTGAGATGCCGCCTTACGGTGGACTCTAGCGATCTGCTGCTCTGCCCCCGTCCGCTGCTGCTGCTGCTGCAAGAGGCACCCTTCAACCGCCTTGTGCTGCACAGAGAGCCAGACTCTCCCGAGACAGAAGCAGCCGAAGCCCTTAGGGAGGCTGCTGCTGCTGCGGCGGAGGCAGGCGCCACTTCGCGGAAGCGGTGCAGCAACAGCAGCCGCAGCTGCAGCAGGCGCTTCAGGAGGAGCAGCGGCAGCAAAAGCACTCCTGAAGCTGGCGCTCGGACCTCCTCTCCTGCGCAGCAAGCGCAGGAGGAAGAAGCGCGCCTTAGGGCAGCCTCCCTTGCTGCTGCAGGGTTGACGGCTGACGGCCTTGTTATGCACGACAACTTGAGGGATGCCTCTCGGTGCTGCTGCATGCGGCAGCAACACTGGGTTAGACGCATTGCTATTCTGGATGCCCCAGAACTCGCTCTGAAGATCATTCCGGAGCTCCTGGATCTCCAGCGACAGGAGCAGCCGAAAGAGCGTCACCCGCAGCAGCAGATGCCCGAGCAGCATCCGCAGCAGCAGCAAGCGCTTCCGGAAGTGCAGCCGTCGCAGCAGCAACAGCAGACAAAGTCGATTGGATGGTCTCCTTCTTTAGAGTTGCAGCGGGAGTTGCAGCAGCTGCAGCAGCAGGAGCAGCAATCCTGTTTTTTTAGCAGCCGCGCGGCGCCACAAGGATGTGCAAGGGTATGTGAGGAGCTGCTGCGGATAGACGGCACCCACAAGCACTTTAAGAGATTTAGGCGCATGCTGAGGGAATTTCACATGCCCCAAGCGGCGTGCACTACGCCTGAGGGGGCGGGTATGAAGGGAGACGAAGGGAGTCAGTGCGGCTCAACGGGAGCCGCAGGTGAGGCAGGGGTAGAGGACAAGTATGTCCCATAGGGGGAGGATAACTACTAGGGATTTGATGGTTTTTACCAGAGGCAAAAGGGTGTGGAACCGTTTGCAGGCTTTTTGAGAAGGAGCATAACATGGCAGTACGCTATGTCTGAACTCTACTTGCTCAGTTGGCACAATCGTGACTTTTCGCTTGTTGCTGCCCTCGCCTCAAATTTGTACAGAGCAGGGAAAGTCAGTGGGTTAGGGGACCATTGGAAAGTTACTAGACAAAAACTAAGGGCAGAATGAGGCACATCTTCGTGGTTGTCTGTTTGTTTGCCTCTCTTCTTGACATCCTTCCTTCCCTTAAGGGACTGCAGCAGATCACAGTATTCATGCCATGCAGTTTAGCTCTCTCTCGAATGCAAGGTGCCTCTATAACTTCCGGCGCACTCTGTGTCCTGTCTTCTAATTGAATAGCGAAGCAGGTAACGTCTTGTAGGAGGTGTCTCCCTCGGCCTGAGTCGTTTCTGCCCGCAGGCAAAGCCCTCTCCATCTCGATAGGGCGACGTGAAAAGAGTAAGGGGATAATTCATGGAGGGATGCACAGAAAACTATATGCACTATGCAAGAGATATGGAAACGACGCGTGCAGCAGGGAGGGAGGTCTGCTGAGAAGCCCAGAGGCTGTGTGGGTCAGCGCAACAAGCAGAGCTCTTAGCCTAGGTTATTACTAATAATCGCAGAAGAACTACATCGATCTGCCATTTGAGTACAGCAGGAGCGTCGCTGCAACTGCATGCGTGCTGTATTCCAGCTCCTACCACCAGGCCTTTCAAACATTAAGGGTGGCAATACGAGCGAGGAATACGTGCGTGCTGGAGAAGGGTATCAATAGGCAGCCACTCCAGCAGAAGATGGTGGGCCTCAGTGCACCTTCAACACAGTTTGACCTAAGCCGCATTGCACATGTGCTCTCTTTGGTAGCCGTTTTCACAACGGGGTCGCTTGTTCCTTTGGAAGAAAGGGATGAGCTATATAAAGGTTCAGCGGCCGCTGGACACTGGAATAGGGGCCTTACAAGATCAATAGAAAGGCGAACTTGTAGTGTTTGCTGAAGTGTGCCGCCACCTCAAAGGGCCTTCAGCTTCCGGATTTATTTTGGCAAGCCTGAGCTGCCTGCCGCGTGGGCACAGGAGGAGCAGAGCAAGCCAGACAACATTTTTCTGCATGCTATAATCGCCTATGACTAGCTCGATATAGTCGCAGCTAGCTGTCGGTAGGGATTGCGGAAGTGTTCACTAAATTAAGATATTCGCATGTGTGCAAAAGGTTTCGCCGATGGTCCTCCACGGTTTTACTGTCTCTGCCATATTGGCCGCAAGCAGCTTATGATTGCAGCATTCTAAGCGGCAAAGAAACAGAGCGCATCTTGTTATCAGCAGTGAAGAAGTGACATGGCGTACTGTGGGCTACATGCCTGCGCATTAGCGAATGCAGTGACACCTCTCCTGCCCCACACGCACCATGGGTTTTCCCATGAGAACTTTAATTTTTATTTTTCGCTAGCTTATATTGATGCGTTTTTGTCTTCCCTGGCATAAATGAATCACCATTGGGTATGGGGTGGACGCATGGTGTCCTACACCCCAGGGTCACCCCCTCTCTGGGGCCGCCCTCCCATTAGATTTCGTGCATGTGCTCACGCTGCTGCATAAATCTCCCTTTAATTCATTGCCATTATAGGCATAGCTATAATATGAGACCACCTATTCTCCTAACCTGTGGATGTGTATAGAACTGGGCACAGGCTCAACGGCGAAATACCCCATCGGCGGCGCAGTGGTATTCTCCTGCTGTTTCATGGCACTTTCTTCGAATTCTCTGTTCCTTGCTGATGTGACCCCGCTCCGATTAGACTATTGGCCCCAAATAGAGAATATTATCTCTCATCCTAGAGGCGTCAAACGTGATCCGTGCTGTAAATGCACACCAGGAAGGTCGAGGTTAGCAAAAGGCTTTACTCGTACTGTTTCACTAGTCCCTGCTTCGCTGCTACCACCAGCATCAGTGCTTCCAGCTACATTCTTCCTCTCTCACTAATTCCCCTTTCGGCTGTGCTGTCACTTTTGCTGGCTCATGCTGTCTGCTGCTGCCGTCAGAATTTTCCACCTCCTATCTTTCCCACCTACGCAGTTTCATTCATTAAGCTCTGCTGATTAAAGTATTCGAGGAGGCGCTGACAGCTTGCAGACAGGTGTAACCGTCATTCAGCAGGAAGAGTTGTTGCCGCGCGCCATCTTTTACTACCCTCTTAGATCCTGCGAACGATGGCTAGCCATGGCATGGTTCCGGGGCCGATCCCCGAGCCTACATATAGGATGGCTCCTTCAGAGGATGAAAAATTTTATCCCTCGCGCATAGAGGAGTTGATACACTCGGTCTGCGCAGATTTCTTTCGAGACAAAGTAGAATATGATGCCTCAATGGCTGAGGAGTGGTCTCAGTCCCTGTCCTCTCGGCTCCTCAGCGCCGTTACCCAGACGCAGCACGTGCCGCGCTATAAGCTCATCGTGCAGGTCACTATTTTACAGGAAAATGGCCAGGGCGTTACGATTTCTAGCAAAAGCCTTTGCGACGTCTCTTTCGACAGCTGGGCCTCTTGCACATTTAGGACGAAGGCTCTTGTGTGTTCGGCTATGGTTTTTGGTTTTTATCACGAATAGAAACTGGTTCACCACTAAACAATCTTGCAAGACCCCGTTTTAGACTCCCAGAAGGGCCCTGTGGCACCCATCCAGAGGTGGAAGCACAGCATGCAAAAAAAAAAGACTGGAGAGACGGGCGACAGCCCCCCATTCAACCCAAAGTGACCAGAGACGTGGCAGGTCCTAGAGTCATAGAATTGTCTACAGGGAACGCAAAAAGCGACGAAGGACGGTCCGCCCAGCAGTTGGACAGCTCACCAGAGGCCGTTGCAGAGGAAGTGCGAGGGTCACCACTCAACGCACGGTGGTTGAGTTCTCGCGTTCCTCTGGCAACCAGGCTGCATTGCGTGACTAGGCCTGTTGTAGGCAGGTAGCGAGCTAGCTAGTCAAGGGACAAAGGGAGGAGGAGCGGCAAGCCTACTGGCCTGAAGAGGCGTTCAAGCAAGCAGCGCTGAACGACCAACTATTGGTGCTCTTACGAGGAGGCCGTAGGAGGAGGCGGGGGAGCACGAGAAGAGGGCCCCTCCCCAGAAGGAGGAAGCTTCGGCCTGATGACCGACTTTGCCCGTTCCCGAGGCGTTGCCGGGGCCTTTCCCCTCGCTGCAAAAAATCACAAGAAGATCACGAAAGGCACCCGACGACTGCTCGTGCTTTGCTGCCAGCGCTGCTCTGGCGCATTCTACCGGCAACAGCAACACAGTAGGAGGCGAGCTGTGATGGGAATCACGTTTCTGTTGGGCGCCTTAAAGCCCCGAAGCGAGTTCATCGCGCCAAGAGCACGACACCAACACGCCACTAGAAAGATGTGCTGCGAGGCCTCGCGCGACGGTTACAGGAGCTCAAAGACGCAGTGTGAAACAGGAGCACAGGATTTCTGGCACACACGTAGACCGACCGCTACGATGAGTCAAGCGCAAAGCAGAGAGAGAAACAGCTGGCATGGCCAGAAGGCCCCCAGAAACGAGGGGGCCCCCTTCCTTCCTGTGTTTTCCCCCGCCACCCCAGCTCACTCTTCGCCATAAGGCCCTGAAAGAAATTCTGCAAGGAGTCCGAGTCGGCGGGATTATCGAGACCCTCAACACTCCGTACCGAGCCCGAAGTGAGCGCCACGCTTCCCTTCTGCAGGGGGGCCCCCCTCACAGATCCAAGAGCTCGTGAGGCGCTCTGACCTAACGCGCGCGAGGGTAACACACGAGCCTCAGGGCCCCCCTGTGGGGCCCCTACACTCAGGGCTGGTACCGAACCGAGAGTCTCCGCGTCACCGCTGGCGGCGTCGGCTGGCAGGTTCTGCGCGAAAAGCAGCACTCACGGAGCCTTGTACATACCCACACGTTGGTGGCAGAAAAGCGAAAGCAAGACCCCCCGTCTACAGGCAATCGATATACACAGGAAAGGAAATTAGGATGTGCCATAAGTCCCTTCTTGCTTCTAGATGTGCCGTAATACTTGTTGCGTCTTACCAACCGCACTTCCTTGGATGTTCTCCGCTGTGCCTGTTGGGGGGGCCCTGCGGCGTCTCCAAGGGGAACTTTCTGCGATGCTGCCTGCTGTGTTGCTGCCGGGGATTTCATCGCCACTATGGCGCTGGGGTGCCTCTGTTGCAGCTCACCAAGAAAGGCTGCCATTTTCTGCAAGGGAACGCGGGGGTTGTATGCAGGAGAAGTGCTGCTCTGGCGCACACGCATCAACGGGGCAAGCGGCACAAAAGCAGAATTGCAAATCAAATGACAAAACACACTTATTGCGGCAACGGAACGAGCACATCCTTTAAGAACATAATAGTGTTTTAGAGCCGTCAGGCAAAGGATGACAGGGCACGCGCCAATCAACCCCATAGACAGATGGGCAGAGAAAGACAAGGATAGGCAGTGTAGTAAAGAAGGGTTGGAGGGCCTCACTCTCCTGCCAGGAGGGCTGCGACTGATGAAGGACTCGTAGGGTTGCTGCACACAGATGCCACACCACCTTTATCGCCCTAGAGACAGCAGAAAGCAGCAGCATCCGTAGGAACCAGCGATATGGCAACACTCGCCAGTGTGGGAGCGCTTATGTTCTCACGTCGAACGACTCCGCGGGTGTCTTGGCGATGAGAGATCTGAAGGTAAATCGAACCTGTTGCAGCCGAGCCCATCATCGGCAGGCAGTTCAAAAGGTAGTGAAGGGCAGGTGTGAGGCCTTTGCGCGCACGAGGGGCCAATGGAAGAATCGCCAACGATGTAAGGATGAGTCACTCTAAAGAAATAATCATGCAGGAGGAAGAGGGGTGTCTCACCTGAGCTCTGCCTCTGTATCCCAGCCTGCTGGGACAAAGAGCCGCTCCGCCTCCTCCAACTGGGCAGACTCCCTAGAGCGCAATGCGTGAGAGATACAGAGGGAGGCAGAATAGCGATGGAAGGGTGTTCGAGGAAGGTAAGAGCTGTCTAGAGGTGTACCCGAGAAGAGTCTTCATGAAGCGGTACAAAGAGAAGGCATCAGAGGGCCTCTCAAGGCAGAGGAAAGAACACACTACACGAAACTAAGTAGGAGCACGATGGCAGTCTCTGATGACACCGGCTGCTGACCTGAAGGGATATCCATAGATCCGATGCATCATGTAGCGATACAGCAAATACACATTAAGGGGCCTGCACAACGAGACAAGTAGACAGGAAGCCACGAGATCGTGTGGGCTTTCTATGAAGGCACAAACAGCCGAACACCTGCTGCCAGGCGAGCAGAAGAGCAATAGCCACGGAGAGATATACACACTGCTGTCGCTAGAGGGGCTGATCCATGTCGTGCAGAAACAGCAGCTAGCACTTCGATGAAGGCATGCACACATGCATGAACAGGTCAGCCTCCAAACACACATATGTGTGCATCAATACAGGGTCGAGTGTGCAACACAAATTGAGACAAGCGAAGGCTAGGCTTGCGAGAGAGAGAGAAAGAGAGAGAGGGGAAGAAAGTGAGAAAGAGAGAGAGAGAAAGAAAGAAAGAGAGAGAGAGAGAAAGAAAGACGGCGGCACCTGCTCTCTTGTTTGCAACTCGTTAGGAAGAGGGCAGCGCCCGCGTTCATGCAAGCGAAGCGCAAGAACAGCAGGAAAATTTCCAAGGCACTCGGATTTTCTCTCGTCGTAAGCGAAGACGCTGCATCTGACCGCGTTACTACAACAGTGACGGGCACTGCAGACGCTGCACCCGCACTCCCTTGCAGAGCAGCCACAGAGGGCGGTGCCTGCACACAAAAAAACGAGGCCAAGGTACACCCTACACAGAAGCACGCTGTGTTGATGACACCTGTGCTTAGAATGCTTGGTAGGGTCAAGACCATGGAGAGAAGTGCGCGCCTTTGCGCAGGAACGGCACGCCTACGATCTCTGAACAAAGTATTCCATCTTTGGGTTATACATGTCTTCACATAGATATCATGCTGCCTCCCCCCGTTTACCTCGTCAATATTTTCGATCTTGGCGTCTGTGGGGCCTCTGGAGAGGAAGTGGTGCAAGCAGTTGGCTCTGTAGGTTGATATATAACTGAGCACTGCACAGGCAGGCAAAGTCAAGGAGCGGCACAGACGGAAGCATACACCCCGACGGCGAGAGACCGTGAAAAGGCCACATATGCATCCTTCTCTTGCCTTCCACCTCGTAATGTGCCTTCGTGAATAGAAGAAAAAGGCACAAGACAGCGAAGCTTTACGGAAGGAGCAAGCAGAGGAAAATACGCGTTTGCCTCACTATCTGTGCGACGGTATCAATATCGGCACGCATATTTACCAATGCACATAAAACTAAATACATCCTCCCTTCCCTCCGTTTTTTTCCTATTCTGCAGCTAAAACGTATCGGTCCAAGCCCCTCGGCAACGCCGCACATGATTGCATGTGCCCCTGGTGCCTCCTTTTGCAAATGAGTACATGCGCCTCTGTGGTATATCCGTCTCGCTATATTTGAGCAAGCAGTTTAGCCAGCGTCCTACTTTTGTTGTTTATCTGCTTCTGATCCTCGGGGGTTTGCTGCTGCATGAGCCTTTGGACTATCTTATCCGCGACGCGAAGCCACGCGCGAAGGGCAGACAACGCCCCCCACGCTTGCAGGAGGTCCAGGCAAACGAGGATCGAAAGGTGTGGAAGGCAAGATGGAGGCAGACGGGCTGCCACCGATTCCCTGTGAAGCAAAAGAGAAGGCGTATATACAGCCTAGCGCGTTAGCGGGGGGGAGGGGAGGGAAGACACATATGCAGAGACATGAGGCCACAGAAAACAGTAGAAAAAAGCAGTTAGGAAAAGAGGGAAATAGGGAGGGCGGGATAGTATCGTAAGAGAAAGCCTCGATGTATGAGGATACGATTTAGGTAGGGGAAATCAGCGAAACGAGAAGTTCAGGCGCCTCGTGCACGCGTAGAAAGCAGCACACACGCACCCCGACATCCACAGATGGCGACCGAATAAGCAGTAGGCAAACACGAAACGAAACCAGAGAAGCACGGATTTTTTCTCAGCTTTACCATGCATATGGATCTTGGAGAATCCAGACATTCGCCTTCGTCTCTACATCGGCTGCTGCCTCTTCCTCCTCTTCAAAGAGGCAGCGAACTCCCAGATATGCAAAATCCAGCTCGGCAACGCCTCCTGTGTCTGAGAGAAGCTCCGTCTCCGAGAGAGGCGCAGGAGAGCCAATCTGCTGCAGCCGACGCAACAAGGAGGTCTTGCCTACATCTTCGGCACCTGGAAAAGATAGGGCATAGACATTTGAGAGAGAGAGAGAGAGAAAGCGTGTATGTGTATGTGTGTGTGGCAGAGAGAGAGAGACAGATAGATACATACACAGATAGATACATACACACATAGATGGATACATACATAGATGGATACATACATAGATGGATACATACATACATAGACAGATGCATATATATATATATATATATATAGAGAGAGAGAGAGAGAGACAGAGAGAGACTGCTTCCGCCCCTCGTGCACCGGAATCTAAAAAGGGCTTAAAAGAGAGATGCCAGGGAAGTCGAGACACTGAAGTCCACCTACAGCAGGCGTACCGAGGAGGATAACATAGCCGCACGGTGCTTGCGGATTTTTGGCCCTTGCCCCCCGGAGAACTTGCTGCCAGATTCCCCCGCTGCCTTTCACCTCCAAAACAGCGCCTCCAGCTTTCGTGGATTTCTGGAGCTGGGAGGCGCCTGCCACGCTAGAGTCTCCCTTAACGGACTCTTGTTTCAAGGCAGAGCTTTTGTCTGCTGCCTGCCCTCCCCGGCCCTTCAAAGAGGTCACTGCACCCGGTGACAACAGCTTTGTCTGGAGGGATCCAGACATTCCGCGCTTAGAGAGGGGGGGTATCTGAGGAACCCCTGTGAGCCCTTCAGGAGGCGCTTCTCCACCACTGCGAGCGCGAGGAGCCTCAAGAGTAGATTTATCAGGGGGCGCCGCAGTCGCTTCAGCTTTTGATCCCCCTGCCTTGGCACTGCCCTCGCTAGCTTCCGGCGACTCCTCCTTCACTCCTCCCCCTGAGATCCCTTCTTGCGGTGACACCATATCCCCCTTCTCGCATTCCGCAGTCAGCTCTTGCTCAGAGACCCCCGCTGGACTCGCTGGCACCTCAGGGGCCTCGACGGCTGCCGGAGACTCCGTGTCGTTTTGTACGTCAGCCATTTGCTACGGGAAGCTGACTTGCAGCATTGATATGCACGGCTGGCGAGGGCGGAGAGTGGCGGTGCGCCACGGAAGGGCGGAGAGAGAGAGGAGCGAACAGGGGTTTTTACAATGTAACCACAAACCGGTTCAGCACCATAAAAAAAAGAATTGTTATTCAACAGAAATAAACAGGAAAAGGAGGCGAGGGAACAAGGGGGGCCCCAGCAGCGCTCAAAACGGACCACAGAGCACAGCGGCGCTGTCTGCTACACAAAGGGGGCCCCTTGCAGGGGCCACTTGTGGGCTATAAGAACAAGTAAAGGAATTAACAAGTAGTCTTAAACTTTGGATAAATGGAGAAGAAGACAAGGAGAAGGGCCCAAGAAGGCAAAGCCCGTTCGCGCGCGCAATACTGGACAGTTGTTTGTGTGCGAGGCTCAGTCGACTTGCCCACCCTGGATGCAGTCATACGCCTCCAGATAAGGTAGCTTTAGTAGCTAGAAACACCTAGCAAATCGGTAAGAGCGTCCACTGACGATTTCTTTTTAGGTTTTCCTGAGTCCCCACCCGTTTACTGGCCTATGAATAGAGTACCTGTAATTAGCTAAAAAGTAGAGAGACGAGGTGGCCACCCGTTAGTGATCCACAGCTTGTACTCAGCATCGAGCCGTACACACATTACGATTCCTGCCAAGTCAGCATGCGGAAAACGCATTTAATATCCCCCTCAAACTCTCCCAGAATGCAGCAGCGGCCCCTGATGTGCTGCCTTCCTCCGCTTGGAGGCACCGGTAACACGAAGCCCAGCAATGCATACCTGAAGAACCTGTGGCCGTGAGAGTGAACGAATGAGAAAACCCACTTCTTCATTTCCTTTTAGGAGCCACTGCAGTCCACATTCTTGCTTGCCCCCAGAATCCGCCCTGCAATCTACCCACCAGGGCTGCTTCCCGTTTACATCACTGCTCTCGCAGTATACGGGCAGAAATAGACCTTCTTTTACAGGTCTGCTCGTAGAAATGCAAGACCGCTGGCTCAGTTGCACCATTCACGTAAAGACTTTGTGATTTTTAGGAACTGGCCGGCCGAGGCGTTTGTGGTCTAGTGGTAGAATACCTCGTTGCCATCGAGGTGACCCGGGTTCGATTCCCGGCAGACGCAGTTTTGACACCGAGTTGTGCCTTCCCGTACTTCTGGAGGCGAAGGCGCGAGCCTTCTTCGTGCATGCGATTCCTCAAAATGCGCTTTCTACAAACTGGGAGAAAGCCCTGTGGGGTAGAGGGCTGCGAACGTCTCTTCACATTTACTGGGACTGGCTGAATCACTTTACGTCTTTCTAAATATAGCAAAGCGGAAGGCTGCCTTGCACCAAATCACAAAGCTCACATGTAAACTTCGTCATGTTGGCAACTCCTCAGTGGTTTCCTATTTGCGTCTGTCTTTGACAGCCGTGCAGGTGCATAGACACCCCAAAAATGGCTGCATTGCAAAGCTGATAATGCACCAGGTCGTACAGCTGTGGCTCGTCTAAGACATTGTGTCAGTATGAAAGCTCTCCCCTCACACAGAAAGTCCGTGTTCCAATTCTTGCACTGTTCTGACACTGAAACTAGCACAGTTGAAGGTGCCACCCAGTGGCTCGTTGAGAAGCAACAAGCCAGACAAGCATGCTGCCACCAAACGCGAATAATTCGCGATAACATAACACAAAAGGAAAAAGATGCACAATAGCAGAAGAAAAAAAGAAGCAGCGGACCTGAGGACAGCGAAGATGGGGGGGACGCGTGCAAATCGCGTGCATGACGCAGCGAGAGACGAATTCTGATATAAGCTACAGCAGCTCCAGTCGCTCGAACCTCAACAAACAAGCCTTGCAGTCACTCTTAAGGGGTGTTCCTGCCTCGACAGCCCCTTGCTGCTCGTGCTGGTGCCAGTGCTGCTAGCGTTCTTGCTGTTGAAGACGCTGCTGCTGCTCCTATTGCTCGTGCTGCCAGCTAGACATTCAGGTTGCTACCCTCTACTGGGTGTTGTGAATCTTGTTAGCTCTCGCACCTTGTGCCTGAGCTGCTGCCGCTTTGGGAGCCGCAGGAGGAGTGGTAGTTGCGTTAGGGGTGGTGGGGTTTGTCGCGAAGAAGAACTGCGTGCACACGAGTTGCTGCTGCAGAAGTTGCTGAAGAGGGCCCCCTTCCCCTAAGGCCTGCTGCCACGTGGGATGTCTCTCCTGAAAGGCTTCAGCCGCAAACTGGTTGAATCTTACGAAAGATGGCATTCCCCTGTTACCCGGCAGGCCCTTCCAGTCCGCTGCTGCTGCTACCCCGAAGGGGCACATCACTGAGCTGTTGCTATCTCCTGTTTCGCTATCTCCTGTTTCCGTTGCTGCGGTTAATGGAGCAGCGAAATCTGGAGATGCATGCTGTTTGACGAAATGTTGCTGCTGCTGCAATAGCTGAAGCAATTGCTGGAGCTCCCTGCCGTTACGATTGAGGGGCAACCCTCTCTGAATAAACTCTGTACCTGATGGGAGATTGAGTCTGGTCCAAACGTCCCGAAGGGCCCCAAGAAGTTTGTGGCAATCATCCCGTGAGTGGAGCGGTGATGGCGTGATTCGCAGACGCTCAGATCCTCTAGGGACAGTCGGATAGTTGATTGGCTGAATGTAAATCTGTGCAAAGCCAAAACGGAAACCAGAAAAGCCGCACTGCTTACGCGCTTAAGACACCACGACCCACCTTCAAGAGCGCGGCGATATAGTGGAACAAGCAGAAAAGAAGGCTCCCAAACGCAGCAACGCGAACAAGTACCCATAATAACAACCCCACCAGCAGCAGCGCCAAATAAATCATGTCGGGTGCCGCCGCTGCAGCACGAGCGACTAGAACACACCTGATATTCGTTCAATAGTATATCTGTGGCTTCCTTGCACTTCCTTGCGTCCCCTACAAGGAGTGGGACGATGTGGGAAGAATTGAAGAGGAGAGGGAGGTCGTGGAGTAGCAGCAGTGATTTCAGCTCGCTGGCCCGTAGTTGTTGCAAGTATCGCTCTACACTGCGATGAAGGGGCATCAACAAAGTAGGAAAGGCCAGCATCAGAGCTACGGCTTTGCTAGTCTGCCTGAGGTGGGGAGGCTCCGGAAGGCAAATTGCGGCGCAGGGAATAGGCGGAAGGTAGGGGAGAATGGAAACAGAGCGTCACTTTAACAGCAAGGCCGACGAGGAGAGGAATTATACACAGATCACAGCAAGAAACAAATCAAAACTGACTTGGAATGTTTGAGGTATTTGATAGACGCTGTCGCTGCAGCCGTTACTGAGGGCGGTAAGGAGGAGGTGAAGATGAAACCGCCTACAGCATAACGCCGAAGCCGGAGATCCGTAAAACACTAGGACTACACCGAACAGGACGCTTCTGAAAAAAATGGCATTTCTATGTTCGAAAGACGTTTGCTCTGCTGTAGTATTATGAGTTTTAGGGCATACGCATACCCGCATACGAGCGAATGCAGTCAATGAGGTTAGCATCACCAGCGACATATCCGCCAAAGACCCCCACCGCCTTGGCCAGCGTCCCTACAAGAAATAGCAGCCAAAAAGTAAGTGAGATACTGAGGCATGCAAGCAAACTGAGAGTAAAAATGGAGGGGTGACACGAAAGGGCACGTATGCATCTCGACGTAGGAGGACACTGTGTGCATGTATGTGTGTGTGTGTAGAGTGGTAGCTCGAAAGTGGAAGATGAAAGTAGCCAGTATCTTACCATTTATCAAATTAATCCGGTGTGATTGACCCAAATGCTGTGCAACGCCCGCTCCCCGATGACCGTACATTCCGACGGCATGCACTTCATCAATATATGTCAGACAGTTGAATTCTTCTGCGAGGTCGCAGATACCTTTTATGGGGGCAATGGAACCATCCATCGAATAGATACTTTCAAAAACAATAACGCGGGGTCTCAAGGGATCTGCTTGCTGAAGAAGCTGCCGGAGGTGTTGCGTATCGTTGTGGCGGAAGATCTGCTTTTCCGCTCGGCTATGGCGCATCCCAGCAATCATAGACGCATGATTTGATTCATCCGAAAAGAATATGAGCCCCGGATACAGAGACGCGAGAGACGAGAGGGCCGCCTCATTCGCTACAAATCCAGAAGTGAAGAGCAGAGCCGACTCCTTCTCATGCCTGCAAAGAGCAAGAGAGCCACGCAGCTAGCCAGAGAGATGGTGCGAGCACTAGCGACACGGAGAAAACGGTAAACATGTGCATGGAGAGGGTCCGTTTGGAAGGATCCATGAGCACAGCAAGAAAGCCATTGCACAGCGCTTCGGGGATACAAGTCGCTAAAATAAGAGGCATCAAATAAGTATCCTTTCGTTCGCAAACTAGGGGGTCACTCTTCGCGCCCAAGAGCATGTCCTATACGTATCTGCTCGAGGGACTAACCAGTTAGCAAGCTCTGCCTCCAATTCCGTGTGGTAGACATTGGAGCCAGAAATATTTCGAGTCCCTCCACTCCCGACGCCGCTCAGATCGATCGCCGCTTTGGATGCCTGAGTAGCAGCACAGCGGCAGATTGTATTGAGCCTTCCCGGGTCAGTTCGACGGCCCCTCGATATGTCTTTGGAAGCCAAGATGTGAAAATTAGGAACGCCGTGAAATATCTGCACGAACGCAACGCCGAGCGGCCTGTGGCAAAGGGCCTCTCGGAGGGAGTGTAATTACGGACGTGCATGACGTCTGGGTGCTGACTCATGCCGAGGTAGTCGTTGCTGCACCACAGGGTGACTTCGTGCTTCTGGTGCCCCTCAGGATCGTGCAGGAATGCAGAGGGGTAATTTCCCACCGATCGGCGGAGGTTTGCAAACACTCTGTACCTGCAGGTAGGCGTTTGCAGCGCAGACGGGAGGGGGTGCCTACACGGACTGAGGGAGCGAGCAGGAGAGAATTCCTCTACCGATAGGTGCGGCGAAGAAAGGGAAAGAAGGCAATCCTAGACACATTCTGAGTGAGAGGCGCAGAGGCTCTAGGAGACGGCAAGGCCTGCGGAAGGCGATGGAAGGACAGAGAGGCAGCAGCATGCAGAGGCGTAGGTGGAAAGCGAAGGAAAGTGCCCCACCGGCCCTCCGCATGGAGCTCAGCTATCCGGCAATCTGCCAGCTGAGAGTAGAAGTCTTTAGGCAGCTGTTGTCGATGCGGCAACTGCTGTTGCTGCAGTTGGTGGTGGAACTGTTGCAGTTGCTTATTCGCCGCCTCGCCATCCAAGCTGCTGCCACCGGGCCCCGCACTTGAAACTGTGAACGAAGAGGCCGTGTCGTCAGCAGGGAGTTGGGTGTCACTCGCCAATTGAGCGCCTTGGGGTGAGAACGTTCCGGGGGATCGAGATGCTACGGGGCACAGTTTGCATAGTGGGATGAGACTCTCGACGCTTGCGCCCTTGTGCCTCTGCAAGAAGGGGCAGCGACGGAACAGATGGCATACGTGGGAAGCCATCTTTGCGGAAAAACTGGATTGCCTCGCTACTGGCGAGCTCGTTTGCACTGGAAGATCAGGTGCGAGGCGACTCCCTGTGAACGGATTCTTCCGGCGAGCCGAGGCCGGATTTCAGCGAAAAACGGCTTGAACTCCAAGCCAGCCTCATTGATTACGGCATCGAATTCGAAACCCCCACGGTCAGAGACTCGCTGGACGCGAAATCATCCAAGCCCAAGACGCAGATCCTAGCGGGGACCTGCGGCTTGGGAAACGATGTACGGGGAACGTCGACACGACCCTCTTGCTCAGGAGCGCGCCAACCCACCGCAAAATGTGAGGAGACGAGAAGCAGAGAAGGGTTTCATCCAAGAGAGGCCTGCTGCAAGGTCGATCGCGTCGCGGCGTCTGTCCCATGGCTACTCCTGGCCGCATGCACGAAGGAGCAGTCGCCTGAGCGAAACAGCAGCGGCCCCTGCTGCGAGGATATCCGGAGTGGTGGGCTCCTAGCCGTGATCCGTGCGCTCTGAGGCATCAGCTTGGTGATTTCTATGCATGTATGTGCTCTTCTTATCGGGGGAAACAAGTAGGCGAAAGGCAGGAGTGAGACCGCGCAGCGCTTTTCTGCATGCAGCAGCCGGAGTGGATCGGGAGAGCTGCAGTGCATTCGGAACTTGGGCTGCTCTTTAGGCGGCTCTTCTCCCCGTGATATCTCCCCGCCTCTTCGGGAATCTCACGCCGTCCACCCTCTTTAGAGGCTCAAGTCGCCTGGCCGCGCCTTTCGGACCGCATATCCTGCCTGCCCCCTTGCCGTTCAGTTCTTCATCATGGCCTCCTCTATTTTGGAGGTTTTGCGGGGTGCTCACGAGGACGTGGAGAAGCTAGAGGACGTTGCTGCGCAGCTGCTGCTGCAGCAGCAGGAGATAGAGGGAGATGCGCAGCAACAGCAACAGCAACAACAACTCGCTCCCCTGTCCTACAAACCAAAGCGTTTGAGCGAGCGCAAGAGGAAGGAGTCGTTGCGGCTGCAAGCAGCGCTTTCGGACTGCATCGCGCGCATCCAGGAGAGAGCTTCCTCCATCATTTCCGTGTACGAGGACGAGGACGGTCTGAAGAGGGAAGAGACCCTCTACCTGGGAGGCCAGCGGCAGCTCCGCAGGGTGACGGCAAGCGGCAGCAGCACCGATGTTTGGGTTAACTTTTATGACAGAATCAAGGAGATTCGCGGCGCCCATAAGCGCAGGCAAATCGAGAGGCCGGAAGATGCGCAGGTGCCCACTGTGCCGAGGGGTGTGGACGAAATACTCCAAGAATTCATGGAGGTAGGTGCAGGAAGGCCAGCTTTCAAGAGCGCGTTGCGAGTGATTTCCGTAGGTGATCTGATGTGATGGTCTCTTTAAGTCGTCACTTTCTATTGCACCCGCCGAATGCTGCAGCTGGGCCGCCACAGAGGCCCCTCTGCAAGCTGGAGGAGTGAGTACGGGCTGCAGAGGAGGGCTGCATGCATTTTGTTGCCCTCTGTTGAGTGCATACTACTTCCTTTGCATGCATGGGCGTGCTGTCGTTCTTTCCTTCCTTCCCGCGGCATCGTGTGTTGGCACTGTCCACTCCCCTTCTTCCATATGCAGTCCTTTCCTACCCACGCTCCCGCTGCTGCCCTCTTGGCCACCCCTGCCGCGGCTGCACTTTCTGCTGATGCTCCTTCAGACGCCGTATTTGGATGCTCTCTTTGAAGACGCAGAGTCCTTCGGTCGCTTGGTGTCGTTGGATGCGTCGTATCGGTCCTTCTGTGGACTGAAAAAAATACAGCGTCACTTCATCCGCGAAGCGAAAGAGAAGGAGGCACGTTATGACGTCGGCAGCTTTATATGTAGCGCACTCTTCCCTCGTGCTTGCCGCGCCCTTTTGCGTTTACTGCCTGCCTGCCTGCCTGCCTTTTCGGCTCATAAGGCTTCATCCGTCGCCTGTATGCATGTTATCGTTTCGCATCTCCCTTCAGCTAGCACGCCTTCGAAAGAAAGGCGCTTCCGAGGAGGTACTCGCGGACCGTTCCGCTGCCCTGGACGAGGAGATAGGAGGTTGCACAATGGACTATTTGTCATACCTTCGTACTCTGGGAGACTTTACGAGAATCCCGAGGCATCTCAAGTATAAGCAACAAGATTATCGAGAGTATCTGCAAGGAACTCTACAGTATCTCGAGGATTTTTTCTTCAGAAGGAACCCCCTAGCGGACGCCGACAAGGTGCGGCAGCCCGACTGCCTTGCAGCCGTCTTGTATGTGCCTCTGTCGTTCAATTGCTTGCCTGACTCTCTCCCAGCCTCCCTTCTACCACCCACCTCCTTCCACCGTGCCTCTCTGATGGTGCGTGGCGTTTCGCGCAGGTCCGGGAGACAGTTCTTTCCGACTTTGAGCGCCAATTCGCAGCCTCGCAAGTTAACGGCTGGGAGGAGAAGACGCACAGCAATCCCCTCTATTGCAGAGTCACAGACAGACTCTTTGCAAATCCAAACACTTACGCCTCGCATCAGCAGGTCTGCACTGTCTCTCTCTCTTTCTTGCCCCGCTTTATCCGTCCTACTCTGTACTCGCACTCCATCGGCACGTATCCCATGCCCGTTCCTGCAACATCTTCCTCCTTCTGTCCGTTCGTACTGCTGTTTCTCCCTTCCTTCCTTTCGCTCCGCGACGCCGATTGCTGGCCATCACCATCTCGATATGCTCTGGTTTTTCCAGCTGCTCCTGCACCCACCCTGCACGTTCTCCTTGGCCATTTGTACCTAATTAGTTGTGGATTGATATCACTGTTGAAGCTATCGCGCCCCTTTTGCCCCCTTTCGGTGGTTGCTCCTTTGTTATGCTCATCGGAAGGTGCCTGTGCCGTTCACTATGCGATGCGCACTCTGCAGGGATCGGCCTATAAAAAGAAGCTGCTGGCCGCTGCTTCCCTTTCGGCCGAAGAGATTGCGGCTGCAACCAAGCGATGTGAAGACGCGGATCGGCAGCTAGCAGTTTTGGAGTTTTCGATTAAGGCATACGCCGACATGCTTCAGGAGCCCATTAATGTAAGCAGTGACACCTGTAAAGCGAGGTTCAAAGCCTGCCTCGCTCTACAGCACGGTCACTTAAATGCTCTTGCCACCCCACATGCTGCTCAAGGGTGTAGGGCGTTAAGATGGAGCTACTGGCTTTGTTTTTGCTGCTGCAGCAAACGATTGCTTTCTATCAGAAAAAGCAATCCACTACCGCCGAAGAAGCACTTGAACAGGAAGATGACGACTCGGAAATTGGTTAGTTTCAGGCGTCTTTTTGTCCGCGTCTTGCAGCGTAGCAGAGAACGTGGCATGGGAAATGGTGTTTCGAAGAGCCACCAGATACACTCGCTCGCTACCGTATGATTGCAATCTTGCACCGTTGCGTTGCCTTATGCGTGTAGAGGAGGATGCTCAGCAGGACGAAGAGGACAGTGAAGCAGAAGAGGAGGAGGGACCGGTCTACAATCCTTTGAATCTCCCTCTTGGTATCTTTTAATTTGTGTTGTACTCTCCATGCTGGGCGCCTCTCTGTTTTGTTTTCTTGTGTTCTCTCACCTTCCTACTCACCTTCAAAATCCTACTCTCAGCCTTTTCTTGGCTTGTTCGCCTCTTTCAGGGGGGCGAAGCTCGCGCTTCTTTGCATGCATCCCCCGGAGCGGTCTCTCGAGGCATTTAGCGGTTTCTTGGGCTTTCTTTGTATGCGTGTGTCGTAGGATTTGATGGCCGTCCGATCCCTTACTGGCTGTACAAGCTCCACGGACTGGGTCAGCAGCGTCAACTTCCCCAACTAAACTGTGCCTTTCCCTCCTTCCCAAATTCATTATTCACAAGAATGACAATGGACGGCCCCCACTGTGCGTTTCGTGATGCACATGCGTTTTTTTCAGGCCAGGAGTTCAAATGTGAGATTTGCGGCAATTTCAGTTACTGGGGCCGTCGTGCCTTCGAGAGGCATTTCTCTGAATGGCGCCACTCCTTCGGGATGCGATGCCTCAAGATACCAAACACAACACATTTCAAAGTGTGTTCCTTATCTACTGTTTTATCTCTGCATAGGCCTCTCTCCACGTACACACAATGGAAATAGCCACGGAGGCACTTCAATCTGTTGCTGGCCAGCCGTGCGGTCCGCGTTGAAACTTTGTTGATTTTGATGATAGCAGGGGAAGAAAGGCTAATGCGGGTCTTTGTTTGTCTTTGTCATGGTCAGTTTTAGGGGTGTTCGCGCTTGACATACGCTTTTTGTGTGTCTCAGGAGATAACAAAGATTGAGGACGCGATTCTGCTCTACGAGCGACTAAAAAAACAGGCAGAAGGGAATGTACGCAAAAGTTTTGGCTCTAGGGGGACAGGAAGCAAAGCGCTTCTTTTTTGCAGAGGGTTCGTCACCATGAATCATGCTTCGGGGGGAGTGCGCGGTGCGGTGCGTCTCAGGCCTTCAAACAAGACCAAGAGCTCGAATGCGAAGATGCAGATGGGAACGTCATGAATCTCCGAGCCTTCGAAGATCTCCGAAGGCAGGGACTTATTTGAGATGATGCCCAGCCTGCTGTAGCCACCCTCGACCTGTTGATCGGGCAGCCGAGTAATGAGACAAAGAGAGATCGATGGGTGCTCATCCTTTCGCTTGATGTCTCGTCAGCCCATGCGAAGGGACTTGGAGGCAACAGGGAACGATCTGCATAGGGGCACTAGCTTGCCTTCTCTTTTTACTACCCCTTTCTTACTCTAGCGCCAGGTCTCTGAATAGATGCCTGCATATCTCTGTACTCTTCCAATCCTTAGCAACTCTTGATTTGCACCCCTCTGCCGTGCTTCTACTGTAGGCATAACTACAGTACTGCATCATTAGGTGCGTAGCTATAATATGCTCATACAGCTTTTCTGAGGTGCGCGAACACCTAGAATCGAGTTCCGTGAGTCGGAACTGGGGGCAGCTACGTTAAATAAGGAGAACAGGGCCCAAAACAATTGGCCAATCCGCGGTAGTCCTGTCCTATGGCGCTTGCTCCTCACCCCCGACCTCCGCTGGCTCGTGCCATGCAGCCTCTCCAGCAGAAGCTTGATATGTTTCATTTGGTCCGGTTCTATCTTCCGTGAATGGCTGCTGTGTGATTGTTTCTTCGGTTTCTATGGTTTCCGGGGCCTCATCTAGCTTCTTCTCTTGGGTTGGTGGGCCTTGCGTGGCGTTAGTGATGAGGCGATCGACCTCTTCAACACTAGCGGCCTCCGCAGTCCTTTCACTTGGGATCGCCCCAAACGCCTCCTCTAGGCGACTGAAAACAGGGCAGACACATAAGGCGTAGGGACACCCGGTGGACGCTACTAAGTGGCAGCTGCAGTACGATAGGTTGACAGTAAGGCGAAGTATGCACGCGCACACCTTCACCTTCCCTAGTCGGGCCCAAGTAAGAATCCACCTCCATTATGGGTTAGTTAATCCCTGATCCATAGCAGACGGAAGATTTCGGGGACTGGTGGGAAAAGGAGACGCACAGGCAGGCGGCAACAAGTGGGCTTCTGCATAAGGACCCGTAGATGTACTGCGCTGCATGTGCGGGTGTATTGGGGTCATCCAGTATGTCCACGTTGGCAAGCCCAGAAACGGGGGACACTGAGCGTCTCATCTTCACTGAAACACGTGAAACAGGCACCAAACGCAGCACGCTATAGGTATTTTTGCCTAGGCAGTTGTACCCAACTGTGTAGCTAGTTTTATGTCCAGAGATTCCTCTGAAGAACTTAATCCCCGTGACCTGCGTGGGCACGGTTCACTTCCCTGCCGGGCCATTTACATCTTAATGTTTTGTGCCGATGTGCTCATTTGCTTGTCTTACCTCCCTCATAGGCAAAAAATCGTCGGAGATTTTTTTCCTCACTCTCCTGAGCAGCTTTAAAGAGCCATGCTAGCTGAGGGCTCCTGCACAGACTCGAGTACGTTGTCATCTGGGACAGCCTTTTTCGACACCAATCCAAAGCCGGTAATGCCACGGACTTTGAAGATGATGCCGCAGAAGGTGTAGCCATGTGCTCCGACTCTTCAGGCTCAGTGGAAATATCCTGAACAGGACAAATAAGGGAGTGCCGCCATCGCATGAGAATGCTGGAGAGGGTCGATGGCAGACGGAGGAGGCAGGATACGGGGATGAACCAGAGAACATGGTGCCTAGTTCCATCCCTTGAGAAGATAGCTCTGTGGTTCAGCTCTGGTGCTGTTAGAGACCACTCTATCAAAGACAAGCCTCTGGAGGTATAATACACGCCTCTTCTTTGGAGTACGGTGATCACAGAAAAAGAAAACGCAGAGATGAGCCTACAATCGAAAACAAGTAAAAGTGCTTCTAAATCTTTGTCTCATGTGGTTAAACTGTCAGGGTTCCAGGGTGATCTTGTCAGACAAAGGGTTCGGTGTTTCGTGTACAGGGATCGGGGGTTACTTGTGCATCCTCTCTTTTTAAGTGTAAAAAGGATGGCTTGAAAGGCGAGTATAGCTTGATACTTCCCGCCTCTCCACTAAGGGCCCATATCATGCACAAAACTACAGGCGGGAGGTTACGCCTCATTATCGTTGATCAGAGACCTCGAGTTAAGATAATTTGCAGGGGTCCCTTGCGCCTTTCTTGCTGTAATTTTTCAGTATTTCGCGCAAAAGCAATATTTTATGCCTCAAAAGTGAAGCATGATGGATGATGGAAGCCGCATTTTAGTGTGGGACCCTTTCATCGGATGCGCGACCACCAGCCAGGGACTTGGGGAAAGGGATGGGTCACTAGACACTCAGTTGCGCCAAAGATGCAAGTATACTGCGCACTACACCTAAATACACTCAGGCACACATGTTTTCTGTTTGTATGCAGGATAATTTATTATTTCAGTCTTATGGGCGTGAAAAAGACCCTGTGTACTTCGTTCCTTACTGTATTTAACTGGATGCCGGACCACTCCAACGCCAATGGACTGTCACATATTTAGTACAACGATGAAACTTGACTTGCCATAAATCTGCCATGCGCAAATACAAAAAAATTGAGAGTCTCCTGGTCATCTTGCACACTTTTTGCATGTTTCTTGGCGGCACTAGCGCTGCAGATGGACGCGCAAGTCTTATCACCGGTATTGATTACATGGCTTACATACATACGTGATGTTCATCATAGACTCTTTGGTTGTGTAGTGATAGCTGGAATCCCATTAGGTAGGCAATGTCTCTATTAGGCAATGAATTGGGCAGCGAACTCTTGACAAAAATCGGTGTTTCTTACTACGGGGGACGCTGCTGTATCGACCTTGTTGCATGGGCCTTGCATGAGACGCTCCCTCAAAAAGCTCACTATATTTTTTGGGCATAACTGCCTTCTGAAGTAGCTGTGTAAATCCTTTAATCGCATCCCACTGCGTTCCTTGACTGAATTGACGACGGGCCATCAAGGTAATCTTGGACCCACCCTCAGCATGCTACGCATTCGCACAAAGGTACACATTGCATAGGGACATCACGTATATTCAGAGTTTATAATTTTTTCGAGAACACAGCAAAGCACAAAGACAATTGCAACATTGCTCAACAGAATACCAAATTCCAGGTAGTGTAGTAAGATCATAAACGGTGAATTGGCTCACTGGAGGCTCCGCGTTTCAAAGCCTCCATAAAGTGAACTGCTCACACATCTGATTCTATGCCTTTAAGGCATACTAAGGACTGCCTAAGCATTGCTTGGCCCATTAATACCTTGTTTTGCGTCCACCTCAGGCCTTGCGTACAAGTATATCAGGGGGTTGGCTTTAAAAAGGGGTTATGCACGAGCCACCTCCTTTTTACAATCATTCAAGTCTTACTTGTTCGATTTAGTTGTCCTAATACCTTATTTTTTGCATATTGTCAGCCATACGCAATAAGGATGCACTCTGTGCAAATGCTCCAAGCCGCTACGTGGCACCGAGTGCGTATGCTTGGAGTGCTTAAAGAATCCAGCAGTGCCCACACCATTCATCCTCTTTTCCCTTATGCCGGCACCTTGCGGAGTGAAAGACATGAGGACGAGGGGGCGCTTTAAAGCGGACGCTTCACAAATTTTTCAAAATTGTGATTCGGACTCGAGGCTAGAAGTTTGCTTATCAAGACCACAAAAGAAGTATTACATTATGGAGCTTGCGGTGTACAGGAAGGGTCGCCTCCAGCTGTAGAGAACCATCACCGTGACAGGCGACAGCGCCAGGTCCTTGTTCCCCCTTTTAAATATTTGTTTCCATCTTTCGTGCCTTTGCAATTATTCATGCAAGTACGCCAAGTATAGGGGCATCTAAAGTCCCGAAGTATGAAGTGCATAGTAGTCTCTATCACGTGTATGCAGGTTCATTTATCGAATTCTTCAAATCTGTAAGCAGCTGTTAAGTGTGTTTTTGATGGTTGTGTTTCTTTGTACCCACGCCATAAGGGTTGCACATACGCGCGAGCCTTTTAATCGGTATGGCATCAGACACGCACGTCCCATGGCGGATGTCCCAGGACCCTTGACCACCGAGTCAGCTAGCTATATGGCTATTAACCGCCAAGCTGCATGCTGGCTAGCTGCGCCACTTGTCTCTTGTATTCTTCAAGAGAAATTGAAAGACACTGCGCCGGCAATTCGATCTTTGCGGGAGTTGAAAGCATGAGGGGAGCGTAGTACGCTCCAGGAGGCGGTGGCGCTGCCTTGATCCGGGCAGCGAGGGAGGCCCCTGTGTCCATGATCTGCGTGCAGGCTCAAACAGCCAAAATTCTCTACCAGGATGGGAAACAGGCAGGACAACATACAATGTAAGACCAAGTGGTGACATATCAGAAAGCAGAAGAAAACGACTGGGACCCTACTTAACGTGAATATTCGGGCTGCGATAGAACCAGGCATATAAAATGACAGAGCCAAACCGAAAGCAACACAGGCATCATGAGACGCGAGCAGGCAGCAGAGGCAAAATAAGTCCATATAAAAAGTGATGGGCATATGGCGAGACAGTTACAGGTTGGTAGGGCACACGAGGAGAGACGGGAGGAGCCACTAAGATACTCAGATTCAACAAGCAAAGTGAAGGTGGCTCTGAAAGAACCATTACCTGTACGTAGGTGGACGCCAGGCGCTGCTGCTGTTCATGCGTCTGCCCCATAATGGACTGTAGGCCAGTGGCGATGCACATGCCATGGACCGCTGGCGCTGCAGCAGAGTGGACAGCAAATTCAGCAAGCCCATACTTAGCCACTGCTGCTTCTGTTGCTCTTGCTACTGTTTAAAGTTTTGTAAAGCTGATTCATAGTCTCACAAGCAGCTCCGCTGTGGGACGGCGGCGTTGAGTCATCGTGCCTCCTGTGAGCCGTTAGTAGTCCTCCCCTTCTCGGTGTATCCCCTATTGTTTGTGCTAGACGTCTCTGCGTGTTGATCGTGTCGGCTAGTGGCTGGAATCGGCATTTGGCCAGCTGTGCCTCCGCAGCTGCTTTCCGCTGCAGTAGCACTGCAAGGCATTCGCGCAGCTCCTTCCGATCAGAGGAGGCCGTTGAAGTAGAAGAAAGCGAGGCCATAACAGAGTTAACTTGATGCCGAAGGGCAGTCGCCTGCTTTATCAAAGCCCCTCTGGTCTGCAATGGTGAGGCACTCGCCTTTTCTTTGCTCTGAAGAATCTGCTGCACGTCGGCGTCGGTAAAAGTAAACTGCAGGAAAAACAAGCTAACACCTCGTCAGCAAGTTAGTAAGCTAGCTAGCAAACTACCTCAAGAAACAGCCACCTCGCAAAGAAACTGGCTACTCATGCCTAGCTCTGCCTCCCTCAACCTGGTCTTTCCTCCATTCCTGCCCCTATCTACATAAATGTGCCAATTTCCTCAACTTCTGGGGCCTAGTAAATAGCTCCATATCCATGGATCGCCTCTGCATGCCGCTGCTGCTACCTCTCCGGATGCCGTTTTCCCTTTCAGCCTGTGCTCACCTTTTCGAGCTGCATGGCTTTGTTTTTCATCTTCTTTGCCAAATCATCGACCGTATCAAATTGCTGCAGCTTCTTCAGCCAGTTGTCGAACTCCTTTTGGGTTGCGGGGGCATCAATAAGCTCGGCCAGAGTAAACTCTCTATCATACTTGGCACTGGCCTTTGGCGTCGGTCTGAGCACTAGTGAGTAGATGCACCTGCGAATGCTGCCGTCGACCTTCACACTGTACTCGCTGCAAGTCCTTATGCCGACGATCTGGCAGACAATGGCGTCGGGAGGGGGGGCCCCTCGTAGAGCAGGAACCCCGCCAGGCGGAGACACTTTCACAACGCATCCCTTCAGATAGGACTCTGCCTGGGGATGCTCGAGGATATGATTCAACCGCGATACGGAAACACGCACGCGATTCAAAAGAGCAAGAGAAAGACGCCCCAACATCCTTAAGGATAAGCTCTTCCGGGTTCGCTCCTCGAAATCTAGACGATCCTCCGCAAAGAGGCTCGCATCGCCCTCATCGGGACGCGCCTAAATACAAAGGGACACGTTTGAAAACTGAGTGCTGCAGAGGGCGACACAAAAGAAGTTCAATGCATACCACAAGTCTAAAAGCCTTAACGCTCACGGCAGGTCGCTTCTTGCTGACGCTTTTGGGTTCTGGAATTTCTTCGGGCGGCTTCTTAGGGGTTTGGGGAGCCTCCGCGTCTGAGGGGGGTCCCTCCGCCTCGGAGCTAAATTCCATTTCGCTCCCTTCACGAGATTGGATTTCTCCCTCCTCCGACGCATTCGCTGAACAAACACAGTCCTTCGAACACCATGTCATGAAATCCACAGCAAGAACCAGAAGGGCTCGGTGAGCTAGCGGGAAACCCCATGCAAATCTTCAAACCCGCGATCCACCACCCCTCGAAAGCCAATGTGAGCTGAAGGCGAGACCCCATGCGAGGGTCCACAACTCGAAATGCAAACATACAGCTCGTGTCGGATGCTTTGCTCTGCAGTTGTTTCATCCTGGCTCGACGTGCACGGATATCCGAGAGGGCCTCTAGACGACCTGCCATGTTTCGCACACGGAGAATACTCTGAACCTTGAGCTCTAGCAGACGCAGTCGAGCCAATATTTCGTCACAGGAAAAGGCACTGGTGAGACACGGATAAAAGGAGAAACCCAGGTACCGCCAAAGGGGAAAAAATACACAACGAAAACCCCCCCAAAATCGAAGCGCTAGAGGGGACAGAGAGTTGATTAGTACGCTCAAGAAGGAGGTGGCGTGACAGCGTAATGTAATTACATTCGCATGGGCATGGACGGGAATGCAGGACGGTCCCGGTCACCCCCCAACCATGCTGCTGATGGACGCATACTGAGGAACACATCATGTTTCTGCCTTACCATCCTTTCTATCCTTGGAGCTCCGAAGCAGCTCTGCCCGTTGTCGTTCCCTCGCGACTTCTTCATAGCGCCGCGCTAACTCCGCCTCTCTTTGGAACTCGTTCATGCTCTCCAACGCCTAATGCGAGACGCAAAATGGGGTGTATCAGCACCTCACAAGTGATCGCATGCAGGTACATTTCGAAGCAGAGTGGCGCGCCGGCACGTGCACAACATCATACACACCAGGGAGAGGGAATGAACGGACTTTTTTGTCATTGTCATCTCTGTACAGAAGCTCTGCGTCAAACTCGCGAGTACTTAAGAAGGGGCCCTCAGAAAGGGGCCCCTCCCCTCTGCGCCTCGCCCTCTTCATCTTGTGGAGCGGCTCTGCATGCGGCGTGTACGGAAATTCACTGCGGGGGAGAGAAAACGACTACTAACATGGTTGAGTGCGATGATAGAGGACGACGCACACCCTAGGAAGCAGGGCAAACGGATTCGTACATCCACATAGCGGTTCAAACAAATTTGTATGGGTTCGAAATCAAAAGTAAGAGGAAAACGAGAAACCTTGCGGAACAAACGAGTCTTCAAAGCCTCCAGCGAGCGGAGGGTGTGTCCCACCAGAAGCGTATCTAGGCACTATACTATTCTGCTGCTTCCGCCTGTAAAGGGAAAGTCTTGCTTCAAGCCGTTTCGACACACGTTTTATCGCTCAAATACACAAACAAATGACAATTTCATCCGAATGGGTCCCAGGCCGGCAAAAAGCCCCAAATTGGCGCATGCAAACTGTACCAAGGCTCATGACATGCAAGGGTAGGGTTTCCCGCACCGCCTACTTGCACTAGCTCTCATCGAGCGCATAAACATTGGGAGCAGCGATTCGATGTGCTTGTAAGAGCTTAGTGTAGAGGGTCATGCTAAGCATTGAATGAATGGTCAGTCCTGGGGCAGCCTTTTGTCAAGGAGCCAACAGGAAGAGATTGTAGCCGACAAAATCTGAAAAGTGTCGAAAAAACCACCGCTTTTACTGTTTTTGCTTTTATTTTCTTCATTCATTGTTTAAAAGGCAAGCTGAAGCTAAACTCTAGTTCGGTTAATAGCATACGCAAAACCCATGGTGTATAGCTGCCTGCAGCTGCAACAATGCGACCGTTTGGGGAGGGGTGGTTAACAATAGCTCTAATTTTAGTACCTAATAGAATAAAAGGGATAAAACTCCATAAATGAGTCGAGCGCATCACATACTGCTGTGCCTAAAAGCCCCAGCTGGGCGAAAAGAGCCCCTGCTGCTGCGGCTGCTGCTCTGCGGGGAGGTCTGCTGCTGCTGTAGCTGCTGCTGGTGTTGCTACCGCTGCTGCCTCTTGAGCTGTTTAAGGATTGCCTCTGCCGTTTTCTTCTCCTTTTTGTTTTCACATTTAGCCTCGAAAAGGACTCCCGAAGATGGCGGACGCAAAGGCACGGCTCAGTCCGATGGAGGACACAATCGCAAAGATGTTGATTTGCAAGGTAGGGGCTGCAGTTGAGGCTTGAAGTTGTTCTGTCCCTGACCATGGAATGTACTTCTCCCTTTCCCGGAAGCAGGAAGCACATATGTGATGCAATCTGAGAAGCGGTCGGGGGGGAACTGGGAAATTTGCTTCATTTACAGCCCCCACTCTAGGGATGCATGCTTTTTGTGCTGTGTGGGGTCAAGTGGCAGCTCAACGATTTGCCTAGTACATATTTTTGTATCATTTTCTCTAAGACTAGGAGCAGTGCAGCCACAGATGGATACGCAGCTTCCGCCTCCTCAGCTCCCTCCTGCCGCCCTCTTTCGCAGTGGTGCGCACCACCCTGCAGGCCAACAGGTAGAAGTTCGGTATGCTGTTTCCGTTGTATGTACAGGTGCACATTGGAACGAAGAATGTGGAGCATAAGATGCGCCCCTACACGTACAAGGTAACGAACGAAGGCATTCACCTTATCAACCTGAAGAAGACTTACGAGAAGCTGTTGCTGGCAGCCCGCATCATCGTCGCCATCGAGAACCCTGCAGATATACTAGTGGTTTCCGCCCGTCCCTACGGATCGCGTGCTTCCCTGAAGTTCGCCCACTACACGGGTGCGCAGGCTGTGGCCTCTCGCTGGACCCCCGGGATGCTCACCAATCAAATTACAGCCAAATTCATGGAGCCCAGGCTCATCATTGTGACGGATCCCAGGACTGATGCTAGGGCTGTCAAGGAATCTTCTTACGCAAATGTGCCCGTCATCGGACTGTGCGACACCGACTCGCCCCTGGATTACGTTGACGTTGCTATACCATGCAACAACAAGGTAGGATTTAGGGCTTGGGGAACGAGAAGGGCTCCACGTGGGAGGAAGTGTTTTCGAGGCAATTTGGAGGGAGCATTGTGAGCTTCTTTTCACGGGGTAGCGGCTCGAAACTAGCCATTTGGTGTGTGCTTTGCCCCTTTTCAGGGTTTGGAGTCGATTGCGCTGATGTACTGGCTACTGGCTCGGGAGGTGTTGTACTTGCGTGGCGAGCTGCCGCGGTCTCAGCAGTGGGATGTGATGGTGGATATGTTCTTTTGGAGAGATCCAGAGGAGCTCGAGAAGAAGGACAGGCTCGAGGACAAGGAAGCGGCCCCCCATGCGCAGCAGGTACACACAGAAGTATATTCGTCTCGTTTAGCAGCAAACGGATTGGACTTCTGGTTGAGAGCATACATGACCAGTGCCTGATTAGTATAGGAGGTTTGCATGGATGCCCTACTGCTTTGCTTGTGCCACCTATTCGGCGTTGCTCGTGGGCTGTAGTCACAGGCTTTGGCCCTGTAGTAACGCTGCCCGAGGGAACCGCAGTCGGTTGTTGTCTTGGGCTTGATGCATATTCTTCGAGATGTGCGACTTGTGATTTCAGGATCTGTCCCAGTGGAATGCGACTACTGGCGATTGGGGAGGAAAAGTCGCAGACTGGAACCCCGCAGCTGGCACTGGTGAGTGGACAGACCCCGCAGCTGCTCAGGCGGACTGGGGGGCCAGCGTGACCGCCACTGCCACCAAGTGGTGAGGGGTCGTTGGTTTACACACACCACAGACCCCCAATTGAAGTTTTCGGCCCAGGGGGTATGAGAGTTCCGGTACAAAAACCAAAAATCGCAGCCATCAAGATGCGAAGTCTCGGCTTAATCCACTTGGGTTTGCCCTTGCAAAAGACCATAATGGCGCAGGTTTTAGTAGTCTGGGGGCTTATGTAGCTGTTGGATTACGGGGTAGAGTACGTCCTAGTGAAAGTAGCGGGCTGGTAGCTACGGGGCGACGTGCTGTTTTGAGTGTGGCGCGTGCCTCGAGATAGTGGAACGCAGAAACCTAGCGCATGTAACGGGTTGTGGATATACGCCCAGTGAATCACAATAGGGAGTTTTGGGAGTACGAATGAAGCCGGAATTCCTGGATGTATGTTTTCTAGATAATATCTTTTTCTTTGTGTGTTCGTGTCTTCCCTGCTCCGTTGTGTGCTTATATGTACGTTGTGTTGGCACATTAGAGCATAGACGGGTCTTCCGGTTAGGTGCCATTCCCTGGCTGGCGGGCTGATCGGTACTTGAGTTCAGTCCTTGTTTTCCTCTTAAGGGGCCTTTGCTTTTTGGCACCCTGGGACTGGGCTTGGGGGCTTTCTCAGTAAGCACGATTTACTACTGGAGATGCGTAAATCTCTTCGAAGGCAAGCTATTTGCATCCAGCGAGGCATGCCAATTGATACTGGTCGTGGAAATCACAATTTAGGCGCTACCGGAAGCTCGGCATCCAGTGATCCCTGCAGAACGGTGACATCACGGCGTGCGCGAGCTGGCTGTTGCTACATCACGAGAATAGTGACACTGCGTAGGATAGTGAAGCAGTGGCTTGCAGCGACTAAAGGCTCGGTAGTAATGTTTTAGGCTGATGCCTTGCTGGGGCCTTGAGCGAAAATTGTTTTCTGGGTGCAGCAGCAAACGTAAGCCTCGTGGTATCCAGGTGTTGACGCTGCTCGTGTCTTGTCAAATGTAACGCTTCATCCAAGCTCTCCGTAGGTAGACTCTTTGCTTTATAGTTGATGCAAATTTAAGAGAGAGCTATTAAAATGCTTTGAGGAGAGTTCCTGGCTTTCGCTGCCCGATCCCCTCAGACTTCTTGACATGAGGAACGCGGGTTGCGGAGCCACCGCTGAACTAGTGTATATTTTGACTACCCTTGTACGCATTACTCCTTTTTCCGCAGCGGTGAGCTCACATTTCAGCACTCTGATGACAGTGAGATATCGCGGGACCGCGACGGTGTTGTTCGACCCATTTTTCGTCTTTCGCAAGTGTGCTTGTCTTTCTTCCCGTCAACCAATCCACTGTTTGTCATTCTCGCTTGCACCGTTTCAATGCACTGAATTTGTCTTTTAACCAGCCTGAGGAATGGCAACAGGAAGGGAACTCTTCCGCTGCTGCATACTGTTGGCTTCAGCATGCAATACCGAACACGTGGGTGGTTTATGAAGTAAGGAAGGAGGATAGAACGGGCAAAGCTATGCTTAAGAATTTCTAATACTCTAGCTAAATTAACTAAGAATTCGTATAGAGTTGACAGACTGGGTTTGCCTTTTCAAATGTCATGTTTATTGCAGAATATTTTACTTCGAAACACGAAGGCCCACTGTTGTGGGCGTGTGCGCTAGAAGCTAACTGCAGCTACCTGTGAATGTTTGCAGCATTTAGAGGGCTCAGCTGACCGCACTCTGTGTACCCTCTCTCCTCAAGTCAGGAACTTCGTGGAGCGCGAGTAGGGGAAAAGGAGCTCTCTAGGTTTTTTTCAATCGTTTGTACTGAAATGAAGCGAGTCTGATGAAGATCTTATTTGAAGCAACACATTGAGTGTGGCCTTGGTGCTTGGTAAGCCTAGAATCCTCCACTACTACGGCTACCCTAGGATCCTCCCCCTCCATACCAGTCACTTGCCAGCGCAGCAAATTCTGTGAATAATTGGGAGAGCTTTGAAATTTTTTTGGAAATCAATGTTGACGATTCGTCTGTGGCACCTCCAACTTTTAATATTTTGTATAGAATAAGGAAGAGCGTTAATTCACGAAACAACCGCAAATTACTCTACCCACCTAGCAGCAAAACTGTTCGTCTGATCACCTGGTGCATAACCACAATGCCTGTCGGATCCCAGGTTTAAAATTGCAGGCTTGGAACACACAGCCGAGAAGCCTGCATGCCTTTTTCGCGGATTGTGCATACATTCGCAAGCACGTCAGCCTTTCTCTGACTCTCTCCCCCGGCAAAGTTGATGGATCAACGTTAAGCACTAGATCCAGGCGTGGATCGTAGAGGGGCTCTTAGTATAGATCAAGGATGCTGGAGAGCAACAAGTAGACAGGTGCACTGTTGAATTATAATCTCGCTCAGCACAAGAAAGAAAATTAGGCCAAGCATCTGGGCTTTTCGAAGCACGGAGTTGCAAATACTGCACTGCTAGTGTTTGCTGTTGGTGCGCTCCATTTGCCCATATGTGGCTATGGTCAATGTGTAGGTTGGCCTTAAAGGCACTAGAAGGCGCATGGACCGGTTTCGGAATCCTTTCCATGACAATGTTTCCGACAGGGGCCTTGGAGCTTTCAGAGGGGAGTTAAGAGATTCGAGCAACTTTCTGAGCCGTGGCATGGCTGCAGCAAGGATTAAGGGGGGAACATATATTCAGGCTATTGATTACGACGTGGATGCTATTCCGACCCTTAACCTTGGGCAATGGAGCAATAAAGTCCATACTCCGGTCAGGCCAAATCCTTCTAGGAATAGAAAGGTTTTGCAACTGACCAGCAATCAACTTCAGGATTTTCAGAGTCCTGAAAGCTCTTCGCCAGGTACAGTACTGATGATCAGTCAGGAATACATTGATGGCCATAAGAATAGTTCCAGCTTACTTCGCGCTACACGACGCCGTGAAAAGTTCTGTTTCCGCGCCGCACACTCCTCCTGGGATCCTATGAAGCCATGAGAATAACAGGCAATGAGTTGTTGCTTTGGAAGACCCTGGCCTGTTGGGAGAGTACACACGCACCACTCTGTTATTAGCATTGGATGTTGGAGGTAAAGGACGCTTGTAATCGGACTGTGCGAATGCTGGAGGAGTTGTAAGGCAACCGATTAGCATCCATGCTGCGGCAATACATTCCTCTGCTCATATCACAGATTGCTTTTTCCCAAGTAGATGAGCTAACGAAGCAACACTGAGATCAAGGAAAGCATTAGATTTACGGCAACAAGATGCATACATGCAAAAATTCTCTTCGTCCATGGGGATGTGCAAAAGTAAAGGACACACGTTGATTGCTTTGATTTTGCGTTTGACCCAACTCGGTGCCACACCAAAACACAAAGCCCGATGAACGCCATGATTTACTAGAAAAAATATTCATAGTCTGCCTTCACACACCATTGCGTGCCCCGCAACAGCTGATGCGCACGCCGTAGTTGCTGAGGTACTGTTGAACGTTCCGGTTGGTTACAAGGACGTCGTTCTTATAGACTACCAACCAGACCTTCTTAATAGGTTCATGGAATATCAGTTAATTTGATGCCGCAGGTCTGCTAGGACATTATCAAGTCCAGTTGGCATGCAAATGCAGTGGAATTTACTCACGTTCGCAAGTGAGCACGTGTGGAGATATCAAGCTCAATGAACACTCTTATCGGCCTTCCAGAAAGCCCTCGCAAACTCCATCTCAGAAAACAATAATTTTCCCTCCGGTTTTGGAAATTATCAAAATAATCCCTACATACGGACTCGGAATTAATAGTGCTTCTCATGCTTTCATGCTCAATGTATCAACTGCAGCACGCCTGAAGGCCATAGCCTGGCTTTACTATAAGGCGAGTTCATCGGATAAACGAATCAGTAATTTGATTTAGCAGTACCGGCAATGCAAAATCTACATTTAGAGACGGTTTAACCATTCAATATTGCGTTGCGTACTCCGGAACGTGCAACCTAAGGTGAGGCTTTGGAGAAATACCTTTTCCATTTGTCCAGTGAACTTCAGTGGCGCATCAGCTACGGGCAACCTGCTGACGTGCAAGCTTTATTCGTCATTCTTCAGCCATGGGCATAATGAAGTCGGATTACCTTGCTAACTTGGAAGATGGTGGAATAACACGCAGTAATTTCAAAGTTTGAATAACGTCCTTCCCCATAATGACTTTTGTTACGCTAAACTGTTGCTAGCATGCGAACCTGACTATCATGAATCGGCAATAGGCCTCTATTGGCTGAGCTACGGGGGACTGAGAGTGCAGTGCCTTTCGTTTTTAAAGTGTCAGTGCTCATAAAGCCCCTTGAAGTACGAAGGAAGCAGCTAGAGGCACGATTGTAATGTTACCTTCCGGCATGGTGGACCGGGGTCAGCAGACACCCTGAGGAGCGGAGGGGCTCAGATAATACGGTTCATGCACGTGAATGTATAGAGCTTACGAGTGATTGGCGAGTTATTATAATAAGCGATGGTGGGCTGTGTGTTACGCGCCTGATGATTTGGTTAGGGAGAACTGGCAGGTCCTACGAGGCGATCCCGGAGGCAACCAGACGAAGTCCTTTATCGCCATGTTGCTAGAACTTTTGTAGTTCTTTATCAAATCGATAAGTTTTATATCTCCATCAAGCACCCAACAAATTGAAAATGCCACAGAAGCAAAACTGTTGGCTTTCCCTAGATGTGTCAATATTAACTTATTTACAGACGCTGCCGGCAAGTGATTTGTGTGGATACACAGGATCCGAAGGGATGCTGAAGGTACACTAGACCGGAGTCTCTGAATTAATGGTGAAGGTAATGCCAACTTTAAAGGTTGACAGAAGAGGGGTCTCCGGATTCGTTGCCTGCGGGAGCATATACGGCTCTGTTCGGTTAACAGCGCTAGTCACCAAGGTTGGCACTCCTTATGTTACTTGGGAATTGTGCTTCCCTCGTGCATGTTTAACATGCAATACCAGCCATCATCTATGACTCGTTCAGAAACACCCAGTTTTTTTGCTACGGAGGTGTCTACATTAAGCTTCATGCTCATGGACCCGCAGATATCGTGTCTATGCACGCTTGCTTGTGCCTCTTCGGGAGGTTGGAAAGTGACTATGTTGCGTGTGCCAGCTGGACTAGCATACAAAACTGCGCTGAGGTACTGGTATCCTAGTGCGTTTTGTGAATCCCTTGAAACTTTTACTTGATGTTTGTTCCCTTTGAGAAGCCCACAGACATTAGTGCTCCGATGCAGCCAGGCTTCGCACCGCCGTGGTGGCGTCGGGTTTACCACCCCTGTCCCTGCTGGCAGT